CGTCCTTTGTACTTCCTGCGCTCGTCTACTGCTCTCGTGAATTGCTGCTGCTCTCGTGTATTTACCTCGTTCATCGTTTTAACCTCGAATAATGCTACATGATGTACTATATAATATTCACAATGAATGTCTTGTCATTGGAATCATGGGCGAGATTGCGAGTCCTCATCATATGGTGTGAGCTTTTATCATACGGCATAAAACACCAGCCGATCTTATCATGTAATTATCATGCAGGCACCATCAGCGGTAAGACAGCCATCAATATTATAATATCATCCGTGATCTGACCATTTCACCATCTAATTTTGGTCGGATTTCCCATATGTTAAAAACGGACTTTACGCTCCACTCATGCTGGAGATTCGAAATATCACTAAGGTATGGTTGTAGTTATAACTGATTCTACTACTGCTCATGTACTTATATTCGGTCCGCCCATTTAGTGATGGAGATTATTACTAATTTACTCACATCTGGAACATTTGGACCGGCTTGTGTTTTCATGTTTTCATTGGATAAGTGTGTTGTCAAGGTTTGATTTACGCCAGCTTATCGGATTATGAGCCGGAGAATAGCGGCGAGGCATTGGTTCGTTGTCTCCTCGCCGTTTGCTCAATTGACAGCCTCCTGTCAGAATGCACGTGCCTGCACCTTGAAAGGTTTCAGCTGAAACGAGGTCCTGTGTATTTCTGAAACCAGGCGCTCATGTCTGTACAGGTCCATGACCGCGCTTTAACCGCGTCACCAACAGTCCGGAGATGGTGGCATTTGTCTGAATGCTGTGTGACCCTTTTTGCGGTGGTCGATTGATAGGGCCACTCCCTGCTAGCATGAATGTTCTTGCCTCTCCGATGGGGATCTAAACAGCTTGCTGTTCCGCCTCATCAACGAGCGCATGATGAGGAATGTTGGACCAGTCTGCATTTTTGATATGTACACTGGACGAGCTTGGTCGCCGCAATCTTCATCAACCTCTTGTTATCAATGACGTAATAATAGGCCTCTCGATTTCCCTTCAACACCATTGAACTAGCACCGGTAGTATCAGGACGTAAAATCAGTGGCGTATTTTGCACTTGACAGGCATATTTGAATCATGTTTGAGTCTTTTGATGTTTTTCTGTGTGATAATGGACACAGCCTTTGCGTTCTGGAATGTAGCGGACTTAAGTGGATGGTTTATTTTTGAAACCTGTCTTTTCTTGCTCGTTAAGTGGTTTTACCTCTCAATATGCAAGCTATAAAATGCTTCATACATGATCTTCTCTCTTCCCTCTATTACACTCATGTCCTCTCCCCCTCTTCTGGCATCCCTTAATCCGAGTCTGCTCGTGGGTCCCGCGGAAGCGGGTATTCTCGCGAATGCATTTTTGACGGGTGCATTCTTCGTGCAGTCCTACATCTACTTCACCAAGTTCTCCGAGGACAAGTGGCCATTCAAAGTGGTTGTGCGTGTCTCTTTAGTGTATGTAAAGCTAATCGCGCTTATCTGTACCACACGCTCAAGGCACTCACTCTTATGTGGGCTTATTGTATTCTTTTATGACACGTTTTGTCTAAGTTGCATTATATTACATTCCAGGGTCCTTCAGCTGGCGCATTTCGTGAGCGAGTGTGCAGTCCTATAGGACATGACAATCGTTACAATGGAGTCCCCACCGGAGCTTCTGATGATGACGAAGTCAATGATCGCCGTTATGCTTGTGACAACTTTTGTGGGGTGTATTGTACAGGCGCGTGGCATTTTCTCAGAGGCTTGCTAATTACCTATGTTTCTGATGGTATTTGCAGGTATTTTTTGTCTATCGTCTTTGGAGGATATCAGATAAAGCACGGCTATCCACAATATGCGGCATATGCCTTGTATGTCTGAGACAAGCGCCGTCCTACATTGTCATAGTCAAAGCTTTCGCCATCCCAGAAGCCATGGAGTACTGGCCTCGAGAACGCACCACGCTAATCCTCGTCTTTGTGTCAATTTTTGTCTCCGATGTATGGATTTCCTCAACAATTGCATTTTATCTTTGGACCAAGCGAAAAGGAGGCAACTTCGCGACGTACGTAGCCATTGGGTCTCAGCTGAGACAGCGGGATGACAGTGCTAATATTTTGCAGAACCTTACACATTTTTGATCGACTTATCCTGTGGACTATCGGTGAGCTCTATTATTCAAATGAACTTGCACCATAGATCTCTTACATGGTGTTCAGAAACTGGTGTTTGTATCTGGTAATTCTGATTGACGCGTCATGGGTTGATTTCGGGTGCTAATATGGCCTAGCGTGACATCTTCCCTCATCCTCATACTCGTAAGCACCGCATCACGACGTCATTAATACTTCGGTGTGTGTTGACGGGACGACACTCGGCAGATGCTGGCGCAACCTAGTAACTGTGAGCGATGCCATTGGTGCCCTGCTTCAACATCTCAGCAATAAAAACAGACATATGGATGTCCGTGTATACGGTCCTCGGCTCTGGTTCGTTGTCGCATTTCCGTGACGAAAGCAAGAATCAGTCTGACAATCCCTCAATTTAGTATACGCTAACGCACTCATGGCATCGTCCGTTATATTTCTTCTTCTTTTCCGCTCTAAGTTTCTGACGAATCGTAGACTGAATGGACGCTGGATACTCCAGCGCAGTGGTCACGTAGCAATTTACAGACAGGGTTCCAATGCCTCTGCGGCCATCACAGATAAGGTTTTGATGAATCCCAACAAGGTGCGCCAAATGATGTATTTAAACGGCTGGAATCAATCTAAGAGTGACTGAACACAGCGTACCTTGAACGAAACTCGGTGTGAGCCAGAAGTATATTATCCAGAGTCCGTGTAGCGTTGTTAAGAGAATTTCTAATAGGTCCCGTGTTACACAAGATGATTACTTTTATCTGATAGTTCTATTTTCGAGGGCAGCTTGCTAGTGTTCAACGTGGTCATAAGCCATTATGAAAGAGCTCTGTTAAATATTTATTTCGACTATCCAAATGGTGTACAGCAACCGGGATCTTCACCTAGCTCCTCGAACCCGTTTTTAATCGATCTTATTGTTTTACATTATTCGTAAGGCACGCGACAGTGGTGCAATTTACGTCTCAGTGATCATAGCACCAAGTTTCTGGTCCTAGTTAACAAGATTGAACCTTCCCCACGTCTGCCACACATCCATCAGAGATCCGGCCTTCACCACTCTTTGTCAAGATGAGATCACGTTCGCAATCACTCCCGCGCTACCTCTCCACGCTTCAATGGGTCATGGTTTACTATATAGCGGTCTCAGAGTGTGATTCATGATAGATTGAAGGAAATGACGCACACTACTTCACGCTTCCTATCCTGCGTCACAGCGCTTGCCTATCCCCGACCTGCGTCAAACCTGCAAATCAAGGATTCTGATCCGAGGCAGCTGTACGATGAGTGTCTCGTTAGGATTAATAAGGCACCGCTTGAAGGACATTGTTATGTGGTTTGACGGGTCTAGAGTCCTTTCACGCGGCCCATGGGGGTCGCCGAGAACGTCAGGTATCTCAGGATGCCTCGTGAAGGTCCGTGTGAGGTCCGGCCACTCATGAACATGGTCTTCTGCGCACGAGTGCCGAGCTTCATACCGAGGCTCTAACATAAATATGTCGGGATGGAACTCTATTTTCGCCCAGTGTGGTCCAAGATCTTGTGGTTGATCCGAGGGAACAGAGTAGGAAAGCGACCATGGGATAGGGGCCGTGCACCGCCCAAATTCGAGAAGAATAGAGATGGGTTCGCGGATATGCCGAAATAGAAGTGAAATCGGAGGAGTGCCGTTCCAGGGACCTTGGATAGATTTTATTGAAAAAAGAGACATTTGGCACTCCTCGATCCTCTCTATGTCACGCCGTGGAAAGCGGAACGGCGTAGAGATAGAGTGGTTGATGGGAAGACAGAATTTGAACGTACTGGGTGGGGGACGGTGAGTGATGAAGATCTCTCGCCATACCATGTTCACTGCCATCCCACCATACATTGGGCGGTCTACGTTATAACCAAGACAGGAAAGGCGGGCTAGCTTCCTTGATTCACCGCAGTTTACGCCGCAGTAATAGAGTGGTCTCTCCGGGTCGGAAGCGCCAAGATGGCGGCTAAGGAAGAGTCCAATGGTTTCCCCATCAGCTCTCGAACAGCAGAGAGCAGCGATTATGGTTTGGCCCGCTGACTCAAAGACTGGGACGCGTGCTCGAACACCGTAGGGAGTGATGAAAAAGGACGGAATGCCACCATCCTTTTCCGAGTCAGGATCGAACTCGATAAGTCCTCCATCCTCGAGCTTATGGGGGGATTGAATGCGTCAAATACAGGTGCATTGTGAATGCGTTGGAAACTCACTTTGGGTCGAATCACCGTAATTGATCCTGGTGTGCAAATTGGAGTTGGAGGCGTGAAAAAGATGTCACCGCAGTTCTCAAAGTCGGATGGGGAGCCTGCCATGAGCCATGCCGTCGGCCTGGCGAGATTGGAGTATCCATCAAGTTTGGGAGTATCGGGTGACTGAGGCCCCCAGGCAAAGAGAGACGGATCGATTGACGTCCGCATAATCTCTTCCTGAAGCCGCTGGAAAGCCTGCGGCCCTTCCCCATACAGAATTGGTAAGCTGATACCAAAAATCCCAAGGAGAGAGTACGCCCTATCCTCCATTCGCGTCGTTTCTCGCCTAGCTGCCCATGACATCCGTTGCGCAACACTGATCCTGCCTAAGCTTATCTCCTTCCGCAAGACATGCTCCGGAATTTTCGTTATCTCTGTCACCGACGACGCTAGCTCTGCCCTGCCACCAATCATCTCCCAGTCCGCAGACACGAAGATGAGGAGATCGGGAGCGATGAGCTCCTGTAAGGTCCAACCACGCGTGTACCAACGACTTGCCCGGAACTTGGTGTCTAGGTCGGGCGCGTCACTTGGGACATCTTGAAGGTAGGCATAGCAAATATCGGCTTGAGAGTACCAGAGGAACATCGAATTGATCGCCTCGGATAGCTCTGCGCTGCTACTCTTGTCGATGCAGCACGTGTCGTTCCACACCCACTTGTAGCCATGGCGCTCGGCGAGGAGACAGCACTCACGAATCTTAGCGGACACGAGATCCCTGGGATTTCGACCGTCCTCTTCAGCGCTTTTGCGAATGGCCTGAACGTCTTGAAACGACTGCTCGTTATCGCCCCATACGTGAGAGAGGATGGCATATCCTCCATTGACGCGATTTGGGGAGACGAAGAAGTGGAGTTCGGCGCGATCTGTACTGAGCAACCACATCCGTTCGTGCACCTGACTGTATATTTGTTCTGAGCCCAAATGTTGAGATTCGACCACTTGGACATACCTTGGAAGGACGGATAGAAGGTTCGGTGACTTGAAGACGCTGCTGGTGACGGCGAAAGGTGCGATAATCAAACAGGGACGGGCGCTTAAGGCACGATCGTGCCCGTTACCTTTATATCCTAGTCTCCGGATGCTAAGTATAGGTAGTTCGAAGTGTCGTAGCACTACAATATCGGAATGAACCCTAATATCAAGAACAACTGTCTTCTGATACAGGGTCTGCCTTGGGGAGACTACAAATGAACGTTTGAACGTTGACAGAGGGTCGACACGATGAGCGGAGATTAACTAGATAAGCCATCGCGATTATAATTCTGCTCATGGTCCTTTAATTAGGTACTTCGAGACTTGTACGAGATAGTTGTTTAGCGTCCCTGTATAAGTAGCGCGTATCACGTGGGCTAAGTGTCGTAACTTCAGGTAGTGATGGTATATTCGTGATTTGAAACGGACCATATAAGCTTATGTGTTAGTTATAGTAGGGGTGATATGAACAGGGGAGAAGTAGCCTAGATCACAAGGAAGAGTAGGTGGAATGATGGAAGAGAAGTATAGTAATAAGGAAAGCATACTGGGACTTTTGTGATGCGCGCGGATCTGGGGTGGAGTCCGACTGGCTTACTGGGGATTCTTTCATGAATGCGTTAGAGGCACGGAGGAAAAGCTCGAGTCCACGAAGCCCTGCCTTCTCGCCAAGTATGTCCCTGAGCGGTATATCTTTGCCGCCTTTCTGGAGGTGGTGGCGGGCTGACTCGTAGATGGGGCAGTCGCCCAGGATGTGTGCGCGATTTTGTTTGGGGGCGATAGTTCTGCTTGGTACCCCGGGTCAAATGATCACGGTTATAATCTTGTTGGAGGAGCGCTCACTTTCCTCGTCAGCCTCACCGCTATTGTCCCCGTCTTTCCAAGACACGACACCTTCGACCTCCGTCTTCCTAATATCCACGTCCTCGCGTATCACCCCCTCTCTCCCACCACCAGACGGATCCTTTGCGTTCGTCCTCATAAGCGTAGCACCGGTATTCGAGGTATCCACATGGTACCTGCCCTCGAACGCAGTGTTTAATGTGACAGAGCTAGAGTCGATGGTTTTCTGCGCTACGACGTCGAGATGAGAGTCAACCGGCAACGAGCCAAAGCTGAGCGCGAGGCTGCCATTTCGACATCCGAGTATCAACATTGAACGAGCCGCCGCTGTTCGGTGTGTCGGCGAACCTCGCCAGGTTGATGCACGGAGCTGTGGAGAGACGCTCCCATTTTTAGTAGACGCGCGACAAAAGCCCGGGAAAGCACAGCTCACCCATTGCTCGTCGTCGCTCCACGGCGGGCGCGGTGAACCAGGACAATCAATAAGTCGGCATTACCCTCGCGTCGACCCCAAAGCTGTAGACTCTCAGATCAATATTGTCGAAGACAATTACGTGACCAATATCCTCGACTGTGAGCGCATAGTTGGGCATGCGCGTCTCGATCCCCTCGATCAACTTCACCTGCGGGGAGAGCGATCTCAGCGTTCAACCACACCGACCCACGGGATTTACAGCGCTAGCTATCTGGAGTCTAAAGACATCGTTTCGGTGAGCTTCATCTTCCGTATAACCTGCCACCACGCGGATCTACATACACTCGGGTTATCAAGAAGCTCGTCTTGGTCGTACGAATCCTCGTTGGTGAACCTCCACGTATTAGGGAACAACCCTCGACCACTCGCCCTGGTTGGAGCCGCGGCCGGAGGCGTGGAGCGCCTTAGCATCTCCGGGTGAGATCCGAAATGTGGAGTGCGCCTTCTGGGGGAGCCTACGCACACGCGGCCAATGCTCGCAGGCGGTTGTGGCGACGAGGTAATTTTGAGTTCTGCCATCGGACAAGGGGGTCAGACGAATTCTTGCTCGAATGAAAACTGACTGATTCTGTGAGCTTATCAGTCAGGTCCCCGGCGTTAACTGACGGACATGAAGCTCACCCTTCCGTCCAAGAGGATGCGTCTAGGTGAGGGATACGGAGAAAAACATTACTAGGCTAGGAGGATTTGGGAGACGCAGGCAACAGACCCGGGGCCAACGATAAACAGTCCCTCGTTGATCGTGCGAAGTGATGAAACATGTGGCCGCAGCCTCCGGGATGTTGATTTGGCGCTAGAAATGCTATATGGCACATTCGGCTTGCGAGGATGCTTATAAACACTGCTACAATGCCCATTGGGCCTGCAGCGCTTCAGATGCTCGGTAGACGCGAACCCTTCTACTGTGCCTTGGCAAGGCACACGATGAAACAGTGGAGCCTTGATCAAGCGCCGAGGTGTGGTCTGCACAGATCGAGACGGCGCCAAGCGCTCGCGGTAGCCAAAGACGAAGCAGGATTGGAGGGCACTGGATGAGGCTGAGAACGCTGATATTGAGATTACTATAACACAGACATTATTGAAACAGTGATTGTTCTCTACGACCGTCGCTCTTCTCATATCGATATTCCCCATGCATACAAAGCGGTTGTCGGGTTTATTAGAATGTGCTTCCTTCCGGCGGCTGAGGAAGCTTCCGGTTGTTGAACGAGGCCATCTCCCTGAAGGCAGTGCCGAGGATGACGAATGCCAAAAGGCAAAACCAGAAGGAGAAACGTCGACGTTAGTTTATTCGGAATGGGATAGTTATACTAGCCGAAGCCAGGTCGAGTTGAGGAGGCGTACCTTCTAATCTCTACCAAAACAGTCTCCATCGTGCTATTCCTATTCCAATGAGCGAGGACGGGCAGCTTGGTGACGTCGACCTTGCCATCCGTTTGGCTGACGAAAGGGAGGTTGACGCGGGAGATGAACTGGATGACGGGTGGCTCGTCGGGGTAGTTGTCGCCGCACGTTATCTTGAGGCTGTAAATGCGGTTCTCGTGCACGGTCTAGACGGCACAGGGAGAGATCGTGTGAGTGCGATCTTGGTGGGAACGAGTGGGAGGAGATCGTACATGTCCTGGACCGATGACGGTGCCGTTCCAGTGGCTCATCATGATATCGTCGCCATCCTCGAGACCGTAGGAGCACGAGCCGTCGCCGATGCCCTTTTCGCCCTTCTCAAGCTCTTCCAGTAGACGGAAGTTGCGTGGAACTGCAAGAACCGAGACGCAGATGATCAGTCACATATATAACGTAGAAAGTAGACAGAAACATACTCTTGGCCATTGTGGTAGGAGCGAGCTTGAGACGGAGGAAGAGAGGGAGGAGGATGAGTTGGGTTGGGCGGCGTGCGTGACTGCACAGCCTCCGGGTGCATCAGCATCATCCGCTGGTCCCCTTAACCTTGTACACCCACTCCCAGACGCGCAGCAGCGCTCTTTCCTCTTTCCTACTCCTTTCTTTTTATTGACAGACATGTTCAAAAGCGGCCAAACGAATCCTTACGATGAGCTTGTCGGTGAGCACCCAATCCACACAGCTTGTTGCACGGCAGAGATATTGAATGGCGCCGCTATCGTTAGTCAAGGCCACCGATGAGAACCTTACAGGCGAGAACTGGGAGATTATAATAACACTGTGCGACAAAGTAGCGGATGAAGGCGAAGCAGGGTATGTCGTCGCTCCCCAGACCGTACTCGCGCAGGCTGTTGACCTTCTCCCCCAGCGCTCGCAACGTCGTCGCCGCACTGCTCAAGAGGCTAACGCACCGCACGCCCAATGTCCAACTCTACTCTCTCTCGCTCTCAGAGTCACTCTCCAAGAATTGCGGCGTCCAGCTTCACCGCGAGCTTGCATCCCGCGCGTTCACGCAGGCTCTGGAGAAGCTCATCACCGATCGGGTACGTCCCATTTGCCCTCGATGCCTCCGCAGCCGTTTCGCTGACGCATACATCCTCTCATATACCCAATAGATGACGCACGACAAGGTCAAGAAGCGCGCGTTGATGCTCATCGCGATGTGGACAGCCGACTTTGAGAGCGATCCGTCGCTAGGCGTCATGGAGGAGTGTTACAACAATCTCAAAGCGAAGAGTACGTCATTTTCCTGTAGCTGGCGAACATCCTCGTTGAGCATGATTCATCCACTGTACAGACTACAAGTTCGAAGCACCCGATGAACCACCTCCGCCCGCCGTGGACGATGAAGTCCGTCGGCGCGAGGAAGAAGAACTGCAGCGCGTCCTCGAGATGTCCATGCACGACAAGGGTGGTCGCGGGCAGTACGCCGCGTACGACGCCGGTGGTGCGGGAAGTTCTTCAGCTGCAGGAAGCTCCAGTGTGCCTGCACCCGGGTACACTCCGGCAACGACCTCGTCGAGCGCAGCGGGTCAATCGGCGTATGCTGGCGGATACACCCCCGCAGCCCCTGCAGCCGCACGATCGCCCTCGCCCAAAGCGCAGCCGCAGGCAGCAGTGTCCACAGCATCCTTCCCAACGACATCCACCACCACGACATCTCCATCCGCGACCCAGCAACAGCCCCCCGCCGCAGGAGCACCCTCCGGCTCTGTCGTCTCCCGCGTGCGTGCGCTGTACACGTTCGAAGCCACCGAGCCTGGCGAGCTCCCGTTCGACAAGGGCGACATCATCAAGGTCGTCGACCGCGGGTACAAGGACTGGTGGCGCGGCCAGTTCAAGGGCCGCACGGGCATCTTTCCCGTCAACTACGTTGAGGCGATGCCGGAGCCGACGCCCGTGGAGCTCGCGCGGGAGGCGGAGCAGGAGGCGGCGGTGTTTTCGCAGGCGGCGAATGTGGATCGCTTGTTGACGATGCTGAGGGGGATGGATCCGGCGAGCGATAATTTGGCGGATAATGAGGAGGTGCAGGTGAGTTTTTAGTCGTGGACGTGTGACAGGCTTTGGAATGGGCTGACAAGTGATGCTGCAGGAGTTGTATCGGTCTTGCATGTCGCTGAGGCCGAAGATTGTCAAGCTGATTGATAAGTATAGTCAGAAGAGAGGTTCGTCGTTCCGTTCCTGTTATTCTGCAGGCCTTTTCTTACTACCTTTCAGCCGACTTGATCTCGATGAACGAAAGCTTCGTCAGGGCACGGACAATATTCGATCAGATGATGGAAGAGTCGCTCGCCCGGCACTCAGCCAGTGAGTCTTTCGTATGAGGCCTACAATATAGTTTGCACTAAACATCTTTGCCTCAGTGTCCTACGACCCGCAACCGCCACCAGACTTCCGCCGCCGCCAGTCGCAGTTCCCCGTACAAGCACGTCCCGAGTCCCGCATTCCGCAGGACTTCTACGGCTACCAGGGATACGATCCTTCTCAGCCCCAGTCTCAACAGCCCGGGCCTGTGTACGGTGCGTTCCCGACGTCTGGTGGTGGGTACCCGCAGGGGCAGCAAGGTCCTGGTCCTTACGGCGAGCCTGCGCCGGGTGGGTACGGACAGCGTCCTGGCCCTGGGCAAGCGGGGTATGGGCAGCCGCAGCCGCAGCCTGGGCAGAGGCCGTATGGTACGCAGACGCCGACACCTGGCGCGGGCCCGCAGCCACAGGGTCCTTATGGGCAGTCTCCTCAGCAGCAGCAGCAGCAGCAGCAGCAGCAGCAGCAGCAGCAGCCGTATGGTGCGCCGACGCCAACGCCGGGTCCTTATGGGCAGTCGCCTCAGCAGGAGCCGTATGGGCAGCCGCAGGGTCAGCCTCAGCCCCAGCAAGGCCAGCCTCAGCCCCAGCCCCAGCCACAAGGCCAACCCCAAGGCCAATCTCAGCCTCAGCCTCGGCCTCGGCCTCAAGGGCAAGGTCAGAGTCCGCCGCTCCAGCAGAGCGGGCCGCCGTACGTTTTCGACCCGAACGGGACGTATGCGGACCCGAACGTGCAGGCGTGGGCGCAGTACTATGCCAAGGGCGGCACGGAGCTCGCGGGTGCTGTGTACTTTATCAGTGTGCCTGGTGTAACGGAGGGGCCGGGCGGTCCTGCAGGTGCAGTCGGACAGGGGCAGGGGCAGCCTCAAAGTCCAGGTCAAGGTCAAGGTCAGCAGGAAGGACAAGGCCAATCTCAGGCGCAGTATGGGCAAATTCAGCAGCAGCCACAGCCTCAACCTCAGCAAAATGGCCAGCCGAACCCGTATGGTTTGCCGCAGAACCAGAACCAGGGCCAGTATGGGCAGCCTCTGCAGGATGGGCAGCAGAGTCCATATGGGCTGCCGCAGTCGCAGCCTGAGGATGGTCAGCAACAGCAGCAGCAGCAGATGTACGGCCAGCAACTGTACGGCGCCCAGCCTCAGCCTCAGCCCGGCGCGCCTGGCTCGCCCACCTCGCCTCGTTCTCATCCGCAAGCGCACTCTCAGACCAGTCTCGGGCCTGCCGGACGCCCGCTCTCGATGCACGCGCAGAGCCTAGGTCCAGGTTCTGACTCGTTCTCGTCGATCAATCTCGGGGAGTACGCCTCTCCCGCCGCGTCGGCGCCGGGAGCGAGCCCGTACGCCACTGCGCCCGCAGCTCATGCGCAAGCGTACCAGCACCAACAGTCGGTCGGGTCCGCGTCGTCGCTTCCTCTTGCGCCTGGGCCTGGTGTCGGCTCCACGTCACCTACGGGGTCGCCTCCGTGGGCGCAACAGCAGCGTACGCACCCGGAGCAAGCTCCCAGCCCCGTTGCATCGCTGCACAGTCTGAACAGGCGTCCGACGGCGGGGAGCATGAGCGCGCTGACAGGCGCTGTCGGCGGGCCGCAGCCATACGGACCTGGACAGGGGCCGTACGGCGCAGCGCAGATTCAGAGCGCGGGGTCGCCCGCACCTGCACTGTCGATGCAGCCCGGTTTGTACGGCGCGGGTGCAGCACCGGGTGGGTATCAGGGGCAGGGTGAGGAGAGCACGCCGACGCCGGTGGCGGGGACGTATGATCCTGCGGCGGCGTATGGGGTGCCGTCGCACTCTCAGGGTGTGGCGCCTGCACAGGGGCAGTATGGTGCGGATGCGAATGGGGTGCAGCATCAGTTTTCGAATATGGATTTGAATGCTGGTGGAGCGGTGTCGGGTCAGGTGCATGGGCATGAGCAGGGTCAGGGTCAGGAAGGGTATGCGGGGCAGCAGCCTCAGATTGTTTGAGCTTGGGATGTCTTGGTTTGGAGTGGGGAGTTGGTAGGTAGTGCGATTGGATGGGTGTGAGCGGACTCGGAAGGATTGTGGTTGCGCACAAACTAACGTTTTTCTGTGTTTTCTGCTTTTAACGTATTGTGTTTGTATTTTGCTATTTAACACACGAGTTTTCTGAGTGTCTGTTCACTTACATATACACCGTTTGCTTGTTCTTGAACCTGGGTGCCTGCAGGTAAGCTTGCCGCAGCACTGGGGCGCCCAATGAGACGCGTGTGGTGTCCGCCGCACGTGACCCTGACCTCGAGGACCACCTTTGCTTCTTCCCGTCATTGGCGTCATGGCTCTTCCTACGAACGGACGCGTTATCGTCGACACGACTGCTGGAGAGATCGACATCGAGCTGTGGTCGAAGGTGTGCTTCTCCCTTACAGCGTTTCTCAGTATGGTGTAACAACCGCTGTGCGCAGGAAGCTCCGAAGGCATGTCGGAATTTTATTGCGCTTGCGCTCGAGGGTGCGTCTTCTCCACTGCTCGTGCGCGTTTATGTTCTGGAGCTGAATCGTGGGGTGGGTGTGGGCTGGATAGGGTACTACGACGGGGTCATATTTCACCGGTACGTACTTTCTCCCGCTTCTGTCTACCGCCTACTCGCGAATGGCCGGCGCTAACGGTATACGTACGGCCGGGTCATGCAGAATCGTGCCCAACTTCCTCGTGCAGACGGGCGACAGGACGGGCACAGGCGCGGGCGGCGAGTCGTTCTACGGCGGTGCGCGTTCTGTCCCTTCTCCCGTGCCACCGTGTGCTGACACGCTTTTATATTAGAGCCGTTCGAGGACGAGGTGCATCCGCGGCTCAAGTTCACGCATCGCGGGCTGGTGGGGATGGCGAACGGGGGTGCGAAGCATTCGAATGATTCGCAGTTTTTTATCACGCTTGGTGTGTGTCTCTTTTTCCCTCTCTCCTTAATTGGGATGCGGGCAGCTTACGCGGAGAGGTGGATAGATAGGGCGGACGAGCTGAACGGGAAGCATACGCTGTTTGGAAGGTGTGTGGGGGATACGCTGTACAGTGCGTGGGTTTGTGCGTTTATCCTCAAGGGTGTGGGCTGATGAGAATGGGTGGTAGATGTTTTGAAGATTGGCGAATCAGGTGCGTCTTTCTTGCATCCTCTTCGTCCCAATGCTTACACACTATACTATTGGCACATAGAGATTGGAAAGGACGAGCGCCCCGTCTAGTACGCCCTCTCCTCTCCTCTCCTGCTTTCCTTGTTTATCCATAACTGTCCACAGCCCGCCAAAGATCAAGACCGTCCGGATCGTCGACAACCCTTTCGACGACATCGTACCGCGCATCACGGCCGCGGAGAAGCGCGCGCAGCACCGGGCGCGCGAGCAGGCGCAGAAGGAGCGGGAGGAGGAGGTACGCCTGCGGGGGGCGAAGAAGTGCGTGTTCTCCCTCTGCTTCCTGACCGCGACCCCACTCTGTTTTTCGTGTTTTGTGCTGATGGAGGAGGCGACAGGAACGTGAAGCTGCTGAGCTTTGGTGCGGACGAGGGGGCCGAGGAGGAGGAGGAGCCTGTGGTGTTTAAGAAGAAGAATATTGCAAGGCCGGATTGTGTGTACTCGACTTTTGCGCTTTTCTTTGCTCGTGCTGACAGCATTATGGTGCGGTGTAGTGGTAGAGGACCCGACGGCTAATCAGCTACCAGACTCGTTGCTTCCCCCACAGCCAAAGAAGCGGAAGACGGAGAGAGAGACATCAGAGGATGTGACACCTAAGGTACACACGCTGTGTAGTATGCATTCACGTACTCATTAGCCTCAGGCGAAAAAGTCCTCCGAGAAAGACACCGCCGACCTCGCCAAAATCCGCGCAGAACACGCCGCCTCGAAAGCGTCCGTGCTCTCCGCGCGGCAAACGGAGATCGAGCGGATGGAGGCGGACATCCGCAAGCTCTCGAAGCGCCAGTCCGGCGAGGACTCGGACGAGGAGCGGCGGCGCAAGAAGGGGAAGAGCAAGTCGTATCTCGAGGAGGAGCTCGCGAAGTACGCGAAGAACCGGGGTGTGTATGCGAAGAGTGGGGGTAAGGGCGGGAATGGGAGCGGGAAGAAGGGGAGGAAGAACGACGATGCGAATGTGCTTGCTGCGCTGAACAGTTTTAGGGGGATGTTGCAGGCGAGCGCGTCATCGTGGCGGGATGCGGAGGACGATGAAGAAGGCGCGGGGATGGACGTGGACGACGCACAGCCGAAGGAGGGTGGGGGAGAGGAGGACGCGGGGGTGGAGGTGGACGACGATCGCGGGTTTTTGAATCATGCGCTGCATTTTGCAAAGGACGATGGGGAGGAGACGAGGAAGGCGGAGCGGGACTATGAGGTGATTGATCCGCGGCAGAGGGGCGCGAGGGCGCGGGAGGAGGAGAGGGAACGGAAGAGGGTGGAGAAGGCGGGCAGGGATCGGGGGAGGGGTGGGAGGAGGAGATAGCGCTGTGGTCATGCTCTACGGCCAGATGGTGAATCTGGTTCTGTTCCTGCGTGTACTTTCACCACACGGACTTTGACTTGCTATTGCAGACTAACTCATCATCGGCATGCCTCAGAGGTGTCGACGAGCTCATTCGAGACGAAATGAGCAGTTAGAAATACGCCTAGGTGAAACATCCGCGGGTTTTCATTTTGAGGACATAGCATGTTGAGCTATAAGTGGCTAGCATGAAATTACCTCGAGGGAAACATGTTGCGATCACCGAGAGCCAAACGTTGTTTCAAGTCATTTACCGGCTTAGTCTTTCTGTTATTTCCCGGCTGGCTAGGGCCGACAGTAGCCCTTGCCCAGGCCGTGAAAGAAATGTGGAATAGTGGAAAGGGCGCAGTGTCCCCAATTTGGAGGAAGGCTGGGTTGACTTGTGTTTGTTCTGCCACCGCCGGCCGGGTGACAAGTGACTGGACCGCACCGCACCGCTTTCCTCCCCACCCGTATCCTCTGACAGACAACCCCTCCCTTCCCTTCTCCTCCCCTCCCCTCGCCGGCCCCTCCCTTTCTCGCCCCCTACTCACAGCCCTCTAACACAACATGGCAAGCAAGGCCGCACAGAAACGCGTATGTCCCACCCTCTCTATATGTCAGCCTCAGCCTCACCTGCAGATGACATGCCATGTTTGTCGAAAACCGCAATCCAGCTCACCAAAGAGTACATCAACATGCAGAGGGAACCCCCGCCCTTCGTATGGGCCGTCCCAGACGAGAAGAACATCCTCATATGTCAGTCCTTCCCCCGCTCCTCTCCCCTCTCGTTTCTGACCAGCTTTGTGTGGTACAGGGAATTATCTTATCGTACGCCCGTTTCCTACCTCGAACCAAGACGCCTTTCCATGTGCTCAACGACGCCACCCTTCCCCTTCTCTAGCGCGGACCCCCTGATTCGCCATTCGCGGGTGGAATGTACCACGGCGTGTTGCTCTTTCCCTCCGAGTACCCGTTCAGGCCACCCGGCATCAAGGTTCGTCATCCCCCCGCCTCATCTTCCTTCTCATCGTATATCTCGTGCGCTATTGCGTTCCGATGTGCTTACTGGTCCTATCGCTGCAGATGCTCACCCCCTCGGGCCGCTTCCAACCAGACAAGAAGATTTGTTTCTCCATGTCCGATTTCCACCCCGGATCAGTCCGTCCTCTCAGCCGTCTACTCGCTTTTGGTGCTTACTTTTCGCTTTAGTGGAATCCTGCATGGAGTGTGGCGACGATGTGAGTAACCACTCTCTCCCCCTCCATTCCCTCGATCGATGGGACGGCGACGGCGGACATCTCTCCATCTCCGGGCCTCATCCATCTATCCAAACGATCCCGGCTGTTAGGCTATGTGGGGTACAGCTCGGAACGCACAATCGCAATCAGTGATGGACATTGTCCAAGCATCCCTTGTTCCCTTGCCTCTTTTTTCTCTCTCCTCGCCTCGGATCCGATCGTCGTCGTCCGTTCAAGTCCCCGGCCTCCCGCTCCCACACACACGCACCAGTGCTAGTGCTAATCCTACCTGCTGTGCTGACCTTTCCCCCTTTACAGATTAACGGGATTGCTGTCGTTTATGCTCTCGGACGAGATGACGACGGGATCGGTGACGTCGCCCGACTCGCACAAGCGCTCGCTCGCCGCGCGCAGTCACGCGTGGAATCTAGGGCAACCACGCTATAGAGATGCGTTCCCTGAGGTGAGTTCCTTTGTCCTTTGTTCTTTGTTGTCTGTGATCATCACCATCTGTCGAATTGCACCGCGTCGGGGCTTGCTTTGTTCCCCGGTCGGGAACCATCCTTGTATTCATGGCACCGATTTGTTGATTATGATTGACGAGGCGATGGTGCTGACTGTATCGATCATGCTACAGTACTGTGGTCCCACGCCGCGAGACCTGCCTAACATGGGCGAGAAGGAGCGCGGGAAGCCCGACGATGCTAAACCCGCCGCCGCCGCCACTCCTGCAACTGCAGCGCCTGGCTCAACTTCGGTATCTATCTCGTCATCAAGCGCTGCACCGTCTGCGTCGCTTATGAGGCGGGCAGCAGCCATGAACGACGGATCCGGCGCACGAACGACACAGCCACATCCAACGACGGCGATGGCTACTTCGGCATCCGGTGCGAATGGCGGGGAGCACGTTCCGGTCGTGGGCGTGATCAATGGGGGCGTTGTGCCCGGGACCGTGGGTCTGGCGGTGGGGGCGGGTGTGAATGGCATTAACGGAACAGGAACGACGAAGGGGACGGTGCCGGGTGTTGCGGGCGCGGGCGCGGCGGCGGGGTGGGCGGCGTCGTGGCGCCAGGTGATTTGGGAGAAGTGGAGGTGGGGGGTGTTGATTGCGTTTGCGGTTGTTGTGTCGAGGCTTTCGACGGGGTCTTGAGTGTGGGTGTGGGGAGTAGAGTTAGTCTGGGTTCTCTTTCGCCCGCACGACCCCTTGCCCACCCGGGTCTCTTTGTGGTGTTCTCCTGCTTAGCCTCTGCGGTCGTTTGGGGTTTTGGAGGGGTGTACGCGAAGATACAGGGGGTAGGGGGTAGGGTGGAGCTAAAGCCGTATAATCGTTCGTTTTGACAGCAATTGGATATCCGTTTTTTGTTTGAGAGTTTTTATACAGGCTTTGGCGCCGTTTCTGATCTGTTCTTTGTTTTCTCTGTTCTTTGTGATGTTCTTTGTGATGTTTTCTGATTTCTAGCATACGAGTACGTAATACTAAATATGACTAGGTCAATCCGCCTTTCGTGATTGAGGTGTCGTAATGCTGTGGTCGTTGTGGACTTTGGAAAGTCGGGGTTGTGCTTCGCGAGGAGTCCTAGTCAGCGAGGGAGTCCTCGGACGGAAAACGCCGGATGGCCTTCCCACTCGTCGCTTCTTCACACTTACAATTGGGTGCCACAGGATTTGCTGCCCTGCGCACGACCACATGGTTCCCTGCTACTGTTGTTCGCATGGACGCGACAAAGTTAAGCTTATCGTTGGCGCTAGGACTGCCTCGCTGGGGCGTGTCCTGTGAAGACGACGGACGGTAGTTGCGGTGTTCTCTCTTGCCCATCCGCTACTTGAATTTGCGCTTTGCCATGGCTATCGAGTCGGCGCATCTCCCGTTGGCAGACTGTGAGAAGGTCTCCGAGACGAAGCAGAACGTTGACGATCCGCGCGCGCTCGAGTCTCAGAACGTTCAGGCTTCCTATACTGATGTCCCGGGTCAGCCTGCATGGACCGCATGGAGAGGCGTCTGCACACAGCAATCGACCAAAGCCAGGCTGTTAAGAGCCCTAGGCGCAGGGCTGGGCGTGTACCTCCTCCTCCACGCCTTCAACTTCGCTGTTCTGACGCTCGCAGTCGACGGAGGGGTGAGCGCGGCTCAACCGTAGACTATGACCGTCGAGCTAACACAACGAAAGCCGCATCTCAGCCTCCCCGAGCTTCAAGGCGCCGCGCGCCCCCGCCCGGCCGACGGCAAGGTACACAGCTGCCTCGGCGCCGCGAGCGCATGGGAGCACGTCCCGCGCATGCCTGGGTTCCCGGCGAACGCGCACGCTACGTTCCGAGTCCCGCTCGATGACGCGGAGGCGCTGTATGTGTTCAGCCGCGGGAAGAACCAGGACGGGTGGCTGCGGATCGTGCACGAGGATAGGCTTGTGGACGGGTATGCGGAGGTGGTGGTTGAGGCGTCGTATGAGCACGAGGGGGTGCTTGATAGCTCGAGCGTGTGTTATCTCGAGAGGGAAGCGGGGGAGCGCGGGGTTGGGTTGATGGTGCGTGTGTTTGGTGGGAGGCTGTGGAAGGCGACGCTCATTGAAGTGATCGCCTCAGACTCCGGATGGTTGGTCCAGTGAGCCCCACGGGACGGTGTGGTTCCAGGTCAAGGTCGCTCTCCCCGCAGGTGTTGAAGTCAGGAGGCTCGAAGCGCATATGTCCAACTATGCGATTACGGTCGAGGACACGCGTGATACTATCGTGTTCGACGATGTCGATCTGAAAACCTCCAACTTCGGGATCGACGTGAAGGTAATGCCGATCTGATGATTGTGCTTATCCATCATGTCCGCTGACAGACATTCGTAGTCGCTCAACGCCTCTCGGGCGTCGCTCAGGTCGTCCAATGGACCTATCAAAGGACGTTTCGCAGCCCGCCAGCTCTTGGACTTGCACACGTCGAACGCGGAAATCAACGTTCTCGTCGATCTCTTCAATGAGGACGGCGAGTCTGCGACGGAGTATCGAGCGAGGACGATCAACGGGTGAGTTTTATTTTCCCGTGCTTGTATAACATATCATCTCATTTATGTGCAGGTACCTCCACAGCTTCATCAACCTGGCGAGGTTCGCCGACGCACCAAGCAGCGGCGGCTCGTACAGTATTGATACTCGGACGTCAAACGGCGGCCTCGCCCTCAACTTTGGCTCGTCTCCAGTTGACTCCCATCTCGATGTCGTGGCGTGGACGTCTAACGCCCCCGCCTCTGTCGTCTTGCACCCTGCGTTCGAAGGCAGGTACCATGCGGATACGTCGAACGCTGGTGCTACGCTTATGAGGACGAACACAAAGGACCCTTCTGGCAAGGGGAGAGAGAGGGTGATACGCGAGGATGTAGGTTTGAGGCAGACTGAGGTCGGAGGCGTCGTGTTTTGGGACGACGAGGACAGTAGCGACAAGGCTGACAAGGGGAGTGTTAGGGTGAGCTCGTCTAACAAGCTCGTCACCTTGGTTATTTGATCGGAGGATGTTCGTGTTATGATTTTGAAGTATTTATTCATTCTGTTCCCTGATCCCCTTTCACCGTGTCCCTCTGTCAACGTTCAGATGTTCATTCCGATATGTATTGCTACGACATTTCGGGTTCCAATAGCATCCGGAAACTAAGAGATAAAGGTACACGGGCACGACCGTGTGTTAAGCGCCCGGCCCTGTTTGATTATCGCATCCTTCACCATCACCAGCAGCGTCCTCTGGTCACCAAACCTTCTGTCCGTCCTTCCAAGGTATGTCCAAGTGGACGAATTTCAACGTTTGTGCTCAGAACAAATCTACAGTCAGGTGCACGAACGGATGTGGTTGCTCAGTACAGATCGCGCCGAACTACGCTTCTTCGTCTCCCCCGATCGCGTCGATGGGGGATACGCCATCCTCTCTCACGTGTGGGGCGATAATGAGCAGTCGTTCCAGGACGTCCAGGCCTTTCGTTAAACGCGCTGAAGAGGACGGTCGTAATCCCAGGGATCTTGTTTCCGACAAGATTCGCGAGTGCTGTCTCCTCGCTGAGCGCCATGGCTACAAGTGGGTGTGGAACGACACGTGCTGCATCGACAAGAGTAGCAGTTCCGAGCTATCCGAGGCCATCAACTCGATGTTCCTCTGGTACTCTCGTGCCGACATTTGCTATGCCTACCTTCAAGATGTCTCAAGCGATGCGCCCGACATAAAGCCCAGGTTCCGGGAAAGTCGCTGGTACACGCGTGGTAGGACCTTGCAGGAACTTATCGCTCCCGATCTCCTCATTTTCGTGTCGGCAGAGTGGGAGATTCTTTGTGACAAGGCAGAGGAAGCGTCGTTGGTGGCAGAGATAACGAAGATTCCGGAGGCTGTCTTGCGGAAGGAGGTAGAATTGGATGACATCAGTGTCGCGCAGCGGATGTCCATGTCATGGGCGGCCACGCGAGAAACGACGCGGGTGGAAGACAGGGCGTACTCCCTCCTTGGGATCTTTGGCGTCAACCTGCCGACTCTCTATGGGGAGGGCCCGGAGGCTTCCCGGCGGCTTCAGGAAGAGATTATGCGAACGTCGATCGATACGTCTCTCTTTGCCTGGGGACGCCGGTCAGACTATGCTGTAAACCGGTCACAGTCACCACAGTTCGGAGTTATATCTCTTGGCACGGTCACCGTCTGACTTTGAGAACTGTGGTGACATCCGAGCCGTTCTCAGGCCTGATGCAAACAGAAGGTCAAGCACCAATTTCTCGTTTACCCTCTCGCCAGTAAGTCTCCAACGTGATTCGCAGCGCACCTCCTTTTGACACATCCGGTTATAGGACGACCCTAAGGGATCAATAACATATTCTGACTCGGTAAAGGACGTTGGCATTCCGTCTTTCTCCATCACCCCCTACGGTGTCCAAGCACGTGTTCCACTCTATGAAGATCGACGGTCGCGCTTGGGCGCGTGCACAGTTGCTGCTCTCTTTTGCTCCGATTCTGATGGGAAATCTATTGGACTATGCCTTACCCGCTGTGACGACGCTTCTGACCCGAAGCGAGAACTATGGCAGTGCTGCGGACATTCCAGTGGTGGACCCGGTATAACACCCCAGCTAGTCCGCACCACCTGCCTTGGCCATGACGTGGACCACCCATTGCTCGGTGGACGGGCCGTCCAGTGGAAATGGTGTGGCGAGAGATCTTCATCGTTCACCGTCCCCCACCTGCGTCAAGCTTACCCCTCCGCATTCTCAGTAACCACTACATGTTCACGCCGTTCCGCTTTCCGCGCCGCGAAATGGAGAAGATCGAGGAGTTGTCGACGCGTTTATCAGTAACACATATCATAGGTCCTTGGAACGGCACTCCTCCGATTACGCTTGCGTTTCGGAGTACACGCCGGATTCACCAGTCCTTCGGCGCAAATTTCGTTGTCACTCTCAGCTTTGGACGGTGCAGAGCCCATCTACGGCTGCTCCATAACCCGGCCGACTTGGTTCAGCAACAGGATCTTGGGCTACACTGGGCGAATGTAAGATTCCACACAAGTTTCCGTCACTCTCTACCCGGTAATGGTGATGGTGCTCGGCATGCGTGCCCAGAGGACCATGTTCACGAGTGGCCGGGCCTTACCCGGACCTTTACGGAAGCAACGTCGAGTCAGATCACATTGTCGTTGAAACGATGCCTTATCAATCCTGAAGACACGCTAATAATACAGCTGTCCCAGATTAGAATCTGCAATGACGAAAATATGGGCTCAAAGTGGAGATAAAATGGTACTGTGACGCAGGACAGCAAGTTTGGATCGGTATGTATCATTTCCTTCAAGCTGTTATGCATTACATTCTGATATTGTTATAGAGTAGACCTGACCCATCGGAGCGGGGCGATTGTGAACGTGATCTTGTCGAAAAGTGGCAAAGAGTAGGCAAAGGTTAAATGGCTGATGAAAATGTGACAAACGTGCTACAGAGAGGAGGTTCAATCCTGGGTTACACACAGATCCCTAGTTGTAGGCCGTGTAACATGATCGCGGAAACGTGAATCAAAACACCGTAGCGTCTCGTCAGATAATGCAAAATGATAAGATTGACTCGACACCTATTCGAGCCACCTTAGCTGCACCTTGGTCATTTCATACGCGATGAACTACCTCTTGAATCGCCATGTATTTGGGATTTAGGATCAACGGTTACTTGTGAAAATGCAGCCATCCGCCCTGTAGTGGCTTCAATCAAATGTATATTGAACGTTATTGTCCCTTATGCTACTGTACATCTGTGACAATATATTACGCTTGTCATACGGGCGCCCTCCCCAAAGGTGTCATGTTGAATCGTGTCACTGACTCCGGAGTTTTCGGGGTGACCAACTTTGGGCTGAAAGGGACCAAAATACTTGGTCGATCATGGGCGCTTATGTACCTGTCCCCCTCCGACTTACTAAGTGACCTCGACGTCGAGGCAAAAAGACCAAAAATTGCGTAGAATCTCAGGTCCTGCGACTCCGACTGAGTCAAATCCCGATCCGGACGGGGGCAGATACTTACATCATGCACCCGGTGATTTGGAAACTGAGTCCTATATTTTGGAGGAGTGTCAAGAATTGTCCGCCTCAGGACAAGGTATAAAGAGTCGTAAATATAAACCTCAGTAAGCCTACCAGTTCACATAGAACATCTTCTCCAGATTGCTTTCCCCACACGCAAGATTGGCACAGACGACGTCGCCGCCATTGGCTTTGGTACCAGCGGACTCGCTGGTACTGGATACGGCACCGTCGACACCGACGAGGAAAGGTTCAAGGTGACTTTTCCCACCAATTGACCTATGAGCGATTCGTTGGCTAACGAAAATGGAACCGATGCAGGTACTCGATGCTGCATATGAAAGCGGAAGCAGATTCTGGGACGCAGCCAACGTCTACGGGGACAGCGAGGAGCTGATCGGGAAATGGCACGATAACTCACCTCAATGAACCGGGGCTTATCTTACTAACAGCTATACAACGTAGGTTCAAGCGCACGGGCAAGCGGGAAGACATCTTCATCGCTACGAAGTTTGGGTTCGACTTCACCACCGAGAGAGGTGTTGATGGGACCCCCGAAGCATGCCGAGTCAACTTCCAACGGTCTCTTAAGCGGCTTGGGGTGAATAGTGTAGACGTGTTCTATCTTCATAGGTCAGTGTTTTCCTTTCAGCGAAAAAAGAACCGACATTCATTCACTGGATGGAACAGACCAGATCCAGCGGTACCCATTGAAGAAACAGTAGGCGCAATGGCCGAGCTGGTTAAGTTCGGTAGATATACCTTCCTGTGATTCAATAGACGCTTACGCAGTTAAAGCAGAGAGGGTAAAGTCAAATATCTAGGCCTATCCGAATGCAACGCCTACACTCTCCGTCGCGCGCACAAGGTGCACCCGATCACCGCAATTCAGGTCGAGTATTCACCATTCACCCTCGACATCGAGGGTGAGGAGCTCAACTTACTCAAGACTGCGCGCGAGCTGGGAGTCAAGATCGTGGCGTATTCTCCCCTTGGAAGAGGGCTCATTATGGGCCAATATGTGAGTCAATCCCCTTGCTGCATGCTTGACACTATGGAATAACCTGACTGGGCAGCGTTCTCCGGACGACTTTGAAGAAGGAGACTTTCGCCGGAAGGTTCCTATATAGTCGAAGGAGAACTTCTCCACAATCCTCGAGCTGGCTGACTCGCTGAAGAGGATTGGAGAGTCATACGGTGCGACGGCTGGCCAGGTGGCGTTGGCGTGGCTGATGGCACAGGGAGACGACGTGATTCCGATTCCTGGGACAAGGAAAGTCGAGGTACGTTGGTCTTCCTACCAAGTAAGCGCTAACGGGAACGACTTCGCTGGAAATATCGGGTAGTATCTGCAAGAAAATTTGGGCGCGGTCAACATCAAGTTTAGCGACGAGTCAATGAAGGAGGTGAGGGACCTTGCCGAGAAGGCGGACTGGGCGAACGGCGCTCGGTACCCCGACGGTTTGATGCACATGCTGTACGCCGATACGCCTGAGCAGAGGAGAGAATAGTCGCCTCGAGTACACGTCGTATAAGCTTGATACAGGAGAGCTCGTTTGAGCATAGCATCATATTAGCATGACATATATTATTCTGCTGTTGTATTCTTGGTCGTATTTGTTACTTGATATCGGCTGAGGAATATTTCGTCAGTTTGCTGGGCGAGTATGCAGTAGCATCTATTTCGCAGTGGTTTCACCCAGCTCCTGTCTAGGCCTATGGTTATGTAGTTCCTTTCTGGAAAACCGACTGGACTGCGCATGACCGTCAGCTACAGCTGGAGTTCGCATCACTGCAACCTGGTTGGATGGTGAACGTGGGAACTGAGAGGCAATTTTGAACTCCGACTCGGGCGCGGTACCGCTCACTAACGCCGTCAATATTTCAATGTTGCCAGCACATATTTTCAGCTTCATCTCCGCACTCCCATCTTTCCGCAGCCCTGCCCGTTACGCTGTTGTCTCGCTGAGCCTCCTGTCTTGAGGGCACCATTCAAGCTCTAGGTTCTTCGGTACTCACGACGTTTGCCTACGGTAACTTTTTTCGTTGGATGCTCCATCCACGACAATACTTCTGAGCTGGGCTGCTTGTTTCTACTTGACAGCCTTCTCAGCATTACACCCAACGGTCTTTCACACCGCATCTCGATCTCTAAGATACAAAAATAGCACGAACTCATTCATCAACACCTCTGATTGACCGAACGACCATGACGAGGAGTCTATTATAGGTCTAGAACCATATCAATGCAACAGAGCAAATCTCGTTGCTTCCAGCTGCTTTACCATGGACGTTCGACGCGTGATTGTGGAGCGCCAGGTATTGGATACGACCAAATTCAATTACTCCATCCACCGCCACCAGTCCTGCTCATTGACCATGCGCGCCAACGTAGGCCAATGTCTGCAGGTTGCCCCGGAATTGCTCACAACAGTAAGCGATCAGGAACGCCGCGCGTACGCGTCGCCATCCCCGGTCAACGCTCATGTGCTCGACCACCTTCGCGCACTGACGGTTTCCAGCGGTTTCCCCAGCCTAATTGGATGAGGTGGCACAAACTGATGTATAAAAGGCCTCAGCTTTCCGTGGTTGCACCCCATCTTCGCCAGCAGAACCGCCGCGTCCTTGCTCGTTGACATCCGGTCCAAGGTTCTACCTGTTACTTTCAGTCTCATCATCATGCAGAAGACTCTCGCCTTCCTCGCCCTCGTCTCTGCGGCCGTCGCCATCCCCACTAGCGCCGAGCGCTTTGCTGCTCGCGTCGCCCGTCCGAGGACCGCTCGTCCAACCTCATGCAAAATGTCACGACGAGCAGCGTCACGCACGAGACTTACACGAGCAACTGGGCCGGTGCCGTCTGGTCCGAGGGTGCTGTATGCTTCCTCTTTTGTTTCACCATGCCCTTGTCTCATGACATGGACGTTCGATACAGGGCACCTACACCGCTGTGACTGGTACCTTCACAGTCCCTACCCCGACCGGTAACGACGGTTCTGCGTCTGCCTGGGTCGGCATTGACGGCTCCTCCTGTGGAAACGCGATCCTCCAGACCGGTGTTGACTTCAACATCGCGAGCGGCCAGGTCTCCTACGATGGTGAGCGCTCACTCTGTCCCTAAACCCTTCGTTCACTCACCCAAACTCTTCTTCCAGCCTGGTACGAGTGGTACCCCGCTGCGTCCGCCGACTTCTCCAACATCTCCATCAACTCCGGAGACGTCATCACTGTGACCGTGACCGCGACCTCGACCACCGCTGGCACGGCCGTGATCGAGAACACGACCAACGGTCAGTCAGTCACGCAGCAGCTCACGTCCTCGTCCGCGCTGTGCGAGCAGGACGCGGAGTGGATCGTCGAGGACTTCAGCGTCAACGGCGGCCTCGTTGCGTTCGCCAACTTCGGCTCGGTCACGTTCACCGGCGCCACGGCGACGACCGGAAGCGGCACGGTCACGCCCAACGGCGCGACCATCTACGATATCCAGCAGAACGGCCAGACGCTCACGACGACGACGATCAACGGTAATGATGTCACTGTCGCGTACACGTAAACTGTTAAGTGGGTACTTTATTGGTGGTACATATTTAAGAGGGCTGTGGATTATATCATTGGATTTCACGTATCGGGTGTACAGTATATATTGTTCATGACATTTAAGATTCAAAATAAACGTATTTCTACTGGCCTACGTGACAGATGCTTCGTTGAATAAGAGCTCAATGCCTGCATCTTCGACCATAAACCACTGAGCAAAGTCCGTGAAAGACGTTTTGCTAAATTTGTCAAACGTTATCTGGTGTAGCGGATACCCGCGTGTCCGCCTCTCGATGATGCACTGAAAGAGCTCTTCATGACCTGAAGTCGGGTAGGAATCACCGCCATAGACGTGGTCTTCGTATAGCTCTGAACCGGGGTCGGGGTGAGTGAACACGAGTATCTGGAGTGCCGGTGCTGGAATGTCTTCTCCAGGTATGCACGAAAGAAGGTCTGCTACGTGCCCGAAGTTCAAGGGAGATATGATAAGACGTCGTAGTGAGCTGGCGTTCATGAGGATTGGCCGTAGATTGAACTTTGGCAGCGACTCTGTGGAGATGTTGAGGGAAGTGAGAAGACGGATGGGCAGGAGGGTGAAGAGTTCGTCGAATATGTTGTTGATGTCGCCCTTGGCAAAGCTGGCTTCTAAGTAAAGTTCTCGGCTCTTGTGCACCTCCATGTTGGTGCTTGTGTTCACTGCTTGTTCGGGGACATGTACACGAACTCCGTATAGCCATTCAAGAACGGTGACGAGTGAAACGTCGTAGTGAAAGGTGACCGATGAGGGAGTCGTACATCCAAGCCAGTCCTTGACGTACCCAAGTAGCTCCCGGGAAGTATGATTTTCCGGCCCGTAACACTGGAGATGAAGGTACGCCAGGGGCCGAGCAACCTGGATATCCTTGTATAACCCGTCGAAAACGTATGCCTTGTCGATGATTCTCAGGCGTTTTAGGTTTGAGAGTGTGATCGTTGCACGATTCCAGTCACCCCGGAACATTTTCATGCAATATTCAAGGACAAGTTCTTCCAGCAAAGGCGTAGCCCTCAGCAGAAGACGCGCACCATCTGGACCAAGGCGTGAATTGAATAAAAGTCGGTGTATAGAAAGGTGGGTAAGCTGGCTTAGCATTGGACACGTTGAGCTCCAGTCAAGAGCGCAAAGTGACAGGCCTAGTTTCCTTAACTGAGGTGCTTCCCCGCTAATCATACGTGACAAGGTTGGCCATGGATCCATGTGTATACTATGAAGCGCCTGTTTGTTGACGAGGTTCAGAGACTCGAGGCACAGGAAAGTGCCACACTTTGCTAGAAACCGAGCCACGCTGTCACCAGAGCCACCAAGAATCAGGTCCTGAGCCTGCGCTATGCGGTGGGCGATAGGGTCAAATCGGTCATTGAGGTCATTGAGAGTGACGCTGATCTTTAAAGTGCATGATCCGGAGCGCAAGAGGAACGCTTTCATGCATTTTTCCGAGAATGTCGGTATATATGACCACAACGAGGCGTGACACAGCGCAGTGAGGCGCCAGGTCCTGCAGACGTGGGTGACCTTGATCCACGACAGGCATGCCTTGCTGCAGAAATGGAAGTCTATGGGATATGGATAGTTCCCTCGATCTGAGATTGAACCTTGAGAAACTCTGGCATGAGCTTGGGTGGCACATTCGAAGAATATGGAAGATAAGATTTCCGGTGGACAGGACGAAGCGGGCGACTTGGGTAGCATCCCTTTGGCGAGGAGACGTCACTTGAATGCAGAAGTGAGGATTCAGTTACTCGAGGAAAGCTTTTCCCTTCACTCACACTCTGTACCTGAGAGCCTATAAAGGCTTGGAGTCTGACCGCAGAGAAGGACCGTGGGCAATCAGTTGCCCCCCAACCATACGGTGGTAAAGTCTCGGGGGAGCCCGGCAGGAGTAGTGTGTCTGAATCAGACCGACGAGTTCTGGTTGACGTTGTGTTTCGGATTTAAACGACACGAGTTCGAATCTGGCTGGAACTAAACTCCTTTGGGAATTCAAGATGTGCTAAACGAAGGGGAGGAGTGAAGCCAGTGCTAGTGAATGGCTCAATGCGTGACGCGTGACGCGTCTTTCACATACGTGAGAATATCTTACGTCACCTGTCCTCATGTTTTTCAGTGGGTCTCTCTTCTGGTCAACGTAACGTCGCCGTTGCTTCTGGTGATCATCATACGCAATTGGGATTCCATTGGAAAGGGAGTATCTAATCCAACGAAGCATAAGCCCCAGCGCAAGCCAAACCTAACCAGCTTGTATCATACCGCAGGAAGCATTGCATTCAATGGTTCGTGTCCATTGTGACGACTGGAAAGTTGAAAAGCCAATATTGAACATGTGCAACCAAAAGCAGAACCAGGATGTGTTCTTCCTCTTGAGACTCTTCCGATCTGTCTCCGCAGGTGGCACAAGCTTGAGCTCACCGCAAAGAATGTACCTTATCACAACCGCAATACGCCTTCGACAACGCCGCTATTATGCACTAGATTGGCACGGGACCTGGTATGGATCTAACTTACGCCACTCATTGCGGAGCCCAGTCCAGGTGCGGTATGTGATGCTGATGTGTTCACCGTAATATTCTCATCGCTTAGCCTTCTTGGAGTGGAAGAACGTGAATTTTCAGATTATCAACCAATCCCCTCGATATCCATCATTTATATAAGCTCAAAGGTACCAATTGCGATATATTTATCACCCCCAGAACTAACATCGCGCATCACGTCATCTCATTGCTCAGTGTGAGATAAATAAGAGGCGTACTTCAGCTCTTCGCCTATACTCTGCAACCTAATCCCCACGTCTTACGTTGGCACGATGCCCGAGCAAATCACGCACTATGGTTGCAAGGTGAGCGCTAGTGGATCTCGCATAAATCGGCCGTGCCAGTTACAGATCGTGCCCTCTAGTTCAGCGGATATTCTCACAAGGTCCGTCCTTGGTTATTTGCGAATTGCATGAATATACTAACTCAAATGGCGGTCAGACGGCGATAGCACTTGAGGAAGCAAAGGCACAGTACACTCATGTGGAGGTCGACTTCACGAACAAGCCTGACTGGTTATTCAACGTCAATCCGGCAGGGAAGGTGCGATTCGCCTTCTCGTCCTCCTTCATATAGCTTCCGACCGATTCAAACTTAGATCCCTGTGATCGTGTACGGTGGCGCCTCCGCGCCGGCCGACCAGCCCTCTCCCGAGTCTGTGAAACTCGCCGAGTCCGCTGTTCTCCTCGAGTTCATCGCGGACCTCTACCCCGGCTCCGGGCTCATGCCTTCCGATCCTGTTCAGCGCGCCAAAGTCCGCTTCTTCCATAACACAGTCGACACAGTCCTCATCCCCGCGCTGTTTACGTGGTTGATCAACAGCGCACCCGCCAGCACAATCGTCGAAGCACTCAAGAAGGTGCAGGAGCTGCTCCCCGACAATGGCGCTTTCGCAATCGGCGACCAGTTCACGATTGCAGATGCGAGCATTGCCGCGATATATGTGCGTATCGTGCTGTTGGCTGAGAAAGGTCTTCCAGGAGAGGAACAGGCGACCGGTGTTTTGCAGGCGCTCAGCACGCCTGAGCTCGCCAAGGTTAAGGCTTATGGAGACAGACTGACCTCACGTGCGAGCGTTGCTTCGTCGTGGGACAAAGTAAGCGAATTTGATATTACCAAACGTGCGCAGAGTGTTGAGGTACTTCAAGGAAACATCGGTCGCATACCTTGCAATGGTGGCGAAACAAGGAGCCAAGTGAGCCATTTGATCGGCGGGGCTACATGCTCAAAACGCTGTATAACAATCGATAGTGTTGTGGCGTCCATTGAGAATCCTCGAGGTTTTACACCACTTCAACATGTACGCGGAAATATGTTGTACGACGATATGCGTACTATAGATAAAGCAAGGTCTATGAGACGACGTTTTTCACCTAGGGAGCTTGCCCCACCACTCGTTGCCACTAGGCCAACGTTGAGGCCTGCCATCAATGGATACGTCCAAACAGGCGGTACCGGTGCGAAAGACTACAGCAAGTTTTAAGTCCGCCACCTCGAACGTATTCATTCATGATTTTAAATGTGGCTTACTTCGGTCCGCTACCTAGTATGTCATATATTACATTAAGTTGTCAAAAAATGCCTAAACTGGACCAAGCACGCTCAATAGTCTTCACCAGCAACGTATTGAATCTCTTCCATCCCATAACCGTCTTCTTCGGCTGGTTGGGCTACTGGAGGGGCAAAAGCCACGGTGGTTAGTTCATGACCGTTGGAGGCTTCTCTGCCAAGACCAATTTCGTAGCTCTTTCTGAGACTGAGGATCATCCAAGGGCCAACCATACAGTAGAGCACGACTTCAAGTATATCCTCGAAGCAGTTATAAGCGGTCAACTTCGCAAACAGTGCTATGAGTAGTTGTGTTGTGTTGACAAATAGTAGAACTCACATTGATGTTATCCTTGACTTGTTCCATCGCATTCACAATAATCGACATGAGGACGCTGTGAAAGTCAAATCAGCATAAAAGCATCATGGTACTAAGACTAGGCCTTTCGTACACAAAGAAGTAAAGTAAGTTATCTCTTATAATCACCGCCATGAGTGTGTTGGCTGAGCGTAAAGGACTCCTCCAAAACGATCCTTGGACACTTTTGGAAGCGTACCACAGTGCAAGTGCACACAGGAGCGCCTCATACGATATCAGGAAAGCATCAGAAGTGGGGTATATCCACCATATGCCTTCGGGGAAGTTGATGTAACAGGAATATATCCCGGCAAAGCTGATCTCGGCTTAACAAAACAAGTGTCAGCCGTGTACGTCAGGCTGATTTGAGTGTCTTACAGAATACACTTGTCAATCCACGAAGCATGACGCTCAAAGTCGCTATGTTGATGCCCTGAACAACTATGTAGAAAACGGCAAACACCACGAGGATATTTTGTGGTTTCCCCAGAAGTACGTATACTCGTATGGACATCATCCCTACCGAGATAGTTTAGTATCTGGTTTGAGCTTCGTTTGAAACCCACCTTGGAGGAGGATCATGATAGTCATGATCATAGCTTGGGGAACTGCGAACAATATGTAACCTACACCAGAGGGGGAAAGCCTAGTCAGAAGACGAACAAGTAAGGAGAGCGTAGAACTCACAGCTAACAGAATCGGACAAGAGTTAGATTATTTGTGAGGAAAATGAGAAGTCAGTAGTAATTACGTACGACTACAGAAATCAAGGCGTGAGTTTTTACCAGTGATCTAGCACGATGCTTTGCTTACTTTACTCGACAGTGGAATGCCGGTGAAGTTGTTCACTGCAATAACCCATAAATAACATCATAGCATACTTTGTAGTAGAGACGTACCTAGGAAAAATCTACTCTCAAATTGTCAAGTTAAACATTGTGAACTAAAGTTGTGATAAATAGCTTACGCAGGTAGCATCAATCCCATGTAGCGTAGCTGTAAATAAACGTCAATACGCAATTCTTTGTCTGGTTTTTTATCCCATACCACTATGAAGGCCAATGTTGTGGACGAAAATTTCCTATTCTACAAGAGGTTGTAAATGACACATAATACAGGGACTGTGATAGATTTTGCCAACAAACCCATATTAAATCCATCTGCAGAGGGACCTAAGTAAGTCAATCAGGATAGTCATGGGTGAATGTGTACCTCAAGTGAGAAGTTTAACACTGTAAACCCACACTTTAGCTCATGTCCATTCATGCACACTGAATTCAGACTCACAATAATCGTAAACTAACACAACCGTTGGAGCAACTGGATGATATGGTTTGTGAGTACACAATGCGTGAAAGAATCGAATGAATGACGACGTACTCAGGGCATATTCTCCAACCCTGTCGTCTTGCACAAACGCGATGAGCTCTTCCTCGATGGAGTCGGATGACATCTCGGGAGGGACAGATGGATTGGTGTTGGCACTTGACGAGCTGTTATATGGCCAACGGGTTGGGAGCTGATTTCAGCATGCTGTATTGCAGGTACGCATCCTGATACTCCCATCTAAACAAAGAACACGATTTGCAATTTACAGGAAGAGATCAGTTAATACTCCTAGCTGGGATGTATGACGATGTCTGGATTTGAGAGTGAACATTCCATTCCAAGCTATCCATGAACACTTAATGAATACTTTACCACACGCACTACTGTACATTCCCGCCATCATTGACTAAACCAGGATCGCTGCTGATACGATGCCCGTTAGCGTGGATGCCAGAAAAGCGCCGCTGCTGGCCTCGAAGTTGAGTGGCAGTCCACTCGTGAAATCCCTGTCAGTGATCTACTGTTTAACTATTCATTGCTGTCGATAACCTTTTATGACCTTCAAGGCCAATCTTCCTGCATTATGTGCGATTCACTAAGCCAGTGAGGAACATCAGGTAAGGGGGGTCCATTTCTAAAGATACACTATTTGTTAACGGTCCTGGATATTTAAAGTGCGTGATTGATGAATGGTGCGAATTAACGAGGGAAGAGCAGCGGGCTTGATGTAAAAAAGGTATATTTGGTCAGCTGTCGTCGACTTCCTTGATATGGGCTATACATAGGATCGATCCATGCATGACCACGCATATTCGGAGAAAGATCAGAAAGTTAGTTCCTAATCAAGGCTTGAAGGTGAGATCGCCGCGATATCACGAAAGATGTATGTCAGCTTGGGTTAAATTACAGGATGGGGACACTCACATTTGTACTCCCTCAGGATGCATGTGCTCACTCTCAAAGTAATGGCTCTGATTCTCAAACGAGGAAGTGCAGTAACTTTTCCGAAGGTGTATATGAGAGACAGGGAAGAGGCGTGAATTAAAGTTTGCTGCCCCAGGGCCATGTTTGTTTTTCATCATCAGATACTCAAGCTCGTACCACCAGGATGTCATATACATATCTCTACGCAGAAGAATAACGCCGAGGATGGGCTAGATCGTGTGTTTAAGTATAGTCCGGAGCATGGCAGTACAGAACAATGATCGGAGAGACCCGTGCGCGTGGTAATAATGCTCTTGCATGTTCTTCCCTGACTTTGAGTCGAGAATTCTGAGACTCAGCTCTGAGATGGCTAGAATAGCTGTACTAGTACGGAGTTTAAGGCCAGTGCGAGGCGACAAGATTTAAACAACCAACTTGAATTCAAGTGCTTATAGACCTCGTTAGTGAGGGATGCATCCATACGTGTAGCCTTTAGTAACGAAATCATTGAGTAATTTATTGCGTTGTACGACGTAGTGTCTCAGCCATCAGCAGCAAAGTATGCTACTAAGCGACAAATAACTTGAAAACAAAGGCTACGGACTCAACGTTTTGAAAACCACTGGCGGGCCGAGGCCCGAGGGTGGGAAAGCATAGCAGATAGGGGCTACTTTCCTTAATTAGAGTACTGACGTCTGACGCTCTCGTCGTTGCAACCTCAACTCGACCACAGCAGGATCCTCGCGAACGGAATCTACTCCATCTCTGTCTGCTTCTCTCTGAAAACCGCCTCTATGGCAGCTAGGAGAAACTCGGACAAGCTATAGCCATGCCCAGCTGCGATGATGCAGAAGTCTACTGGCCCTCGCTCTACAACCCCAGCATCGAGCTGTCGGACGTGCAATATCACAGTGCCACACAGCCCGGCGGAGCCTACATCTGTCACCCTGGAAGTATGTCCTAATCACGCTCTTAGCCTAGAATGTGCGATGAAGGAGAGTGGGAGTGAGGTCCCAGTACTGACTCTACCTCTGCCCCTCCCCAGCTGTATTCCGCTTTATACTCTACTGGACCCTCATCTTCTCCGTACCATTCTACGTCCTCAGTGGCATCTACGCCTTCTTCAACTTTGCCTTTCCCCCACGATGCCCCACCATCTCGGATTCTGATGCCTACGCGCTCCTCCCATCCCGCCGTTCTTCTATGAACCCGCTCAGCCGCCCCGGTAGCCCTGTCCCGGGTACACCAGGCGCGCCCGGTTTTGGCACGAACGCGGACCGCGACCTGTGGAGGAGGCCACCGCGCACGAACGTGCGGCGGTCGAGGATCACGTTCGCGGTGCTAGTCCTTCTCATGTTCTCGTTCCTCAGTCTCGCGATTTCGGTGCTGGGCGCGGCGGTGGTTGGGTTCTTGCTGTTTGCGGTGTATCAGGCGGGCGGGTTTTACATGTCTACGTGAGTGCTAGGCTCGTCCTTTCTGGTGGTTCGGTTCGAAGCGAATGATGGCTAACTTGAATGGACGTCCCGGCCTGTAGGTGGGTACCGTTCGTGTGGGCAGTTATCCAAGGACTGGTTGCGTTGCTGGGGTGGGTACATCGTTCAGTCACCTCCGTCACGTATCACATCACTCGAGCAGCTTCGCTGATCCTTCTCTCAGCATATGGCCTTCTGTCATCGACATTATGTGACGTCTAGACTGCGTCCTATCCAATCTGGTTTTGTTTCCTCACATATCTAGTGGAGCCTTCTATACCCCGTACTCATAATTATCTTCTGAGCAATTCAGTTCTTGCATAACACCTTCCCAGACCCGCTTCCACGCCCGTACATTATACATTACGAAGAGCGCAGCCCAGTAATCCACTCAAGCCCATTGGACGGATGCAGGTTCATTCTCCACGTGCGCGTCTGTCAAAAATGCGCATCTCCACGGCTACCTGCGTCTTGTGCGTCGACCGGGCCGTCGTCCACGCTTCAATACCGCTCTTGGACTACGCTGATCTTCTTATATGACAGGCCCAGGGCTAACGTAAGACAAGCGAGAAATCCCTACCACGCCTCGCCAGACTGCTGGTCCTGGTACCCTCGATGTTTACGCAAGTTGAGGTACCGCTCGCTTGGGTTTACACCTAACGCCAAAAACTCTGATCATCGAAGACGGGACTTGCGTCCTCGATTATCAGTTATCTAACCGCAGATAAGATGGCAAGTGTTCGTCTCTCTGGCTATATATCACACACGCCATCACACCGGCAGCCTGAGCTCGTGTCGCTTCCTCCCCGCTGTGCAATCTGGCGGGACGTCCCGCTATCTCGAGCTCGCTGTCCACACGCCTCTGTAGCAATATATCAGATTGTCGTCGGCCGGATCCCGCGTGCGTCCCATGCGAAGCCAACGCCGGCGCCCCGACAGTGGGCTGGGAACGCGCGGACCGTGGATGAGTGGTTGCTTTTGTACCGTGCTTCTACTTCGTGCTTCCTTGTAGGTTCTTTGCTCAGTTTAGAGTTAGCCTGAGTCGGACTCGGACTCACGCAGGCCTTCGTTTCTCTTCTGACGGTTTTAAAGTATGTCGGAGGTTCTCTGAGACTTCGGTAGTTCTAAGTGTGTATTTTTCTTCACGTTTAGTGGCACTGACATATGAATAGGGCATGAAGTATGTGGAACATAACGCGTAGGCAATTGCGAGCCTCATGTCTTTGGCTTTGGACTTCGGTCTCAGTTCAAATTGGCTCGACAACATGGCATTTTGCGTCACTTAAGCTCACGGCGCAGGGCGTAAAGTAGCTATTTAGACTCGCTCCCTTTAGACGCACCGCTACGATGATGCTATGACTGTGCTGGTTATTCATCTGTTTGCAGAAAGAGGGTGTCGCACAAGGATTGGCCATGGTCCCATCTGTATCGACTGAATAGGCTTGACAGAGGTCAGCGGGTCGGTGGTTTGATGGGGGTTATACACTACATCCTCGGAGTATCCGTAAGCGTTGTATGGCGCGATTCCTACACATCCAGCTTTGAGAGAACGATTACCCAAAGACGGCGGAAATGCCTCGACTTCTGAGGTCCAAACTTAAAATAACGTGTCGGAATTATCTGCTGTCTCGAGGCACGCCGAGCGGAGGCACTCGGTCAACGTTCTCTGAATGAACTTGGGGTGGCGTGGACGATGGGCCTCCTCTTTGATGATAAAGCCGTTCAAAACGCCATCGTTGCCATTGGTGGGTGTACATATGCTCGTAAGGGGTGGTGGTGATTAGCTTGGGAGGAGGGGAAGGAGATAGAGGGGTGAGTCGCAAGGCCGTGGGGTAGGCGTGCCTTTTGACAAAGTTTTATCTGTCTGTAGCTACAGCTATGCTTCTGATCACCACACAGTTTGTCGGCCAGCACATCTGGAACAAGTGGCCCAATCATTGCGAATGCTAGGTGAGATACGTTAACGCCGTTTGTGAGCCCAGCTGCACAGCGTGGCGGCCGCACCTTGCGGTCGCTGTCAGGATATTCGGCGCAAAGTACCATAACGATGAATGAGACCAGCGTCTTGGCTGGATCGTCGTGTTCATAGTGTCTTTGATCACTTCACTCGAGGCTTTCACCCGGGTTTTCATCGAAATTTCATCTAGGCTGCTTCGATCCGTGACCGAGCGTCATGCGCAGGCGGCAATGAGTTCGCTAAGGCTGTGCCAAAAGTCCTCGATCTTATCTGACGACCGCACCCCTACATGCACTTGCATCGCGGTTAGGACGGTTTTGATGCACATTGCGCGCAAGTCGAGGAGCTCACTGGCAGGAGGCTCGAGCCTGAGCTGGAACTTTGATCAAATTGATCGAATCGCCGCGCACAGTGGCCCGGGTGCGATCAAGTCTAGGGTTCCAACGTTTGCGCTTACCGAGAGTCGAGGACGCCGAGAGATTGACATGACAGCCGCGCTGAGAACATGTGGCGGACGTCGTCTCCGGGCTGCACTTGCCCCATGTCTGCCATCTCCGACTGTCCGCGGGGAGTGTGGGAACGGGACGGTCGCCGCAGGAAAGGGTCTCTGAAACGCCGCACGAGAATACGCGGGCTTGAGCTTCTAGTGCGATGTAGCTGAGTGGATGAGAGAGCTAGCACTGACTCACGAAGGTGTATTCTTGCGACCTTTCTTCAAATTCTTGGCTCGAGATGTGCAGGGCCTCACACTGGGGGAGATGCATCCAGTTGTTGACTGGGTGACGTGTATCTGATAAGCTGTTTGCAAATAATCGCGGCATGCTTCATTGCGTTGCGTCGACGGAGGTAAATTGTGTTGCTGACGACACGCGGGCTTATCTTATCTGTCTGCGGCGGTCGCTGATGCTGGCCAGACGACCATCATCCACCCGTTTTGTCACATCCCGCGCGTCCGGAAGATCACCCTCGCCGGTGCATAGCACTCTCAATGAATTCAGCTACGGCGGCTTATGAATCCTATTCTAAGTGGTGGAGTAGTTAGTTCATTGGCTGTTCATCGCATCAATGATGTACGAGCAGAGCTCCTAGGATGGATATCGCGTCCATGATCGTCGGGAAGCAAGTGTACAGGCCTGCTGGACTGGGCACGCGTGGATATGGTGAAACCGGTCCCAGCGGTGCGCGGGAGGATACACACATCTCCCAGGCCAATAAGCGTGTGTCGCCCGTCAGCCAAAAGGCCGGGCGCCTTGGTGCACTTCGGGGCGTGTGGATGTCATGCCAAAGGGTTTTCTGGAACGCGATGACAGAAAAATGAAGCTTTTGATGAGATAAAAGCCGGGACTGAATTCGGGGGGAGATCTCTTTCCTGAGACGCGGGCTGATGGGAATCGTGTTCACGTAATAAAAATAGGTCGGCTGATAAGATGGGGCAACCCGCATCGCAGCCACACGCCCAAACACGTCCAAAGTTCAGATCTCCCCACGCTAAACGAGTCCTGCCGTTCGGCAACGTGGCCAGCGTCTACGACGGCGACCAGCGTCGTCCTCGATATCGTCCATAATGCGCGAGGTTGATGCCAGCAAGTAAAATGTCAGTAAAATAGAGACGATTTTATACGCGTTGGACACCAAAATTGAGATTGCGGGGTAAAGGGGAAGGGGGCTGAAAAAGGGAGTGATTATGAAACTGTCGTAATCTGATTGGCTGTTAAGGTTTGCGCGTTGTTATCTTTTAGTCAACGTCGGTTGCCGAAAAATCATAAACCTCCGTGTCTCTCCTTACCCCGTCTCTCCTCCGAGTCCCCCCTCCCCCCTCGCCATCTCACCTCCTCCTCTACTCTGGCTCTCTCACATCTCTTGTAATATCTGTTAATCCTTGTTAGCTAATCTGTCTCTTACGTGTAGGCGAGTCTCTTCTCCCCTTCTCCTTCACCCTCTTTGAGATCCCCGTCGCTGACGCAGCACAACGCGCGACGCGCTCAACAGTCATCCTGTGATAAAAAATGTCACCCATAGTCATGGAATCGCCTGCTAGTGCTATCGGCATGCATCCGCCAATACTCCCTATTTCCCGCATCCAGGCCACTTTCTCCAACGCGTCTTCCGATCACGCTCTCCAGCAGGACGCGCGCCCATCGTCCCCTGCCCCCTCTGCTCCCGTCAACGTTGCCAACGCTGATGCCGCCGCCCAACGCGGTATCTCCACCGGCGATTTCCCTACCTTTGAGCAGCTCATTCACAAGGATCGCCCTGCCGGCGCTGCAGCCGAACAACAGCCGACTGCCCCAGTGGCACAGCAGCTCAAGGATTCCGCTCAATCTCAGACCGAGCCCCCGGCCCAGACTGCGCAGACCCCACAGAAGCAGCAGCAGCAGACAGCTCAGTCCCCGCAACAGCCTCAGGAGAAGCAGACCTCGGCGCCACCCCAGCGCACGACGTGCAACAACTGCGGCACCGCTGAGACCCCCCTATGGCGACGCGATTCCGAGGGCAAGACCATTTGCAACGCCTGCGGTGAGCTATTCTGACCTCATTTCATCTGTCATCGGATATCTTGCCCCTCGTTTTGTTCCCAAACGCCGTCACGTGGCAACGCGTGGCTGGGGGGTTGCACGCACAGGGCCCCCCAAGGCTCTAGCCACGCGCCCTTCGGAAAATTGACTCCTCGCATCGTCAGTGCTGTCCATCACTCCCCTTGGCGTGTTTTGGGCATGTCAGAGATGCGATGAAGCGATTGGGTCGATGATCCAACCTTGCTTGTCTGCTTGTTGTCTCGAGTGTGCAGGAAACAGTGTGCTGACGATTTTGCGTTTTGCTCACGCCTATGCGTGTTCTCTACTCGCCGTTTGGTCTTATGGGACGGATGCTTGGGTGGTTCTGCAGGTCTTTATCTCAAATCTCGCAAGGTGGCTCGACCCCCCTCCCTAGCTCGTACACCCACCCCCAACGCCGCTGCCGCTGCCGCCGTCGCTGCAGCAAACGCCAACAGCAGCAGCGAGGACATGCCGACTCAAGGGGCAGCATCTGCCCAGAAGGGATCAAACGACGACAAGGGATCTCCTTCTGCGAAGGGGACTTGCCCTGGAGACGGGCGCTGCGATGGCACCGGAGGCTCGAGCGCATGCTCTGGATGCCCCACATTCAACAACACCTTGGCTGCAGCACGTGCCGATGCCGATGTCACCGCGCCAGGCGAAGACTCGTTCCAGGCCCAGCAAGTAGTAGCTGCATCATCCCCAGCAGCAGCCGACGTCGCGCCACCAAATGTGGCCGAGGCCGAGTCCCCAGGACAAGGCACGAAGAAGGTCAAGTCGGCGGTCGGGGCACTCTGCTGCGCCAACTGCAGTACGAGCACGACGCCGTTGTGGAGGCGCGATGATGTCGGGAACAACATCTGCAACGCTTGTGGTGAGTGTCTGTTTTTCGGTTCTCGATCTGCTTTTCTGGATTCTGGTTCCGTCCGCTCCCGAGATGGGTGCTTTGTGTTCATTTGCGGGGCGGAAGCGCATCAGACGCAAAATTTTCGCGCGGGATGGGGCCGCAGCTGATCAAGGGGTGTTGGTCGGCTCCAAGATTTCGGGGTGACAGCCATCCTTGATTCCTTTTTTATCTTATCGCTTGTCCCATGGCCCTGCGCGGCATCAATCTTATCTCCCACGATTTTCTTCCGCTCTCGGCCGCTCTGCCGCGGTCGCCGGGCGGGTGCTTCGGCCATTCAATCACGTCTTCTTGATTACATCCGCCGATTCGAATATACGCATTCGCCGTCGCTCACTATCTCTTTCCCTCCCCATGCAGGCCTCTACTTCAAGCTACATGGTACTCATCGCCCCAACTCCATGAAGAAGACCGTGATCAAGCGGCGGAAACGGGTTCCCGCAGCTGCAGGCATGTCTTCCGGACGCATGTCAGACCAGGCTGCCGCTGAAGCTCTTGTATCAGTCGGACGCGGCGGTGCACAGTCTAACACAGGTGACGATAGCGACGCTGAAGTCGAAGAGATCGAACAGCCCCGCCGCAAGCGCGCTCGTCGCAGCACCCGCGGTGAACGCAACGTCCGCCAGCGCGACGATGAGGATGAGGATATGGCCGAGCCCGAAGATCTCCCTCCGAGGAGAGCGCGTAACGAGCGTCCCGAGCGCGCCCTCCCGGTGCGCAAGGGCTCTCGCGACTCGCACGGCTCTGCATGGGCCGAGGGATCGTCCAGCATTCAGCAGCTCGCCGAGGTGCTCTCCGGAAGCGAGCACCGATCGAGCTCGCTACCTCGCGCAGAGGCTCACGAGCGTTATGCGCATGGATCGCATCTTACCCGCACGAACTCCGGTCACGGCCACTTCGTGGCGTCCCCTCACGCTGGATTTGACCTTCCGCCCTTGAACGCTGCGCTCGGCGAGCGGTACGGTGGTTTCGCTGGCCTTCTTGGCAACCGCGACTTTGGTGGTGCGACATCGAGCTTTATTCGCTCTGGCTCAAATGCTCCCAGCAGGACGCACTCGCCTCTTAATCCCAACACCGGCTCGGGCTACGTTTTGCCCCCGCCTCACGGTGTGCACTACTTCTCGCAGCACCACGCCTTTGGCGGACACTCGCCCCCGCCCCACGATTTCAACGGCGTGCTGCTCTCCGGCGTGCCGAACGTCAACGAGCTGAGGCAGCATTACCTCGAGTTGCACGAGACCCGCAAGCGCCTCGAGGAAATGATCGAGAAGACGGATAGGTTGATGGCGGGTGTGAAGCACGGTCTCGACGACATGTTGAACGTTGCGGCTGCACAGCAGTACCAGCAACAGTTGCAGGCTCAGGCTCAAGCTGCCGCCTCGCGCGTAGCCTCGCGTGCGCCCTCGCCGTTGCATCAGCAGCAGCAGGTGCAACAGCACCCGAGCCCCTCCTCTGCGCCTCAGCAGGAGCAGCAGGCGCCTGCGTCGTCGCAGACTCAGGCGCAGGGATCCATCCCCAGCGCCCCGATTGCGTTGCCGCTGCCTCGTGCCGCTGGCGAGAAGGAGAAGACGCGCGAGTCCGTCTGGCCCGTCTCTGAGTCCCCCGCGCGGGACTGAATATCTTCGTCCGCTGTTCCTCTGGCCCACTCGCCGTCGCCATCGCTATGATCTATTGCCATTCTCGCTATGTATGCCGCATCCCGCTTGCTCTCGCTTTCGATAACCTGACTAGGAATGTCTGGCTCTCGCCGGGCTCGATGTTAACCATCATTCGGATCACCAACACGTATATCATTTTCTCATTTTCTTTCTTTTCTCATCTCTCTCGTTCTCATCCGCGCCTCCGCATATACATATATCCTCTTTATTCACGTTTCATATATTTGAACGGTTTTCTTGCGTTTTTTTTTATCGATCGTCGCTGTCTTCCGCTGCGTTCCGTTGTTCATATTATACTCTACATTCACGTTTTCATTATCATCGTCTTCTTGTTTGGTTTCCTCTATCTCTCTCGTCTCGTCTAAACATCTACACAACCATCACTACATGAAACCCCATATGCATCGTTATCATCACTCTCTGTCGGCCTTATATGCTCGTTTTAACTCCCCTCGCTTTCACCCCTCCACCTCACCACATCTTCGTACACAATCGTTTGCCTCTGGCACTTACTCGTTTTGATAGACACCACCCACCCCATCGCCCATCCAGTCTCCCGCTCGTATGTTTCTTGCTTTCCGTTTCGATCCGCTCGTTCGCTGTCTCTTTTGGTTCACCGTATATAACTATCTAGCCCGCTCTATTTATATGCCGCTCGAGGAGGTCTCTTATTGGCTTGTGGCTGCTCCCCCCATCCCATCCGACATATAGGATTTTCACATACCACCATCATCATCACCCACCGCGCCTCGTTTCTCAGTTAATTTCCTTGCCCTTTCGCGATTTATTCGCCTGTACGTATTGTAGACACTTGTCTTTTCTGTTTCTTCTGCGCGCATGCGTCAGATGGGTGGGAGGGCGAGTGAGCAGTTTGGTTGTTTAATTCTCGGTTCTGATTTTATACCATTGGCGCGTTGTGTGGCTTTGCTCGTGCATTCGCGTTATAGACTTTTCGATGTTTTTTTTTGTTGCTGGACGTGTGTTTGTGCGTGGTTAGCTTTTTGTTTGATTTGATTTTGATTTGTTTGTTGGCACTTGCGTTATGAGGGAAATGATTATCTATGCTGATTCTTAGATGAATTTTTGGGCGAGACGGTTTTGGTGTGAGTGTTGTGGATGTTGGTTTGGATTTGAGTCTGAGTTTGAGTGGGCAGTGCTTTCGTGAGTTGGGAGCAGCGCCTTCGGTGCCATGTCGGCGCAGTTCACATCTTTTTCATGGAGTGACTTCTTCTCGTGAGGTGTTCACCCACTCCTGTCCTATTCTAAACACATGGAGTACCAATGACAATTGGTCTACCACGCACGGTATGGATCCGAGAGCTGTTTATGGCTTCAGATCAAAGGCGGTGCAAGGTGTATTGTGCTGATAATCAGATGGAATCCGAGGTGCAGGATTCACAGTACCACGAGGATCTGCGTGCCTGGAGGCAGCTGGGGAAGTGTGACTCTTCGCTCGTGCGGAAGGTGAAGTTCATTCTGTGGATGTGATAGTAAGAATAGTGCTTTTACCCACCAGGAACATACGTTCATTAACTCGGAGGTGATGTTCGTGTGGGTATAAAAGGGCTTCGGGCTCGCTAGAGGAGGCTTCTGTGTCTCTTTTTCTGCTGTATATCTCGGAATACGATGTCTTCGGCGTCGCTCGAGCAGGTGTTGGTAGCGGATGCTAATCTGTCTATGCAGACAGGATACGCGGCAGGTGCGCGATGTGGCGCCTCTTGCTATGCTGTTTCACGTCCGCAATTGTTGATTTGATGTACGCAGTTGCGATGCTGTCTCTGGTGACATACGATTACCGTAGGGAACCATCTTTCAGGTGTGATAGTGACGAAGCTGAACGTGTAGGGAACGTTCAGTGCTTCGTTTTGATCTCGAGGTGTGTACGCGGCTGTTCATTAAATGGAAGTGCTGTTGAATAACGAGTAGCATGTATAGGTTGAGTTTATATGGGTGAGATCGCTGTTGCTTCTGCACAGATTCTCGGAAATCGAACTGTTTTGATAGAGCAAGAAAATGACATTTACTACCGGAGCGTACATGCTTGTGAGCCACTTTATGGGACGTCAGCATGGTCGATCACTCACTGATTGAACGGGCCGTACCTTGCTAGCTCCGCTACCTTGGAATTGTCTTTGTGGTGTAAGCGTCTGGACTACGTAGCAGGTTTGATAACTTACTCGAAAGCTTTGTAGGTTCACTGCAGGTACTTTCCATTATAAAGTACTTCAACTATACACGCCTTAACTCGAGGACTCTGAACCAGTGATGGACACAAACAATCCCTTCCCGAGTAGTGTGAGTTGTTCCACCCGTTTACACGTGCGGATTTATAGTGACCAAGATGTTTCTTAGGCGTAAGTGCGCTTGTAATGCAGTTCAACTAACCCTCTCATGCACATCTATGCAGATGTGAGGACCAGTAGCGATTTAACTTGCTTCATGGTTGATTTTTGAACGTGTCGTTTGATAGGCTTTCCTTTGTTTTCGACGACTCAAATAGCCTGTATCATTATCAACATCATCTTACAAGGTATTTTCAAGTATCAAATGGACTTTACACCCACCTCACATTGTATTGTGCTGTCAACACAGGCATGTTGTCTGTGCGCATCTACGTGCTTTTTGGGAGGTCGGCTGCAGTTCTACTCGCTCTTGGATCCTGTTTCGTTATTGCGCAACTGTTGAAGATCGGGTTCAATAGCTGGTTTCTCTCATCGGGACCGACTTCACTATGTGAGTTTATTAAACGCTCGCACGTCTCATTTACACTTTGAAAATAACCTTCTGTCAGACGAGTTTGGCTTCCTTAGCATCAATTTCTGCGTTCAAGACGTGCCGGTGAACCGCGTCTGGACCTACCTAGCAGATGGAACTACGATGCTCGTGTTTGAGATCATATTATGTGCATTTGCGCTGCGATATGCATTCAAGAGCCTCGAAGATCCGTTCTGGAAATCTCCAACGCGCTCGGTGGTGAGCCTCGGCTCGGTAATTGTGCGGGATAACTTGGTGTACTTCTTTATGTGAGTACCTGCCCACGACTTGACCTTTGAAAGGCTGATAACAAAACTAGTGCTTTAGTCAATACAGTTCTTATCGCGGTCTACGACTCACCTAACGTAGTGATTGTAAGTACTCGATTTTTAGTGATATTCAGCACGCTCACTGCCCGTCAAGTCGGTCGCCTACAGCTGCATTAGCCTGATCTGCCTAACCATCCTATGGGCCCTCGTCGGACCATGGATGATTATCAGCCTGCGCAAAAGTTATAACAGAGACATTGAGGAAGTGACTCCGAACGAACATGAGCTCACTACTGTGGCGTTCGTCACCCCGGCCACACCCGTGGAAAGCTATGTAGAGGTTTAACAGGGATTTGCACGTTGTGTGAATGGCCGGCATATACTTCGTATCCGTAGAATACGTAATTATGCGCTTGGAGCTTTATGAGTTTCAGCCATTCTAGGTTTTGTTTTCTAGCCATCTCCTATTTTGTACCAGTAGATATACACTAACAGTTCAGTTTCTTGTTTATATTCGGCCTGGGGCTATTGGTGTGTCTGCTTTACGATCCAAAACCCAATTCAGAATTGCATTCGGATGAATATCTCTGCCTCTGATATTGGTAATGACATGGGGTATTGATACGAGCGTTTCGCGAGGCAATGCTGTGCCTGGAGCAAGTTTAATGAAGGAGCACTTGCAGCATGTATATGCTTCGACGACCAAATATTGACCAATTTAAAGCTCCTTAGACGGACGTGTGCTCGTACCGTCGCTGTTGTGCTGAGAAGTTGATATATTTTGGGACGGTACTTCTGCATCTGAAATTATACGTGATCATACCAAATGGCTCTAGCGTAAGAGTCAGTCCGGAGACAATGGGACATGAATCATTAGCGCTTGGTTTAATCACGGACATGTCTCTAACGTGTCGGATGATCCTGTGCCGCCTCTGTCGAGCATTCGTTTCGATGAGTAAGTGAACACGCAGCCCCCTTACTCCGTACGCTTGTTTGTACACGGGTACCAGAAGATCATGAAGCGTTCCACAGACGTGTAGCTCAATGAGTCATTTGAAGAGGGGATATGATGGTACCTGACGGGGAAGACAAAACCATGTGGGTCGTGCGAGCTGCAGCGCCACTATCGAAGCAATCGCAACAAATGGAGCGATCAGCGACGACACGTTTCGTCCCCTTCAGAGATAAGCGCCTGTTAAGCGCCAATTCCAACCCGAGCCCACGGTAGCTTTGTGAAGATCTGCGCCACAGCCATCGTTACAACCTTGGCTCATGACCACCATTCCTTTCCTCTCTCTTACACCGGACCTACTCCCGTTGGTGAGGCAGGTCTATATCTTCCAATGCCACTGGTCCACTGATCCACGCCATGTTCCCTTCATTTAGGGTGCATCATGTTATGCCATTTTTTGCTCAATAGACACCTTCAAACATGTTCATCTCGGTTGCAATGGCATATAACGCCCAGCCAGTGATCGGGTTATTCATACCAACACGTGTAAGCATACCCTTTTGAGGTTTAGCAAGAGTTATAAGAGCACGATTGACATGCAGTGCGTTCCCCGCTTTACGGCACCTTTCTTATGAATTCGCGTTGAACAAGTTTCGAAGAACCTAGCCAATCGATATTGACAGTTTTGCGCAGCATACATGGCGCGGATCAAAACAAACACTGTCATAATAGTTGAATGGCTACATCCCAACACCCAGGAAAGCGACAGTGGGGCGCTTCATGGGAGACAATTCTCCACAAACGGAAAAAGGGTTTGGTAAGTGCCCAGTCGCCAGGGACGACGGGCGCTAGAGTTAAGGGTCAAGGCACCACCGTGCTTACGGCTTGCCTCGAACAACTGCAGATAAAAGGTCTCCCTCCCCCATAAATCCCGTTCACCTCAAGAACAGCCTCCCAAGCTGTCGTCTAGTAACGATGGCCTCAAACTTAGCCGAACAACAACTCGAAGAAGTGGTGGAGGATTTTCTATCTACCGACTACATGCTGGGTGAGCTCGCTGTGACTACAAGATTTTCATACCCATGTTGACCGTCCTTTCAAAGTTGCCGTTACGACCATGGTTGTGTATGACTATGGTGCGTTAGGTCCTCCGTATTATGCTGTGGATATGTTTGATTCCCGACGAGCAGTACTGCAGTTTCCGCTTGAGGTGCGTGCTCGACAAAATCATCTGTGCATCTCGTCTGAGCAGAGTGTGTCGCTTGCGCAGTTTGAGCTCATTTGGGTAAGTTGTATTATGGTTGATGTATGAAGTCCGTCGCAACCTTTTGCAGAGGAGAAAGTTTTCGTCGACAACACTAGCATATGTAATAGTACGAGGTCTCGGTCAACAACCGGTCTTGGATACTATTGCTAATAGATACGGATGTTTCAGCTCCGCTATCTCGGGCTAGCCTACACAGCGTGAGCGTTCAACACTTGTGATATGCGCTCGATAAACTTAGCAGGATACTTTCAGGTCTCAAATATGTAAGCGAGGTAATCTTGGTGTACCACGGAAAGCTAACAGTTGTGTGTAGTATTCAACTTCAGCGTGCCTTTGTCAAGTAAAGTGCGTTCCCTCTCATATATTACCCTATTGAGCATCGCTGACATTCGTCTGATACTGCTAGAGGTCAGTGATACTAGCGCTTTTGACTTACCTTCACCAACGTTCTACAACACAGCTGTAAGTCTTATCGCGCTAAGGACAGAGAATGCCACACCCACCGTTGTTTTCCGTTTAGGTTTCGCTCTGTACGCACTCGAGAACGTTGGACCAATAATCATCTTCTTCATCTTACAAGGTGAAACTCACAACGCGACCCAAGAAGCTCAGCTAACGTATTATTATAGGGATGATCTCCATTCGCATATACGTCCTTTTCGGACGAGAGAAGAAGCCTCTATTCGTCCTTGCTGTGTTTTTCGTAGTATCTCAGGGCGTCAACATCGCGTTATCGGCTCTCCTGTTGAAAGTCGCGGTCGGCTCTGCAGGTGAGTGGCCTGAATAGTGCCAGACTCGGAGGGTAAGACTAGACGGGCTCATCTCATCACTTATGTCATGCAGTGGAATCTGGGTTCCTTAGTTTCGATGTGTGTACCAATGGTAGCATCCCGAATATTCAGTGGCTATACCCCACGAGCGGCTCTATCTTGATCGTGTACGAAGCTATTATCTGCGGGTTCGCAGTCCGATATGCATTTAAGAATCTTGGGTCGTACGCTTGGAAGAATCCTGTTTCTTGTTTCAATACTCTTATGGCGATAATCGTTCGGGATAACTTGGTATACTTCTTCATGTGAGCGGACTCTCTCGTTACTCACATATCTATCTGAGAAGCTTTACGTTGCAGCGTGTTCTTTCAAGCTCTGGTCAACGTCTTAGCGGGCACAAGTAAGCTAGAGGTAAGCGAATATGCCAGCGCACGCTCGTGACCTCACTTACGACGTTTCGTTGAAGTCCCTTGCTCTTAGCTGCTTGGACGGCGCGCTTCTGACCATCGTCCTCGCCATGGTAGGACCATGGATGATAATAAGCCTCAGGAAGAACTACGAAAGAGACGTCAATGGTGATGTTTCTGAGGCTCACGAACTCTCTCCGGTTGCATTTGTTACCCCTGATAGCCGCCCAGATGGAGATGATGAAGTTTAGCGCTCCACACCGAGAATAAGCGATGCATGTACTGTACAGCACGCGGTTTGCTGGGATCGCACATATGGCCTACGGGGATCTCGTTCTGGCCATCATGCAGGCGTGTGTGGGTCGTAAGCTAGAATAGGATGATGGATGACGCGAGTGAAGAAAAGCCTTGCTAGTTCAGGCTGCCGGTGTAGTAGCCAGAGACAAATGTTAGCTGGATCCAGGTCAGCAGTACGCCTAAAGGGACTTGCGTAAATGTTGAAGGCAATCGATTATGCCGTATCGAGGGATTCAAGCAAGCGTTAGTAGTCTGGTGATACCATGACGGGCCTGCCATGACATGAGAGGGATCAGCGCTTGCACAACCAGAACACTGTTGGATGTCGAAGCGTGGGTGGCGGTCTGGTCGACCCGCAAGACGCGGGAAGGCCATGACATCCCCGAGCATCCTTGATAGATGCGCACTTTGTGGTTGCACCAGGGCCTTATCGATTGACCTTGCTTGGATTGCTAAGTGAGGATCTTCGGGATGCACAGTCGGTCGATGCAAAGTGGTGCCGAGAAAGTGCTACGCAAGAATTAGATTGCTTAGAAGATAACTGATATGTAAAGAGACGAGACAACATGAGGTGGGATGGATTAGGGCGTAGAGGTCACATAATACAATTGCCAGTGACGGACGGTCATATTCTAGATGAGAGGTCATTTCGTACACGCTACCGAATGTGAAAGACGTACGCACGCACCCCAGCAATGATGACGGCACCCGTCTACATCCTCACCAACGACGCAGTCCACCCATAATACCCCCTCCGAGTCGAAACTCTGAAACGCGCGAGAATGAAAAAGCAAGACCCACTTAGACATGTAAAACCCGCCTGCCTGAGACATCGCGAATAGTACGAACCCAATATTCACTGCCGCGCCGAGTACCAAAATCACCGCGAACGTAATCCGCGATCGTCACAAGTTAGTGCGCGGCGGCTTCTTCCACAGGTCGTATTCCGCGTGAGCGCCGAGGCCGGGCGGGCCTGGGCGGCTGAGCGTAATAGACGAACAACGAAATTGGATAAGCGCGTATGTGTCGGAGGCATCCAAAGAGATGTATGTGGGTCCAGGGGAGAAGGCGACGTTGAAGAAAGTGTAGATGCCGCTGAGATCGTAGATTGGTACGCAGATGCAGCTCTTAGTACAGCATGAAGCGGAAAAAAGGCTACCAAAGACAGACAGTGACCAAGTTAGCGCTGGAGTTGTTCAGGTGTTTCTCCCTATTCAAGATGGGTAAATGCATACTTCCAGGATGACAGAGGTATGCGCCACCGGGTTGACTAGCAACTTGGTACCGCACGTCCGAAAGCTTGATGCCGGGGTTGTAGAGCGAGGGCCATTAGATGTCGGCGTCATTGTATCGGGGCATGACTATGACTCATCCGAGTGTTTGGAAGATGCCATAGAGGCCAGTCACGGAGAACGTTGGAGGGCGCCAACTCAGCCTGCTGGCGACGGCACCGTGGTCGAACAACGGCCCGTGTCAGAGCATCTGCATCAACGCTCAGCCAATGGAGGCAAGCCCCTGTCAGTTGTTTTCCCACGCTTCCTCCGTCGAATCGTTGCAAGAGCCTCCAAGTCTCGGTTGAAGTCCTCATTCCACAAGCCTCTGCAGTACCTAGCGTCTCAGGTCTGTAACCTGTCATTGATTTGAGTAGCTGTAGTGAATATTTCGACTCAAGCACCTTATATATAATCCCCCAACTAATGTTGTTCATAAGTATGGCATATACACTTTGTGTACACTGGTACTAAGAACCATGACTGGAATTCTATCATGCAGAACATTTAGGGTAATATATCCTCTACATCAGCTTGGGAAACGCTCTCTCTAGCAAATTGTATGCTAGAAATTTGGTGTGCACTCTCCGATGCTTCGTCTGCCCTCCTGTCGTAACTCGTTCTCAGGTTGATGACCATCCACGGTCCAATCATACAGAGCATAACGTTCTGGAGCACGTTGTTGACCCCATTGTACACTGCAGATCCCTGTATAGCTGCTCAGTATATGTGATTAAATTACTAAAGCACGTGCACGTTGATATTCCTGACCTGAGCAGCTGAAGATTCGTTTACAGCATTAACAGCCATGGTTAAGAATGCCCTACAGACAGCTCTTAGTTATTTGTCGCTTGTCCAATAATGAAACGGTGTACATACAGGAAGAAGTACACCAGGTTATCCCGAAGTATGACGTTTATCAGAACGTTCACCGAGCGTTTTGGATCAGTCCAAAATGCGGTAGGCAAATGTCTGATCACATAGCGTATAGCAAATCCACACACGACAGTTTCATATACGATCAGGGCTAAGTCGTCCACTGGATAGGACCATTCCTCCGTTGGAGAAACCCCATAGGTGCACCAGTGGAAGCCTTCGATACTTTGTTCCACTGTGTGAAAAAGTTCATGTCACAACGAGAACTCAAATTCAAGTCATAATCATTAATAGTAACGCACCGGAGAGGCGAAGTTGTATTGCGATATTCATGCAAATAATTGCAACGTTGACGCCCTGAGTAATGATGAAGAATGCTATGAGAACAAGTAGAACCTTCCTGGACTTCTCGAAAAGCACAAACACCCGCATAGCCAGCATTCCTGTAAGAGATTGTCAATTCATTGTTGATGTCATAGAAGGGCTTAGGTGAACCTTGAAGCAGAATTATGACTATCATTATTGCCACTTCAGTACAAACAAATAGGGAGAAACCTGCAGACACGGTAATTGTCAGTGTACCGCTTACATAGCCAGCTGATTTGGGTTTACAGCTGAAGTGGGTGGCCGGATCGGACATTGTGTCTCAATATATGGGATTGGTGTCTACTAAGAGCCACATACCTCTGCGTGCGAATTTCAATACAAGCTGAATATCTGGTCCAAAGGAGAGACCACTTACTCGATTGGATAGTGGTAGAGTGAAACTCCTGACTACATTATTATCAGGAGTTAACACCTACGGTAGAAAACACTGATAACATACTCATTACCATCCTACATCGCCCTCAGTTAGTAGCCTATAACTTTTAGGTCTGTTTATCAGTCCCTTACACCGCAATAGCCAGACCGAAATAGCGAAGCTGTAAGGTTCCATAATGTTTTAGGATAAGTGTATGCCAAACCAACGGGGTTTCACATACTGTTATATACACCACAGATGAGAGTGTCAATCTTTTCTTCTGTATAACATGAGCGACCGGAGAAGGTTCGAGAAGAGGTGATTTCTTACCCATATAGTCTCAACCTGATGTCAAAAACATAAGTGAAATGCACGACGAAAGCTGAACGTAAGTACCTCGAGCGTAAAGTTAAGTGCTGGTAATGACATTGATCATGCAGGTGAATTGATGAAGAGATCCAGTACATACCATAGTCATATATCACCAGGACCGTAGCAGAAACTAGACGGTAGGTCAGAAGACATAGTATCCCAGTGTTTTGAAACAGAGATCACTCACCTACTGTATAGTATAGTACCAATCGTTCGCGAAGCTCTTGTTCAACTGTATCCGGTGACATTGGAGGAACGTAGCGGAAGGTGAACGTAAGGGAACACGATATCACCTGTATTATACATCCAAGAAAAAAACTAAAAATAGAATATCAAGAAACAGCTATGGTGGAGTATGCTATGTGGAGTTGTAGGGAGCACAGATTTGGCTGCATCTGTGATCTCGGGACATGACCAAATGGTACTTATACTGGACCAGCAAGCATTCAGATTGATATTCAACTTACAATTTGGCCGCCTCCTCTCTTCTCTTCGATATCATCTTGGGATTATTCTGAATGCGATTATGTCTATACACTACATGTTGAAAGTTAGCTGAACATAATAGTGACATAAAGTTATGTCGCTTACGAGCTTGCTATGCGTGTTGGTAATACATCAACAAGTGGAGACTGTGGGAGGTCATGAGTTCATCATATCCAAAGATACGGGCTATCTCTCCATAGCGAGATTCTTCGCACAGCATCTATACCAGTATTGGGCTTGATGCCCTTCTCTGGGACTTGGCGACCTACGTCCATTGGTGGTAGCACCTGGTGGCACAGAGGTGCCTATAATTCACAAACTGAAGATGGATCGAGAAAATACTAAAGCGAGTGCCTTACACTTTTGGCACTGTCAAAGCGTCTCGCTAACGAAAGTGATAAACTTAGCCCCTGTCTCTAAATGCTTCCACGCGCCAGTACATCGATCCGACTCCTTGCCAACTCCCCCAACTCAGAGTCGGAGTGTTTTCTGTGGCCTCGTTCTTCTTTTCAACCCGAAAACCCTAGAATTTATTTTGATGCTGCCATCGATTACTAAGGTTCAGTCGCCATCTGACCTTTTGACCAAGGACGCGTCGCAATAGGGAGCAGATCACCAAAAGACCCAGTGATTCTGACTCGGCCTGCGAGCATCCTTTGCTGGCAGATATGTGTTTAGCACTAAACAGTTGAACATGACCAGGTTCGTTGTTTTCTAATGGATCCAGGCACACTTTCAGCCCATGCGTCTTGCAAAGCTCTGTAAACCCATTGCGCAGCTGTGCATCCAAATTGGAAACCCTCCGCGAAGCTAGGAGGCTTGGTGGCTTACGGATCTCCCGTAGAAGCAGTTACGGACCACTTGTACTCCTACTTATAGATACAGCTCGCAGGTTAACTGACTAGAAGCCGGCCAGCGAGACCGAGGGATGTTGCAACGTTACGCGAGCTGCCAGTATGTGGACAAACTTTCCCCACTTTCTTTGCTACGTTGAGTCGCTTCTCAGTTATTGACGAGAACCAAACCATTGGCATCTCCAAGGATGTTTGCTTCTGAGGTAAGTATCTCGGAAATATTGCTGACAGCGCTTACAATTGTATGTAGGTTGATCTAATCATAGAACGTAGAAGACTGCTGGAAGATGCCGCTATCTTGGCTTCTTTTTGATGACCGTCGAATGGTTCCTGACGCAGACGGCCTTACCACAGATGCACTCCACTCTGTTCACGCCATCACTCCACAGGCCCTAAACTTTGTGTACTGGAAAAGACAGAACATATACTTCCATGACACTCGTCAAATTCGTATCGACCGAGAAGAGATACCATCAGCGAATGTGCTTTCGACTTTACCACTTCCGCCGGGTCGTACAATCTCAGGCCTAAGATGCGGATACTTGCGTGCAGGGACTCTCCAGATCATATCTGGAATATGACCAAATGTATGTAGAAAGCAGAGACTCGATGCACTCTCACGAGCATTGCCCTGATCAGTGCCAAGCTGACTGGTTAACTAGCTTGGGCAAAAGAAGCCGATAGGTCAAGACTTGGTCTCAAGATATATATGTCAGCACCAGCTTTTATTTACTGTACTTGCTGACGCCGCAGTCGCTGGCAGCTGATAATGGCATGGAAGATGTGGACAGGAAGATGCGAGCAATTATTACGCAGAATGTTAGTGAGAACGTGCAAGCTGTCGCGCAGAGGAGCCTACTCTTGGGCCCGTTAATATGAATAACCTTTCCAGTAATGCGGTAGACTCTCACGAAGCGCGCAAGTCCGCCGAACCTTCGCAATTGTCATGTGCTAAATAAAACCCTCTCCAAACTGCTTATATGAGGTTACGGTCTGCCCTTTACTCCAAAAACTCTTGTCTGCTTCTTCAACGCACTAGTAATGTCGTCTACTTCCATCGACCAAGAACTTGCATTATGGGCGGCGGAGTCATTGCTGGAGGAGTATGCGATGGGTACGTGATCTGATGCATAAATCATAAAATGTACCTGAACATCTGTTCAATCGTTGGCAGTCGCCGCGTCGGCTCTAGTATACTATGACTACCGTGAGCCTTTTCGATGGAACGTTATCCGTGACGCTGATTATGAATCTCGACGGATGATGCTTTCCTCAGTGTCAAACCTTTCACTAGAGGTACATATCTGTTGTATCTGTTTTCAGCCCTCATCCTAACTCGATGCACCCGCAGATAGATCTAATCTGGGTGAGCCAAGAATCTGATGAAGAATCACCAATGTGCTCATCATTTTAGACTAAGAAGCTCTCGTGGGCCACTGTCGTATATGCTATTGTACGGGTAATAGTTATTCCGTGCAGTGTGAAGCTGAGAAGCTAGGTTCTATAACGCAGTTACGCTATCTTGGACTTGCGATTCCTGCGTGAGTGGCATTTCACCTTACCATCTTTGAAGAGAGAATTAACGAACAGGGATTGACGGCATTTTCAGCTTGTACTTGGGTGACTGCCAAAAGTATCTATAGCAAGAAAATTGTTGACATCGCCCTAGTTTTCAACCACACCACCATGCCACCATCCGGTAGAGTGTGTACCCTATACACGATCAAAGTTTGCATCAAAGCTAATCTGGAACGTTTTCACATTGAAGAGGTAAATGGCTCTCTTTGATTAAGTGACTTTGAGTTGTGTGCCGACTACTTTGGCTAGCTGTAAGCATGCACCGCTGATGTTGACACCGATATGTACTTACGTGATCGTGGTGTAGGCCTCTCTACATGGGTAGCACTTCAAATATGCGTTACAGGCAATATGTTTCTTCTGCAAGGTTTGTATCTCATTGAGAATATAATACTGCACTGATGCTGCATTGTGCAGGAATGATGACCCTACGAGTATATGTACTGCTGGGCAGATCAACAAAGGCTCTCATAATTCTGCTTTTACTATTCACTGCCGTACAGGGTCTTAATATTTCCGCAACCTTTGTTCTAATTGCAGGCATGACTAATGAATTCGGTGAGCTCTATCTATGGACTGCGATCAGGACACTCACATATCTTCTTTGCACAAAGCTGGTATCGGCTTACCAGGGCTGTACTTTTGTGACATCGGTTTCCCGCCGTCCCTTGGTTGGATAAACCCAGCAAGCAGTTCGGTGCTGATTGTATACGAAGGCGTGCTTTGCGGACTTGTCCTGTGGTACGCTTCGAGGCACCTTTGGGAGGCCTTTTGTCGTAGCCCAGGCCGAGCAGCCAACACACTGGCGTCCGTCATCCTGCGCGACAACCTCATCTACTTCTTCCTGTACGCCATGTAAACCGTTACTCTTGCAAAGCTGACGGTTTAGTTCTAGGGCTCTGCTATCCATGTTTCTGAGCGCCCTGAACCAAGTTCCGAGCATAACGGTCGTAAGAGAACCCTTCTTTTGCTCAGATATAATTTCATCGCTAACTAATGCAACAGTCACTCGCGTATAACTGCCTTGACGACATATTCCAGACTTTTCTGTTCAGTATGGTTGGTCCATGGATGGTCATTTCTCTTAGGAAGAGTTACGAACGGAGCCTCTCTGAAGGGGATTCTCAAGCGTACGAGCTAAGTACTGTTGCGTTTACGTCTGCCATACGCCAACCAGAGCACGGGTTTGCATCGGTACAGGATGGGAAATGTGCGGTTATTGATAAATTGTAATCGGCGCCGAGATTTTGCGTAGCCTATGTTTATAATACGCCAGGTACCAAAATAATTCTGAGATGGTTTATTGCCTGGTGCTCGTACATATTGAGCATGTCCAACCTATTTACAATACATGTATACCCCGAGAGAGCCATCTGGCATGTGTCATGGCGCACACAATATGGGTTGTTACATTCCCAGCTGCTGCTATGGCCAGAGTAGCGCTTGGACCATGTGGCTGGTTGGACTTGTACGTGCTTGGGTACGCAAAAGCGCTTGGACTTCTGCGCCTTGCATCGTGACTCTCGCGCGCTTAGACTGGTTTATTCGCACCGGGAGTCGCGCACTGCTGCAAGTCCAAGCTGTGAGGCGCGCACATGCTCGAGCGTCCATGTTGTGTTGACGGGCACTGTGCGCTTTGGCGTCCTGTAGGTATATAAAGACTCTGAATGGTACCCCGGAATGTATGTTCGTCCGTCTTCTCTGGCTTCAGAGCTCTTCCGCATCGATGCTCCCGACTTTCTGGCTCTTCTCCGTCCCTGTCTCTGGCTTTGGAACATTTCTCGGGTTCGGCCCTTGGATTTTCTTCGCGAACATGAAAGCTGCCTGGCGCTTCATCAAGAGGACGGTGCGTACGTCTCCGGGAAACAAGAAGACGCTAGCGGTGCCTACTCCGCCAGTCGCTGATCGACATGCTTCCGTCCCTTGTGTACCTATTTTTGTGAGTTTGTGGACTAAAGATTGTTGGAAGTGAGAACGAGAAGGACTGATGATGGTTTCAGACACCGGTCGGGAGAAATGCGTTGGAAATTACTTCTGCTAGTGACCAATGTCGTGATGGCTCTGATATTCTGACGAAGGCTGTGGATCCTTCCTCGTCACAGGATCAGGGGACGAACCAGACCTCTGCTTCTTCCGCTGGCGAAGCCACTAACAGCACTGAGGGAACTGACACCGATGTAGAAGAATACGCTACTGCTAGTGAGACTCCTCACGGGGATAATGAAGCGCTTGCTCACGAGCGTGGACCAGACGATTCTAAGGCGACGGTGGAGGACTTTGAAGCAGGGCTCGAACGCTTTAGGCTAAAGCTTAGGCGTGTTTCAGATGAAGTGGACCGTATCAAGGCTGCTCGCGAACGTGCTGTTGCTCGGGCTGGAAAGCGTCCTTATGGCTCTCAGAGGTAATGTTGCGGTGAAGAGCAAATATTTTGAATCTCAGAAAGGTCTCTATGCGGTTTTCGAGTATGTTAAGTATGCTGAAATGTGAACACTATGCCTACGAAACCTACTTGTGAGATGGTCACAGTACGAAACGATGACAGAAGGATGAAACGTTTAACGAGCGTCGGTACGTCATCTAGTTCCGGCGTTCACGTTCAATGAACGAACAGCGGCGACTGAGTGGGTGAGTCATTGAAAGTGAGGTGATGTGTCCGTAAAGCCCGAAGACTTGCGGCTGAGTGATGCGCTGAGCAGCGCCTTGTGGTCGACGTCGATGACATGGAGCATGTTCTTGAGGAGATCGGACGATCGGAGGACCCGTCGGAGGTTTTGTCATCAGGGTCTAGAATCTGTTTTACTCCACGCCGTGGCTGTGCACCTAAGAGAGTGTCCCGAACTCGGACGACGTCGACGCTGTCTTTCTTGTCATTCCTCCTTTCCTTCTCCCTCTCCCTCCTTCGCCTCGCATATACACAACAGGCTCCAACTATCACAAGAGGGCTCACATATTCTGCACAGTGAGCGCGTGGTGATCGAATGGTGCACCGCCCAGCCGACTCGCGCCTGCTCGCGAACCTTATAACCAACGAGAAAGACTATTCTAAACACCTCCACGCTCTCTTCCCCCTCTCACATACTGCCCTCGCTTCTCTCTCTGCATATGCATCTGCGTCTCCATCTTCCCCAGCACATGCCCTCACCTCCCTTGTCGACATTCTCGCCGGCGTCGACGATGCATTCCAGCGGTACACATCCGCCGTGGACAAATGGCGCGAAGAACTTACAGCACTCAAGGCGCTCGAAGATGAAGTTGGAGACGTGCTTCGTGATCGAGAGATACTGTCAGTCTCCTTCGCTTCTTTCCTCGTGTAACTGCACTGTACTGACACATGTACTCTCGTGCTCGTAGCGTGACACGACTCATCAAGGCGTCCAAGACGTCCAAACGCGACTCGCGCCCACCGTTTTCTATGCGCAACTCTGAGACTGACTCGTTCTCTTCCACACCTTCGAACGTCTCCTCGAACACTAAACTCTCTCATGCTCAAGCCGAACTGTCCGCCTGCGAAGCTCATCTCGCTGCCAAGGAGCAAGAACTCGAAGCGCGACGCATAAGTGCCATACGGGACGGCCTGGGCCACCGCTGTCGTGCCCTCGTAGATTGCGGCTGGGTGATGGGTGAGATGGGAAAAGATGGTTTGCGTGCGCTGCAGGAGCTCGGCGGGCTACCGAACGGACACGGTACGTCTACCAACCTTTGTGAATGTTACCTGGCTCATCAAACACCAGCCCCAAATGGCTCAGCCCCCTTCCCCTCCGCCTCCCCTTCCCCGAACGCGTCCAATAAACCAAACCTACCATACCTCTCTCCGACGCCGATACCCGCCCACCTCCAATCGAACAACGGCACAGGCGTAGGCTCCGACATCTCCTCCTTGACGCCCTCTCAAAGCGCCTCCCAGATCTTCGTCCGCGGGTCCGAAGACGACCACCACGTCCCCGCGTCGCCCACCGCCAAAGACGCCCACGAACAAGAAGACGTGATGCTGCACATTCCCCCCGCGCACTCCATGTCCGAGCTCGACCTCCCCACCGGCGTGCGCTCCCCCGCCCGCGCTCTGTCGCCACTGGCGATCCCGAACGGGGCTGCGAACGGGAGCACGGCGTCGTTGCCTGCGCAGCCTGTGCAGCGGCGGCCGACACAGAACGGGGGGAAGAGGCAGAGGAGGCCGCTGTCGAGGCGCATTACGGAGGTGTCGGAAGGGGAGGAGGAGGGGCCGGTCGCGGGCGGGTCGTATTTCCCGCGTAGACGCGATCGGGGAGAGGCGAGCAGCAGCGACGACGAGGCGCAGCTGGGCCCGTTGCGCGCCGTGGACAATGATCCGTTTGCGCGCGGCGGTGCGTCAGGCGTCGGGACGGGTGCGGGCGCGGGGCTGCATAAGCGTTTTACGCTCCGGCATCATACTATCGGGAGCGCATCCGACGTCGCTTCTTCGCCTGTACGCGGCTCGGAGAAGGAGAAGAAGGGCAGCGGGTTCTTTGGGTCTATCAAGGGTCTGTTCGGGAAGAAGGATGGGAAGAAGGAGAGTCAGCGGGTGGCGTCGGCGCAGCAGGCGTTTGCGTTTTCGGACTGGGAGACGGCGACGGAGCCGCCGGCGCCGCCGAGTCGGGCGAAGGCGGGGATGGGGAGGTGGGCGACGAGGACGGATGCGAATGTGAAGGCTTCGAGAAGGAGGGGGGATGGGGAGTCGTCGGGCGAGGAGGAGTTTGGGCCGTCGGGGACGGTGAAGGGCAAGGGGAAGGGGAAGGGCAGGGCAGGTGGTGGTGGTGCTAAGCTGAAGAAGCACGGCGCTGGCTGGGCTTCAGAGGATGGTGGGGCCGATAGAGAGGCGACAGTCAGGAGGAAGAAGAGCGCCGGGCTGGGTGCTGCAGGCGTGAGTGGGAGTATGAGGCGGAGGGCGGTTAGTCAGCAGGCTGGGTCGCCTGCGAAGGCTCCTGTGGCGGGGCATGCGAGGGCCAAGTCGACCGACGTGGTCGTTGTCGAGCCGGATACGACTAATCTCTCGCGGTCAGCGTCTACCAAGAATCCGGCCGTTGGTGGCGGATCCTCGGTGTCGCGCAACAACTCGCTGTCGAAGGGGAGCATCATGTCTGCCCCTGCTACGCTCCATACCGGTGCGGCACCAAAGAAGGCGAAAAGGGTGACCGTCGACGGGGACACGTTTGTGCAGCCTGTCGCGGGCAAGCACGCGAGCGCGGTTCCTGCCTCATCCTCGTCCGCGCCCAAACCCGCACCAGCGTCCAACGCCCACCCCACACCGCCGAAGCCCCCAGCAGAAACCAACGACGGCACACCGAAACGCTCGAGCTCGATGCGGTCCAACGCCTCCGCCGCGACACACACCAGCACAAATACTGCGTCGGACTTCAGAGCGAAGAACCGCGCACAGAAGGCGCGGACGATGCCGCCGCCCGCGAAGCCGAGCGCCAGTGCCAACGTGAACGGGAGCGCGGAGACGAGTCTGATGAGCATCGTCGAGGACGTGTCGCGTCTGAACCGCGCGGGGTGGGCGCATGCCAAGGATGCCACTCGCGATGCTGGAGAGGCCGGTGGGGGGCTGGGGAGTGCGGTGAAGAATTTGTCGACGGCTTCGTTGGTGGGGCGAAGGAACAGCACGAGTGGAGGCGGAGGTGGGAAGCTGGATGGGCTGCCAGGGGCGTCGCTCATTGAGGTGCCGAAGGCGCCGAGTTTGACTGCGCCTGTTGTGCGGGTGGCGAGTTCGGATGGGGGCGCACCGCCGGCACGCTCGGCGTCGTACGATGTCCCGAGGTCCTCTTCGTCCGCTGTGGCCGCGTCGGCGCCGCAGAAGTCCAAGACGGCAGACTGGCTTAGTCCCACAGATGCTCGGAGCGCCAATGGTGGTGCGGCGGGGTTGACAAGAGGCGCTTCTGTCAATTCGGGGACGAGCTCGGGCTCTGGGTCTGGTTCTGGGAACGGGATGACGAGGCCGGCTGTGAGCCCGCTCAAGAGCGCGTTGAGGAACATGAGTCGGACGCCGTCGCCTGCGCCTGGGCTGCCTGCGAGCGCCTCGCATGTGCCTCCTGCGGCTGCTTCGTCGTCGCTTGCGAAGGTGGTCGAGGGTGAAAATTTCGTTAAAGCGGAGCAGCCGAAACCAGTGCCGAAGCCGAAGGTGGAGGAGGAGAAGCCGCGGGGACGTGCACCCGAACGCGAAGCCCCGTCACCGATCAAGATTCCTCAAAGCCACAGCCAGGACAAGACTCCCGCTTCCTCTCAGGCTCGACCGCAGGCATCCAGACGGTCGAGTATGACGTCCATTTCGTCGTACGAGACTGTCAACGAGGACTTTGCAAGCGCCGATGAGGGCTCGGGCTCTGACTCTGGAACAGAGGGCGGGGGAGGTGTTAACGGGCACGCTGGGCCTGCTCCACCGCCGCACGATCACGATCACATGGACGACGGGGCGTCGACTATTTCCACGGAAGTTGGGCCTTCCGCTAGAGCCTCCACTCCCCCTGCTGCGCCAGCGGCGGCCCCTCCACCGCCTGCGAAAGACCCCGCTCCAGAGCCAACGCCGATGGCCGAAAGCGAAGGGATAGTCGTAAAGCCAGTACGGAGGAAGAGCGTGCGCATGTCGCTCCAGCCGACGTTCTCGCCGACGCCGCCGGCGTTGGACGAGGACGACGAGGAGCACGAGGCGCGATGGGCACCGTGGGATGATCGAGCTGCTTCCCGCTCGCAGGCGCAGGCGCATTCGCAGGGGAATGGGCTTGGGAATGGGAGCGCGAAGGCTGGGGAGGTGGATATGTGGGAGGACTCGAGCGACGAGGATGAGGAGTATCGGCGGGCGAGGAGGCTGTTGATGCGCGTTGGGAAGAAGGAGCGGGAGAAGGGGAAGGCGCGGGCGTAGACGTGTGTTGTGTTTTCCGATTGGGTTTTCCTGTCCATGTGCATTTGTGGGTCTCATTTTGTTGTTGTGCCTCCGTTCGTTCGTTCGTTTGCCATTCGTACTTCTTTTTGTTGTTGGTTATTGTGCTCTTTGGGTCACTTTGCACGTTCGCTTACCTTGTCTCGTCTCGTTTGTTTTTAATGCGCTACCTCGTTATATTCGTTCTAGTTACTCTGGATTGTGTTACCTTGAGTGTCATTCATGGACAAACGCAATCGGAAGCTGTGCTCAGGTCATGTAGGAGGTGTTCACTACACTCCATCAAGTTCTTCCATTCCATCACTGGGTGGAGAGTTTACAAACGCCACAGTGGTAAGCTCGTGCGCATCACGGCTCTCGCCTTCGATGCTTTCTTCATGACTCCATCACAAGCTGATCATCAGCCAAGGTCCGACCATATCAGCCAGGATAACCATCAGCGTTGCATCTACGTAACCAATCACTGGGGACTAGAAGATAATGCCGTGTTAACGCTGGCGTCTCAGTCCATGGAGAACATGTATTACATCACCCAGAGCGGGAGCCTGCTGTATAGCGTTGACGACCATGGAGATGAACGGACTGTATGTTTCTCTGTCAGTCCTGAATTATAATGGATGAAATCTTCTTACACGAAAAAGTATAGCAGGTTGTCCCGAACAATAACTACCATAAGATTGTTGAATCGATGCGCGGACGAGGTCCAGAAGCATTCGTGGGTATGCTTCACGGCGTAGGATATAGTCAGACCGCATAGTATAGTTTCATATGCGGTGAGAGCGGCACTGTTAAGCGGGAGAATCCATACTCCAACTGCAGGCTCAGGGTCGGTGCAACGATTTATCCCGAGCACAGAATATGGAGTTTCACGAGAGCAATTGTTTCCAGAGAACCATCGTGCTAGAGGATGAACGACTCACCAATGGAGTTAAACATCTCTTGTATTGCGATGAAATTTGTCACGAGATTGACAATTTGGACAGTTGAGAAACACGCCAATAGATAAAAGAGCAATTTGGCTGGTTGCCCGCAGAGAACGTATATTCTGACGGTCATCATCCCTGTACAGTATGGTGAGTTAGCCTCGCAGAATGTCCTCACTTACGCATACACGTACCTTGGAGCAGAAACAGATTGATCAAAACACTCAGTTCTGACGTAGCCCACGTCGAAAAGCCTATGGGATACTCGTTCGTCGGTGCTTACAGGTATATCCAAGACGACGAAAGCCCGTCTACACTTACATCTAAAACATTCGGTAGAATAAGATTGCTACCCGAGTAGAAAGAAACACTTGGAAAGATACCCCTGATAATGATAACGTCAGAGCATATTCTGACTTTATCTAACATAGACACTCACAATACCGGAGAGAAAGATGTTAATGCTGAGAAGTACTTTAGGAATGATGTTAGTAGTTTCCCCGTATGTTACGCAACTTTGACAAACCGAGGCTAAAGCTGTTTGTGTACGTTTATGATGTATTCATTACGAAGAGATATAGAAGATGCGCCTACATGACATTTCCTACTCCAAGATAGCGCATCTAAGGAATATAGTGGCGTATTAGCGTGTTTAGGGGCATATGAGACGATCCGACTTGCCAATACATATGCACCAGTGGTCGACGAGAATTTCCGATTCTGTGCGGCATCAGTGGACCTTTTTAATTTCATGTGCATCTCCATGGAATGCATACCCATATAAGTTCTATCTAGAAATCGAAGGACTTCATGATAGGATTAGTATCATTAGCACTACTATCGCTTACCTCAAGAGGTAGGTTAAGGACTGCAAGGGACAAGTCAGTACGAACAATCCGAATAATATGTACTCTGCAATAAACCATAGTCGTATAGAACCATAGTTCCAGTTGCGGCTGGAAAGCGACATGATGGTGAGTACTTGTGCACTAGTAGATGAGTGCACGTATCCTACCTGTCACGTAGTTCGATATCATAATATTTTGCTTAAGCGATACAATCTGTTCTTGTGCGGAATTTGAAGACATATTTGACGAAGAGAGATGTAAGAGAGACTAGAGATTAGGCTGAAGTGAACTTTTCTAGTGCGCTGTTTTATATCTGTTCTGGTGACATTTTATGCATGGAAATGTTCACGTGAAGCAGTGGACGTATCCAGGTACAGAAAGGCATAGCACTTTGCATCAGACAAGGACTCGTGAAACATTGGCAACCATCCGATCCCGAAGATCTTTACGGTAGATCTAATAGAGGCTGTTTACGCGTTTACGGAGGTCAATGGCAGAAATTGAGTACTTGGAATACGTAAACTCATGCAAGCTGTGAGCAAGAAATAACAAGATTACTTATAAAGTATACTCTCTCAACGTGCTGGCATCCGATCGCGGGATACCTTCTTAGATCCTTCAAGCATAGTAATGCTGCTACCGTATAGGATGTTGATTGTGGCACGACCCAAATGATGGCGCATCACATAAAGTTGGTGGCAATGAACACAGATCCGTTCTCGGATCTTCGAACCCAATACGATAGTATAGTGAACTTTTGTTGAGATAGGACAATGATCTAAAGCAGTGCAAGGGATTAGAGAATCTCAATACATCGATAGAAGTGTACATGAAACAGCAGGTAGGAGTTCATAAACCTATTCTATGTTCGCTTATTTTATATAGCTTGCTATGCAGCAATCTATTACCCAGAAACGATGCTAACAAACATGCTTATCTATCATCTGACGCAAATAGACGCCAAGTTTCTGCGTCTTATGGACTCGGATAGAGAGCCAACATGCCCGACCGAAATAGAGTGTTGCATCAAATACAGCCTTCTTTGTGATTCGTCACTAACGCAGGAAGCCACCCCCTGCTTTCTCAGGGCCTTATCTATCACACCTTAAGGATGTACGTACTATCGACCGGTGATCTCCATACACAACGCCCACTGGATGGACATCACAAGCTGGGTAGAGCTTGAATGACGAGTACGGAAACAAAGTTCTGGACAACGAGAGACCTTTCTTTGGCTGTGACGGTCGGTATATGTACTTCGGAAGCAGCGTTCTCTGAGAAGTACTGCCACAGGGTGCCGTAAAGCAAGGCCCTGATGACAAAACCCCCAACAGATGATTCCAATCACGTCCTCCGATTTCCTCAAGAACATGCTCCACTTCAATTTCCATACCATCAACATATCGACCACAAGGCGCTGCTCGGCGCATCATTCAGCCACAAGTCTTCGGGCTTTCCGGGCATATCACCTCACTTCCAATGACTAGTGGTCACTATTAGTTCATTGAATGTGGGAAACAAATGACGCGCCGACGCTCGTTTCATCCTTTGCCTTATCGATGCTGCCATTGATTCGTACTATGAGATCATCTCACAACCAGGCTTAACACGAGAAAGTAGGTGTCATAGGCATAATCTCACATTTCAGCATACTTATCATACTCGAAAACCGCATAGTAACCTTTCTTAGATTCAAAATGTTGCTCTTTGCCGCAACACTATTTCTGAGAACCAGAAGGACGCTTGCCAGCCCGAGAAACAGCACGTTCGCGAGCAGCCTTGATACGATCCACTTCATCCGAGACACGCCTGAGCTTGAGACGAAAGCGTTCGAGCCCGGCCTCAAAGTCCTCCACCGTCGCCTTAGACTCTTCAGGCCCACACCTGTGAGCAAGCGCTCCGATATCCCCATGAGGAGTCTCACTAGCAGTAGCGTATTCTTCTGCCTCGTCGCTTTCGGTTGCCTTAGCGCTGTTAGTGGCTTCGACAGAACAAGCTGAGATCTCGTTTGTCCATCGAGCCTGCGCCTGAGAAGAGGAAACATGTGTCGGATCACCAGAGCCATCGCGAGTTTGATTACTGGCAGAGGTAATTTCCAGGGCACTTCTCCCGACTGATGTCTGAAAACGTTGTCAGTTCTTTTGTTCTCATGCTTACCATTGGTCCACAAACTCACCACAATAGGTACACAAGGAATGGAAGCACGACGATGAGCGGCTGGCGGCGTAGGTACGTCAGGCATCGCTAGTGTCTTCCTGTTTCCTGGAGACGCACGCACCGTCCTCTTGATGAATCGCCAGGCAGCTTTCATGTTCGCGAAGAAAACCCAAGGACCGAGCCCGAGAAATGCTCCTAAGCCAGAGACAGGGACAGAGAATAGCCAGGAAGCCGAGAGCCTCGATGCGGAAGAGCTCTGAAGCCGGAGAAGACGGACGAGCATGCATACCAGGGTGTCATACAGAGGCTTTATAAACCTACAGGACGTCAAAGCGCACAGCGTAGGCGGTGCCGCTTTACCACCTCGAAAATGCGGCGCAGCTTCGCAGCTTGGATGAACTACGATACGTGAGCCCTACACTACAGGCAAACCGCCTCATTCTAGTGCCTAAAATCAACAAGAAAATGACCTGGAATGGAATCATTTCCAGCAATATTTTCCCTTGTCGAAAAGACGTTAAATAGTTTTCATGTTCTAGCCGATTTTCAGGCGGCGGAAATCAGATCCCCTTCCATTTATAGAAAGTCTGCCGGCGCGGAGACTGAAATCTGACACCAACTTGCCATTTTAGGACACTCGGCGTCTCAGAAAATATTAACTTTTCTGTCCTGCGGAAATCTACAAGAAAATGATTCCATTCCAGTTCATTTTCTTGTGGGTTTTCGACATGAGAATGAAGCGCTTTGCCTGTAGTGCTAGTGCATTGCAGAAGTAGCCCAAGCGCACGAAATTCACGGTGCAAAAGCCCGAAGTCCAACACATCTGCGTCCATCCAGACAAATGGTCCAAGCGCTGCTCCGGCGACGACGGCGACTGGGCCATCGAGCGGGTCCTACGACTCATTTCCATGGAGTTCGCGTTGATCTGCTAGACAATTCCGATGGTGTTGGATGATAGGCGCTATGGGCTCGAAGGACGAGCCCAGTTGGCCGCCGCGGCAGTCGCAGGAGAAGAGAGCGTAAGGATGAAAACGGCCGTGGGAGAAACTGGCTTCTACTAGCGTATGGATGAGATGCGTCGGCCCGACTTCCGGCCCGATTTCAACCTTCCTAGTAATCCTACTGCCCTACCCTGCGGTCTCTCTTGATCTCTCCTGATCTAGTCGCTGAAATGACGTTACCTTCAAGCTACAGAGACCAGAGCCCTCCAGGGCCTGCAGATTCGCTCAGCGTGACGCGCCTGATGTGTCCGAGACGAGCGCGGAACGTTGAGCGCTGAGGTTTGCTTCACGCGGCATGAGCAGCACCATCATCGTACGAGTTGAACCCGAATCGGATGTCGTCATCTCCACTACTACACTGGACTCGTTCTACTTTGTCATCTTCATAGAACGTCCATCTGTTCACCATGAGGCAACAGCACTAGTGCTGGATCCTCAATCTCATCCCCAGTGAAAACTTGCTGCGAGCAGTTCGGGGCTATTCAGAGCCATTCGGAGAACTGGGGCCGCTCTATGGATGCTTCTTTGATCCTCCGAATGGCTCTGTACTGCTCCGACCTCTGGAAAATTCTCCGAACCCTGAGTGTCAATTTTGGGAGCGATTCGGAGCAGTTCAGAGTGATTCGGAGCGCGCCTATCTGAGTAAGCAAGCTCAGTTTACTAAATCAATTCCCAAATCCAAACCTGACAAGATTTGATCTGTGCAGTCCCATAAAGCATGCAAAGCTCGTTTTATGTTTGGAATCTCGACAAACAACAGTACATGCTAGGTGTATATCTACAGCAGGAGTAAGAAGAACCGGTAAATACGAACGAGATGTGCGCAATTCTGTCTGAATCTGTGGACTCTGGAGTATATATCATGAAAATTTCGAGTACTCACAGATATTTGACGTTGATTTGACGTAGAGCAGATTCTTGCAGATAGTTAGTTCGCACGCAAAGTAAAGTCAACCGTGAGTATGACTTCACCTGGGGATCTAACCAGCTGCCCGTGAGCTCGACCGCAATGAGGTGTACAGCTGGAGATGTCGACCATCCGGCGGGATACCAGATGTTGAACAGATGTTGGGTTGAGTGGGAGCGCAAGGGTAGCTCGCCGTAGTTGGGAAGTAGGTGGTAGTGGAAGGAAGAAAGGAAGAAAGGATGTGCGCACACCTGGACGCAACTGCAGGTACGGTACCGGTAGAAATCGGAGATCAAAACAACGATGGCACCAGAAGGGCCCAAATTCTTGCCTTAGACAGAACCGAACAATACCAGGGCACAAATTCGTCGAATTGGGGACATGTGGTAGCTCGAAATGTGAGACAGACTTGCGTAAGTGTTTTCAATAGTACCCAAAAAAGTTGAGTTCCTTACTATTCTCATCGCGCCTTGCTCACGTGAATTGACTTCTCTAATGCGCTTAGATTTTCTCGATGGAATGTCATCTCAATGCTTCTCACGTTGGGAGATCGTGCTCTGAAATTCTCTGAACCGCTCCGAGTTTACTGATGCAAGACTAATGACTGACTCCGCTCTGCTCCACTTCTCCGAACTGCTCTGAGTGGCCCCGAACTGCTCGCAGCAAGTTTTCACTGGGTCTCATCTCCGTCACCGCACAATCCACCCCGGACATTACCGGCAAGAAAGTTCAGACATATCTTGGCATGGTTAGAGTTTGCCCTGCCCTCCCCTGCGGATATATCCCGCGTCAATACCGAAGGTTAGTCCCTGGTTATACCTGTTTCAACCAGATGCGCACGGATCCTGTCTATGCTCCGCGGTTGCTTATCTTAGCCTCGGCCGATGACTTGACGTTGCCCATGCTAGCCATCGGCTTTTTGATGGACCTCTGATGTCGTCCCATGGCGTGGTGTTCTCCGCGGTTCTCGTCTCATCACCAGGTTTTCCTAGAGGGGCATACACGGGTTTCGAGGGCTTGAATTCGCTGATGTCGCTGACGAGCAAGCTAGGAGGTCCAGCGCCCTAACTTCTATCTTGCGATCGAACGCAGAGAGAAGACGCTCAAAGTCATACACGCCGCTCTGAATAAGTGTGCACAAAGGTCAGAATTTTCGGCAGCCGCTGATTCACACGCACAGTTCCCCTGTGACGATCATTCCCCATCACGGTACGTCTACCGTGCTACCCGCCGTGACTTAGTGAGGTTCTGCATAGCCATAGCATTATGAAGCAGAATTGAGGCAGGACGTCCTAGTAAGCCGTTCTTTTCTTAGGCGTTTTACCCATGGCCTTGTACCTTGATCATTACAACCAGGCCGCTCTGACTCAATCACGCATCATTCTGTTATCTTTATCCTTCGGGTTTCCTTGGCGTAACTGCCATACACGACGTTCATTCTTCAAGCCCTGACATATAACCTTCTTCCCTCTTTCAGCCTGCGTACTCTTTGCAGCACATCGGCTCACTATGTCTTCAGCATCCCTCCAACAGGAACTCGACTCTCTTTCTGTCTTCTTGTGGACGTCAAATTACACAATGGGTAGGCTACGCTATCACTTAATCAAGTGCGCATCTGTTCACGCTGTGCTTGATTTAGTTGCGGTCACAGCCCTAGTCGTGTACGACTACTGTATGTCTGTCTCGTGACTCAACCGTAGAGTCGCTCACAGACGACTTCTGATCGCGTTGCAGTGCTAAATCTTGCACTAGAGGTAATTAAACGCACAAGCTTTAGATAGCCGTAATTTGACATACGGTTCTCAGGTCGAGCTCATATGGGTCAGCTTCGGGTTGCTGTCTACGCATCTTGCGCCCGGGCCCGCTTACACTACGATTCCAGGCAAGGCCGCTTTCGTGGACAACATATGCTTACCTGATGGTATGGGTAAACGCATGTTATCTTGCGACTAGTTCTAACCAGCTCTCGATTCTTTCTAGATGCGTTATCTGGGGTTAGCGTATATTGGGTAAGTGATAATCTACACGTATAAATGATTTTCCTCCTCATTCTGTTGTAGCGTGCAACCACGTACGATATTACGATTTCCTTCGCAACGTGAACATAACTTACAAACCCTCGACAGTGATCGACTTAAACATCTCGTTGACGAACGGAGTAAGTCCTTTCGTGCGACGTCCATATTCAGTCAGAATTTGATCTGATGGTCACAGGGGTGAGCGATAAACGCCGCGTTGTACATTCTATCATTAGACCCTTGTTAACGGCTTTGACAGTTGTGGGTGACGTTCGTTTCAAACGGTAGCACCGAAACTGAAAATTGCCCAGGTTATAGCATAATGGTTATATTACAGCTTACCCTCCTCGCCGTCATCTTCATTCTGCAAGGTTCGTGCCGGAATGCACTCATCGTTCCTCTTATCTTAGTTCCATCCTTCATCTTTCCTCGACAGGTGTCATGTTAGTGAGGATATATGTACTACTGCGCAGATCGAGAGTCGCCTTGATCGCTCTTGTATTGTTCTTTGCGCTCAGCCAAGTCCTCAGTATCGTCTCTGCCCTGCGTATTGTAGCAGGCGGGCCAAAGTCCACTCGTGAGTGACAGATAAACTATGGTCTGTTCGTCGCCTCTCACTCACATTCCAGCGGAGATTGTCCTATATGATATCTACAACAGCTGTGACCAGCTGTTCCCGGCGTGGGTATACATAACATCGGACGTGGCAGCGGTATCCTTTGAGCTTTTCCTATTTGCACTTGCCTTGGGGTATGCGTGTAGACATATCCCTTCGTCGTTCTGGAGAAACCCCGCCGCCGCTGCTACAAGTCTGGCTACTGTGATAGTCCGAGATAACTTGGTTTACTTCTTCGTGTGAGTGTGTTCTCTTATACGTCTGCGTCTGTCCAAGACCCTAACAACATTATCAGTGCGACCCTTAGCATGGCGACAAACGCAGCCATCGAAATACCTTCTGCGGCCACAGTGAGTCCTGATTTTTTCCTGCTTGCATGAACGCTGACGGCTGTTGTTGTTTAATCATTTCAGTCGAACACGTTCAGCAGCATAGCGATGATCGCTCAATCTGTCTTAGTAGCTATGATAGGCCCGTGGATGGTCATCAGTCTACGGCGAAGCTATGAGCAGAACACGGGAGTTACTACGTCTCGTTCTCATGAAGTTACAACGGTTGCATTTGCTACCCATCCGGTTGTCTCACAAGATGGCGGTCAGGACAAGAGTGAAGTGTGAGCGAAACGATTCCTTTTTGTTCCACTTCTTTGAAAACGCCGCGCCGCATTCAACGTTCGAGTAAATGGTATATATTATTTGAACCAATATTGTATATGTCCGAATTTAGTTCCTATAACACGCCCGTTCCAGATCTAATCTGGAGTAGACGTGATACACGTATAGCCATGAAAGCTGGTGCTTTCGAATTAAGAGACACACTATCAAGAGCTACACTACTAGCTTAATGTATCCCTTTGCGGCCGAGAGCTCGCAAAATTCTGTTATGACATGATGATGACTACCTGAAATCAGCCGCGGTGCAAACCGCTAACTGAAGGTAGTGTCATTCTGTCATGAATCAAAATATTTAGATCTATGCCCGCATTAGCACTTCTTCCAAACCTAATTATGCCTGGTTCCAGACCGCTGCAGACGCACCAATATTTTGCACTTAGCTTTGCCTCGTTCGCAGCTTTACCATTGACGACCAGGAAGGGCTCCTGGCCCATTTCCTGCTGGCATTCGCGTATATGCTGGTCCATTTGAAAAAGGATTGCCATTTCAACCGTGATAATCCCATCCAAAAGCATCAAGGAGATAAGTTATTGGGGCCTTAGTCCACACCTGGCTCGATCGTGCGTGCAAGCCGGATGCCGACCCTAGCATGAATGTTCACTGAACATCTCTGTCAAATGAAGTAGCATATGAGAACGGAGAAAATTGGATAACCGTAATGGTGAACAAGACAGGCGATAATCCTATGTTCCTAGTCATCAATACTATTCTCCCGCCGTTCTACTCGGCCGTTACTACTGCCATCTCGCTGAGTCCACATGCAAAATATTTACCGCCACATTGACATCTTACCGTTGCTTAGAGCTCATCAGATTTTGGCAGTGATATGACAGTCAGATATCCACGCTATTTCCCTCACCTGTGCATGGCTGTACTCGATTATTGTACAACGAATCCACCAAAGAAGCCATCGCTCTAGAGTGCCTACCCCACGAATACTTCCACCTACACGCAGAGATCCCATGAAATTTTGACCTACAGGGATACGCAAGCCGTAGGCCAAGTTGCTGAAACTGTCCGATCTGTATGATCATCCCGTCATGGCTGGGCGTGTTACCGTCATCGAAGCTCACACTGGCTGTCAGTCCGTTGTTCTTCCCACCCCTATAGTCACCCCTTCTGTGTGATGCCCGTCGCCACAGACGCCCTTCTCGCAAAGAATAAGTCGGTGGATAAGAACAGCACCGCGGTGCTGAGGCATTGTTGCTGGTACTGGTGCTGCAGCTATGAGCCGGTATGTGGTGATATGCGCATGCAGCTCTAATTTCTGTGGGAGCTCTCCATCAAGGTTGGATGTTTGATCACCAACCAAGAAAGGAAACAACAACGGTATCCATACCTCCCGTGCACACGCCCATCTTCGAGATGTTGTTGGTCGATTGTAGCATCCTCCTAATAATGTTTCGCTAGTATCACTATCACGGTGGCCACTGTGTTCCGTTCGCTGTAAGCAACGGTTTGTTCAATATTCACGAGTATAGTTTGTATGATACTGACAGTGCTTGTACAACGACAATGAAATCTGAACAGCACTTTTGATATACCTGTTCGGAACAATCTAAGCACTGACTTTCTCTTTGTTTTTGGTTCTCCCTTTGTACTAGGTCTGTCTGACATCTAGGGCTGTTCCCCGCATGGATTACAACACGAGTGGGTACAATAGCAGAAATGCTATGTACAATGCATATAAAGTCTCAGCCTTTTCCGCATTACACAATATTGAGCTTCATCCCATTAAGAGTGTCAGTCATATCCAATGTTGTCGGATTCCCTTCAGCAAGAGTTAGAATCTGAAGTGTCTTACTTCATAACAGCCGGGTATTCATCAGGTCAGTCTATTTATATGGAATTGCATCAACAAATTTGGTGGATTAAACGGAACCTTTTGTAGCTGGTGCAATGACTTTAGTAGTCTACGATTATCGTAGGTGGTTTCTAGGTGTCATCACAGGGTTTAAATACCAGTTACAGTCTTGAATATTGATTCCGAGGTGAGAGTTTGATCCGAATGTCTGTCATGAAGAATCAATGATAGAACTTGTGACATAAGGTGGAGTTCATATGGGTATGCATCTTGGAATATCGTGAGCAAATACACGGTGACTCAACTCAGCACTAGACTAGGAAATTCTCCTGGACTACAATTGTCTACGCAATGGTAAGGCATCCAAGAGCTGGCCCACCACTTCACTGTTTGACCTCACTTAAGATGCGGTACTTGGGAATATCATATGCTATGTAAGATCACAACATACTTTCCCTTCATTTTCTTACAGTTCGAGAATTTCAGCTTAGCGACAGGTAATTCGCCTCCACCTCTGGCATGTGTGAGTTACTCAACACTCTTGGTCATAGTGTTATCTATTAGCTCGCCAATATCGAGCGCAGTGAGTTTCTGAAAACAATCTGTCTGCACGCTGAACTAAAGACAAGCAAACCCCCTGGTTTATAGCAGTGAGTATCACCGCATGTGTTTGTACTGCTTCCAATCTAACCACTTAACCTCCTAAGATGTAACCGATATTCTCTCCGACGTAATAAAAATTTCAGCTCAAACTCCTGGCAGGTTACTTCGTATGGGTCCCATCGCAAGTCATAACGATTCTTCTTTCTATTTCTTTACAAGGTCTAATTCCTGATGTGTCTATCTCTTCTTCTTGAAAGATAAACTTGGATTATAGGCATGATGGCCATTCGAGTGTATGGTCTACTTGGAAGATCCAGAACGATTTTGATCGGTCTTTCCGCTTGCTTCATGGTTACATATGGCATCAATATCACCACTGTCTTGCTTCACATTACTACCGGTCCTTATCTCTTTAGTGGGTCATTTGTCATTTCAGGTGGCACGTTTTCTCAACGAGGAATACAGCAACGTTGACCTTATCGAGCGTCAACTTCTGCACCGAAGTTGCTGTATCAAAAGGCTTGTGGACTTTCCCAGCATCAAACCTGTCGGCTCTGGGATTTGACATCATTCTATGCTCTCTTGCTGTCCATCACGCCATCAAACATCTTCCCCCTTCTTTTTGGCGTCGTCCACTGCATGCAGCAGCAAGCATGAGGGCGTTTATTGTCCGAGACAACCTCGCTTACTTTTTCTAGTGAGTGGTAAAAGATGTTCTGAACACCTGGTGTATCTAACTACACTGTAGTACCTTGACGTGTTGTACAACCTATGCTATGGCATTATCAGCCTCCATACAAAATGTAGGGAGACTCATGCCATCGCTAGCCAGCTCTCCGCTGACAACATGCTATCTAGACTCTACCATACACCATTTTTATTTCATTCACAAGCGCTATTCTTGTCGCTCTGGTTGGCCCGTGGTTAATATTGAGTCTCAGGAAGACCTTTGAACTGGCTACGGGTGATACAGTGTCAGGCTCCCGAGAGCTCACAACAGTGGCGTTCGCTAGCATTGCTCCGGTGGAAAATGCTGACACTACGGATGAAGGCGAGATATTGCAGGGAGCTTGACAGATGTAACTGATAGCGTTCACAATGTCAAATACTGCTATGTCATACTGTCATTCCACGGACTCACTTTATTTCACTTAGAGTATCTTTGAATTATCCCTTAATCACGCAAATGTGTCTCTCTTAAGTTATTCATTATCATATTTATTTTAGTACGCGCAACAGCGGGGGATGAGGGGACAACCAACTGAAACAAACAGTATCTATCTGTACCTGGTGCACCTACAAGAGAGCGGATTAACGGCGTGTTTCTCCTTGAAATAAGGAGTATGCAAAAGAAAACGCAACAAAAACCCAGCGAAGAAACACCCAGAACAAGAGTACATAAAATCTAACCCTCTGCCCCCTACGCATCTCTCAACAACAGCAGATGCAGTACCCTCATGGCGAATATCGACCGGTATGGAACTACCCAGTGAACCATGTCAATTCGTCTCCTACTGGCATAGCTACCCCCAGTCGCTCGCAAATCATCCCTAGCCCAACTCACGATTCACGGGTCACCTCACACGCCCATGTCCATCCCCGCCCTCTCACCCTATGCACCATCGTTCAACATATCCTCGGTCCCCGTGTTTTCGTCGACGATTGTAGCACAAATCCACTCGTACCCGCCCAGCGGCGGCACGCCCCGCATTTGCGTCGCTCTCATCGGCGAATGCTGCGCCTGCAGCTTATTCAGATGGTGCACGGCGTCAAACGAGGGATCGAAGGGGCGTCGTCGGCACGCTCTAGTAGGGTGTGTCCTGTGCCAGCGTCGAGACAGTCAAAGTTGAGGCGGATGAGCTGAGGTGCGGGAGGGTGTATCTCCGCCTATAGACTAGGGTGGACGATGATGAAAATGAGTGCGGTAAAGGTGGGAGCATATCGTCGTTGTCTATATGATACTGTTGCTCGGACATCTGGCTGCGCTGAATGCCAATGATCCTCTAGCATTCTACTCATCTGCATCCAGAGTGCATCAGAAACTATGTGACGAATTAAGAGGAGAGACATACGCGCACGTCCGATCCAAAGTCTCCTTCATAACCGCTATCACGCCGCGCATCATATCCAAGCTCTCCGTCGCAAGCTTCAAAATCCGCTGTGTGTCGGCAGCGGTACCGGTGGTGGACCCCGTTGTCAGAGGCGGCAAGCATACCGTGCCTTTCCCTCCAGGGCATGCTCCCCCAGCCAAACCCGCACCAGCCGTGGGCTTTGGTTTGACCTATAGACTAAAGGTTGGACCAACGGGTTGTGGGCTCGCAGGCGTGGCCGTTCCGCGCTCGCGGTGTTGCGCTTGCCGTGTCTGTATCTGCCTCTCCGCCTCTCCGCATCTCCACCGGCTCTGCCACTGCTGCTCACAGCCTCAGCAGCACTGCTCGTCGCACGTCATAGTACGCTAGATCGATCGAATTCACCAGACAGACCCTGAGACGCGCTCACCCATTGCTGCGGGAGGTGTAGCACGAACCTGTATGCGCGGCTGCGCGCAGGCTCGGGGAGAGCGCTGCCAACGTACTTCGACACGGAATGAGAACCTGGCGGATGGTGTGTATGACGTCTTTCCTGGTGCCGAAGAGGGGGACATAAGGGCATCGGGTAAAGTGGTGCCATCGACAGCAGACCGGAGGGAGACACTGAGGTTCCGGAGAATGAGGATTTGGCAGTCGCCGATGTGCTCCGTAGCGTACTATTGGTGCCCTGTCAATCTGCATTCTGACACGTGATAGATGAGAAACGTACTTGTAGCCAGTGTAGACAATACTTCAACCTTCGTATACTCTCCTCGCTTACCGCCGCACCGATCCTGCCTGCCCAAAGCACCACAGCCTACCACCTGCTCCGCTGTACGATTTACCGCTGGTTCTCCACTCTCTAAAATTCCCCTTCTCGTTAATATAGCTGGGACGTCGATGCTCTGCTCTCCGTAAAGCTTGCGGGTGGCGGAGATGTTGGGCTCATCACGTCGTCTAAGAATCGCATGTGAGCATGGCTATGTCCGCTCCAATTGGGCGCATTGCGACGTGCGGCAGAGGGGGTGTATAAGCGGGGCAGAAAGATAACACGTACCGTCAGCAGCATGACTATGCGCATGTAGAGACGATGTCGGTCTGCCACCGGTTCCTGCAGTATCATAATGCCATCCCGATCCGCACCTGCGCTGGCATCTGATGATTACTGGTGCTATCGTCGTGAACGGTTTTGCTCGATGGTGGATGGCACTTGTCAAGCTGCGATGGGGATGAGTGGAGGATACAGAAAGGCAAAAGTATTCACGCACATGATCAAGCTGTCCGCAGGCAAACTTGTGGAGCTGCCCGACGGGTAGTTTCGTATGGACCGGACAGTAGAAAATCTGCTCCAACGACCCCGTCTTCTCCACGCCATACTGGAAAGTATCTGTTGAGCCATGAGAGAGCCAAGAGAGCGGAGGTACACACCTTGACCATACGCGATCTGACCTTGGCGCTCTCGTGCGGCCTCCACAATGGGGAAGTGCAAGATGCGTGTACAAAGTCTGGCGGGTGCGCGTTGGGGTGCTGATGACTATCTCCCATAGACGCTGGCGGAGAGGATGGGACCGAAAGCAAAGGCGTACAGGGGCTGGACTAGTATGCTTCTGAGCGGGAAATAGGGATGGAGCTGGGTACACGACCATTGCCATGCACGTCACAGAGCGCACCAAGGACGACGCAGATGCTCTCTCCTTATCCGGGTAAGTACTTGACGAGTTATGGGGTTCTATGGAAAACGATTGCGGGCAAGCAGAGGTGGGAGGCTGGACATGCAAGTGGATGGAGGAGAAAGAAGATAGGGGGAGAAGTCCAAAGGCGAAGGAGAGGTGCCTTCATCGAGCTGCTAGAGAGCTTCATGTCAAACGTAGTCTCCTAGCCCATGAGCTGATGGGTGGTCTCGACATACAATTGGACGATGCATGGCGAATTGAACAAGGGCGAATATCGACACGGATTCAGATGGACCTGCTGACACGGCCGATGCGTGGGAACACACCAAAATAGGGGCGAATGTGTTGAGGACTTGAGGTAGACCGCAACGTTCGAAACGTTCATCACTCTTTGAGTATACTCCTAACAAAGGCATGTTCTCTGAAAGATTTTATCAAGCGGACGAGGGAAATGTGTCAGCCTGCTCAATCCGCGCCCGACTTCTAGACGTGCAACATGACCCCGCTCGCCGCCAGCTGATGCCAAGTTGATGCCTTGCCCGGTCCTTGCCGGCAAGTGCCCGTCTCATGGTCGTGTTTGTGTCTGTCCTCGTCCAAATCTCAAAGTACGTTTCATGTGAACGTGTGTGATCCTTCCAAAGTCTCAAGGGTAAACCATTGTCCTCCAAAACATCGCTCACACATGATTTAGATTGCATCATTGCCACACCTCAGGCTTGAGTGCAAACTACTAGAAGTGGCCAGCAGCAGCAGCGTTTCATGTAAATCTGTCCCTGTCAACATATCAATATATCAATGGTATAGCAAAAGGAACGGATGTGAGTGGATAGCTGGGATGGGAAACGATGGAGACGGTATGTTTGTGACATTACTGTACCTACACGACCGTAGGTTCAAGGGATTTTTGCGTGACATGGAATCAAAATAAGTTCCGATGAGGCCAAAGTTCAAATGTCCGGCGAACGTGTGACTTTGAACCAGGGTGGTTGGTGACATCCTCATGACATAACTAATAAAACGAAGGTGAAGAGGATGTTTCATCGGAAGGAAAAGGCAACGCGGACCACATTTTACAGCGTCCCGGTATTCCTCGTCCATCAGGCTTGTACAAACATCTCAAGCCCTCGCCACCGGTATGACTGACTAATTAAAGCCTGCCACTAGTGGGAAGCTCGACATCTCATCTCCGGTCAATTGCGGTCGCGGTAAGGGTCTCGAAAAATTTAAACTCACAGTGCAAGGAATGCAGAAAACACTCGCTGCAGCCTGCAGCGAACGGTTTTACTACATCAGAATGTAATAGTATTAGTATTTTTCGTCACGCAGTGAGGTTCATTCTATTGTGTAATGGGTGACGAGCCAGGTCTTAAGTTCATTTTACGGGTCAAGCTTTCAAGCGTGAGGCGTGACGAACCTACGGTCATGTAGATACAGTACTGTTCAATACCTAACCCGCTGTTTCACTCAAGTCGACCTCAACCGCCGCCATCTTCTTGACCTCGCCATGAGAACTCCCATATTGATCTTCCCTCAGTGCTGTTAGAAGCGTACTCTCAATGCTGATCCAAAGATATAAATAGATCACGAGACGCTGGATATCCCCTTCACCTATGCATGGCTGCGTTCGACCAAAGAAGCCATCATCACGGTGTGCATGCCGAGCAAAGACCCCCGCTTCAGGGCAGAGAAAATGAACAGTTTGGACCTCGCGGAGATGCGCACGCCGTACAATCAGCTTCTGAGGCGACATGATCATCTTGTGAAGGAAGGATACGTTCCCGTCATCGAATTTTGCGCTGATGAACTACAGCATTCCCGGGCATCCTTCTTCCCACTCCGATACCCACCGCACGACGTAGTTTCTCGGGCCATTAAGGGCACACGCATCCATCCGCTCCCATCTCACCGCCGCTGAGATCTCACTCCAGCTCGTAACCTAGTAGCGTCCGCGTGAGCTCGTGGACCTGCTCATGTGCGCCAAGCTCGCCGTCGCTGATGGCCTTCTCACAAAGATACAGCGACTTCGCCGCGGCGAAACGACTCTCTTGCACATTTCGCTCACCCCACAGAGCATTACTTACTCGGGAGGCCCGGCGGCAAGTCTGAGGACGACGAATAGGATCGTCTGAAAACACTCGCGGATGCTGTTGTTGAACATAGTGTGGCGGCGATGTACTTGGTATCCTCGCGCAATCATCTGGGCAGGCGCTGCGGTATGTGATTGTTTCATCTCTTAAGTCTCGCCTCTTATGCATCACTTTTCCTGTGGCAGACCCTGCGTACGGTCTCCTTACCGTGTCTCTTGAGCCTCAAACATGGGTCCATTGCGCGACAGATGACATCGCTTTTATTCATACTCTCCGCGTACCATTTGCGCACCGCCAGAGCCAAGTGAGAGATTGATATGCCCGGCGGTGTATGGGAACACGGGGATGATGAATTGTCTATCGAAACCTGTGGTGGTGGATCACTGTGTTCGTTACGAAAGTTTATTGACCTTCACTCACTGCTTCTTTTAATTTGAGGTAATCTTCTTCATAATACATTACGCAGATGAGGGGAAGGATGCCGACGTCGCTCAGCGCGTGCTCGACTAATCAGCAGGCAACCGCGCTCGCCGCTGTTAAACTGACATAGAGCGTCCCGGCTTATGGATAAGTTTCTTTGACACTTCTCTGACCTACTCCTTGATGTTGTTTTGGCGATTCTAAGGGCCTTATGAAATGGAAGGGCTCGCAAGTAGGAATCATCCCACTGTCAGGCGGTACTGTAGATAACTCACAGCGTGATGCCTCAGCCTCATTGATAGGCATCAATGGCATAGAGGGCTATTGTAATGAGCACTGGAATAATCGAGCAAATTGCAAAGCGTCAGTGCATAGGAAGCTAATGATCATGCATGTTACTAGGCGCGATCATCACGTTTTTTCATGGGTCTTCGGCCTCGCCATTCAAAATTTCAAGCCTCAGTTTTCCTTCCCTGTCGCCCTACGCGCAGACCTTGCCACCGTACTCCTTGATGTACCGGTACGAGTCCCTTCGGCACCAGATTACTTTACCTCCGCTCATATGTATCTCAAGGATCACGAACTTTCCATGGTGTGCAATTGCATAAGCCATGTCTAAAAGTGAAAGCACAACCGCAAGGTCTGTAATGCTCTCCGCTCTAACAAGGTACTTTGCTGCGCTATTTTAGCATTGATCTGCTTTTGTACTAATTATCTTCAGATCCAGGGCTGTCCTTCATGTCAATCCGGGTAGCGCGGTGAGAGAAAGGCATAGCACAAGACATATAAAGGACCATCTTTCTTGAAATGATCTTCACCTCCAAGACATATACAATGTCCTCGGTTTCTCTTCAGCAAGAACTAGATTCTGAAGTGTCTGACTTTATCACAGCCGGGTATTCAACAGGTGAGCGAACTCTGTATGGAATTGTATCAAGGGTTATGATGATCTATGGACATTACTATAGTCGCCGCAACGACTTTAGTGGTCTATGACCTTTGTAGGTGTTCCCTTACTGTTATCACAGACTTCTCATAGTAATCTGCAGTTTTGAATATTGACTCTGAGGTAGAGACTTGAGCCCACGTATATTTCATGGAGAATTGATTACTAAATCTGTGATACAAGGTGGAGTTCATCTGGGTACACATCCTAAAACAATGACAAGCAAGTTATGGAAACTAAGTCTCAGAAATAGGCCAGAAAACTCTTGTGGACTACAATTATCTACACAACAGTAAGCCATGGGAGGGGAGACCCATCATTCTGCTGTTGTGTAACTTCATTTCAGATGCGGTACTTGGGAATATCATATGCAATGTAAGTACATTATGTGTGTTTCTTCCCCTTACTCACAGCAGAAAACTCTTAGGCTGTACTTTGGTTATAATTTTTTGTCTCCTGCAAACAGGACCCACTGAGCCATATTGTTGACAGTGCTTGACATTAGCATCCCATTATCAAGCGTAGTGAGTTGCCGAAAGCTTACTTTAATATTGACCTAGAAACAGTAATAACCCTGTTCCGTAGCAGTGAGTATTACCACTTGCATATGTGCTACTTTTATTTGAGTGGTGTATCCTTATCAGGTGTAGGTAAAAGGTTGGTGATGAATGGAGTTTTAACTCAAAGGTTTTATAGGTTATCTTATATGGATAATATGGCAAACCTTTTCAATTTTGCTTAATGTTGCTTTACAAGGTATAGTCACTGCTATACTTTTCTCTTCTTCTAAGATACTGGTGTATAGGTATGATGGCTCTCCGGGTATATGGGCTACTTGGCAGGTCTAGAGCAGTCTTGATTGGTCTATCAATCTGCTTCACAATCACATTTGCCATAAACATCACTAGTGCTGTGCTTGGCATGGCCCATGGTTATATCACCATTGGTGGGTCACTGTTTGATTTCTGGTGGTAGACATGTCTTTATGTCCATTCTTAGCAACATATGCTGTATTTGAATTCAACTTCTGCACATTAAATACACCATCGACTCTGTTGTGGACATATCCAGCAACAAGCATGTTGATTCTAGGCTTCGACATCATCCTTTGTGCTCTTGCTGTACATCATGCTGTTAAGCATCTTCCCCCATCATTCTGGTGTCACCCACTGCACATGGCAGCAAGTATGAGAGCTCTGATCATTCGAGACAATCTGGTATATTTCTTCTTGTAGGTTCAAATCACATTTTTCATGTGTGGTTTATCAACTATATTTCAGTACGTTGATGTCTAACATGCTTCTTGCTGTGGAATTTTCACCCTACATAGTATATGTAAGTGAATTTACACCACATTCAGCCAGCTCTCCATTGATGGAATATCTCCAAGACCACATTGTGGACCATTCTGTCTATTTTGGTGCAAGAAACTGTCCTAGCTTTGGTTGGCCCATGGTTAATCATCAACCTGCGGAAGAGCTTCGAGTTGACTACAGGCGATGAAGTATCAGGTTCACGTGAACTCACATCGGTGGCATTTGCCAGCATTCCTCCTGTTGAGACCGTTGGGAATGTGGCCGAGGACGAAGTATTGCAGGGTGTTTGACATTTCATTTCATTTTATTTATCTTTATCCATGTGTCAAGTGATACTAGTAGATCACATTCCCATACCGTGGAGTAGCTCTACACGGAACCAACATTTTCCTCTGATTTCTATTTCTATGTGACCCGCCATCGTATTTATTGTGCGTTGACTAGGACATTAGAATTAGACACTAAATTAGAAGTTATGTCTTATGTATGCTCCAATTACTCACTTGACCACATCCACGCTACAACAGTCACAGGAAGATGCGTCAAAGATGTGGTACACCCTCCAGTTGCACTACCACACTGCGGTAGATGAAGCATGAAGCCATGTACGCAACTACGCGCAGGCTCGGGGAGGGTGTCACATACGTACTTGGGAGACGAAGTCTACAACCTGACAGACCGTGTGTACAACATATTTCCATATCTCAGTGAGTGTGCAGAAGCAAGAGGGGGGAATGAGCGCATGAGGGATGCAGAGCCGTGCACGGCAAATTGAAGGGAGACGATGTGCTCCGTTGCGTACCAGTGCCATCATGTGCGTATACGTTCAACTACATGAACTATTAGAGACATAACTATAGTCATTCCTTTATGTTCTCGTATGCCTGGTACTGATGATGGGGATACGCTAGAGATAAAATCTAGTAACTTGAAGGACACATCTGGGTATTGGTGTCCATTAGATGTAGACATTGATGGTACCGATGGGCCTGGAAGCAAAGTTGACAACCATTGGGATGGTTGTCCATTTCAATCGTAAATAGGTGGATAGATGCCAGCACGAGTGTCATTACGCATGACGCCGACCATACTGATGGTGATGTGTACACATCCTCATCTGGAGAAGACAGCGAGGGGTACCAAAGCACTTTTGAGGACAACAATGAGAAAGCAGAGGCAGGCTAGGCATTGTAAATGGCAGTGAACTGGGAGAGGGGAAAGACTAGGGGGGAACAAGTCCAAAGATGATAACCTAACGTCATTGGGGTGCACATAGCCTGCAAAGAGAAACTGTTTGAACGGATACGGCCGGAGCATGGAAATAAAGGCAAAATAGGGGCTATGGAAGTCTTGCGGCTCTCTGTGTCTGTCCTGCACCCTCCGAAGCACCCTGGCCACTGATAGCGACCCCAATGCAAGAAAATCCTTAATGATCCTCATTCCAGATCCTCACTAACTCGCAAACCATCACTAGCCGAAGCCATTATTTACCTTCATATGGCACATCCACATCCATCACTGCCCTCCCTACACGTTTGCATCTTCCATCGTATCTTTAGTCACTGTGTTTTTCTCAATGATTGTAGCTCGTATCCCCCGCCCAGCTACAACAGTGTGAGTGGCGGCAAAATCTGCACCTACACCTGTCCGGAACACATAGAGTATCGCTACATCTACAGCTAGTGGGCAACACCCACAGGAGTTGTTGGCCCACTTGAGTAGGGCGTATCCTGCACCGGTGTCGATGTTGCCAACATGGAGGAAGACGGGTGAAGGAGTAAGTGGTTTTGCCTGTATACTAGGGTGGACGAAGATCTGCCCGCATTGAAAGACGATGATGATGAAGGCGGTTGAGGTGGAGACATATCCTCGTTTGGCACTTCGACGTAGAAGTGGGTGATGTGCAAAATTGAACAGGGACGCGTGAAGGTATTGCTGCAAGTGCACGTTGGCGCGAATGGACAGGGCTACAGGCAGAGGACACATAGAAATACAGCCAGAGCGTGGGGACATGGGGAAGAAATAGGGGCCAGTAGATGTCCTGAGGTAGAGCGCATGGTTCAAAATGTTCATTATTACTCTTTATTTACATTCCCAACAAGACGTGTTTTCCGATTTAGACAACCAAGTGGACAAGATCAGCATGGAAACCTAGCTCAATCCACTCCCGGCTACTCCACGTGCAGTGTTGGCCCGCTCGCTGCCATCCGCTGCCTTGGGGCTGTCTCCTGCCAGCAAATGCCCCTTGCCTATCTCATGCTCGCATTTGTGGACGTCCTTGTCCAAATTTCAAAGAGCCTTTCATCTAGATGAGTGTAACCCTTCCAAAGTCTCAAGGTGAACCCGCTGTCCCCGAGAGCTTAGCTTATACCTGACTTAGATTGCGCCATTGCCATACCTCCGGTGGTCCTATGTATCATCCAGATATGGCCGCTAGCGCAGGCTTCTCATGGATATCTAGCCCTTGCAACGTGTTTTTATCTGGATGGAGCAGTGAGTGGGAAGAGAGGTGAATGGATGGCTGTTATAGGAAACAAGGTAAACAGTATGTTTGTGTCATTGCTGTTCAATACCTATCCTGTTGTTCTACTCACATTGACCTCAATCGCTGCCATCTCCTTGATCTTGCCATGAGATCTATTATAACACTCCTGTCTCACCATTGTTACAACCAAGTCCTCAATGATGATCAAAAGATGACCAGATCACAAAACGCCGGATAACACCCTCACCTATACATGACTGTGTTTGAATCACTCTAGTGGCAAGCATATAGAAGAAGCCATCGCCCTGGTGTGCCTACTCTTAAAAGATGTTCACCTCCAGGTGGATAACACATCCCCTTTCGATGTTGCAGACATATGCAAGCTGTACAACCAGCTTCTGAGGCGGCCAGCACCTTGTGAAGCCAGGGTACGTTCCCATCATCAATTTGCACTGACAAACCACAATGCCCCTTATCCTTCTTCCATTACGATACATGTCCTTCGACATAGTGCCCATCATTTCTCCGTGCAGACACAGCCATGGGCATTCAGCCGCTCTCCGCTCGCTGTTGCTGAGATCTCACCCCAACTAATAAACTAGCGTCCGTGTGAGCTCATGGACCTGTTCCTGTGTGTCATTCTTGTCCGTACCAATGGTCCTCTCACAATGATATCATGATTGTGCCGTGGTGCAATGGCTCCCTTGAGTATTTTGCTCTCCCCACAGAACATTCCTTCGATTGGGTCCCCGGGTAGCGAGTCTGGGGGGTGGACAAGATCCTCTGACACAGCTCGCGGATACACTTATGAAACAAAGCGGCAGTGGCGCTCAGTGTCTTCACTCGGTTACAGTAAGTGAAAAAAGACTACCACAGTATGTGATCTTGCCACTTATTCTCGCCTCTTCTGCATCATTGTGCCATATTCTGCCTGACACTGCATACAAGCTTTCCGCCGTACCACCCGATCCATGGACATGGCTCCCTTTTTTGCCCCGACTTCTTCACCTCCGTCCATACCCTCCGTGTACTCCCCTCACACACTGTCAGAGAGGCAAGTGGGAGAATGATGGTCCCAACGCATGAGGAATCATTGATGTTGGCTTATCCCTCGAAGTTTGCGGTCATTCTAACCAATGCATTTTATCCTTTCTTCACTATTCATTCCTATCTGAAGTAGTCTATGTCGTGATGCGTTAATCAGCACCTGCTCGACTGATTGACAGGCAAGTACGCATTGCTCATCGCCCTCGAACTGTCAAAGAGCGTCATGGATTATGGATCAGATTCTTTGACAACTCTCGGAACTGCCCCTTGGAATCGTTTTAGTGATATCAAGCATCTTCCTTCAGAAAGGGATTTGGAGACAGGGATAATACCGCTGCCTGGCAGCTCTGCAGATTATCAACAGTGAGTTGCATCTCTCGTTGATCAGCAGCAAGGGCAGAGGACGGCCGTAACAAGCACCGGAGTAATTGAGCGACTTGCAGAGTGTTAGTGCATAGGAAGCTATTGACCGTGCGTGTGACTAGGTGCGATCAACACATTCTTTATGAGGTTTTGGCCAGGCCATTCAAGCCTCAGTCTTCCTTCCCTGCCACGCTACGTGGAGACCTTGCCACCGTACTCATTGATGTGTTGATATGACTCTGTTCAGGACCAGATCACCTCACACATGCTCACACATATATCAATGACCACGTACTATTTATGATGTGCATACTTTCCCCGGTCACGTCCAAGAGAATATGTACAAACGCAGAATCATTTGGGCTCTCCATTCTCCGTCCTTTGCATCACCCGGAACTCGAGGCATAAAATATAACATACGTGTCATGTATGCTGTAGAAGCAGTACAGAGTGTTTCAGACAAATGTCCAAAGCGATAAGGGACATTAGTAGTCATCGGGAGAACGTACTAATCTCTTGCGTTGCTGATATGCAGGTGTGTCTACTGATGCAAATGTTAGACCTCCTAACCAATATGCAGCAACATGCCTGTGTGATTCTCCTAGTCATGAGACTCTTCCTCATCATCAGAAGGTATAGTCGGACTAGTACCCATTGAACTAAGAACAGTGACAGTGTCACCAGCCATCCTTTCCTTTGAGGCGCCACTTTCGAGGTGTTATCTGCTGGAAATGTTGCCAAGAATACTTCCCCACATCTTGCTTACCTGTGGTCAAGCTAGAGGTAGTGCCATACAGAATAACATTGTGTCCGTACCAGTAGCACGACCATCCTCCATTGTACCCCCCTTTTCATGTGGCCACATCTTATCCAATATGTCGGAATATTGTTGCTATGATGTTCCCGACGGCAGTTATAACAGCATGGTAGTGATATCCCTTTATATCTTAGGCTGCCCTTCACAGACATATCAATTTGGGTGGGTGCAGCAAGAGAAAGGCTCAGTAGCAGACACATATAAAGAACTACATTTCTTGCAACGAGTTTCACCCCATGTTCACATTGTAAGACATAAACAATGTCCTCGGCTTCCCTTCAACAAGAATTAGATTCTGAAGTGTCCTTGTTTATCATAGGAGCTTATGCAAATGGTGAGCTTCGCTTGATAAGGAACTGTGTCAAGGAGTATGATGCACTAAACAGATCTCATTATAGCTGCTGTATTAACTTTAGTGGTCTACGACTATTGTGGGCATTTCCCAGCTGTTTTTACAGACTTCAATAACTATCCGCAGTTGCAAATATTGATTATGAGGTATAAACTCTAATCCATATTCATTTCCATGAGTAATTGGTTACTGAACATGCACCATAAGGTGGAGTTTATTTGGGTATGTATCCCTAAATAGTCAAGAGTAAATTATGGCGACTAAATCTCAGAATCAGGCCAGGAAAATCTCGTGGACAACAATTGTCTATGCAGTAGTAAGTCATGCAAGAGGCGACCCACCACTTTGTTATATGATTTCAGTTCAGATGCGATACTTGGGAATATCATTCGCAAGGTGAGTGAATTATGTATGTTTCTTTGATTTGATTGCAGTGCAAACATCATAACCCTTAGCCTTTACACAGGTCATACATTCCAAACTCCTGAAAATGAGACCTACTAAGCCATATTGTTCATAGTGATTGACATTAGCAGCCCAATATCAAGCTCAGTGAGTTACCAAAATAAGATTTTGATACTGACATAGCAACAACAGTATCCTTGTTTCATAGCAGTGAGTTTCACCACGTGCATATGTCACTTTTACTAAAGCGACTGATCCTTCTTAGATGTAGGTAACATTTTGGTGATCTGATAAAACTTAACTGAGATTCTGACAGGTTATTTTGCATGGGTACTATTTCAAGTCTTGTCAATTTTGCTTTCCATTACTTTACAAGGTACAGTTGCTATTATATTTTTTTCTTTTCTTCTATGATATTGATGTGTAGGTATGATGGCTGTTCGAGTATATGGGCTACTTGGCAGGTCCAGAGCCGTCTTGATTGGTCTCTCTACCTGCTTCACAACCACATCTATCATCAATATTACTGGTGTTGCGTTTTATATGGCCACTGGCCCTGATCTCGTCTGTATGTCACTATTCCATCTCATATCTGAGAGTGAACCTGCCCTCATGATTCTTTATAGCAAAATTTGCTGTATCAGAGTTCAGCTTCTGCAATTTCAACACCCCATCAACTCTCTTGTGGATATTTCCAGCAACAAGTATGGCAGTTTTGGTGTTTGACATAATCCTTTGCGCTCTTGCTATAAATCACGCCATCAAGTAGTGTTGTGCAGGGCCAGGCCTGAAGCCCTAAAGCCCTCAGGCCAAGCCCTGTATAGGCCAAGCCCTGCCCGAGCCCTGGCTAGGGCTTTTGAGGGCCTAAGGCCTGGCCTGGGTTGTTGCAAAGCCCGAGCCCAGGGCCTAAGCCAGGGCCTGTAGCTAAAATTTTGAAAAATGTTGATATGACTGTACAATTACTCTAGTAACAAAAAGTTGTATAGCTTGAACTTAAGTATTAGATAGTGTACAATGTTTCTATTGACTGTGGGAAATTCTAATCAAAAGTGCGCTGTGTCCTAATCTAGCTATGGCATTATCTGACCCACTTGCCCTATTATTAGAATATAGCCTTGAGAGTTATGTTAGTGATTATGTGATGTTTGACTCAGCAGGTTACTAATGTCCTGAAGACAGTTTTGGTGCAAACAGTGAAGCTGAAGATGCCTCAGCACCTTAGGCTCAAGAGTTTCATGCTTACCTTGGCTTTGTGATGCATCTTCCAAGAGATATCTATTGTCCATTGGTGGGGTGTAAGTCATCTTGTTGTATCATATTTTATGACTCTAATCAGTGCTACAGTTGAATTTTCCTTTGTACCCTATTTGGGGATCATTTGCAAGCAGCTGCTTGTCTATTATGGCCTCTTCAGTGTCCAGTGAGCGTGCTTTTTCTGCAGCTGCTGAAATAATCACAAAAAGGTGCAATCACATTGGTGGAGATGTTGTTGAAGCTATTCAGGTGTTGATGACACTCAGCTGCCAGGAATTAATTTCCCATGAGCCAGGGCCATCCTCAGCAACTGAGTTATCCTTAGAGAAAGCTGAGGACAATGGTATTGATGAAATGACTGTTGAGAAGCATGATGATGGACTTGGAGACTTAATTTTAGGTAATTCAGACAATGAGAACCATTGGGATTTGGATGAATAAGTGTCTTTTACTACAGTAATTGTTGCGACACAATAAAAAGTCGATTCTGTCACTGTTTTTTACTGTCTGATCAATCCTGATAGCTTCATTGAGTAGAAAACTGACTGCTCCAATTTTTTATGTACATAGGAAGCGAAATACACGATTTTATAGTGAAAGCCCTGGCCTAGGCCAAAGCCAAGCCCAGGCCAAGCCCTGGCCCTACGTCAGGGCCTGGCCTGGGGTTTTGCAAAGCCCGAGCCCTCAAAAGCCAGGCCAAAGCCAGGGCTTTCAGGCCAAGCCCGGCCCTGCACAACACTACCATCAAGCATCTTCCATCTTCGTTCTGGCTCCGTCCACGGCAGACAGTAGCAACAATGAGAGCCATAATCGTTCGAGATAACTTGGCATATTTCTTCCTGTAGGTTTAACCCACGTCTTTCATGTTTGGTTTATTAAATTACACTTCAGCACGTTGACGTGTTACATCGTTGAAGCTTTGGATTTTTCACCTTCCATAGAGAATGTGAGGGAATGTCCACAGTGTCCAGCCAGATCTCTGCTGATAAAAATCCACTAGACCACAGCATACGACTGTTTCAATATAATATTGGAAAACATTCTCACTTCTCTGGTTGGCCCATGGCTGATCATCAGCCTGCGGAAGAGCTTCGAATCGACCACAGGCGATGAGGTATCAGGCTCACGAGAGCTCACTTCGGTGGTGTTTGCCAGCATACCTCCCATCGAAACTGTTGGGAATCTGGTCGAGGACGATGAAGTGCTGCAGAACGTTTGACGTTTGCGATTCTTAAACGTTGATCCGTGTATCACAAGCTGCTAGTAGATCGCATTGCCAGCCCGTATAGTAACTGTACAAGGATCTACATTTTCCGCTAATTACCTATTCATATGTGACCCGCATTCGTATTTATCGTGCATTGACTAGGTCATTAGAATTAGACGCTAGGCTAGAAGCCATGTCTTATGTTATGGACATTTCGTTAACTTGATCACATGCCAGTGCTGCGGCAGCCGTAAGAAGATACGTCAGATACGTATTGCACCTCCCAGGCACACTACAACTTGAAGCACACGAGATATACCACCAAGACCCAGCGAGAGACAGGTGAAGCGCCCGGTTTCCAGCATTACTACATACGCAACGTACAGGAGTAAATAAGAGACTGAGATGGGAAGACAGAATCACGTAAAGGAGAGGTGTGAACATGCGAGAATGCGTTTGTACAAGAGACAGAAGCTATGCAGCGACTCAGCCACCGTCAAGATAACAGAGAACGGGCAACATGACAACCAGAACGGCGAGAGAAACCAGAGAGATATCAAACAAAGGAATGGAATAAGTTAGTGCCCGCATCCAACATCCAAATGCCCACAACACGGGTACGTCCCATCCAACGCCGTACCGACAACTCACGCATCCATCGACCACAGAAAAGAACCATCATGGCCGCCGAGAGCGACTCGCAACCAACAGAGGGCCATCGAATGACCCTCGCCCAATATCACGTCCAAAAGCAGCACGTCATATTCCAAGGTCATCCTCATCAATCACCTCACGCGTCCACGTCCACATCCATCGCCTCTCTCCCACCATCGCCAACAACAGCACCGGTACCAGCCTTCTCCTCGACAACTCTCCCACCCAACGACAACGCCGCGAGAGGCGGCAAACTCTGCATCTGTGCCGCACCCATCGGCGACTGTTGCACCTGCACCTGGTTCAACTGGTGCACGGCGCCCAACGAGAGCTCGACGGGTGTCGTCGGCACACTCGAGTAGGGCGTGTCCTGCGCCGGCGTCGAGACAGCCGAAGTCGAAGCGGACGAGGTGAGGTGAGGGAGTGAGTGTTTCCGCCTATGTGCCAGCGTGGACGAGGACGACGAAGATCCGTTCACATCCGAAGACGATGACGAGGAAGGCGGTGGGGGAGGAGGCATATCCTCGCTCTGGGCCTGAGATTGTTGCTCGGATATCTGACCTCGCTGAATGCCGACGACTCTCAGGCGTTCGACCCATCTGCGTACGGAACATATCAGAAATTGTGAGATGAACGAACGAACGAGAGACTTACGCATCCGCCCGATCCAAGCTCTCCTTCATGACTGATGTGACCCCTCTCATCATATCCAGACTCTCCATCGCAAGCGTCAAGATCCGCTGCGCAGCAGCAGTCGCAGACCCCGCCGTCGGAGCTGGCGGGCCTACCGTACCCGTCCCTCCGGCACCTGCTCCTCCAGCAGCACCAGTTGTCGACTTTGGCTTGACGCGGGGACTAGATATCGGACTAACGGGCCTCGAGCTCACGGGCGTTGCCGTCCCGCGCTCACGGTTCTGCGCCTGCCTAGCCTGTCTTCCTCTCCTGGTAGCCCCGCTCGCCCCACCACCGCTGCTTGCAGCCTCTGCGGCACTGCTCGTCCCGTGAGATGGGACACTCGGTCTACTGGACTCCACAGGCAGACCCTGGGTCGCGCTCGCCCACCGCTGTGGAAGGTGCAACATGAACCCACGTACGCGGCTACGTGCAGGCTCAGGGAGGGCGCCCCCGGCGTATTTGGAGACGACGTCGACTACTTGACGCACAGTGTGTACGACGTCCTTGCGAATCTCAGTGAGTGTACGGAGGTGGGAGGGGGAGATGAGTGCGTCAGGGGACGTAGAGCCATTCGCGGCGGATTGAAGGGAGACGATGAAATCCCGAAGTATGAGGATTTGGCCGTCGATGTGTTCTGTTGCGTACTGTCGTTCCCCTGTGAGAATAAGTTTTACTACGTGAACGATCAGAGACATACCTGTAACCACTGCAGACAGTACTTCAACCTCCGCATACTCTCCTCGCTCACCGCCGCACCGATCCCACCCGCCTCGAGGAGCACAGTCTGCCATCTGCTCCGCTGCACGATCTGCTGCTGATTCTCCGATCTCGACGGTTCACCTTCTCGCTCACGTAGCTGCGGCGTCGGCGTTCTGCTCTCCGTAAAGCTTGCAGGCGGTGGCGACGTGACACTCATTGAGTCGTCTGATAAAAATCACATGTGAGCACGATGTCCGCTCTAATCGGACCGATGGTGACGGGCGGCGGACCATGTGTAATGGGGGGCAGGAACAATCACACGTACCGTCGGTAGCATATTCACGCGCATTTGACGATGATGACGGTCTACTGCTGGCACCTGCAGCATTATCACGCTCATCGTGATCTGCGCCTGCGCTGGTGTCTGATGAGCGTTGGGCGCTATCGCCGCGAATGTTGTCACTCGACGGACGTCGGTAATTGTCGAGCTGGGAGGGAAATGAGTGAGGGAAGAAGAGATACATAATGTGTACGCACTCGATCCAGTTGTCGACAGGCAAACTCGTCGAGTTGGTCGACGGGTAATCTCCCCAGAACGGGACGGTAGAAGGTCTTCATGGACGATTCCATCATCTCGGCGCCATACTAGGGATCGAAGGATGGGTCAAGAGCTGATATAAGTAATGGAGTAACTCACCTTGACCATGCGTGAACTAGCCTTGGTGTTTTCGTATGCCTTGAGGGCGGTATTAACGATAGGGAAGTGGGAGACGCGAGAGACAAAGTCTGGCGAGGACGCGTCTGGGTATTGGTGTCCATTGGATGCGGAGGTTGACGGAGAAGATGGGCCTGGAAGTAAATTTGACGACGATTGGGATGGGTGCAGGTTTCAAACGTAAACAGGGGGAGAGGTACCTGCGCGAGCGTTGTTACGCATGTCGCCGAGTGCGCTAATGGCGATTCGCACGCTTTCATCCTCGTCTGGATAAGACCGCGGGGAGTGCTGCGGCGCTTTTGACGATGGCGATGAGGAAGCAGAGGTGAGCTGGACGTCGGACATGACAGTGAGTAGGAAGAAGGAAGAAACCAGGGGGGGAAGTCCGAAGACGAGGGAGAGTAGCACCGAAGCCGACGACCGCAATTGCAACTTCGTTGGGGCACTTTGCACCCGTCCTTTCACGTGTTATTCACGAGTCTTATCTAATCGCTACCTAATGCTTCCGGCCTGTGATAATGGACTCCCCTTTTTGGTCCTTTGCTTTACGTTGGGGTTATGACATCATTCTTGCCTTTGACGAAACACACAAGCTTTCCGTGTTTGACGTTGAGCGTTGAAGCTTGAAGGTCGTGTTGGAGCTCCTGTATGAACCAGTAGTGAGGCACTCGGCCTCGGATTCGGATAGGGTTGTTGGTGCGCGTGTCGTTGAATGTGCGGCGACAGATCTACGCGACACACGGTGAAAAAAGCTAAATTGCGCGCGCCAAACAAGCACAAGCAAGCGCTGAGCGGGAGCGGATATGATGCATTGGGAGTCGCTCCTCGGTCGCTCCAGCGACATTAAGCCTTTATGGCACATTTGCTGGGTCAAAATTCCTCGCTCCCAAGATCTCTACGTTGGCAGAAAACTGAATTCAAGGTCATAAAAATTTCCTCATTAATTGCTGTCATCTGAGCTCATAGCTTGATTGACAGCGTCGATCTCCTCCGCCTCCGAGAGCCGCGGTACTGCGTCTTGCCAGTGGTTCGGTAGCATCGCTACAGCTATGTATGGTATACCCACCTTTCCAATCCTGAATGCGTACTCTGCACGGAATCGGAAGCGCCGAGCCCACGCCTCGACCGGTCTTCCCCACCTTCGGGCCCCTACATAGGATAAAACAATTCAAGAATGAAAAACGATGATCTCCGCATCGAACGTCGAATTGAACGAAGTCACGCTTATGTGAGCAATGATGAAACATATCTGGTAGCGTCATCGGGTCGGGAGGCGGGTGATCCGCCCGAAATGGAATGTCCCCTGTGCGCCCTTCGTCGTTCATTCAGTCCAGGCCGCTCTTAAATCAATCCTTTGTCGTCCCCTCCTCTTACCAGTCCACGTCCCAGCGGAACTCATCCACACACTCAATCGTCTCTTGCTCCCTCTCTGTCACCAGTATATCCTATATCCGCCTCCTTGCTCGTTCTTCTCCTCGCACTGTCCTCCTCTGCTCTTGACTCCTACCACCGCCGCTTCATTCACCCGCTCCACCTGCAGCATCACCCGTTCTCCCAACTTCAGCTTCCAGCGATGAGCACTCTGCAGTGGCGACAGGACGACCTTCTCTATCCGTACGACCCCTCCTCCCTCGAGCTTGACCACCAACGCCGTCTCGCCGCCCTTCACGGCCAAGAGCGCCGCCTCTCCATGCCCGAGCTTGGTTCGACCGCACACTACGGTCACGCAGCCCACCAAGGAGGTCACCAACAGTCCGTCAATTACTCTACCACCAACGCATACTTGCACGCAAGTCCCTCGGAGATGACCCTCTACTCCGCCGCTGCATCTGCTTCTCCGTGCAACGGCAGTGCGTCACCGGTCTACGGCGCCGCCGGGAACAACACCGGCGCTTCGAGATACATGTCCGGCGTCAACGAGGATCTCGGCGCCTTCATGGCATCGCAGAGCTCGCCGTTGTCGATGACATTCGACGTTGATGATGTCAACGCCATGGAAAGCTACTGCACCACGCTCGATGGCCAGTTCGGGCTGCAGCACCATCACCATACCGGGGGTCTCACCATCCCGCAGCACCAGCTCCCGCACAGCGTGTCTCCGACGCTGCTCATGACCTCCCCGGACTCTGTCCCCGCTGCGATGAGTTTCGCAGACGACCCACGACTATCCATCTCGCCCGCGGCTCAGGGCGAGACTTATACGCCGACGAGCATCTCGCCCATCTCGCTCGAGATGGACGGTGGCATGAGTCTACCAGCCTACAACAACGGTCACACAGTGGGCGACGTCCCCGAGCTCAAGCTAGACGCCGGCCCGGAAGACTCGGATAAAGACTCGCTTTCGTCCCTGTGCACGCCCTCCGCGAGCGGCTCATCGTACGCCGCATCGTCGTCACCCTCCCCCTCGCCAGGTCCTTCAGCTCCTGGCACTCGGCCGTCTACCAAATCCTCCGTCGGGGGCTTTGGCGCTTATCTCTCCACCACCATCGCCACAGGCGCCAACAACTCAGCGCCAATTGCCGTCCCAAGTCGCCGTCGCACCCGCGTTGGATCTGGCGCTGCCCTGCCCAAGCCGGTGCCGAACCTCACGAAGCGCTCGCGTGGACGCAAGGTGCCTACGTCCGCAAACGGGAAACCCTTGCCGTTCACGCGCGGGTGCAAGGAGAGTGGCGGCGGGGCAGGCATGAGGGCGTACATGTGCGAAGTCGATGGCTGTCATGCGTGCTTTGTGCGCGGGGAGCATCTCAAGCGGCATATTAGGAGCATTCATACGCACGAGAAACGTGAGTCCTCCTTTCTACTTTTTGATTTAGTGAGACGATGCTGACGGCTGCTCGTCATGTCCCATCTATCCAGCGTTCGAGTGCCCGCACCAGGGATGCGACCGGTCGTTCAGCCGCCGGGATAACCTCAACCAGCACGTTCGCGTCCACCGTCACGGCGTCTAACACCCATGGAGCCTGTTCCCCCCGTCCCCGTCATCACCATCTATCATCATCCGCACATAAAAGTCACGCCGAGTCGAGCATCCAACGTTGACGCTCTGCTTCCACAATGATATGAACGAGTCTTACGAGCCCCGCTTCACCCCTGTCATTGGACGCCAAACCCCAGCCATGTATACACCCCTTCTCTCTCTCGCATCATCACAGGGACTTTGTAGAGCCATCGGCATTATTGTCGTTGCTTAGGATCTCTTCTTCTTTTCTTTTGTTACGTCACATTATTGTTCTCGCCTGTTTTTTTCCTGTTGCATTGTCATCTTTCTTGCGTTATGTATCAGACTATCTTCTCATTTGCATCCCACTGCCGCTCGTCGACCTCCTCATCCACCATTCTATCATTATAGTCTCGTGCATTTATCTATAACACCCCATACACATTTGTATCACATCTCACTTCCATGTATGCGCTCTACTGTATCCATAGTATTTTCTTTTTCTTAGTAGCATTGCAACCAATAGAGTCATACTTGATACACGAACCTGGTGACTACGTTTCCTTGAGTGACGAAGTTGAAAAAATGCTCGAGCCCCCGAGACCCGAGAGGAGCTCTTCCCGCCAAGCCCTTCCTTGATGAATAAAGCGAAAAAACCTATGCAAAGCAATTGCACGCCAAAGGCTTGGCCAAAGGCGAGTTCTGAATAGACACTCGATAACCCCTTACTCGACAAAGGAGACGGCCAAAACTTGAGTTTTGCTTCCTTTCGAGATCGGTGCTTAGGAGCAGGTACACTTGACATCGTATTCTGCAGGAATTCCCCTAGACGAAGCGGATAGCATCGTTGGGGTTCATAATGAAACGCTCCGACTCGGCGCTTATAAAGACTTTGGTGTTTAGAGGGGGAGGCTTACTTTTCGCGCGTTTATGGGTATGGTGAGATGGTCTATCCCCGAAGGTACGGTTCTGTGTATTGCACAGTAAGCAAAATGTAGGAGACTCAATGAACGGCGTAGAATGTTTTTCTGGGTGTCATGGTGGCTAGAATGTATAAATTTGTCAATCACAGAGAGTATGCTCAAGTCAGCACCGCCAAGCGTTTCATTAATGCCACACTGAAGAGGACGGAACTCTCCGCTTCGGAAAGAAGATGGAGTACAGGTCCAGGCGTACGGAAAGAGGTCAACTCGAACTTGCGAATCCAAACTTCGTCCTAGGACGCAACTTGTTCTTGAAAGTACCGGCGCTTCGACCAGCGCTTCAAGTGATAACCGAAGCTTCTTTCTTAGCTAGCCACCAGACTAGCATACAGGGGCACTACCCTTACACAGCAAAACACATGCCCCTCGCAACATGACGGCGTTCGAACCATTCTCCAACGGCTCCGGCCCGGCGATGGACCGCTGGAGCTCCGCACGCCACCGCGTCGATCGTTTCCGGAAGCACTATGGAACGTTTGAAAATCTCGAGAGATCGTGTCACGGTCTAGATCTCATGAAGGCCGGTGGAGGGTAATTTGATGGAAGGCTCCAGTCTCTACAGGACGGTGCGTCGACGGTGTGCGGGGCCAAATTGCGCTGTTTTGGCCGAAGGTTTTCGTTGGTGGAAGCAGGGTGGGAGTCCAAGATATGATGACATGACATCAAGAAGGGAATCTTAGGATTCAATGCTCTTGATTTCTAAGTCTGTGGTAAGTTGAACGTTGGAAAGCGAAGTACCCAAGATCGCAATGCGAAGAAATGGTTAGACTGAGTATTACTAGCATAAGATATTGATATGCAAATGTCGGTAGATACGTGGAAATTGAAGACGGTCAGCATAGGAACTTGAATAAGCGTGGATTTGTGCGGGACGTAGTTGACTCCGATCCACACGGAATTCTGCTTTCTAAGTAAGCCCCTAAGTTCTAACGTTACTACGCTGGCAACTCCAACCCTCGTTCTTACATGCATGTACAACTGCTGGAGGAAGACTTAGCTTCGTGTAGCGTCATAAGATAAAACTCGAACGTATGAGGCAAAATGTAGCTTTGCTTACTGATGCTGTATGAAAAGGAGAGCAATTGATCGAACGCTTCTTGGGAAAAGTTGCTTATCAGCCAGTTGAGTATGGATTGATCAGCTTCGCTATAATCTCCTTGTCAGCTTGGAAGTCTGTGCTGATGATGCAGCCCTTTTACAGGAAGAAGCACGGATAACCAGTAACGAACGTTTCCAAAGCATTGTAGCCCACCTCAAGACGTCCACTAGCCCCCATTTAACCCCTGTGTTCACATGCTTTGGCTGCACTCGCAGGCGGCTCTCACCACTTTTTCCGCCTTGCTTACAGGACCTTTCGCGCCGACATCCACTCATCGCGATACCCAAGCGATACCTCAGGCATCTTCGCTGGGATTTTCCTTCCCTAACCCCCTTGCAGTATATTATTACCACGCTTCAGTTAATGCGACAACAACGAGGCCATCTCTCCTGTATTCAAGACACGATCGCATATGGAGGTCGAAATATCATTTGATGCGGCTCCAGGTACTGATCCCGAGGTAAAATATGATCACTCTACATCTTGATCAGATAGGTTAGACATTTGGCTTGCGACTTGTCAACCGGCAGACTTGTTGAGAAACAGAATTGATTTATGGGGGCCGTGCCTACATACACCGCTACTTTATGCATGAAAAGCGAAGTAAATATACCATAGGAGTGTGAAGCGTAAATCATGTTTCCCATTTTTTAGGACAGTTTCAAAAACTATCACTGATCATGTTCTAAATAAGTTACGGAAGTCAAAGCTGCTGGAATGTCGCATCTTCAAACATATACCCAACGCTTCGTATTGGAGGTACACTCGCAAACGCCACTGTCGTTACTTCTTGTGATGCCGAAACCTCGGCACCTGTAGTCAATTCAAAGCTCTTCCTTAGGCTCACTAATAACCAAGGGCCGATCAGGGCGAGGAGGATGCTTTCCATCATCGAGTTGATGACAATGAATGCCGTTATCTAGTGCGGATAATATCAAAGACCAGTTAGATGATATCGAATATAATTCCATACGTTTGCTATAGAGGGCGCAAATGCCATAGCCGAAAGCGTGTAACACATCAAAGCGCTGAATGCAGTTATATCGCTGAACGTGAGCAATCTGATTTGAACTCACAATAAAAAGTAGGTCAAGTTGTCTCGAACAATCACAGCCCCAATGCTCGTTGCTGCTTGCACTGGCCTATTCCAGAACGAAGGTGAAAGGTGCCTAATGGCATGATGTAAAGCAAAAGCGCAGAGAATGGTGTCGAATGTCAGAACTGCCATGCTTGTTGCAGGGTATGCCCATCGGAGAGATGTAGTATCTTGCTGGCAGATGTTGATATTCAACATAGTGAACGTCGCTAAAAAGGAGTGTTTGGGAACGACTTAATTGCAGATAAAGAGCAACTCACATTCCAGATTGGGTCCAAAGGCAAATACAAACATCACAGCAGTGATATTGATGGCGCACGTTATTGTGAAGCAAGTAGAAAGACCAATCAAAACGGCTTTGGACCTTTGAAATAGACCATATATGCGCACAGCCATCATGCCTACAGGGACTAAGTTCGTTATTAAGGACAGGGAAAAGCATAGTTCGGGCCAAACCTTGTAAAACGATGGAAAGCAAAACGGATAACACCTGCATAATTACAAATACCGTGTAACCTGTTTGAGCGCTGAGTTAAGCACCGGCTGTAAGATTTTCTGAACTTGTACCTACATCTGAGAGGATCAACCAGGTCAGAGCAAAATAAGCGATAAAGATTAATCCGGTAAAACTCACTGCTATAACATAACATCGATATTATCTTGAGTGCCCCAATACTAAGCTTTTATGGACTCACTATGCTTGTTATCGGTAGGTTGATAGAGTATACTGCGAGCATGGCAGTGAGTTGTTTGAGTATAAACATTATTTTGGAGCGCATAACCTGCGAATAAACTGAGATAATGATTAGTACTACGCAAACAAAGGAAGAAAGCATTAATGTACTTACGCAGCGAATAGCATTCCCGAGTACCGCATCTGGAATAGCAGTGAGCGTAAACACCCTATAATTAAAGAAACCTTCATTCCGACTCACCATTACGTATAAAAGAGTGGTCCATGATCTCCCCGTATCATTAAGCACATCCTCGGCTTTTGTTTGGTCATGTTTGGCTTGCTCCGCTTCTGGTATGAACATGGCTCATTTCCGCGTCTTGCCTGCCCACCATCCATTCAATATGTGGCTCTATGCCACTCCACACATTCACTTTCTCTCTCGGATACGGACCGACTAGGCTTGATGGTTTTTTCCGCCGATCAATCGTTTATGCCAGTGGGGATGCCCTTGAAAGCTTGACAAATCCCAAGGCGATGTTCTTAGGATTCTCGCAATTGCTGACTCCATTGGCTCCAGACTGCTCCACCTCGTCATTGCGTCATACCCCTCGGCCATTCACTCACACCCACGCTTTTCTCCGGATACGTGATTCCTCCTAAATTCCTAACAAACGACACAGCACGCCGTTCGAACAGCTCCTCTTTTTCTTGACATGCGTCTCTTTTCTCCGCATTTGGTATGTTGCATTTTTTATATTTATATCCTCTGCTTTCGTTCCATCGGTTGACCATCCCCCGCAGCACGTTATCGTCGCTTTCTGCTCATCGCATTTGCTCATCACCAATCGTTGATATCGCCATCACATCTCCATCATGTCTTCCTGCAGCGCGAAGGGTTATTTCTGCCTCGCCAACGCTCGTCGCGTCTCCGTCACCAAGGCGTCCGGCGCCATCGCGTACTACTGGCAGTATGCCACCACTCTTCGCTGCAACGACGACTCTGCGCTAGCCGCCGAGTTTCGCATCTACGCTCGCTTTTCGGATCCCTCCCTCCCAGACAACACCCTCGTCGAGGCTGTCGCCCAGGTCCACTTCCCATCCGATCAGGGCACCATTCTCATTGAGTGCTCCGAGCTCAATCCGTTCCCTGGTCATCCGTCTGACCTTGGTTACGACGACCACGTTCCGAACACCTATCCAACTTTGTATGTTCTCGGCACTGTCGTAGACAGCGAGCCGTCTCTGGGAGACCCTGACCTTCGTGGTTGCACTCTGTCAGCCACTGACTATGTTCGTGACGGCTTCAAGGACTCCCTCATTCAGTGAGCCCTTTCAGTTCGGTTTACTGTCCTGTTCGTTCTTACACTCCACACAGGTGTACTTGGAGCATGTCGTCTCGTCGTTGGCAGAGGACTCCCATCCCGAGGAACAACACTATCACGTATTCGTACGGCTTACCTGTGGGATGGGGTTCCGCGGGCAGCTTCCGCATCACTATTCAAGGTCTTGCTATGAGCGTCGGCCCGCGCGACACCCATGGGGGAAATGGCGGAGCACCTCCCACTCCTGGTGCTGCGTCAGTTGATGGGTCTCCGTCCAAGAAGCGCAAGTTCACTGCCGTTGCGTCCGGAAACGCGTCCACGGCCGGCGCTCAATCTTCTTCTCATGGGGCCCCTTCTAATCCTGCGTACGTGCTGCATATCGTTATCTTCCTGCTTTTCGGTGCTAATCCCTTCTAATCCAGAGTTGGTCGCGTTTTTGGGGCTCCCGCGACTCCGGTTGGGAGCGACGACGAGATGGAGGAAGATAACGATGACGATAACAAAACTAATGTTGGTCAGTATCGGTAGTTTCTTCTATGTCAATACTTCTGTTCTGACTGATTTCGTAGCTTCGCCCGTTCCGTCTTCGCCCCACAGCGCTGCCACATCTGCTGTCCCCGCTCCGGTCGCGGACTCCCCAGCTCCTCAGTCCGGCACTGTTCAGTTAGCTTCCACTCCTACCGCCGCGCCCGCGATGGATGCTGCCACATACGAAGCTTTTCTTCGCTTCCAGAGGGAGAATGCCGACCAGGACAATGGCGCGGGTGCATCTGCACATGCCGAGTCTTCCACTACTCCTGCTTGTGGGAAGGCTAACACCTCCTCTCGCGGCCGTGGCAGGAAGCGCACGAAGAAGGCCTCTGCGTAATAGAATTTATGTACAATCTAATACAATCCGAAGCACAATGTATATCCTATCATGTTAATTGTGTACCCTCCTCGCTCCAATGTCACAGCTCCTTTGTGCTGCCAAATACGGCAGCTGGTTTCAAACTCCGATATGTCGCGTGTTGGCTCCGCAGTTTCTCTCTCTCTTTCTTTTCACCATATTCTTCCGGCAGCGGGCGCTGGTGCCCCAGTCCGCTTCAATCTGAGTGGGCCGCTCGGCGGCCTCGTTGCTATGGCTCGGAGAGACACAAACGGGCGAGGGCTGGTCGGCCATCTGCTCTGTGCAAGGCAGACTATCCGTCAGCCCTCGCCATATTTTCTCTCCAGCCTATGCACGGGTCAGCCAGAGGGTGTTCGCCCACAGTAACGCCCCGGTGAATTAATAGGCTCTCCCCGCGCCCAAAGTGACGGGGGAACCTTGGTCCATAATGCGACGCGACGGCGCCCCCGGCTGAACCAATGCCAATGCGCGCGCTGACGCATGCGCCCACCATGGCTAAACAGCACTAAACTACGGGTATACTCGCATTCATGCGATGCACGATAACCACGTACCATTGTATAAATAAGACCGTGTAGCATAGACGAAAGCAATAACAATAGTACTATACTTATGGCATGCCTCGCTCTCAGAACTGAGCCGACGCAATAGAGCATTAGTAGAAGGTCTCATCTCAAGCGTTGGCTAGCAGTACTATTAGGCCAATGTCATTCCGTTCCGTACATACAAATCATATCCTCACGTACGGCGCTACCACTGTGTTACCATACCTGTCCCGTCCTTCGGCCCTAGGGGTGCCCGCGAGGGCCTTGGCTATGCTCATTTCTGTAGTTGCCGTTGACCCCAAGTTGACCCTTCGCTGAATGCTAGGGATATGACATCATGCGCCCACCCAAGGAGAATGTCGGGGTCATCAGCGTAGTGGTTCTTCCGACTTCTTCGGTTTTCTACTCGGACCCGATCATGTCAAGCTGTGCTCCACCCGGATGTCCGCGCCGGATACACGTGTGCGGATATTTGGTGCTGCTTGCTACCTTGGCAGGAAGCGCTTCAAGTCCCCGCACCTTGCTCCGCGTCTCTCATCTTTCCCTGTCGCTTCATCCATGATCGAACCTTTGCTGAACTCCGTCTCTGTCGTCATGGCTGGTCCCTCGCTCGTTAAATTGCTGTCGCCCATACCCAACGGCTTTCTGTCTCAAGTTTAGAACAAGATGTCGTTTGCTCTCTATCTTCGCAAGTTCACCGCAACCAGTCTGTATCGCCTCCTCCCGCTTTGCGTCAGCTCTAACTTACTCTTTGCCCTAGGTGTTCCCGAGTTCGTCGTCCGTCCGTGGTCTATGATTCGTTCAATTTCTTCCCTTTGCCCCGACGATCTCCCCTCTTTGTTGCATTTGCTTCGTTTGGTACAAGGCCGCGCAATCAACTTCGACCAGTTCTATGTCTCTCTGACTCAGCTGAGCATGGTAATTTTATTGCATTTCGATTCAGTGTTTCCACTGATTTAATCATCATTACCACAGTTTGCCGAACTCGTGAATCCCGACTCTATCGCTCGTCTGCAAAAGCGGAAATACCGCTTGCTCATTACCTGGTGTCGCACCAGTGACACTTCCCCTTTTCACTCGAACGCTCCATATTCCGCGAATTTCTATCTCACCTACGATCGTTTCGACGGCACATCTCCACTTGAAGCACTTGCGTCATTCCTTTTCGATTTCTTCCATAAGTGGGGTCGTATTCCTGTGGTGCGGCTAGGGTTTGTTGCGGACGCGCAACGGGCCCACATTGGCGGTATAATTCTCTTCAACAGGGGCGGCAGATTTGTATTTGCCGCAATGATGCGGTGGTGTCGCTACAAGGCACCGGCGACCATGATCTATGGCTGGCCTGTGACGGCAGTTGGCAGGAATGCGACCCTTCGAAACCCAGTTTACCTCACGCTCGCTTTTCGCGCTGGCAGGTCAGTTTCGCTTCTTTGACACAAGCATGACATCTCTAACTTGGCTCGCACTAGGTTTGTCCACGTCCTGTAACGTGGCTCCGTTCTGTTTCTCCCTTTGATATGCCACTCTCATCATTATCTGCCTTCCTTTACGACACAATCATCTACTCCACTGCTTCATCACCGTACCTTCTTTTTTCTTCTTTTGACTTAACTAGGAGCATTTCAAGTTTCTGTCTCCGTGTCGTGCTCAACTGTGTACTGTCGCCGACTCTATCACCAGTATTCATCTCGTTGATCTGCTTTACTTCTTCCACCATCCTCAACTTCATCCTTCGTCCACGCTATCTACAGTACCTTTGAAACTTGGTAATTCGATTCCTTTTGAACACTTATCGTGTCTTGACAAGTTTCAGTGATTGTGCATGGATTCTGTCCGTAACACATGGGCAATAGCGCCAATCTCCCAGCCACGCTTACGATGGGGCGAAGTAAGAGCTGGTCACCGGCATGCTTGCCCCCACTGCGGGATAGATTTGTTGACTGGCGAATCCCCTGGCTTCTGCTGTGGTCCTCGGGGTTCACGCCTTAACCAAGTCCGCCCTTTACCCCCTCTACCACCCGAATACGATGTCTTATTACAGGACAATCGTATTTCAACCATGTCCCGGATTCTTAATCTAGTGTTCTCGTTTGCGGCAATGGAAACTACTCATTCATTCCCACACAACGATGGGCCCCGTGGCTTTCTCGCTATCCAAGGCCGGGTCTATCATAGAATCCGTCCGACGCACCAGAACTCTGCTGTCCGCTGGTTACTGTACGACGGATTTATGTCCACCACTCCGTTTGCAAGTTGGGCAAAGGAGCTATCTGATCGATGGATCAACGCATTCCGTGCCGCTCTGTCACGGTGCAACCCCTTCGTATCATATCTACAGCAATTTTCTCAAGTTGATCCACACACATACCCCAACGCTCAGCTGTCTCTCGTCGACTCTGTTTCGCAGTCCGAAATTGCCGCATTCATCTCCTATGACAACACGTCCTCCCGTGAGGTTGGCACCCGGACATTCACAATCTCTCGTACTTCTGGCCAAAACCAATCCATTCCCACTACCAGCCGTCTCTGGGAACCTCTTGCATACCCCTTGCTCTTTCCACATGGCACACTGGGTTGGGGCGCTTTTGGTTCAGCCGAGGACATCTCGGGTTCAAGTAATTCCAATACTACCCCTTCTTCCGATTGTGCATCTACACAGCTGTGGTACTACAGGGCACGTCTTCTGCGAGAACCAAGATTCAGAATGTTTGGTCGTCTAACTAATGAATATATCGTCGACATGTTCTGTCATAACCTGGAGACGCGCTTGAAGTATATTCGCGACAGCCAGCTGGAGAGACATCGCGAGGACGCTGCTCTCATGGGTGCTGACCCAAATGAATTCTCAGACAACCAAAACATATATCTTCCAGCTTCGTTCCTAGGCTCTAACCGATGGGCGTCTGAACAAATCGCCGACTCGCTTGCTGTTGCCGCAGCTCGCGGTAATCCGACCTTTTTCATTACAATGACGTGCAACGCTCATTGGCCAGAGATACAGTCACAGCTGTTACCAGGCCAAGACTTCACCGATGCACCTGTTGTCGTTGCGCGCGTGTTTCGTCGAAAACTGACGGCACTCATTCGCACTCTCAAGAACATGTTTCCTCACGCCGGTAAACCACTGTACACCATATACTCAGTCGAGTTTCAAAAGCGCGGTCTTCCCCATGTCCATATCCTTCTCAAGTTTCCATCTGACTGTGTGTCTCCTGAGGATATTGACGCCGTTGTTTCGGCTGAGGTGCCTTCTAACTCAGACGATGCAGAATTGGTCAACAAGTTTATGCGCCATAACCACCCTTCTCTGGGTCGACCGGCTGCGACGTACTGTCAGCGAGAGCGCGAGGACGGCTCTCGTCACTGCCGCTTTGGGTATCCCCATCCCGCCCAAGATCGTACAACAATCGACAATGAGGGCCGTGTCCACTATCGTAGACGCTCCGCGAATGACGCAATGATCGTCCCATACAACCTCGAACTCCTCCGCTCCTTCAAGTGCCACATCAATTTCGAAGTCGCTAACACGTCTCATCTATTCCAATATCTCTTCAAATACATCCATAAAGGTTCGCAGTTCATATGTTCACATTGAATTGCATACTTATGTTGTCCACAGCGCCCGACAAAGCTCGCTACACTATCCGGAGAGAGAATGAACCAGTCGATGAAATCGAAGAGTGGTACAAGTCACGCTATTTGTCTGCGGGGGAAGCAGTTTGGCGAATTCTGGGCTACAATATCACGTATAAGGAGCCGAGCATTGAGGCTCTTCCTGTGCATCTCCCTAACTCCACTGTATATCGACAGTATCGCCGCAATCGCTCTGAACGCTCCGCAACCTTTTTGGAGCGCTATCTCAATCGTCCTCGAGGTACCTTCATCAACATTGATGGCGTTGAGATGAACTTCGACGATCTCACGTACACTGAATGCTACGTTCGGTTTCGCCTCGTCACATACAACGCTCGCAACATCAATAAGCGTCACTACTACGAAGAAGCAGCTGTGATTCCCAACGTCGTTCGGATGCACTTCGTTCTACGTGTCAGCCGACGTGCCCATCTCACCCGTCTCAAATCGGTACCGCCTTCTAAGGGCGAACTCTTCTACTTGCGGACGATTCTAATTTACAGGCCATGCCGCTCATTTGAAGACGCTCGCACTATTGAAGGCATCACATATCATTCATTCCAGGATGCCGCTGTTCGACTCGGCATCTTTGTGGACAAGAACGAGGCGGAACTTGCCATGTTCGAAGCCCTCACCTCTCTCAAAACTCCCCGCCAGCTGCGCCTACTTTTTGTGCACCTCCTCGTTAATGACTGTGCCGCTACACCATGCACCTTATGGGACCAATTCGCGCATTGGCTCTCCCGTGACTTCCTCTATCAAGCCAACAACGCCCAGGATATCGCATATAACCGTGCACTTGACGACATCTCCAAGGCGCTCGAAGAGTACGGCAAGACACTGGTCAGCTACGGTTTGCCTGAACCCACCGTGTACAGTCGTGAGGTGGAACACGAACTGCTTCGGTGGGGTCCGGATGCAGAGCGCCTCGGTCTACGAGCGGACGAAGCATATGTTCGAATGACGTTCGAGCAGCGGATGCTATTTGACACGATAATGGCATCTGTAACAGCGGGCCGCCAAGTCCTCCTCTTTGTCGATGGTCCGGCGGGCCGTGGAAAGACGTTTGTTGTGAACGCAATTTGCGACAAACTCAGGTCCATGAATCAAATTGTTCTGCCTACCGCTACAGCAGCTTTCGCTGCTCAACTATACCCCGGAGGCCGAACAACTCACTCCACATTCAAGGTAATGTTTTTCCTCTCCGTTCATTACATATCATGGCATGTATAAACCCTGCTGATGCCGTGGATTCTATTTCAGGTGCCGGTCAATGATAATAACGAGATGTTGATGTCCACCATGTCTCCTCGCGGCCCTCGTGCTGAGCTCGTCATGGCCTCAGCCGCGATCTTTTGGGATGAAGCGCCCATGGTCAACAAGGCCGTGCTTTCATGTGTTGATGATATCTGTCAACAGATAACTGGACAGGAGAGACCGTTCGGTGGGAAATCACTGATACTCCTGGGTGATTTCCGACAAACGTGCCCAGTCATCCGTGGTGGCTCACAGCGTCAGGTTATTGACGCTTCAATCAAGTCTTCAGCACTGTGGTCATACTTCACCACGTTCCATCTTACTATACCTATCAGGAATGCCGACGATCCAGAGTATGCTACATTTGTGGATTCTGTTGGAGATGGGCGAGGTCCTGAAGTCCCACTCGACATGCTTGACACTGTCTACACGCAGCAGCGGCTCATTGACTTTGTCTTTCCCGACGATACACTATCGCGACCCGCTGACTGCCTCAAGCGTGCAATACTTGCGCCAACTCACCGCCAAGTCGACGCATACAACAACAGTATCCTCAATACAGTTGATGGCGAACAACGTGTTTACCTCGCTGCCGATTCGGTCAAAGAAGCTGGCGAGACGGGACTCATTCCTCCAGCAAGCGTGTTGGACTACATCTCTCGTCATCCCCCGCCCGGATTCCCTGCCCATGCACTTACCGTCAAAACGAACGGCGTCTATCGTCTTCTTCGAAACTTCTCCGTTGATCGTGGCCTCGTCAAAAACGTACGTGTTGTCGTCACTCAGGTTGGTATTCGGATCATTACCGTTAGGATTCTGCGAGGGCTAGGTGGTGTAGGAGTGGTTGACCCTGAAGATATTCTCTTGCCTCGGATCATGTTCCAGGCGAGTTTGAAATCCGGTCACACTCTCGAAAGGAAGCAGTTTCCTTTGGCGCCAGCATATGCGACTACATTCAATAGCTGCCAAGGCCTCACGCTTGATTGTGTCGGAGTGGACGTGACTCGCGACGTGTTTTCGCATGGTCAGCTCTATACAGCGCTGTCGCGCATACGTCACCGCTCCTGCGGTATGGTGCGTATCCGTCCTGGTGTTCCTTCCGCAGTTAATATCACCTATACCGACCTTCTTTGATAACTGTATGTGAATGAATCCACACTGACTTCACGTTCCACATTTCGTCAACGCATTCATGCGTGCGCATGCTTGGTGCGTGCTCTCTCCCAGCCACTGATGCTTCTATTCTGGGGGACCGCAAACACTTACGTCAGAAGGAGCTCTTTCTGAGATTTAAGCTGCACATTCTGCTGCGGACATCAGCCTATCCTACGCTCTGTGTTTGCACCACAACCATCGCACATTATCATGAGCGGTTCTGAACACTCTTCCTGCATGTTCTTTTCCAGTGACCCTGCCGATGCGGAGGACTATTCCTCTTCGCATAGTGATGTATTGTCCATTGCCGATGACAACCCCATGCCTTTGGTGATCGCGAGAGACATTCAAATAGGTCAGATTACAATTCGCCGTGAATATACTACGTTTGGTGCCTAACTTTTTCATATTCGGTAGCACGTTGTCCCCCTGTATCCACGAACCTTCGGCCATGGCCCAACCCTTTCACATTGTCAAGTCATATGCGAGAGACATTTGACGCTATAATCGACGGAAATACCTCTTGGCCCGATTATGTCGAAGACATGCTTTTTACCACCGGCGAGGTTAGTGTTGTGCTGTGGGCGTTTACGTTCCGCTCGCTTCTTTTCTGATGTTCAATTTCATCAGGGATTCACACTGACCTTTCCATACTATGACCACAACATGCTTATCATCTTCATTTGGCGCTCCACACCAACGGACTCGCCATTTCACTCCCGATGCCCGTTCGCAATAGATTTCCATGTTGCCTGCTATGATCCTGACGTCATAGAGATGGGATCTCGATTGGCTGGAGTCGGTTGGTATCTTTCAATGTGTTTTTTGAGTGATCACAGGCAAACAGCTTCCGTTATGCCAAGTGATTGTATCTACTACATTCGCATCGCGCACCACATTCCCCAATGTACTGTGGGCACTATCTTCTTCACTGACGCGGCCTCCGATTTGTTTCACCGCGTTGAAGATATCTGTGACACTATGACACACCCTCTGGGATTTGTACGAAACCAATTGTGCGTCACAGTCAGCGATGTTTTGCTACGGGATAACCTGGATTATGTTACCTCGGCTATGTCAATTACGCTGTATGCAACGCGGTAATCTCCTAGAGCATTTGGCAACTTTCAATATCAATGTATAGTGGCGTGGAATCTTCAACTTCAGCGCCAACGGTGAATACTATATGCTCCCTAGGTTCTGTCATGCTTGCTGTCAGTTCTGGCTTCGTCTCAATCACCTATCATGTGCTTCTCTGCGCCCATGCCCGTCTGGTCCGAGAGAGAGAGAGCGGACAATTCCGGTCAACTGTACAGTCCTGTATAACCATTGCTATATAGTGAGTGCTGTACGCTTCTCTCTACTTAGCACGTCTTTGTCATTTTCCTCACCCTCCTCCTCTGAAGCCGGTTTTTTTCTGTTGCTTCACTCACCAAAATAGCGCGGTCCCTGCGGAACGCTCAGGGTCCCTGGAGGTCAATGTACGCTCATGCCCGATGACCGTCGGACATGCATACTTTTACCTTCAGGGTCCCTGGCGTTTCCCTCAGTCAGACCGCTATAATTCTTTGATAGACTTCGCTCACATACCGCAGTACATACGTCATGTATTTGCGCCGCTTAGTACAGAGTCAATGAAATGCTATGCATGATTCCATTCTTATGTTATGCCTAGCTGTGTTATGTCTCAATCGCCCCAAATTGACTTCTTCGTTGCTTCTTCGTGATCGGCCCAACTTCGGCTTTCTCAGTGCGGATGTCGGCACGGGCTTATGTAATCTTCTCAGTTTCCAAAATGTTGTTGTCTCCGATTTCCGACTCTGCTAACCTCGCTCTCGCCGTTCGCTGTTGTCCTCGCCCCACCACCCTGTCCATCTCCGTTGACACTCGGACAAGGTCGCCGTCCATGATCACCCTGATCCCAGTGCCAATACCGTTGCCTCCAATCCCCGCTGTCCATTCCGCACTCTCCACTCTCCACCTCCTTCGTTGAATCCTGATCAAGATCACCGCTCCCGTGCCAGCGCCAACACCGCTGCCTCCAAACTACATCTCAAGGTTGCCGTTGACCGGCATAATCGCACCATAGCCCATCCAACTCATTGGATACACAACCGCTTGCGTATGCAACTCGTCGGGTATGCGAAGTTCTCCACTTAGCTTCTGTGCGATGGCAAGCGAGCGAATGTCATGACGTATTCTGCGCTGGGTAAGTGAGTTTCTACTCATGTTTTAAAAGCGCTTGGACAGACTTCCAGAACGTCTTGCTGACGCTCGCAACGTGTCTAACAGCACCTATGCCTCCATCTACCGACTTATATCTCAACTCCACCCTAACTTCATCGCTGTCCGCACTTCATATCTCAGACACCATGGCTATCGATTGTGATGACGGCCTCGAGCACCTCTCCATTCTAGACGACAAGCCCTTGCCGTCGATTATATACCGTGACGTCTATCGAGGTTTGTACCCAGCTCGTCGCAGGATTTGTGGATGACTTAAAGTTCTCGCAGCGCAGTGTTGCTTCCATCTCTGGAACGGCCAGCCTCGCCGTAGCCCTTTCTCGTTATCGAACCTTATTCGCTTTTCCTTTGACGACATAGAACACGGCATCTACTCGTGGTACGACTACGTAGAACACATGCACGCGTTGACAAACGAGGTGCGGTCGTGAACTTTGCTCGTCCTTCTCCATTGCTAATGTATACATCACACCAGGACTGCCCTACCTTCGTACCCTCCTTTGAAGGAAACGTTGCTGTCCTGCTTATCTGGCGTCCCGTGCCGAGCAACTCAACCTTCTTTCGCCATGCTCCCTGGGCAGTCGATTTCTACGTCATGACCAACAATGTTCATACTCTTGCGTTCAGACTTGCAGGGCTATGCTGGTACTTCAGCGCAGACTATCTGCACATGTACCATCAGCAAACGTCCGGTGCGCCGTCCGACTGTGTTTACTACATTACCTCGAGTCACCATACCGATTTTTATACGTCCGGTACCATCTTTCTTACTGACGAATTCCGAGACACGTTCTTACTCTCGACGTCTCGCTGTGCTAACGACAGCCCTTTTGAATACAAGTACTATATGTTACCCGTTACAGTCAACGATATAGCTTTGGCGTACAATGCCGATGTCGTTGAGCGCTTGATATGTACAACTGGTGGGAATGATCACTTCTACTGACGCTTAGACACTGTTCCGTCCATGTAACACATTACCGTCTCGCAAAAAAAAACTAAACTACTATCAATCTTTGACTTCTATCAGCGTCTCCTAAAAATCTCGGAAAACATTGGAATCTATTTGGTATGGCGTAACACTCCGCCGGACTCAACACTGTATCACCAAGCTCCATTCGCGATCGACTTCTGTGCCCTGGAGAGCGATGTTAATACTTTGGCATTTCGTATGGCTGGTCTTACGTGGTACTTTGGCAGCTTCCTTGATCGTGACAACATGGTCGACAGCGACTACCCTTCTAACTATGTGTACTATATCCGTGCCGCCCTTCACATCGAGCGCTACACGCTTGGTACCATTTTTTGCACGAGTAGTTTTGCGCGGGTGTTCTCTGAAGTAACGAGGGCTTGCGCTCGTGGTCGAAGTGCCGGGGCTTACTTGCATCGCTCGCTCCCCGTCACTGTAAACCACGTTATGTTGCTCAATAAGCCGGTAGTACTTGACGGATTCTTGGGGCTCAGTAGATACGCCGTCAGTCACCACTAATTCAAATTTGGGTGCGGTCTCTGATCTTTGCTTCGAGGGAATACCAAGATCAATCGAAGCTCCACCGGCACCACTCGCACCTTGATCAAAATCCCCGTAGGTTGTCCGGACCGGAATCAAACTGACACGTGACATGACCCACCGCCCTCACCACAGTTTTGGACTCCCGCCCTTCGTGATCGTCTCTGCCTCTCGCTTGCAACCTCACTAGCTCAATGGAGACCCCATTACGTCTGATGTAGCACCTTGCCATCTGTCCAAGCGGCATTCGCCCTAGCCACGCCTTCCCATCGTCAGCCTCACTAAGAATCTTATATAAAGTAACCCCTCCTTCGTCAAGTCGCCTATTCCAGTCACTGCGTCCATAACTTCCGCCACGCTGTTTTCTCCTCATTGAGGCGAGGCCATGTCGTACTATCGCAGCGCTCACGTACTCTTCACCGAAGCTAGCTGGAGGCTAGCGGCTGAGGATGGCACAATCATTGACGAGATTGGGCACGCCCCTTCCTCACCAGGTGACACTAACAATGCATCCTCCTTGCCGGACGACGACGCGGACCTCCCAGCCCTTATCGACGACAGTGACGAGGATGAGGATGAAGGCCCACTCTCCCTATGCGATGGTAGCGACGGCGGCTCCATGTCCCCGTCCAGGGACACTGATTGTCTCAGAGATGAAGCCCACCCGCGCTCCGTGGGTAAGTGTTCTATTCTCTGTGCGTCGGGCTAAGTCTAAGACCTACACAGCAGATGAACGCCAGCTTCCTCTCAACCCTACTTACCCAGATGCAAGCGTTCTCTCGGACTGTCTACGATTCTCATTCGACGACATCACCCACTGGGTCTACAACTGGAAGTCTTATGTTGATATCCTTCACGAAAACACTCGTGAGGTAAGCCCTCATTCGTGGCCATATCGCTCTCATCTCATCACTTTACAGGAACTGCCCGTCTCCATTCCCAGTTATCCAGACAACGTAAAGGTCGCGTTTGTCTGGCGTACAGTATCCGTCAGATCCCCTCTCGCCCATGAAGCCTCCTTTGCTCTCAACTTCTACGTCACTACGACCGGCTCACAGTCCCTGGCTTTCAGGCTAGCGGGGTGTGGATGGTCCTTTACCTGGGACTATCTCCGCAACTTTCATTCAGGCGCAACCCACTGCCCCTCGGACTGTGTGCACCACATTGAGGTGAAACACCATACTGAGCAGTACACCTCCGGTACTATCTTCTGTGCAGAAAACTTCCGTTCGACGTTCAATCATTTCACTTCCCTATGTACCATCGACCGCGAGCAAGAGTTTCTCTACGAAGGATTGCCCGTAACTGTAAACAACCTATCACTTCCGCGTAGTCATGTACATATGCTCACACTGCTACAGCTTTGTAACGAGTAATGTGCAATACAGTGAGCCTCCGCATTAATCGTAACTTCTCCTTATGTTGTCGTGGGTTAGTTCTAAAATCGAATATAGCACACCTCGTCTCATCAAAACGCTCCGGCTTCACCGCTAAGATGAAGCCGAGGTACGCCTTCCACTTGACATACCTAGCTCTCCCGAGTCATTGACCGACTCCAAAGCGAGGTCAGCTCCGCAGTTCTCGACCTGCCTAGCGAGTTTGACTCCATCTCACATTTTCACGTTGCCGATGATACACGCCACGCATTAATTTTTCGCGAACCCGATCCTTTTCATTAATGATATATCACGGGGTAAGCTTTCACGCATCCGAGATATATGTGTGATACCGCACTGACGTCAGCCTAATCGTATGGACGTCAGCTTATAAGAAACAAGCTGATAACGATTCCGAGGGTACCGCACTCACCGTCGTCCCTTTGCCGTGCTCAAACATGTCTCGCTCAGAACAAGAATCGTTGGTGGCCCAGTTATCCAACCTGAGCATTGATGGCACGACGTCTGCGCCCTCGGACGAAGGCGACTTACATCGGCCTGCCGACCTAGAACAGTCACACCTCCTACCTCTCACTATTCAAAGAGCTTTTAGGAGAGGTATGTACTTCTTTACCGCTTTGCTCCTAACATTTATAATGTGATCTCAGTTCATCTTCAGCTACTACCGGATCGTACGCCGTGGCCAGACCCATTCGCTCTGTCCCATCGGCTCCGAAGCTCTTTGGATGGTATTGAAAACAACAACTTCATGTGGTCTCGCTATGTTAGAGAAGTTCATGCGATCACTGGCGAAGTATGTCATTTTTGTCATGGTCAACGTGCCCGTCTCATTCAAGCTGACATGTCATGCCAGGACCTTCCCGATGCCATACCTGCTACATTCCCGTATGATCACTCAATCACGGCCACGCGCCTCTATGAGGACTTCCGTGTTCTCTTTACGTGGCGTACAGTACCTACCGACTCGCCGTTCCATTTCCATGCTCCTCTCGCTGTTCACTTCTTGGTCGCTTCGGCGGACACACATTCTTTAGCACTTAGACTTTCCGCAGTCGTTTCAAGGTTTTCACTTGAGTGGCTTGACCACTACACAGAGGCGACTATGCGTGCGCGTTCGTATTGTGTCCATTTTATTGACGTAGTTTTTCATTCAACGGAGGCGACTATTGGGACATTTTTTTGCACAGAGCAGTTACGTGACACGTTTAATTTTGCAACACAAATGTGCCGTGCAAATTTCCCACTACAGTTTATCTACAAAACAGATGGTGATGAGAACGCTGTCACCATCAGCAACTCCTCCGTTCTCGCAACCGAACGTGACCTCGAAACTCTGCTAATGCTGACAGATAGGTATTTTGCATACTATTAGAGTGTCCGCTATATTTGACTACGAGCATACGATGTATATAATCTAATGCTTCGTTCAACGTCATATCCCCTGCCGGAGCGAAGCGATGGCATGCCTTGTACTTTTCTACGCTGATTAGAGAATAAATCGCCACAATATGTTCTAAGAATTTCGTGCTAGTCACCCAAATAAACTCCACCTAGAAGAAGGGATTGAATTGGTTAGGTCCTCAGTCGCATCAAATTGGCATGTATATACTCTGTACCTCAGAGTCAAGATTCAGAACTATAGTCAAACATATTATACCAGTGTATGTGATAAGAGTGAGCACGCAAACTCACAATAGTCATAGATTATTATAGTCAGTGCAGCAGCTAGCGCGAGATCTGTTCAGTTGACCACCCCCTCACAGCGATAAATGTGAACTTGAGTTACTTACCTTGTGTATAACCGGTTATGAATAGAAGGTATACTTCCGATGCCAATTCTTGCTCTGAGGAAGCTGCGGACATTGTCGACGCCTTCTGTCCTACAGGACGAGCGACGAAGTGTATTGTTAAAAGATGGCCCTTTTATACCTTTTCCCCCGCAGCTGTGTCCGCAATAACTTTGCTCGGCTACATAAAATTATATGGAGGAAAGTTATTTATATCATGGGAGAGTCTAACGAGATGTCAAAGGTCCCATATATTTGGCTACCAAGCAGATAACGGGCATGGGATAGGGTACAGCACCGCAAGTTTTTGACAGAAATTACCCGGTTGTTTCAGAGCACTATACAATGCAAATCACACCAGTGTAACATTATCTAGCATGCTGTCACGGCTGTTTTGTGTACTTGGAGTGACTGTATTGGGGAGCGGGCAGCACGAAGGCATGACGAAGAAAAACCTGAAGTCAACCCATTGCAATCCTGACTTACATGCGTTTCAATTTCGTCTGCACGTCGTTAACCTCTCCAACAGCATATCAGGAGAAGTCTGAAAAGGGATCTACTTTAGTATCGAAGCGTGTTCAGACATAGTCTATGTGTCTCCGGAGAACGATTCAGGCATAGCTTGTAAATGGCAGTGTATACGCAAAGAGGCGTGAAACACCCATCATATGCTGATATCAGAGCGGTCTTATCGGGCACGGCGGTTGATGATGGCGATTAGGTCGGAGGAAAGGTTGAAGGAAGGGACAATAGCACTTCATCAGTGAAGTTTACTTCGGCAGCGAGTCGCAGAAACCCTTCCCTGAGATTTCTCTGGCTACCGATCCACATACCTTCGATCAGAACAAGAGCTCTAGTTCTCGTATATTCCAAATAGTGTTCTAATTCCTTTACTTTTTCGAGTTGTGACGCCGCGACGGTATGCTCAGACTATTTTTGCTTGGAAAGGGACCAAAATAGGGTTTGTATCTATGATGCCGCTGATCAGACTGGTTAGCCCGAGACCTTGGACTTGTAGAATCGGGGTTAGCGTTGACCTCATGGCTAAGGCGTTCTGATTTTCGAAAACATCGAAGCTGAATTATACCGTGGATGGCGGCTCAGATGGGACCGAGGACAATGTCGCATGTCCTTCAACAGAGCTCGCCTCTCCTCACACACCCGACGAATTCGCGCTTGGTTTCGAGATAGATCCTGAGGCCTGTGAGATTGATTTTGTGAGTTAGACTAATGGATTATCGTAGATTACTATTCGTAGGATAGGTTTAAGGAAACGGAACACTCACCACGGTGATGTATCACAATAAGTGAGGAACCTGGAGCATGATATATTGAGCCTTTCGCAAGTGTTAGTTTCCGCCTGCGTCGGGTCTTTGGCATTGTGCAAGAGTATTTCTGTACACATAGGTCAATCCTGGCATAGTAGTCATTACTGGGACAAAGCTGAGGACATTGTAGATGCCGTGTGCTATAGAAGTGTACAAGAGACATAGCAAAACCACCTCTAGTAGGAATGTGTTCCTTTGTACAGTCCCTCACTGTGTATCTGATCACTGTGGCACTCTCATGTTTGTCAACAAACCTAGAGTACAGTAGTTCATGGCCTTCAAATTGAGACGAGTTCGGTGATAATCGGGAGTACAAGTCAGGATTGGCCGCAATATGGATAGCAAGCGCAAGGATGAACGGTGCCAATTTCTCACTGACGTTGTAGTTTAGCATGGTCGGGGAAACATTCTATATCCCGAACGCTGTCCTGTTCTGTCCTTGAGGGCCTAAAACTAGAACGCTTGGGAGTGGATGTGTCACAAAATATAGATATTAACAATCTGAAACAGATGCGTGCCACAATGTGTTTCGCCTGCAAACAAGGTCAACTTCCTCATTTCACATCGTTACACCAGAACGGGGGTCTAATACAGGCACGTTTCAAGGACATGAGTGTGCGTAAAGGTAGGTGAGATATTACTGGAAGGCGATCAAACGTTATGAATGGCCGAGGGGCAGTAGGCAGTAGCGAAAGGATTAACATCTTGGCGAGCCTGTATGAAATGCCACTACTCGTCCAGTGTCGGTCTCTCACGGGAAGCATGGGGAAGGAGAGATCAATGCATCTAGAAATCGAGACAAGGTCGTTATTTGCTTGTGAGCAGCGTTGTGACGAAAGGCACGATCCAGGGCGGTTCAACCTCAGAGAATTTGTCGGATTGGCTTTGTTATGAGATTGAAGATGTATCCAATACTAAAGTAGAAATGCCATCACGATGAGAGTTCGTTCAAGAGCGAATGGTTCTCCGGCTACCCGTCAGCTCTCCGCTAAATCACAATGTCCTTTCTTAGAGCCAGAGCGAACTACTTCCGCTTCGCCTTCAAATTCCCCTACACATACGCTCTGATGAGCGCCGGCCACTGGTGTTTCGTCTCGAGCTTGAGCCCGTGTGGTGGATGTTTAAGCTGCGGCCGAGCAGGACAGCGTCGAAAAGTGTTGCGCAGTAGTGTTTTACGCACCCTCCGTCGCTAACGGCGAAGTAGAGTGAGATGATGGGGGTTGCAAAGAGGATTTGGCGTTTTTGCTGCTCCTTCTTGGACGTGAAGGATGTGGGTACACCGAGCAGACGATCCGCGCCACCCTATAGGAGCGAACGGAGGTGATCGGGACGTATGCCCGGAGGTCAGAGGGTACGGTTTGTTCTCCACGCAGGCTGACAGACGAGGTTCGATCAGAAGGAGATGTGGACGAGGCGAAAGGAACAGGGAAGAGTTTGTACTCAGCAGGTACTCATACACTTTATAGTCCTTATCGAGAAGATCGCATGAAGACAAATGCGACACCGATGCCTGATGCTCCGCAAACGTATACGGGAGCGGTGTCGAGCGGTCTTAACCGGCCTCAGACTTGCTCCCAGCTGTTCAAGATCTGCGTGCATATCTTCACGACGAGGTGGGAGCGAGAAGCAGACTGCGCGTGGTGATTGGGCACGATGGACCACCTAGTATTCCGCCGCAAGGGCCGGGCGCAGGACTGCTATAAGGATCTGTCGGGAGACTTGCACGAAGCAACGCCCTGTGGTGAGAGCGATGGCAGCATATTTAGTCGCAGAACTGCGGTACTATCCTTGTTTCCCGTCTTGCTCTTTACGCAAAGCCCAAACAGGAGCGGCACCGTGAGCACGCATGGGAGCTGACCCATGAGCCAGGGAGCGATCGAGGCGGTAGATAGTGATGCATAGATGTCCGTCGACTGGTCGACGATACGCTGAGCGTCGCTGGGGTGTTTTCCTGCGTTGATGTGTCAGCCGACAATAGAGGTTACATCAAACGATGGGGGGAAGGACGGATGGCGGGCGTTGTGAACCACCAGCGACAGTTCGAAGGTGTGAACGTGTCTGGCCTTGGCGAGATAATCATCTAGTCGTTCGCGTTAACCATCAGTAGCTGGCTGTACGAGTCTCGTATCTCCGCGAGATCCAAACCAAGCATGTTCCCTGCGGAGGTGGAAGTCTTTGGGTATTCGCACTAGACTGGTTGGAGCAATCTCATGCATATGTCGGATTCCGCGAGGATATCGAGGTCTGGTTACATCACCTGATCAGCTTTTAGGGTGAGCTGATATCGACGATGGGTAAGGATAAGTGTACAGGTGGGAATTCGTATAGCGAGAAGGATGAGATTGCATAGTAGAGCGCCGAGACAAAACGGCGAGGTGTAGCGATGGAAAACATATTACGTGGACTCACCGCCTTTCTCTTTCCCCATCACATCTGTCCACCCACCTCTACTCACGTCTACTAGATCATAGAGATAGCTCGGCTTCGTCTATCTCAGATGCCCAAGAAACGTTTCAAGTTGTGCTAGCCCTTCCTCCTTGGCAACGCGAAAGGAACCGGCCGGCGGCGAGTGGGAAGAATCTGCCTGTCAGTTCGCCTTGAGGTTGATCAGCTTCGTCTAACCATTGCCCGCGTGGTCTTCTATGAGTGAAGGCAAAACATATCGGATGAAAGCATGAACAAACCGCTGTGGTCCGTTGATTCCTGTTTCTTTGCCTGCGTTCCCACGCTTCGGCTGCAGCCGCGCGCTCTTAGCCGCGACATCCACTCGCGCCGATACCTCACGCGTCCTCGGTAGACTTCGTCTCATGTCGCCCAACTGATGTGTATTTATAACCAACGAATTCCTGCCAGACAAGCTCTGCAAACTCTCCAGTAGCTATACGGCTAACCTCATACTCTAGTTTGGCACCAAGGCAATGCAGCCATCAGGTCGATGAAGTCGCCTTTCCCTCGTCTTCGGACTTCTGTTTCTTCCCTCTCAACATGTCCGACGTCCGATCAGCCTCCGCTTTCTCATCGTCATCTTCAAAAGCTTCACAGCATCCCTCGCGGCTTATCCAGCGAGGATGAGGGCGTGCGAATCGCCATTAGCGCACTCGGCGACATGCGAGACAACGCTCGCACAGGTATCCCTCTCCCTATTTACACCCGAAATGTGCACTCATCCCAGTCGGCCAAATTGGCTTCCAGGCTCACCGTCACCCTCAGCGCCTCAGCCTCCGCATCCAACGGACACCAATACCTAGACGCGCCTCTCCAGACCTCATCTCTCGCGTGTCCCACTTCCCTGTCGTTTATACCGCCCTCAAGACATGAAAACACCAAGGCTAGCTCACGCATGGTCAATGTGCGGTCCTCCATTGCTCCTGTCCGCTCTTAACTCACTCTATACTCCCTAGTATGGCACCGAGATGATGGAGTCATCCGCGTCGACCTTCTACCGACCCGTCCTAGGAAGACTACACGTCAACCAACTCGACGCGTTTGCCTGCAGACAGCTCGATCGACTGTGTACACCTACTTCATATATTTTCCCTCACTCAGCTTCCTCCCAGATCGACAAATACTGAAGCCCGTCGAGTGATAGCATTCGCGGTTATAGCTCCCAATGGTGGACGGACACCAGTGCGGGCGGATCGCGATGAACGTCAGGCGGTTGACCACCGTCATCGTCGAATGTGCATGAATATGCTGCCGACGGTACGTGCGATTGTTCTCCCATACACATCCTCTCCGCCTCGCGTCACCATTGGTCCGACTGCGTAGGACATCATCCTGACATGTGATTCTCAGACGATGCGAGCAACGTAACGTCTCCGCCTCCCGCAAGTTTTACAGAGTTTAATACGCATACACCGCGGCTACAATGTCGGGAAAGGGATTCGGCAAGAACCGGTAAGCAGCAGCAGATCGTGCAGCAGGGGAAGTAACAGACTACTGCTCGAAGCGGGCGGGGTCGGTGCGGCGGTGAGCGAGGAGAGTATGCGAAAGTTGAAGTATTGTCTGCAGTGGTTACAGGTATGTCTCTGATCGTTCACGTAGTAAAACCTGTTCTCATAGGGTAACAACAGTACGCAACGGAGCACATCGACGGCCAGATTCTCAAACTTCGGGACTTCATCGTCTCCCTTCAACTTTCCACCGCGAATAGCTCTACCTCCCCTGATGCTCTGATATCCCCTTCGCACCTCCGCACATTTACAGATATTCATAAGGATGTCGTACACACTTTGCGTCAAGTAGTCGACATCGTCTCCAAATACGCTGGTGGCGCCCTCCCCGAGCCCGCTCGCAGCCGCGTACGTGGGTTCATGTTGCACCTCCCACAACGATGGGCGAGCGCAACGCAGGGTCTGCCTGTCGAGTCTAGCAGACCGAGTGTCCCGTCTCACGGCACGAGCAGTGCCGCCGAGGCCGCGAGCAGCGGTGGCGGGGTCGGCGGGGCCACGAGGAGAGGAAGACAGGCTCGACAGGCGCAGAACCGCAACCGCGGGACAGCGACGCCCGCGAACTCACGGCCCGTCAGCCCGATCTCTAGCCCCCGCGTCAAGCCAAAGTCGATAGCTGGTGCTGCTGGGGGAGTAGGCGCGGGAGAGACGGGTACTGCAGGCCCTCCGGCTCCGACGGCGGGGTCTTCAACGGCTGCTGCGCAGCGGATCTTGACGCTCGCGATGGAGAGTTTGGATATGATGAGAGGGGTCACGCCAGTCATGAAGGAGAGTTTGGATCGAGCGGATGCGTAAGTCTCTCTTCGGTCGCTCATCTCACGATCTCTCATATGTTCTGTATGCAGATGGGTCGAACGCCTGAGAGTCGTTGGCATTCAGCGAGGTCAGATATCCGAGCAACAATCTCAGGCCCAGAGCGACGATATGCCTCTTCCCCCTCCTCCCTCATCAGCCTCATCTTCAGATGTCAACGGATCGTCATCATCATCATCCACCCTAGCACACAGGCGGAAACACTCACTCCCGCACCTCACCTCGTCCACCTCGACTTCGGCTGTCTCGACGCCGGCGCAGGACACACCTTACTCGAGCGTGCCGACGACGCCCATCGAGCTCTCATTGGGTGCTGTGCACCAGTTGAATCAGGTGCAGGTGCAGCAGTCTCCGATGGGGGCGGCGCAAATGCAGAGTTTGCCGCCGCTAGCGGCGTTATCGTTGGGTGGGAGAGTTGTTGAAGAGAAGGCTGGTACCGGTGCTGTTGTTGGCGATGGTGGGAGGGAGGCGATGGATGTGGACGCGTGAGGTGATTGATGAGGATGACCTTGTAATTTGGCGTGCTGCATTTGGACGTGATATTGGGCGAGGGTCATTCGATGATTCTCGGTCGAAAGCCGCCATCCATGGTCATGATGGTTCTCATGGTGCCGTGGTCGATGGATGCGTGAGTGGATGGCACGGCGCTGGATAGGTCGCACTCGTGTTGTGGCCATTTGGACGTTGGATGCGGACGCTAACTTATTCCATCCCTTTGTTTGATGTCTCTCTGGTTTCTCTCGCCGTTCTGGTTGGCATGTTGCCTGTTCTGTTATCTTGACGGTGGCTGAGTCATGGCGTAGCTTCTGCCTTTGTATGCACGCATTGTCGCACAATCACAACCTTCTCTCTCGTTTACATGTTTCTATCCTCGCGCCTCAGCTAAATTTACTCTTGTACGTTGCGTATGTAGTAATGCTGGAAACCGGGCGCTTTGCCTGTCTATCCTCGGACTTTTGTTATATATCCCGTGCGCCTCAGGTTGTAGTACGACTGGGAGGTGTAACACATCTTAGATGCATCTCCCTGTGGCTGTCGCAGTATGGGTGACCAATTCAATGAAATGTCCATAGAATAAGACATGGCTTCTAGCCTAGCGTCTAATTCTAATGACCTAGTCAATGCACGATAAATACGAAGTCGGGTCACATATAAATAGGCAATTGGCGGAAGATGCAGATCCGTGTATAGTTAACCCACGGAATGTAAATGCGATCTACTATAGCAACGTGCGACATACAGGTCAAGATCAAAAATCACAAAAAGTCAAACGCTCCGCAATACTTCATCGTCCTCGACCACATTCCCAACGGACTCGACAGGAGGAACGCTGGCAAATGCCACCGATGTGAGTTCTCGGGAGCCTGATACCTCGTCACCTGTGCTCGATTCGAAGCTCTTCCGCAGGCTGATGATTAACCACGGGCCAATCAGAGCAATGAGAATGGTGCTCGAGACTGAATTTAAAATGTTATATGTTATGGTCTAGTGGGCACTATTTTATCAGTGGAAAGCTGAATGAAAATGTGAGCATTCCCTTACAGTTGAGATGGAGAGTGAAAATTCCAAGGCTGAAAGCATGTAACACATCAAGGCACTGAAGTTTAATGAAATTAACCAGGAATGAAAGATGTGGTTCCCACCTACAAGAAGAAGTATGTCAGGTTGTCTCGAACGATTACAGCTCTCATACTCGCTGCCGTCTGCTGTGGATGGAGCCAAAATGAAGAAGGAAGATACTTAATAGCATGGGTTATAGCCAGAGCGCAAAGGACTATGTCAAACCCCAAAACCGCCATACTTGTTGTTGGATATGTCCACAAGAGAGTTGATGGGATGTTGAAATTGCAGAAGTTGAGTTGTGCTATAGAAAATGTTGCTAAAAGCAGATATAATGACAATTTTACCACCAGAAATTGAAACACGACCCACTGATGAAGATAGGATCAGGGGCCAGGCCAATCACATCACTAGTAATATTGATGATAGATGTGATTGTGAAACAAACGGAAAGACCAATCAAGACTACCCTGGACCTGCCAAGTAGCCCATATACCCGAACAGCCATCATGCCTACACACAAATATCTTAGAAGAAGAGAAGAATTATAGTAGCAACTGTACCTTGTAAAGCAATGGAAAGCGAAATTGACAAGACTTCCCATGGTACCCAGACAAGATAACCTGTCAAAAATCTCAGTTAAGTTTGTCACATCACCAACCTGTTGCCTACACCTGAGAAGGATAAGCCCCTCAAATAAAAGTAGTACATATGCGAGTGTTGAAACTCACTGCTATGAAACAAAGATACCGTTGTTGTTGTGTTGTTATCAAAGTAATATTTCGACAACTCACTGAGCTTGATATTGGGATGCTAATTTCATTCACTGTTAATGACATTGCTTAGTAGGTCTCATCTGCAGGAGTTTAGGGATGTATGACCTAGGAGCAGGCTAGAGTGTTTGGCAGTGGCACTGTTATCAAATGAAGTAAACATACAGCACATAGTGCACTCACACTACATATGATATTCCCAAGTACCGCATCTGAAACAAGGTTCTATAACAAAGTGGTGAATCCCTCTTGTATGGCTTACCCCTGTGTAGACAATCATTGTCCACGAGAGTTTCCTGGCCTGATTCTGAGAGTTAATCACCATAATCTACTCTTAACAATTTTGGATATATACCCAAATAAATTCCACCTTATGGTGCACATTCAGTAATCGATTATTCATGGAAATAACTTTGGATTAGGGTTTGTACCTCAGAATCGATATTTAGAACTGTGGATAGTTATTGAAGTCTGTAATAACAGCTGGGAAACGCCCACAATAATCGTAGACCACTAGAGTCATTGCAGCAGCTATAACGAGGTCCGTTCAGCTTGTAATACTCCGTGTTACGTTTCCATATCAAGTGAGCTCACCTGCTGAATACCCGGCTGTGATGAAAAAGGACACTGCAGATTCCAATTCTTGCTGAAGCGAAACCGAGGACATTGTGTATATCCTACAATGTAAAGGTGGAGTGAAGCTCACAGCCAGAAAGTTGGTCCTTTATATGTCTGTTACTTGGCCTTGCTCTCACCGTGACCCTTATTGATATATTTGTGATGCATAGCTCTAGATATAAAGGGATATCAGTACAAACGGATATCAGTGTTTATAATAATCATATTCAATCCTGATGGTGTACCTGTCATCGGAAAAATCATATGAATAATGTATTCCAGCATACTGATTGTTGCTCACATGAAACGGGGTAAACCGTCCGGGATGATCATGATTATGGTACAGATACGATAATATTATACGTAAGGCTACACCCACCTTGACCACATGTAAGCAAGATTTGGGGCAGCCTTTTTGGAAGCATGCTCAGTCGATAACCCTCGAAGGTAGCATCTCTCTAAGGTAAGTATGGCTGATGATCCGGTCCCCTTTCTTAGTTCCATCAGTCGTCCAAGTACACCCTCCTATGATGAGGACAGCTCTCACAGCTATGAAAATCGCATAGACATGCCGCTGCATATTGTCTCCGAGTCGTAGTGTAGCATTCACATCAGTAGACACACCTGCATATCAGCGTCGCACTAAAGTAGAACATTCTCCCGATGTCCACCCCTTATCGCGTTGGACAGCTGGCTGAAACATGCTGTACTGCTTCCACGGCGTGCACAACTCATATGTAATGTTTTGTGTCTCGGGTCCTGAGTGATACAAAAGGCGAAGAACGGATACCATAATGGATCATGCGGTTGTACTTTCTTTTTAGATATGATCGGTGCAAGTGCACACCATGGATAGTATGTGGTCGTTGAGATACGTACGAGCGGAGGTAAAGTGATCTGGTGCCGAAGGGACTCGTACCGGCACATCGAGGAGTACGGTGGCAATGCCTGCGCGTAGGGTGACAGGAAAAGAAGACTGAAGTTTGAAGCGCGGGGCCAAAGACTCGTGAAAAAACGTGTTGATTGCGCCTAGTCACACGCATGATCAATAGCTTCCTATGCGCTGACGCCCCGCAGTTTGTTCGATTAATACCGTGCTCATTACGATCGCCCTCTATGCCCTTGTTGCCGACCAACGAGACTGAGGCATCACAGTGTGAGTAATGTGCAGAGCCGTCGGACAGTAGTATGATCCCCGTTTCCAAATACGTTTCTGAAGGAAGGCGCTTGACATCGCCCAAACAGCATCAAAGGGCTGTTCCGAGAGTTTGCAAAGAAGCTTGCCCATAAGCCGGGACGTTTTCTGATAGTTCAGGGGTTGAGCGATGCGTGGTTTCTTATCAGCTAGTCGAGAACACGCTGAGTGTTGCCGGCCTCCTTTCCCTCATCTGCATAATCCATTGCGACGAAGACTTGTTCACATTGGAAGAAGTAGTGAGTAAAGGACGAAATGCATTAGTAACAAATACCGTGATCCACCACCACGGGCGTCGGAAGACAAGTCACCATCCTTGTGCTCCCATGCTCCGGGCATAGCATTCACCTCACTTATCTCCGGCGGCACGCGAGGAGAGTACGCGAAGGGTTAGAACGGAAATGTCGTTGCCTGACATGGAATAGACTCACGACAGAGGCTCGGCAGGGTGGAAAGACCGTGCGCAGGGTCTGCCACTGGAAAGGTGATGTAGAGGACGAGAAGAGATGGAACAATCACATACTGTAGTGCCTGCTCAGATGATCGCGCGAGGACACCAAGTGCGTCACCTCCGCTTTATGTTCCGCAAGACTCTCCGTGAGTTTCATCGGACGGTTCTGTGCGACCTCAGGCTTGTTGCCGGACCACCCGGGCAAATTATCGTCCTGTAGGGGAGCAAAAAGTGCAAGAAACTCGTTGCACTGCGGCACAATCGTTGTATTTTGGTGAGAAGACCATCATCGTCGACACGAGCAGTGCAAATTAGCAGGTCCACGAGCTCACGCGGACGCTGGGATATGAGATGGGATGAGATCTGAGCGTAGTCTCTCAGGCCGTCAAGGGCACGCACATTCATCGTGCGGTGGGTATCTGGGTGGGAATAGGGTGGAGAGTGCTGTGGCTCATCAGTGCGACCTTCGAAACGAGAACGTACCCTGCCTTCACGAGATGATCATGCCACCTCAGAGGCTAGTTGTTTGGCTTGCTTATCTTCGCGAGGTCCAAAGCGTATGTGTTCTCAGTCCTGAAGTGGGGGACTCTGCTTCACATTCACGTCAGGATGATGAATTGGTCGAACGCAACCATGCACAGGTGATGGGCATAGCCAGCGTCTCGTAATTTGGTTATGTCTTTGGATCAACGTGGGAACTGCTCGTAACATCTCTGAGAAAAGAGTGAAAGAGGGATCATATGGCGAGATCAAGAAGATGGCAGCGGTTGAGGTCAACTTGAGTAGAACGGCGGGATAGGTATTGAAGAACAATGACACCAACGTACCGTCTACCTCGCTTTCCATCACAGCTATCCGTTCACATCCCTTTCAATTTACTGGTCCAACCAAGTAGCGATGCATTGATAGGGCCATATATCCATGAGACTTTGGTGCTGGTGGCCACATCTGGATCATACGGAGGATCGCTGGCGCCATGGCAATGATGCAATCTAGTCCAGTGTGAGCGAAGCTCTCGAGGACAATGGTTTCGCCTTGAGACTTTGGAGGATCTATAATCGTCTAGATGAAATGTTCTTTGAGATTTGGACGAGAACAGACACGAACGCGAGTGTGAGATGTGCAAGGTGCCCTTGGTGGCAGGGAACGGGCAAGGCATCGGACGACGGCGAGTGGGTCAACGTTGTAGATCAAGTAAACGGGCGTGGGCCGAGCTGATTGGCACATTTTCTCGTCCACTTGGTCCTCTAAGTGAGAGAAAACGTCGTTGTTGGGAGTGTAGACAAAGAGTGACAAACGTTTCGAACGTTGCGGTCTACCCTGGTCTACCTCGACCCGTTGCAGAAAGACATCGGCTGGCCCCTATTTCTGTTCTGCGTTCCCAAGATTCGGCTATATCCGTAGACTCTGTCTGCAGGTCCATCCCTGTCCCCCACTAAGAACAGGACCTATTGTAGCATACCGGGCCATACCAACACGTACAAATCGAGCAGGTCGTCAAAACCGTATGTCAGCACATGTGTCACTATTAAAATGGGACAAATAGTATAACTCGTATCTTCAAAATTATGGTAGGCTTTTGTTGACCTTTGTTTGACGTTTTGATATGGGGGTTTCCTTTTTGATCTTGGCCTGCAATATTTATCCCGAATAAACCCCGAACCTGGTAGAATGACACTTGCTGGTGATACGTGCAACTATCTATGGTGCGTTTTTGTCCTCAGCTAAGCCCTCGGGAAAATTATGATATTCTGTAGCGGTGTGAGCTCGAGCCCAATAATATATATGCTTAATTCGATAGAAAGTGCCGGAGCGTAGCTCGGCGTGTCTTGTAGCAAATGTACCGTTATATACCACTACATAGTGAATATATGAGGTCGTATATTGTAGTATGTGTGCGCTCGAGCGGTTGGATTCACGCTTTGTATACCGGAAGATACTGGAATTTTCATTCACGTATCCTACAGTACATCATGATATATCAACTCTCTCCTCGCCCTCCTCGCTCTCCCTGGCGACTTAGCCGCCCTCAAGCTTGTTCTCCTCGCCCTCCTCGCCTCCCCTCCTTCTACTTGTCAGTGTCATAGAACGTCGAGCTTGCGATGGTGGTGGCAATAACACCCGCAGTGTTATTAACCCATATCTTGTCTTCGATCTGCAGACGAAGTCAGCGGGTTCAATTAGTCAAACGACCCGACTTACTAGCTTTTCGGCATCTGTGTTATATGTCTGTAATTTCTGTGAGAGTAGGCTCAGGGAAATGACCAAAAAATACGTACCTCTTGACCTTTCTCGCCCAAAGTGGCCCACCATCGAGTGAAGTCTTCGATGGTAACTGCACCCTTGTTTTTGATGTAGAGATGCTGCGCCAATGTTCTCGATATGTGCGTCAGTATCAGAGCAACAACCAGTGAATCGGCGACTTACTTGCCAGAGCGCAGCTTGGCAGGCTTCAGTAGCTTGCCACCGGTAGTGGTTGCCGTCTTGCCGGCCCGAACAGGCCTCGTCCTCGCCGCTTCTGGTGCAACAGTGGGTGCGGGAGTAGGAGCGGGAGGAGGAGTGGGCGCGGGAGCGGGCACGGGCACGGGAGCAGGAACCGGGATGGGAATAGGAGCCTGTACGGGGGCGGGCGTCGAGATGGGGGCGGGAACAGGAGCGGGCACGGGCACAGATGCTGGTCGAGCTGGAGTAGTGGCTCGGATGGACGTGGTGGAGGAAACCGAGATCGGTTTCGAATGAGCGCCTGGCAGTTGACTTGGCCCGACTGAGGGCAAACGGGGAGTGCTCGAATTAGAAAAAAGTCAGTATGATACTGGAGGATTAATATATATAAAAACGCACAATGGGTTTCCGACCTCGGGAATCGATAGCTAACAGGCAATGAGTTAGAATGAATAAGAAATGAAGTTGATACGCACCAGTTCATTAGACGAATGAGTTCGGTCCGTGTCATCCAGCTCGTCCTCGTCCACTCCAAACTCTTCGGCTTCGGCAGTGTTGAGCGCAAAATCCTCAGCGTACGCGTCGCTGGTGTCCTTCTCCTTACCCTTGCCTTGGACCTCGGGATGACGATCTTCGAGTGCGGGCGGGGCTGATGGCTCTTGCTTGACCTGGCCTGCTGCAGCGGCTGCTTCCGCAGCCTTCTTCTCCCGCTCCCGCTTGGCCTGCATAAAGGAGGGGTATCGTATGGTGCACAGGCGCTCGATCTTCCAGTTGTCTTCGGACGCGAGGATCCACGGGAACTTGGTCGCCAGCTCGTCTGTAAGTAGCTCAATAGCGTCAGTTGAGGCCGCACCCCATGATTCTGGAGCCGCGTTCTTGAGGATGAGGGTGTTCCAGACCCTCCGGCAAACCTTTGTTACCTTGGCCATCTCCTCCTTTGAGATAGGATGACCTTCCGTGGTTTCCAGGAAGGGGAGTTGGCTGTCGGCGATGCCACGAGCGATGATTTTCGGGGACTCGATCCAGTCTTGATATGTTCGCTGCTTCCACCAACGGACCTTGGGGAAGTCCGCGCACGATAGCTTTGGAGCCTGCAGAGCTCGAGTGTCGAGCTTGATCCGCTTGGTGGGAGGGCCATCTTTGGTGGAGACGGGGGAGACGGTTGAAGGGGAGGAACAGGTGGGATGGGTTGTAGCGGGCGGGGACTGGGTAGTTAGGGGACTGGTTTGCGCTGAGGCGAACGTAGACGTAAGGCGAGCAAGAGATTTGCTGTAAAAAAAAATGAGCGCATATATTCGACGAAAAAAAAGACTTACGCGTATAGCTGGTTACAAGAATTCAGAGAGGCATTCTGGGCCTCTAAACGCGAGTTCGCGTTTCGTAGAGAAATGGTCTCCTGTTGAAGGAGCATATACGAAGACTGTAAGAGTATAATATGAATTAGTAAGTATGGAAGAGAAAAGAAAGCTGACTCACGTTGATGTGATTGTTTGAATGAATGCCAGCGTTTTGAAGAGTCTGAGAGGGCCAAGAACGAGAGTGATACAAGGTGGTGTCAAGCGGAGAGTCGTCAGAAGGCGGCAGCGAGCTCAAGAAGTCGGCAAGGTTCGTGTTTGGGCCGGAGAAGTCGTTGGTGGAGGGGAGAGAAGGGAGGTGGTTGTGGGCATCGTAGACGGACATTTATGATAAGTTATTACAGAAAAAGAGAGGGTGGGAGGTGGGCGTGGATATATGCGGACGAGAAGGAGAGACAAAGAGAGACAAGGGAAAGAGAGACGCGTCGAGGTCGAGGACTTCATTCGATCGAGGCCATTTTCCCACACGCTTCGATCGAAGCGTCGGACTTAATCTCGGCTAGATAAAATGAAGTCCTCGACTCGATTCCCTTTATTTCCCTTCCTTCCCTCCCTCCCGTTTTTACGCGCACAAAACCAACGTAAGTCGTCCAATATATTGTATTCATATATTTCTGACATAGAGCTATAGACTAATGGCTCAAGTCAACTACGCCAAACCCGCTCCTTTGACCACGCCGAGCAACTCGGTCATCTCGGTCAACATCACCGAGGCTGTGGCCGACTCGGTCATACTCGATATCTACAAGGGAAATCGTCAGCTCATTACGCTGACTGATGCCAATAAGCACACTGGGGTGAGTTTCCTTTTTTTCCGGCTTGTTTCATTGCTCATATCCTTGCCTATAGCATGTACTTGTCAAGATCATCGACACAAGTCGCAGTCGCATGGCTGCACGTGTTCTTGCATCCTTCCCTCTCTCGAGAAGAACTCCCTCCACTCCGATGCCCTCCCAGCTCGTTCGGCACATCCGCGCGGCCTCCGTCGAGGTCGGAGTGCGCTCGCCCCGCAGGAGATCTAAGAGGCTCGCTGCAAAGGGTATTACGAAGTACCCAGCATAATTTCGGGTCAGAAAATGCGCATATATGCGTGTCTAACTAATTTCTTGGTCCTCCAATCCATATACTGATGCACACCATGTATTAACTGAGCTCGTTTATGTCCAAATGTCATGTAGAAGTCGAAGTATGGTATAAAACAATGTCATTTCTTGTCCTTGGAACAAAAACATGAGATTGAAACTAAGTCTAATAATCGTCCTCATTAATAACAAGTCCGTCGTTAGCACCAGTTTCCTCTGGCTCGTCCATCCCTCCAATTCTCAGAACATCGAGCCCAAGCTTCTCCATGGCGAAATAACGCGTTGTTTCATCACCTAGTGGAGTGAGCTTATGTGGGATCATGGCCACGACGGACTTAATCGTCTTGACGTCGATGAGTCGAAGCGCAGCATCGCCAGTATGCGAACAAGATACTAGCTGTCCATGTGAAAGCCCCAGAACTGCTGCGTGCGGCTGAGAGTAGATTGACACGAGCGCCATGCGGCTCGTCTCGTCTTCATGAAAGTCGCCGTTAGGAAGCACCAGAGGTAGCTGTACAAAGTAGAATATTTCGGCGAAACGATCCTCGCCTTCATACAGGATCTGCAGGGCGTTAGAATTCGAGTGAACGTCGAAAAATGTCTTACCTTGACGTTGCGAGAACGACGAGTGCAGCGAGTGTTTAGTGATTCGCCCCAGAGAGACCGAGCGATTTGACCAGTAGGCAACTTAAGACGAGCCCAGCGAATAATGCGAACCAGAGCAACGCGAGTAAATTCTAGAATAATAGCCCGTTCACATTCACGCAGCGAACCGAGAGATTTCTTGTCCTTCTTGAACAGAAAAGTATAGCCACCACCGAGAGAGACAGAGCCAGTGGGATCGCGTTCATCCTTCGAAGGTGCCAAAGAAGGGTACATTGCCTTGAGGGCGTTCATTTGAGCACGCAAAAGGCCTCGCTCGGCGAGGTTGGCGAATGGGTTCGACGGCTGACGCATCTCCTCTTTCAGATTACCGATCGTCCGCTCCATGGGATACTGCGATGAGCAGATAGGAGAGCCAACACGAGCGGCTTCGGCAGCCAGATGGTGGGTGAGATGGACGCATGGTCGGACGAAATGAAGCCGATTTTTCTGCTGCCTGTAGTATAGCTCTTCGAACTCGAGTTCCCAGTCGATTAGTGTTCTTCGAGCGTCGTCTAACTGTGCTGGAGTAATACTGCACTGGTGCATTATTCGGATACCCTTAACAAAGCGGCAGAAGTTCTGCCAGTACTCGAACGGAAGAACCCCGAACAAGAGCCCTGGGCAAAGACCATAGATCCAGACGTTGTTCTCCTGTGCTTTGTAGCCTGAGTTCCAAGCCTGCTCGGGGTTACGAGGCAGTTTGCCATGAGATGACGGAATGTGCTCATGTGCTGCAACGACGAGAGCACCATGAGCTACCCAGGTATCGCCCTGTAAGACCGCCCAGCCCCAAGTATTAACATCGTCAGTAGCATGCACAAGAGTTTTGCTTCCGCGCCATAGATTGACCCATAGACTGGGCATGTTGGCGCCGGTGTAATGCATGAGCTCAGAGGTAAAGTTCTCGGGGATGCCGAGGATCTTGTCTGGCTGTAGACCCAGCAGAAGACTCGGACCAACGATCCCAGTCTCGAGGCGGTTCCGTGCAAAGCTAGCGAGAGTATGAGAGCCCATGACGATTTTTAGTTTCTCAACATATCTTGCCGAGGAGCTCGCGGAAATACTCCACGGATCAATGTCGCCTCGAGCATCACAAACCCAGTTATTCGGAGCCAAGAGAGCTGGATAGTAAACAGACCCGGTGATGCGCCGGCCGTAGAGCTCGCAGTTCATCCGACAGCCGTACTTACCGCCGTGGCCGACCATATTACTATAGCTTATGAGCCCAGGACCGTCCGCTAGCACAAGAACCACGAATAGGAATGAGTCGAACAGCCGCCCTGTAGATGCGTCCCAGAGAGGCATAGGCTCCTTCTGGAGCGCGGAGACGTGATGCATACCTGTAAATAAAAATGAGGAAAGGAACTTGGGCTTGTTGGGCCCCGGAATGACACCGCCCGGAAGGACGTATCTCTTCTTGTAGCGATGCTCGGGGGATAGATCGAGAACGATCCATGTGTAGATCGTGACAGAGGAGGCCTTTTTCTCCGTGAGCTGGGCACCGTCGATCGATAGCATCACAAACGTGTCGTCCATCTTAATTTTTCCGCTGCGAAGGTCGTCTAAAAACGCTGATCCTAGCACATGTTAGATAGAGAATTTGAATATGAATGTATGCATGTTGTTACCGGTGAATACATCATCGTATACTCTCGGAAGACGCTGAGGACTTTGTCTAATCTCCTCAATAATCTCCCGAATGCGATTGTGCTTGTAGTGCATCTTCCGTGCACTTTCCTGATGCCGCCAGAGCGTCTGAATCTGGGGCCCAAGGAGATATGTTGTGCATTGAACGCGAGGGACTTTTTTACGACCGTTGGATTGCTGTAGTTTCTCTTGGTTGTATCGTGGCTCTCCACAGTCCGGACATTCGTCGAGATCGGCCCAGTCTCCTGTAAAGGCTGCACAAGATCTGACGCACATATCATCGTGCACGGCCTCGATGCCAGTGAGCGTAGCCAGAGTGTCTTTGGTGCCTTCAAAGGAGGGAATGGCGGTCGCAAAACATTCGTTTATAGCGTCACGTATCTTGTAGAATGTATCCTCGGGAGCGTGCTCGACCGCTTCGAGCATTCGAAGGGCCAAGAGTTCTTTTTTGCAGTCGATCTCGAGAGGTGTAGTTGGCGGGTTTCGAAGGCGGTCGAGAGCATGGCCTTTGAGGCCAACACCATCGTCCAGTGTAGCGCTTCGGAGACGAGTGATGAAAGACATCTCCCTCTGTATACTATCCAGAGGAGATCGAGAGGCGAGTGCGACGAGATCTTCTAGAGAGGCGAGTGGACTTGTAGGCTCGGAGGGGGAAAGGGGACGCAGAGGCGGTGATAGTATCCGAGTCCTCTCAGTGTCCTGTAGTGATATTGGCTGTTCGATTGGTGTGGTTAAGTTAGTCCGATCGCGTTCATTCCGCCTGTCTTCGCTATGGTCAGCCACAGAACTCCTAACATCCATGGCATGGACATCTAGAGGCGGGCGGGTGTCATTCTGACTGGTGTCCTATATTTATCATATCAAGGTTAAATGTACATCATAACATGAATGAAACCAATGGCTTGACACGCACCTGAGATGTATCATCCTGAGTCGCCTGTTTCCTGAGTCGCCTCAAGGTTCTCGGGAGGGGCGGAAGGCCTCTGACCAGGTCCACTGCTCTGTCTGAGAGCATCGCGCTCCGTATGGCCTCCTTTTCGGTGTCCGGAGCGTGTTCGAGGTGCCTGTACCATGCAGAACGTGTGACTGGCGTGCGTATTCCGTGGCACCAGCGCGAGCAGACGCATATATGGTCTTTTTCTGCTGGTGGCCTAGCCATGTCGAGAGACGTGCTACGCGTTTGCGAGCGCGTCTGCAGTGCACTAAGACACGAGCACACGTACCCAGCACAGCGACCACTGTGCGAGTGCGTGTGTTCGTATGTAGTGCCCTCTGCGAGCTGCTAACATACAGAGAGAATATGAGCCGTATATAGAATGTATACGCGATCGAGCCCCGCGTTGACCAAAAATAGATTCATATTCCTCGGTATCGGCTATCTACAAATTAAGTACATGCGGGTATATCGGCGACGATCCGGTATGGCCCGGTATCCCATTATAGACGCTGTTCTCATTGTGCCTGTCCATTCGCGCGAACATGCACTCGCAGCTATACCTTCACGCGTCCTGGTTAGATTTCGCCGTATATCGCCTACTTCTACGTCGACATCGCCCATCAACGTTTCAACTCATTTGCCACGGGAACTACCTTTACGCCTACCAGTTCAATGAGGTCACCTCTCCCTCGCCTTTGTCCCCTCGCCTTTTCCTTCGTCACTCGCTTGCATGTCTTGCGTCTAACCCATCTGCGCTTACCCACCATTGGTCTCGGGGCCCCAACGTTCGCCAAAATTTCACCCGGATAAGGGCCAGAGCGTCCGCATCATAGTTAGCGTGCTATTGTAGGCAGCCCCCTCCCTTCTCCGCAGCAAAAAGCATACTCACACAAAAGATCTCTTTGGTTTACCTGTTGTTACATCAGGAAATCGACGGGCTGCTTGCCAAGCACTTTTTGATACTTATTTCGTTTCAAGCGCAATTCAAGTGTAAAATAAGTAAGCCTCCAAAAAGCGCGAATCAGTAGAGTCCTCTACTGGTTTCCCTTGCTGTTTTTCGCTTTTCTGCACTTTCCCGAACTTGTGGCCATTTGTGAGAATCAGCCGGTTTCATCAGAGCAGCATAAAGCGTGTATAAAGCATCCGTGGGCACGAAAAAAGGGACAGAAAGCAGTTGATAAGACGACAAAAGCGTACAATATGAGCATGCAGGAACGAGATTGAGTGGGGATGGTAGCGGGAGAGGCGAGTACGGAAGAGAGTACGAGAGCGGAACGACCAGGAGAGAAACGGGATATGAATAGAGAAGAAGAGGAATACGAGCTGGCGTGATACTTCAGCCGAACAATGGCGAGATGGTGGGCATGGCAGAGAACGATCATCGCGCGATCCTAAGAGAAGAGTCGATTAGTAGGTATACGAAAAGCGGAGGAGAATATTACAATTCTCTTCCAGCATCGCACGGGGATCCGAATGCGCGACGTCATCCATTTCCTCGTCCTCGTCGCCTCTCTTCAGGCTGCGGGCATGCGCCTCGGTTGCCTTGAATGCGTCAGCAAGGTAATTATCTCCCATGCGCTCGATGCTCGACCAATACAGGTCCGTCGCCCACTTCCAGTTTGCCTCCGAGAAATTCCCGAGGGTGGTCGAAGGCTTGCCCGTACGCTCATTGACCTGCTTGCGACCCTTTGAGTGCGTCTGGAGGAGGCTCTTGGCCTTCAAGATGGGGCAACCCGAGCTACCGCTAGCCTGGAAGGTGACCAAGTCTTCGACGACTGACTCGAGGTCACCTAGCTGGTTGTTGGAACCAAGCTGACACGCGCGCTCAGTCTGTGAGGGAAGCTTAGTATCAGTAATACTGAAATGGTAGGGTGTGGAGCATGCATACCGCGGCACATGCAAGTGTCAGGGCCCCACGCGGAACGTAGTCATCTTGCTCGTCGTCGTATTCGGGAACTCTAATGCGGCCGCGAATAGCGGCGCGATGGGTAGCGAGAACGCTTGCATACAGCGGGCTCCTGAAGTTGCCGCTGGGTTTTGACCCGTCCTCGGGGACGTTCTCGTACATGAAGGCATTACCGACAAGCAGTCCAGCGGCGTATTCCGTTCGCTGCGACTCTGCCTCGTCGTTGCCAAACATACCTTCGTCGGCAAACGAAAGCGAGAGGACGGAGGTAGCGGTGGAGCCGAAGTTGCTGCGCCATTCATTGGCTCTCTGCTTACACTGCGCGCGAACCTCTGAGTTGATCAAACGGAAGATCGGTACTAAATGTACGTACCAGGGTAAACACAGCCCCGCGAATCGAGTCCTGCTCCGATGGTAGATCTTCGTTGTAAACCGCGTGCCAGACATTTCGAAGGGCCGCGAGAACCTTCTTGTTTGAGGGACCCCACACCTCCTTCTGGCAAGCAAGCCAGGCGAGGAATGTCGGGATGAAAACACGAGCCCACCTGTTGTTGTTGCGAGCGTGCGCAGGTAATGTGTCCTTACTGTGCTTCTTCTTGTGCTTGCTGCTGTCCTTGCTCTTGTCGGCAGCATCATCGTTCTTCGCACTGTTTGCAACAGTGTCCTTGCCAGCGCAGGCGGCCTTCTCGGGTTTGGTAACGACAGCCTTGCCTGAGATGTTCTTGAGGCGCTTCGCAGCCTGGATCTCGACATCGGCCTATATAGAATGTCAATATCACGTCTGAAGAATGAATAGAATTGTACTCTCACCATGTTCGTAGTGCGAGGCTTAGGTTTTGCAGCGGGCTGGATTTCGGGCTTGGAGTCCTATAAGATAAATTAGTACATGCAAATAGGAGCGAGTGAGGGAGACATACAGGTGCAGCGTCCTCATCATGCTCCTCATCCTGTTCCACATTTAATTCCGCCTGCTCTCCCTGATCATCCTCTTCATCTCCACTCTCTACACGACGACGCTTGTTGGGTCGGGAGGAGACGTGGTGTTCGGAGGGGGACGTGATGTCTTCGGAAACGGGGGAGAGACGCTCGAGAGGAGACGTGACGTCCTCGGGAGGAGATGGGAGGTGCTCACGGGGCACTTGAGTGAACGGGCGAGGGAGCGAGAGGGGGGAGTCTGAGGAGGATACCTCCAAATCAGGCGAAGGGCTTGGTGGGGGACTAGAAAGTTCCACAACCTAGAAACCCTCTAGGTAGTGATCAACTTGAGAATTAAGATATGTGCTTACGTCTCGGCCACCTGCCTGGGTGCGAATACTTGCCCGTTCCCGGGCTAAATCCTCAGCGTTATCCTCCGAGAGCCCAAAACCCCCGTCCTCATCTTCGTTGGGGAGCTCGGGCTCGGGCTCGGGATGATGCTGCTTCTGTGTGGGCTTGGGTTTGGATGTAGCCTTGGGGCCGGGTTGGACTGATTTTGACGTGGTGATGGATTGGGGAGCGAGAGTAGAAGACTTGGCACTGGTAAGAAAGTTGCGGGAGCGAGAGGTCGTCGACACCGAAGCAGGCGGACCACGAGCGGCAACAGACGCGGACCACTTCTTGACATCCGTCTTGAAGCCAATGGCGCGGCTGCGACAGATTATGTCGAGGGCGAGATCGCGGTAGTAAAGGGTAGATTCGGATAGTTGAAGCATTGGTGAGTGGAGGATTGAGGTAAAGGGAGTAGTGTTACTCACGTTGTCGGAGCACCAGACTTGCCTTTTGCGGCGACGACTGGTATCTCCGCACCGGTCTTGGACTGTGCCTCTATCCTCGTCGTGTCCACTCCATTGCGGAAAGTCGCCTTTTGTGCTACACTCCTCCTCACAACCTTCAATGGCTCCTCAATCTCCAACCCACTGTTGGCCTTGGCGCTATCTTCACCTTTGGTCACGACAAGATGAGAGAGGTAAACAATCACTGAGATTCGGATAAGCTACTCTTACCTCCGTTGATAGTCTTCTTGGCTGCCTTCTTGCCTGGCTTCCGAGCGACGGGCTTGGGTGCTGATTTGTCTACAGTAAGGTAAGTGATTGTTCTCGTCGCTGAGTTCATGAAAGGGGTACTCACCGATGTCGTTGACAGCCTCTTCAGCGCCATCAGATTCATCGGCACCATCGTCAATGGCTAATGGCACCTTGCTCTGCCTTGGCTTTGGCTTCGCAGTCTTAGGCATGGCCTTTGTCTTGCCGTCGTTTGTGCTGCCGCTGGTGGCGTTGGACTTCTTCCCCTTCGTCTTGGTCCCAGAAGGCACGTTGGACACCGCCCTGTCTATGTCGCTGTTGTTGCTGTTGACAGCAGTAGCAGCAGCAGCATGGGGGTTCACCTTCTGTTTGAGGGCTGGGATTGCCGGTGCAACCGGTGCGTGGGCAACCTCTCTCGCACGCTTTTTGGCTAACTCATTTTCCATGTCAGCAACACGTCGTTGTGAGCGCTTCAAGTCGGCGTCCTTCTTGTCTTGGGCTGCTCTCTTCTGCTTCTTCTGGAGCTCGACTTCTTCGGTGGTCCGGCGGTTGAACGCTTTGACGATGTCTCCGGGATGCTTGTCAGCATTGGACGCTCTGGTGATGCGGGAGGACATTGGATGTGGAGTAGAGGGTAGAGGGAAGGAAGACGAGGGCAAATTTCGCTGGGAGCAGTGCTATATCGTTCGGGTAAAAGAGGGAGAGGAACCGTCGTCAGCCTGGGCCCAGCTGAGGAGCAGTACGTATCCCGCTTGCTTTACTCACCCTATCCCTTGACATGAATCTCGTAACAGGGCTATGCTCCCGCTTTCTCCATTGCCATTTATCCCCTTCGACATGACACTGTTTCAGTTTTCCGTCTCCCCTCCACCCAGCCCCTCCGAGTCACTCTTGTCTCCTCGCCAGCGCAACCCCTGCTCCTCAGGCTCTCGTCACCAGCACACCCCTACCTCTCAGCTCCTTATCGTGCTCGTTTTCCTATTCGGAACCCTTGCTGTCATGCCCTTCTGCAGAATGGAACCAAGATCTCCTCAGCCCGAGGCCAGCAGCTCGAATGCTCCACGACCAACCCATTCCCTCTTTCGATATGAATGTCCTGTCCCTTTGTGTCGACGTCTTTTCAAGAACCTGGCTGGATTCAACAACCACATCAACCATAAGCACGATGGCTTGGTTGACAGCTCCCGCGAGTCGACCCCGGTTCCAGCGTGCAACCCAGAAACCGCGCAAGAACCCGCTAGCAACTACGAACTACCAGAAGACAGCCTCCCTCAACCAGAAGACGGCTTCTGGTCAGACGCTGCCGCAGAAGACGGACCGGCAAGGGGCAGAGTGGAGCGGGTTGCAGGGACGAAAATACGGGAGTATCATCCCGTTCTTGACGGTACGCCGTGTTACATTCCATGCTTGCATGTTTATCCCTGACTACCGGTCCCTTTAGGACGCAAGTGTGGACCCGATGGCCAGTTTGTGGATGACGATGTCCCTCCCTTTCCACTCCCACCCCGAGCACTCAACGACTGGGCTCCCTTTCGCAACCGAGTCGAATTCGAGACGGCAGACTTCCTTTATCGGCGCTCCCAGGCACCTGCAGGGGAAATCGACGAACTCATGGACCTTTGGGGTGCAACGCTGCAAGAATACGGGGCCCACCCACCCTTCGCCAATCACACGGATCTCTACAAAACGATTGACGCTATCAAAGCTGGCGAAGTGCCCTGGGAGTCATTCTGTATGTCTTACAAGGGTCCAATGCCAGCACGCGACATTCCGCCATGGATGACCTCAAAATATGATGTCTGGTTCCGCGATCCGCACACCGTTGTCAAGAATATGCTCGCGAACCCTGACTTCAAGGATAGTATGGTGTATAGTCCATATCGTGACTTCGACACGTCGGGGTCACGTCAGTGGGAGGACATGTTTTCCGGAGACTGGGTTTGGAACCAGGCGGTGAGTGCTTTCCCATTACTCGGCATGTTAGACCCTAGTGTTAATGTTTTCTCAAGGACACTATCGCAGAAGACCCCACCACGGCTGGGAGCACGTTCGTCCCCATCATCCTCGGCAGCGATAAAACAACTGTGTCAGTTGCTACTGGCCACACGGAATACTACCCGCTGTATCTGTCCATAGGTAATGTTCATAACACTGTCCGACGCGCACACCGGAACGCCGTGGCCCTCATCGGGTTTCTGTCAATCCCCAAAAGTAAGCAATGCGTTCATATCAGATGAACGTCTTCTGACGATTGCACACAGCTAATCAAAGTCATGCGGGTGATCCTGAGTTTCGGCACTTTTGCCGACAGCTGTACCACTCCTCGTTGTCGAGGATTCTCCGTTCTCTGCGGTCCGGCATGACTCAATACGAGGTTGTGCGATTTGGGGATGGCTACTTCCGCCGGGTCATCTACGGCCTCGGTCCTTATATAGCGGACTATCCGGAGCAGGTACTTCTCACATGTATCGTGCAAGGGTGGTGTCCGAAGTGAGTAGCCCACACCTCTGTTAATGCATATCTGGTTCTCACATTAGTTTCAGATGCCTCGCGTTTCGGGATGACCTTGATGGCTCAGATGCCGTACATCCGGTATTGAACCGGTGCAAAGAACACAACGAGCTCGTTATTGATGAGCTCAACCTCGACACACTCTGGGACAACTACGGGGTCATCGGGAACACAATCGTGTGTGTTCATCTTCATATACTTCATCTCTCAGCTAATCTACTATAGCCATTCACCAATGACTATCCGCGCGCCGATATCCATGAGATGATATCTCCGGATATTCTCCATCAGCTCATCAAGGGAGCATTCAAAGATCATCTTGTCGAATGGGTCGTAACCTACTTACACAAGGTTCACCCGAAGGCTCATGCGCTCCAAATCCTCGATGACATCGACAGAAGGTATGTTGATTCCGGCTCTGTATTCTATCAGAAATCTAACTAGTGAACCCAGAATTGCGGCTGTTGCCCCATTCGCGGGTTTACGACGATTTCCGAACGGGCGTGGGTTTAAACAATGGACAGGGGACGACAGCAAGGCACTAATGAAGGTATAGTGCGCTGCTCTTGTGTTTTCATACGTGATTCTGATGCTACTACTGTAATAGGTTTATATTCCCGCTATCGAGGGACATGTGCCCCGTGACGTCGTTCGCACGTTCCGTGCATTCCTGGAATTCTGTTACCTAGTTCGGCGTGACGTCATCAATGACGAGACGCTGGTCGAGATCGAGGACGCTTTGGAGCGTTTCCACCGGTATCGCTCCATCTTCCAGACCCTTGGCGTCGCAACATCCCTTTCCCTCCCCCGACAGCACTCCTTAAAGCACTACGTCTTCCTTATCCGCCAATTCGGGGCCCCGAATGGCCTCTGTTCCTCAATAACAGAGTCAAAACACATCAAGGCGGTCAAGGAGCCCTGGAGAAGATCAAGCCGGTTCGAAGCTCTCAAACAAATGCTCATCACCAATCAACGGTTGGATAAGTTGGCGGCTGCTCGTGTTGACTTTGCCGCACGCGGGATGTTAAAGCAGCCATGTGTCGATGTAGTTAGGGCTCGGATTGGCATTCTCTCGCAACGTAAGTCTCATGCTCGTCTCGTGAACTCAGGGCTAACTCTACCTGCAGTCGGGGGTCTCTTTCAGACGCTAACACTTGACTCGGCCACCACAACACGTCTTCGCGTGAGGGGCCTTATTAGCGGTAGCATAGAGGACGAGGAGGGTTCTGCTATAGATGGACGTATAGAGGCGAAGGTTCGATTAGGCAGTTCTCCAGGTGAGTAGCCTACCTCACTCTTGCATTCGTTATCTAATACATGCCATATATCAGCCCGTGGGCGTGCACACACCATCCCCGCACTCGCCGGCGAGCTCAAGCTCCCGGAGTTTGATCTGTTTTACCAGGTCAGGTGCTTTTTGTTCGAGCAGCTTTCGCCGTCATCGGGCGTGGACGTTGTAAACGTCCCCCTCTCTCGTCTTCCTCACCTCCCCCGGACTTCTCGCATCTTCATCTACAACTCAGCCACTGCTACTTTCCGCGCGCCCAGCGATATATGCGGGACGGGTGGGATGCGTTCCGAGCGTATTCGTTCCACCCTCAACTGGCGGAATGAAGCTGCTCGCCACGACTGCGCATTTGTTTCGACAAATCGCCACACCCCAGGCATGCTAGGTATGGAGGTGGTCCGTGTTCTTGCATTCTTCGGCTTTGACTACAGGTCCAAATACTACCGGTGCGCGCTTGTCCACTGGCACTCTCGAGTGCAGGACACTCGAGACGAAGACACCGGGATGTTTATGGTAACCCCAGACCACAACGACGACGGCACAAGCTTGCTTGCCGTTGTCCATGTTAACTCCCTCGTCCGCGCAGCCCACCTCATCCCATTCTATGGTGACAAGTTCATTCCGGAGGGCGCCAAACACTACGATTCATACAATGATTTTGCCGGGTTCTATGTCAATCGGTACGCTGATCATCACTTGTTCGAGATCGCGTAGGTTACAGCAGCTATATACGTTCCTGTCGGACTCAGGCTGGGTCAGTGTTACTAGTTGACTCGGGTATGATACAACGACATTATGTACGACTGCCCCACTTGTATCCTTTTTACGAAGTATGGTTCTTATTTTGACTTTTCGTCACCAAGACACCCCTTGCGACACTTTAAAGTACTTTTTAGCGTTTAACTGCTTATTTCTACTTTGTGCTCTGCGATGACATCGATGCCAAGGTATAATAAGCGAAAATAAGTATCAAAAAGTGACTTGACCCTAAATAAGCAGGCTGTTGATTTCCTGATGCTACGGTTAGCATGTTGCCCGATATCTGTCGCCACATAACCTTGGTCTCTTGTATAAACGCGCCCGCACATTCGGAGCTTCCTCTCTTGCTTACATGTTGCTATCACAACACCTCAGGTCTCAGCTACTGTCCTAGCTGTAGAAATTCGAGGTCGCTGGGGCTCGCGACGACACACAGCGCGTTTGTCCCGGGCGAGAGGAGGGTGCCCGAAGGGGCAATCGCGTGAAGATTTCGACTATCTACGACAAGATTATATACATAGTACGAGCTCGGAAACAGTAAGATAAAAACGACACGTCATGATGCGAGCGCTGTCGAACACTAATTCCAACACACCCCCTTGTTCGATACAAGCGAGCAAGTGTAATGTAACAAAAACGGGCGACGACGCGAAGTGAAAAACGAGCAGACGACGACGAAGGTAACACCATGCGAGGCAAAACGAACAAGCTCCGACAACGAGGGGATGAAACAGCGAAAAACGGGCGAAAACCGACGAAATAAAAACATACAGTGCACCCCCTCAAACTCGAGAGGGTTCCCGATCCTACGAAATCCAACTAACACCTGTCTTGAATAACCCAATCTCCGCGGTGACGCGCAGGGCGCAGACGAGAGGCGAACGGCGAGGGATGAGACGACAGCGGCACAATGGCACGCAGCGGCGGGGAAACAACGACGGCGGGAGGGCAACAGCGTCGGCGACAACAACAGGGCGGCGACGGCAACTTTACGGGGTGACGACGGCTAGTCTTCGGCGACTAGAGGTGCGGTTCGACGACGGCGGCGACGGGTTCAGCGGCGGGCGGTTTTCGGCGACCGGGGGCGCAGGTACGTGATTCTTCGGCCCTCACGCGGGCGATTGCGACGACAGGGGCATCGACGGCGGGTACACGACGGCACGCGGGGACAGCAGCGGCGTCGGCGGGTTCTACGACGGCACGCGAGAGCGGCGGCAGCGTCGATGAGGGGCACGGCGGCAGGGACGAGCAGCGGCGTGCGAGGAGCAGCGGCGGCAGGTGCGGCACACGGCAGGAGGCGGCCTCAGCAGAGGACTTACGCAAGGGTCCAGCGGCGACGGCAGGCGCACAGAGCGGTGCGGCGGCCGGGTGCGTGCGCTCTTGCGAGCAGCAGGGGGGAAGCGGCGAGCGACGAGGGGAGGTGATGGCGGCGCGATAAGGCGATCCGGCGCACGATAACGCCTCGACGGCGTGGGACTGTGGCGGCGCGAGTCCCGGCGACTTCAGCGGTGGTGAAGGGTAGCTAACCCTGACGCGATTGTGTAGAAAATCGAGGTCGCACGGGCTCGCGACGACGCACAGCGCGTTTGTCCCGGGCAAGAGGAGGGTGCCCGAAGGGGCAATCGCGTGAAGATTTCGACTATCTACGACAAGATTATATACATAGTACGAGCTCGGAAACAGTAAGATAAAAACGACACGTCATGATGCGAGCGCTGTCGAACACTAATTCCAACACTAGCTATGCATGTTTCATATTCGATCATGATGCATGGTGGCAGCTAGGTGTTTGCGGCGCTTATCTATATATAAGGCTTCGCTTGATCCTCCATGTGCATCAAATTGTGTTGCGGCTGGGAGTAGTAGCACGTCTTATACATCTCCTACTATAATGTGTGCTTGTTCAAGTGAGCAGGCTTGGTGGAGTGCATTTCATTACTTCTATTAATAAACGAGGCAGTGGGTTGTACAAAAACGCAAGTTTGACAGAAAATTAAATACATGTAAAGATTATTTATGGACTAGACTTGGGGTGCAACCTAGCAGTGTTTACCAACCAAGCACGACCAAGCAGTTCGCGTCGAAAGATTGAAGATACGATTAATGTAAAGATTATTTATGGACTAGACTTGGGGTGCAACCTAGCAGTGTTTACCAAGCTTGTTGTCGTAAGCATAAAACGTCACTCTCCCTGCAATACTCCATTCCCGTGTACACCAGTGGCGGTTTCAACTGTACGAACACTGGCGAATGCGACTGTTGTATGATCTTGTGAGCCCGACACGTCATCGCCTGTAGTTGATTTGAAGTTCTTCCTTAGGCTAAGTATCAACCACGGGCCAATTAGAGCACTGAGAATGTTTTCTAATATCGCGATTAAAACATTGTATATTGCAGTCTAGTGAAGATTTCATCAGTTAAACTGCATCAAGACCTTGGTTGATGCCTCCTACACTCGAAATTGCGGGAGAAAAATTCAGAGCAGATAGTGTACAACACATCAAGGCGCTGTGAATGTGATCAGATCAACCAGATGCAAAAGCTACTGCTTGAACATACAGGAAAAAGTACGCCAGATTGTCTCGAACGATTATAGCTCTCATACTTGATACCGTGTGTAACGGGTGAGACCAGAATGACGGAGGAAGAAATTTAGTGGCGTGATGTACAGCAAGAGCACAAAGAATGACATCAAACCCCAGAAGTGTCATGCTTGTTGCTGGAAATGCCCACAAGAGAGACGATGGAGGACTTTCCGTACAGAAGTCGAGATTTGACAAGGCAGCTATTGCTAAAGACTTTATTGAGAACAAGGTTAGCTGCCACAAGCGAGAAATCAACTCACTGAATATATCAGCACCAGCGGCAACATATAACAAGATGCAGGTAGTATTAATGGCACAGGTTATTATAAAACAAGTGGAGAGCCCAATCAGAATTGGCCTGGATCTGCCAAGTAGGCCATACACCCGAATAGCCATTACACCTATAAACCGATTGTTTTGTCTTGGAATATTATATAATTATTGAAAAACAACACCTTGCACAGCAACAAAAAGCAAAAGGGACAAGATTTGTTCTGGTAAAAATATGAAGTAACCTGTTGAAATTTGATTTGAGCACCTCATATATTACACAGTATGTTACTTACATCTGAGAAAAACCACGTTAGTAAATGATGGTGCACAGTATCGAAACGGTGACACTCACTTCTACAACCATTCGTTGTGATATCAGTAGGAGAGATACAGATGAGCAGGGTTTGATGACGTACCGAACCCGATACCAGCAAATTTAAATCTAACACTATTGATAGAAATCGATCAGTGCTGTTTCATACGTAGAATATGGAGCCATATGACCTGTGATTAGGCTAATACATCTCAGTACAAGGAGGACTGAAGGAGAAAGTTGCAATACACTCACATGCAACGGGATATTCCCAAGTACCGCATCTAAATGAAGATACAGACTGGTGTAGTGATCATTGCGGGTATGGCTTACCACTGTATATGCAGCTGTAGTCCATGACAGTTTCTGTCTCTACTTGCGAGTTTAGCTGCCTTATTATGTCCATAACCATTCTGACTTATTTACCCAGATAAACTCCACCTTATAACAAAAAATGATTGGTTAAAACTCAGTGAAAAATATACATATAGCTCCCTACCTCCGAATCAATATTTAAAACTGTAACATGTCTTCGAGATCAATCATCACATCTGATAAAGCTGTACTTACAATAGTCATAGACTACTACAGTTGTTGCCGCAACTACAAAAAAGAAGTTTGAGCCCATTACTCTCACGGCTACTACAGACACAGATTCAATGAGCATACCATATTCATAACCTTGCAGGGATAGGTATGATACCGCTGCTTGCAGCTCTTGTTGAAAGGAAGTGGAGGACATGATTGATATCTTTCGCGCTGAAGATGGCTTGAAGCTCATTTCAAGATAACCGCTACTTTATATATCTCTTATACAGCCTTTCTCTTGCCGCGCTAACTCGGACTGTTTGGCTGTGGAGGAAGGCCCTGGGCATAATTTGGATGGTCAGTGCTTAATTAAGCGTAGCAATGCATGAGAGTCTCTGGCTATACGTATTTCACTGCTTCATCGACCATGGACTCGTTGTCAGAGGAATGTTCGGGTGTACCTAGCGGATTGCTCTTGACATGGAATAGAACATAACAACCATCGTAATGCTGGCACCAACATCACACTACTCGTAGAACATCAAATGCAATTTGAACAGCGGTGATATGTAGCTAGGACAGCCTCCAAGGTATCCTGATCCGGTGACATCTCAGATGTGAAGTCCCTCGGGAAGGTATAGCATATGTTCTTCCTCATCTCGGTTGGTTGGACGTCCAAGACCATATTTTGATCATAGGCGCCATTCTCATGTCCATGAAAACTGCAAAATTGTATCCCCTCAAATATATTCGCTGCTATAGCTTTCGCGTCAGTAAAACCATCTTCGTGTCAGAAACAGATTACAAGGGAAGAATATACCTATACAGCACCAACTCTTGTCTCGTCCTCTACAACCTCAAGTGCTTAGGGCTCCCGAAATTCATGTCCGTGTCTTCTTCGCGTTGATCTGTTTACGCGAGCAACCATATACAGGCCGTTCCAAACACGAAGGTCGGAGGAAATACATCAATCATGTGGCCTTCGTGATTCCATTTGGATGTAAGCGATACGGTTAGGTTCAAGAGGAATAGCCCGTATCTATTCACAGAGGTCCGAATGGAGGCGCTGATGCCGGGTGTAGAGGGGACTATTTCTGTAGACGTAGAGGTTCGGTGGTAAGTCCTGCGAGTAGGGCGGGCGCGGGGGCAGGCTGAGAGGCTAAGGGTGACATTCCGCGGAAGCACAGGAGACCAGATAATAATAGTAGGCAGCCATGGGTCTAATATTATTCCTTTCAAAGTTATCCTGCGGCGGCCAACTCTCTCAAGGCTCCATTCCACTATCTGGGTTGGGGAATTCCAGTTCGCCCTTGGTGCCGGGCGACGCGACTGAGGCAAGTTCAGCGTGATGTGGGTAGTAAAGAAAGCATAGAGATCCGCTATTCAACGTTTCGAACTGTTTCTAAGCTTTCTATTCTCACAAAGCTCGATCGTGTCGACTTAAACGAACGGCACACATGACCCAAGCTTGAGATAGGACTTGAGCTTCAGTTCATGCGGAAGGGAATTGATCAACATCTTAATCACATCAAGATATTGGTGTTATGACCAGGGCGGTGATGAGAGGTACTGCCCGGAGCTTTGCAGCCTGAATGTCACCCTTACTCGTGTAATAGGATTGACAGTGCGTTTCATGCTCACGTAGATACGCCATCGTGATATCTATTTACTTGCAACATTTAATCCAGCTACCCGTCAGTTCTTCTCCTCGCCCTCGACAACCCTCCTCAACGCGGGCGCAGACTGCTTCCGCGTCGCCTTCACATTACCCTGCTTCCACACTTTAACGAACACCGGTCTCCCACCATGCGCCTCCTTGCCAGCCTCTCTCCCTAGCGCCTTGTCGAGCGCCTTCTGACCACAGATATTGTCGAGCTTGTGCTTCGTCTCGAGCTCAAGCCCGTGCGAGGAGTGCTCGAGACCCTTGAAAACAGCATCGGAAAGGCGTGCCCAGTCAATGTCTACTGCTCCGTTAGCCGTCGACGACAGAGGTGTGCTAGACGGGGGAGGAGAGATAGCGAGAAGAATCTGGCGCTTGTGCTTCCCCTTCTTAGACGTGAAAGACGTAAGTATGCCGAGGATAGACAGTCCGTGTTCGTCCATATACGAGCGAACGGAGGTGAAGAAGTCGGGTGCGGAAGGGACCCACGTTCGCAGGTCGAGAGGTACAGTAGCAAGGCCGGCGCGAATGGTGATAGGGAGGGTCTGCGACCGGGAATGTGAGGCAGAGGAGGCGAGAAGAGACGGAGAGACCACGTAGTCGTATGCCTTGTAGTCTCGCTTGAGCAGATCGCGCGACGACAAGTGCGCTACTGATGCTTTCCGCTCTGCAAGGATATCAGAGAGCTGCGCGAGCGGGTCCTGTGCGCCATCAGACTCCCCGTCGGGTAACGCGAGCGAAGCAACATTCTGCGTGGAGAGCGAGGACAAGGGTGAGAGACGCTGCACAGCGGCGCGGTCCTTGTCGCCCGTCTTGCTCTTCGCGCGAAGACCGTTCGTGTCAACGAGGATGGCGCACAAGAGCAGATCCGCGAGCTCACGCGGAAGCTGAGCCATGAGTGGGGGAGGGATCTCGGCGGCGACGAGTGAGGCGCAGCTGCCTGTTGATTGGTTAATTACACGCCGACTCGCGTCAGTGTGCTTGCCCTCGTCGGCGTGATGGTCGATGATGGAGACTACGCCGAAGGACGAGGGTGAGGTTTGGGCGAAGGAAGGATGTAGAGCGTTGTGGTCGACCAGCGCGAAGTTGTTCGACGGGAACTTGCCTTGCCTTGAGATAATGTCACGTAGGTCATCCATCTTCAGCAGCTCGTCATACGGCTCGCGTATCCGAGCAAGACCGAGAGCGTAGGTGTTCTCTGCGCGAAGGTGAAAGTCTTCCTTGGGTATGCGCACGAGCGCGATAGCGTCCTCCTTGTTGCTCGATTGAGTGGAGTGAAGCCATGCATAACTGAGCGAGCTTGCGAGGGTATCGAGATCTATTCACATCGCTGGATCAGCTTTGAGGGAGAGCTCAAGCCGACGATGAGGAAAAGGTAAGATGATAATTCAGGTAGCGAAGACGGGGAGGTTTGACAGTGAAGCGCAAGACGTAACGACGAGGCGTAGCGATAGAAAACAAGCAACGTAGACTGACCGCCTGCCTCGTTCCCCATCACAACTGTCCATCTATCTCCTTTCCCTCCTTCTACGTCACTGAGGTAACGCTTCTTACTCTGGCTCAGATATTCGGAAAACGTTTGTGCTGGTTCCGACATCTGGATCGTATGCAGGTATCGCCGGAAGTGCAAGGATAGAATCGAGCCAGCTGTTGGCGAAGACCTCGAGGGCGATGGTATCTCCTTGAAAGCCCTGGAAGATGATACGCTTGTCGAAATTAAACGATGCCTGATGGTCGAACGAGGATGGACGCGAACGCGAGCTGGAGATGGGCAAGGGGTAGCGATCGCAAATGGCCTCATCGCGCGCGGAGGCAAAAGAATTAGCCCCTGTCTCCATGAGCGCCACTGCTCGCCTCGATGCTTCAAACATACGGTGCCTTTACACTGGCTGGCGTGGGTTTTTTTTTCAAGTCAAAGTTCATGTTAAGATGAGGAGCAATCATCAAAGCTGATGAAGCACGCGCAATGAGGCTTAGGCGTAGCTCAATGGCGTGAGGTCAGCACAGTGCAACTGCCGATACTCAAGCGATATCTGTCCTTCGTACATGTGAACCTCCATATTGACCGTAGCGAAATAGCTACGCTACTGGAGTAGTTCAAGGTGTTTACCATAATCGAACACCTTTTACACTGATATTACTCACTGGCCGTTCGCGCGTCTGGGTTTACCCCCGATACGCGTTTGTCAGATAATACCCGTAAGTCAACTCTGATCACTGCGACCCATACTATGAATGCCTCAGCCAGAGGTAGAGGTCCCGACATACACGGTACTGAACGAGGATGTGGGGTTGGGGTTAACCGAGACGGTGACAGTTGTCGTAACCGATGCATGCGATGACGAGGTAGGAGTGCCAGGGACGACGATCGTAGAAGTTTCAGGGACTATGATCGTAGAAGTACCGGGGACGATGACCGTAGAGGTCCACCCGGTTGGGAGACCAAGATGAGACGAAGTGGCGGAGATCGTCGTGCTTAACGTAGAGGTGGCCGTGTCTGTGGGACGTGAGGGTGTCAGCTCACATGCACTTTCCGCGCGAGCATAAACACTTACAAGACGCGCAGATCGATGACTGCGCCGCGCCTACGGCACTCACGCCCTGATCGAGGTTACCGCTCTCCTGGCACGAGTCCATCACGCAGTGACCGTTCCAGACTTGTGCATTACCGTCCGTGACGTAGTCCTTGCACAAGCAGGAAATGTCGTCTCTGATAAGGATATACGATTGAACAGGTGGTCAGCGTCGTGCTAAACGATATGCAAACAAGCTTTGAGCAGGCAGGCATACGTACGGGTTACAGTTTTGGTTGCCATTGCGGTTGTCTGCTTGCAGGCAGCTGATGGCCACGGGATCGGGGTTGCTCACACAGTCGGCAAGCACGACGGCAGCGAGCGAGAGGATAGAAAGGATGGACTTGGCAAGCATGGCTGACGAGGAAGACAGGGTTTGCGAGTCATGTCAAGCAAGGTTATATACCCCACGCCTGTTGGAGGCACTGTAGTGGTCGTCAAGCTCTTCATTTACCGAATAATAGGCCAGCCACGCGCAGCCGTACGTATAACGGAGACTGCTCGCCGTCGTGGTAACCCCATGGGTAGACAAGGTGAACTTTCCAGCAACGAGTACTGCCTGCTCGCGCGCATGTAGTGGTAGTAACACAGCATGGTGTTCAGAGAAGAGGGCGGAGAAAGCGGACGCAAAGTCGTGTTATGATCACCTCGACTTGATCGTTGAAACACTCAGCTCTTGGAGGCAATGGTGTAACAACGGACTTACAGTAAGCTCATTGTCCCATTCTTGCCCTCGACATTCCATTCGTGACAAGTACTATCATAGATGCATTTAGGGGGTACAGCACCTGTTTGAGAAAACTCAACGAGTGACCAAAGTCAAGTGCCAGCGATTCTAGCTGGCGTTGACTTGGTGATTGAGAACTAGCGAGTGATGCTGCAGTGCGTTGCCTCAGGGATGCCCACCTTTATCAGAGACCTCGCAGTACGGCACCCAGCTCTGACGACGCTGACTCTCAATACGGGGTGTCTGACCAACGTGAGGAGCAGACAGCCGCCAACGATGTTCTCGGGAAACCGGAAAGACTTTCCGACGCAAGCCAAGAGAGATAGAACTGGGAAATAGTACCGGTGGACGGAATAGACGAGCCATGCGCTCGAATGTTCGCCCCCTTGAGAGATGATGAAGAAAGCAAGCGTGCACTTGTGCATGTCGCTGGAGGATGTCGTCAGGTGAATTCAAGGCTATGCACTCTGACGTGTTGAAGTGATGGATGCACTCTATGCCGCTGGATGCCGCTAGTAGCCGCTAAGTGTCGCTAGGTGCTGCTGAGCCTTGGATCGCTGTCTTCAACGATGTGGAGATTGATTCTGTCATGCGACACGGACTAAAGCTGCTAGCCAGTGCTGGCGCCTACGTGGGGCGAATTGACCCGCCCTAAAGATTGTGCCCAGCATGACCGAGTTTGGGGGTTCTGCGCGTGCTCGTCTCCACCTGCACTTGATGGACACCACTGTCTTAGTCCTGGACGTCGGGGAAGCAATCGCCATGCTTGACCCTACTTGTAGCGATCGACAATCTTTTCGACATATCTTCAGGCCCCAACGGCTCAGCTGAAATCCATTCAGTTTCGAATGCGATGCTGTGAACGTTTCCAAGGACAACACCACGTAAAGCTTGTTTCATCATTGACAGCGTGACTCTCAACGGTATGTTTTCTCTCTGTCTTAAACATTTCAGGCTTCATCAACGCGCCTACGGCCGTCGCAGCCCAAAACTGACAGGTCATGATGTGTCACCATCAGTCATGATGCCATGAACAAAGAACCGCGCGGTAGCTCCTGCTACTAGCAACAGGCTGCAACAGTCGATCAACTTTCGTCATCTCAAGATATGCTCCCGGAGTATATATCCCTCCGAAGAGACCCATGGAGAAATATATTACCCTCCCATCTGTACCCCGATGCGTCTCTCGTCCTTCCTTGGGCTCGCGCAGACCGTCGCGATCGCCGCCCTCGGCGCGCTCGCTCTTCCCGCGTACGAGACGAATGAGCTCGTCGCGCGCGACGGCCAGAAGTATGTCTTTGCGCACTTCATCGTACGTCTCCTTTTGCGCTCCTTCAAAGCTTGAGGGCGGTTGCTGATTGACGCTTGTAGGTCGGCATCGTCGCATCGTACACCCAGGACGACTGGACGGCCGACATGAAGCTTGCTCAATCCATTGGCATCGACGGCTTTGCGCTCAACATCGGTGCGTCACTTTCTTCCGTACGCTTACCCATCCCACATCCCCCTCTATACCTTTCGCTCTAACGCCTCGCTCCATAACCAGGCAAGGACGGATACAACGACCAGCAGCTCGGATACGCATACGACGCCGCCGCGGCGCTCAACTTCTCCGTCTTCATCTCCTTTGACTTCCACTACTGGACCAACGACGACGTCGCCGCCATCGCGCAGAACCTCACTGCTTACTCCGCCAAGCCTGCGCAGTTCAAGGTTGGCGAGGCAGCGTTCGTGTCCTCGTTCGTGGGCGATGGGTACGACTGGGGGAGCACCGCGACGCAGGCGGGCATCCAGCTGTACGCGTGCCCGAACTGGCAATCCGGTTCCTTTGCGGGCGCGAGCGGGGTGAGCTGTGGCTTCAGCTGGAACGCGGTGAGTGAAAACGGTATTCGGCTTTGGTTAAGCCACAAAGACTGATGGATGTGTGTGCGGCGGTGGGTAGTGGGCGAGCGAGAACAACAGCCCGATCGACCAGAACATCACCACTGACGGCGACAACGCGTACATCTCGGCCCTCGGCAGCATGCCCTACATGATGCGTGAGTATCCTTGTATCCCTTTCGTCCACGGGCGCTTGGCTGACGGACACACAGCGATCTCGCCCTGGTTCAACACCCACTACGGCCCTGCCCCTTCGTACGACAAGAACTGGATCTTCTACTCAGACTGGCAGTGGAACCTCCGCTGGCAGCAGGCTCTCCAGCTCGCGCCGCAGTTCCTCGAGATCTTGACCTGGAACGGTACGTCACACCCGGTTCAGCCCGCAGGAAGGTGGCGCCCATGTCAAAGCTAACCCATGCATGCACATCATTTAGACTTCGGCGAGTCCCACTATATCGGCCCTCTCCACCCCGATAACACCGACGTGTACGCTGGCGGCGCGACTGGCGCTGTTCAATGGGTCACTGGGTGAGCCGTCTGCGTTTTTCGTCCGTTATCATAGGCTCTGATCACGACTTCTCTTTAGCATGCCTCACGATGCATGGCGCGACGTCGCAGCTCCGTACATCAAGGCATTCAAGGCTGGCGCTCAGTCCCCCACTGTTGACGTACGCCCAGCTCCCACTCACTGCCGTTGCACGTCCCATATAACATCGCCCCCTACAGACCGAAGAACTCGTCTTCTACTACCGCCCATCCCCCAAAGACGCCCCCTGCAGCGACAGCGTCCCCCAGCCCACCGGGTACGACGACGACGACGACTCGGTCTTCGTCATCGCGATGACCACGTCCGACGGGACGGTCGTCATCACCTCGGGCTCGAACGCGCCCGTGTCGATCCCCGTGTCCGCGGGCATCACGACCGTGAGCGCGCCGATGGCGACGGGCACGCAGACGTTTGAGCTGCTGCACGGCACGACGAGCGCGATGAAGGGGTCGGGCGATCTGCAGGTCAGCAGCGACTGCACGGTGTATAACTTTAATGCGTTTGTGGGGAGTGTTACGGCGTCGTCGTGAGGTAGAGTAGAGACTTGTGTACGCATGTTCGAGCTTTCATTCGATGGGCTTGTTGGTATTGGCTAATTTATTCGTTCGTGATGTCGATATGGTGTGATGGTAACGATATTGTTTGGCTTCCACCAAGACTACAGCCAGTCCGAACCTTCCCTTGGCTGACCATACGTATTCGTTCTTTCAGAGACTGCGGCCCTCGTCCACATGGCCCCATAGCTCGACAGGTATCTTTACCAGCCGATAATCGGATGGATTGGTTCGTCCGGCTGCGCCGGAGGTATACTGGGTCAGTATGTTGCCTTCGGTCCTGACTTACCAGGACTTACCCCCTTCTCGAGCTTTCTTGCCACCTCGTTGTCGCTAGCAATGTCAGATATTTTGACAGGAAACTGTACCGAAAACGTGTGAAAACATCCTGGAGTTTATGCGTTTGGGCCCAATTTTGGTCTATTTGGGCATTGCCGCCGGAGTTCCGGATCGATCGATCAACAACGGGCATTAGTGTCCGTTCATCGTCACCGACACGACGATGTCGACTGCGATCGTGCAACCGACGAGCTCGCTGCCAACGTCACGTCGCTTTCAACTTGGACATGCTTCGTACCGCACAAACCGTCATACCTGGTGAGCACTTTTTCTATTCATATCGTGTGGTCTGAACGACAACTTTGCAGGCATCGACTCTGCCTTCGTCGCATTGACCAGTGTTTCTTCGATACCACAAAGTCTCTAGCGAATGCTGGCGACCATTTACTCCGGTAACTCGCTTATTGACCGCAGTGTGCCATCTGACCGTTTGCTGCGCGCTTTTTGGCGGTAGATAGCGGCAGATGCTGTAGAGCGATCACTCGGCTCCCTTCTCGATGCAACTGTCACAAACGCTGTACAGAAGCCATCATGCGGAGAAGACTCGCCGGGATATGCTCCGCGTCACGGACTCAGCCTCGAAAGTGGATGATCATTCTCGACTCGGAGGTGCTCTCGCATCGACCTCGCAGTCATGGTAGTCGGTAAGAAATCAGAAGTACTTTCTCGCTCTATACATAACAGTGGATCTAATTGTCGCAGGATGTTCCAGGTGTACTGCACACCACCTGCATCTAACTAAATGCTCGGAATTAGTCAGTGGCACATGGACTAGTACGCCATCTTCCCACCTTCAGAACTAAAACTTCCTACCAGCTTCGGCGCGCCCGGCATCCATGCGCCATGGATATTAGGCGCCAGGTTTGTTGGCTTTCTGGGCACGACACCCACGCCGTCCGATTTGCTACCAAAACGACGTCCTGAATGTCAAGCCTCTCTAACAAAGGTGTTGAAAAGGCAGCACGAGTCCGAGGCGGAAGCAGGGTCAAGTAGGCTAACAAATCCATAGTTCCATGCATGAATATTCTTCCATCCACGCTCACAGGCCGCCGGCACTTTTCAGTCATCTCTACTGCGGCATCTTGAAAAAAATGGGGATTTATCTTCTAATTACGACCTCTTCGGAACAACCGTGATCAGCTTTTGCAAGACACTGCCTCGTTTTCTCAAAACTTTGCCACCCAACACAGCTCACCTCCTTTACATCCTCTTTTCTCTCCCTGAGCTACCTAGCACTGTCATTCATTCTCGTGCCTCTCATCGTTGTCTTTCTACCCCCGATCCACTGACCTATCCTTTCTCTCTTCGATGGTATTTTATTCTTTTTCGCGGCGAGCCCGCATACTAGGCTTTGCCACGTTCTCTCTTGGCGTGTTCGCCCTTATGTCCCGAATCGCCGTCCGACGCCGCCCAGAGATTGTATCGATGGTGATGGGCAAGCAACTACCACCACTATACGAAAGCATTTTCGAGAACGAACGCAATCTCTCTCATTATGCCGACTATGAGTCTCGAACGGACATCAAGTATCTCTGGGCAGCGAACCACCCCTGGCGTGAGTCCTTTCTCACAGACGTCGATTTACAGCATCTTGCTGACGATCGCTTCATATGTTTTCTAGACGTCGGCTGGGGCAACACGATGCAAGACTATGTGATGATGGCGCTACTTGCCCATATGACAAACCGCTCGTAAATTTTTGCTTATTTTGCACGATGCCCTGAAGAGCCTACCTAATCGAGATTCTTTCGACAGATTCGTCTTCAATGACTACGTCTGGGATAATTCCTCTCGCTCATATTCCAGCTTTGACTTTACCGGCACGGTCATCCCATCTCTCATTCCGCTTAGTGCGATTCTAGACGGTGAACTACTTCATACCTTCGCCCTCGTCCATTGGCACTCTTTTTCTCACTCTTGTCTGAAGGTCCTATGGTTGGCGGCGAGCAACTTCCGAATAACACGAACCCTCGCGCAGTTTCCCACGAGTTTTTCGAACGCGTTTGTCCCCAGCCCACGACGCTGCGCTGGGAGGACGTGTCGGACTACAGGATTAAGACAGACACTAACGTCCCCGCTTCCTATATCTTCGACGTGTGGACCTCAGTCATAAACTCAATAGATGACCCATGTGTTATGATTGCGGATGATACCAGGCGGGTCATCAATCTGAGGTGAGTCCCACTAGATTTCTCTCCCCTCGAGCTAGTTCAAACTTGCTAAAATCTCGCATTTCTGATAGTATGTACGGGCAGAAGGACCGCATATTGCCCCTCTGGCCTGCCCTCGCCGCGTCGCCTGTACTTGACACATGGGCATGGTCGCCCCTCGCCACAGCGGCGGTCGCGAGAAATTCTCACTTCTTCGCTGAATCAACCACGTTGCTAGCAGCCGCAGCCGCAGCCGCAGCCGCAGCAGGTACACCTGATCACGGAATCATCAGCTTGGCCTCCTCGATAGCATCATCATCAGCCATCTCCTCCGCAGCCTCGAGTTCCACGACTACTCGCATTCCGGGCCTTCTCGTCATTCACGCCAGACGCGGTGACTTCGTCAAGCACTGCCGCTACCTTTTCACAGAGCGCATCCAGTGGCAGGCCTTCAACTCATTCCCATCTCTCCCTGATCACGTAGAGCTGCCGCTGAAAGGTAGCTCGGAGCCCATCGATGAGGAGGCACTGATGCCTCATTGCTTCCCCGGCATTGACCACATCGTCGAGACCGTGCGCAGGGTGCGGGACGAGCATAGTTTGCCGCTCACGCGGGTGTACATCGCAACGAACGGAAAGCGCGAGTGGGTAAGCGAGTTGGAGGGCGCGTTGTGGGAGCTGAGAGGCTGGGATGGCGTAGCAAGCAGCCGTGACCTCGATCTCACTTGGGAGGAGAAATTTGTCTCGCAGGCAATCGACATGCAGGTCGCGGAGCGGGCTGAGGTATTTCTGGGTAATGGGGTGAGTTAGGCTTTCGTCCGCTAAATATGAATATGCTGATGACTAGGGACCTTGTGTTTGATCTATAGTGGTCTAGTATGACGTCGAACGTGGTCATGTTACGGATGGGACACGCCTTGCCACCTGAAAGTAATAGGTTCTTCTAGGGATTTTGTGTTGTTTTCTTCTTTTTGATGACAAGGATGGACAACGACATTGTAGAAATGTACACACGTAGATGCACAAGCTACCACCTAATGAATGTGTTCATGACATGGCTAGCAAGCTGCATCTGGCTGAAACCTATCGCTTCCGATATCTTCGGTCATGCCAAGCGTGTTTTCCATCAAGGGTGAGGTAGACGCTGAGAAATCAATAAAGCTCGAATGTCTACGGTATGGGATCCTCTACAGCATCCACAGAGCCAGCGTAGCATGCGCACACGAGGCAACGAGACGGCTATCTAAGGCCGTCGTGTCAGTATGTGATGGAACTATCACCGACACAGCAAGAGGGTGGCCGCTGATACCGATACGGGTACTGGAAAAGAGTGTGGAAATGACTTGAGCCTCATCCTCTGAGTCCCCAAGAGTTCAAACTCTATTGTGAGGAAGTCGAAGAACCTACTGTGCACATATGTGAGAGGCTCTTGAGCTGATTTGGTGGGCCATCAGCTTGCTGCTCGCTCGTCGGTTGCTGCTTTATTCGCTGTAAACAGGCAGACTACAGAATGAAGCCAGTATTAGCTTAGAAAATCGGCGGAGCCATGCATTCAGGGGTTTGAAACTCCTTTTCGGATTGTTTTGGAGATTGTTTGTAGGCACAGACACAGCCACATGTTTCGGTTTCGCAACGCCTTCGTTTGGTCTTCGTCTTTCATTCTGCATCTGCATCTGCTGTTTCAACCCTGCTGGGGTCAGCCATACAAATGACGATGCGCTACGGCGTCCATGATTCTGGGGTCCTAGCGGAGAGGTAACCCCAACGTGTCTGTAAATACAAGGGCTAATTCTCGCGGTCGCAAAAGCGCGGTCGCCGCCTAGTTGACTATTTGCTCTGGTACCGCATGCGTATGCCGTAGTTTCGCGCTGCCCTCAGCTTTGGCTTAAACATAACGGAAGACGCAGTATATTGGCTCCAAACACATTCAAGTGGGCCAAGTAGCCTTGCCACATGGTGGTTAGGGTTGCATTGATTGGATCAACTCGGATCCACAGCGGGGTTGCCATGCACGAGTCATGTAAGCCTTGCGGTGCTACTTCATCACCACGCTGTTCACCGACAATATTTAGCAATCAGAAAACTTGCTCTTAGGACATAGCTCCTCTGATGCGTCAGGATACTGCTCCGGGTCTATGTTGCCGCCCTTGAGTGGGATATATAACCTGGCAGAATCTGTCAATCCGGTAAGTCGTACATTGTGCTTATCCCCACTCACGAAACACGAAACCCCACCTGAAACATGCACGCTAAGCTGGTGCTCTCCATTTTTGCCCTCGCCGGCGCTGCCTTTGCCCAGAGCGGCTGCGCCTCCGACCCCACCGCGTGGGCCACGAGTTGCTTGCAGAGTGCAAACTCAGCGAATGGGAACGCGTGTTCATCGTACGTCTGGGAACCTTCCCTCTCAGTTCACCTCTCGACTCCAGCATCTGACTGTGCGCGTAAAGGACCAGCAACAGCTGTCTATGCAAGGAAATAACTACGAACGGCAACTTTGCTATCTCGAACGACAAGTGCATCTCAGACGGGTGCATCAACGATGGCTCGCCGCATCCCACGCAGGACTACAGTTCTGCTTCTGCTGCACAGAAGACTCTGTGCGCCTCTTGTAAGCACCTCGCTTGTTTGATCGTGGGCGTATACCGTATACCATCTGACGCACTTCGTACACAGACACTGCGACTGCTGCGCCAGCCAAGCGTACCAACTGAGGTACTCGGCTGAAGGACATAGACAGATCGCAAACGAGATAGATCATTTTTTTTACTTAGCCACTTCTCAATGAACCTTTCATAATCCTTGAGTCATCAAGCGCGAGCGGTCCTTGTACCATGTCCTTTTGGTCCTCCTATTTGGTTCTCGACGAGCATGCGAAGGAAGCTTTACGGCAACGTTACGGTTTATTCCAGAGCGTCGCTTGTTCTAGCTGACAGCGGAATCTGTTGTCCGTCTTGCTGTCCGAGGATTGATCCTTTTCTGAATGATGGCTAGTTGTTGCTTGTAGAAGTGGGTGTGTATGATACGCCTGCGGCTGTGAAAGTAGCAAGTTGAGACATGAACGCGTGAAGACGCCAGGCCGATGTGTTTTGACATCTCCAATGTCAGCGACCTGGATCGTGGGAAATATGTACCACTTTAATCAAGTACACGTGGCACCGGATGTTGGTCTCAACACCACAGGCAAGGAGAGAAGCTTGCACTACAGGCAAATGCGATAATTCTGGACCCGAAAATAAGGAGGAAAATGCACTGGAAAGTAAATATTTTCCTCCATATTTCCCTTTGACCAATAGAGGCCGAAAAAGTTTCATGTTCCGGTGAATTTTCAGGCGACAAAAACAAGCTTACCTTCCATTTATAAACATTAAGCGCTGGCGGAGATTCAACTTCTGCTTTAACCTGCCTTTTTGGGCCTCTTGGCGCACCAGAAAATGATAACTTTCCGCGTGCTTATTCCTAGCCCGAAAATCTGTAGGAAGATGTTTACTTTCCAGATCTTTTTCTACTTATTCTCGGGCACAGAATTAGCGCATTTGCCTGTAGTGTTGGAGAGAAGATGCGGATGGGTGAAAACCTTTTTCGCTGCCTTTCCATCGCGAGAAAAGCCAACGGAAAGGTTAAACTTGAGCCTGACAAAGCTCCTTTTCTGAATAAAAAAAGAGTACATTGCTCCTAGATTCGGTCAGATTACTCCATTTGACAGCCATAGCAATATATTTATCCTTTTCTTATGCAAGAAAGGCGGTGTCTCGGATGCAATATATTGCAGTTACTCCCTTGAAACCCCAGCGAAAAAAGTTTTCACCTATCTCCCGTTTCTCTCCTTTTTCTCCTGCAAAAAATGGCGATTTGCACGCAGTGCAAGCTTGTCGTTGCTCAGAAGATCCGGGTCAAGTCAAATTTGTTTGATCTCCCTGATATGCTCGACGCGATCAGAATACCAGAAGGCACGGTCTTGGGTGGGGCAAATAAAGGTAGGCCAACTGAATGAAAGCGGTCGCAGCTTCTCCCGCCTTGGTTACTCCCCTCCCCACTTCGTGCAGCCTTCAGTTTCGAGCCGTGGCTCTGCAGAGCTTTTCTTGTAGACTTTCGGACCCACGACTGCGATGACCTCACTGGCGGCACTCAATAACAACGCTAATACCCCGGAAGAAACCCCTCATCAGATATTCATCGACTCCATCCGGCTCATCGGGAGTACCACTGTCGCTGGGACATGCTACGGCATGATGAGCGTCACCGCTGGCGCATGTGTCCATACCTTGTTTCGATTTCGCAGACGGCGAACGGTGCGGAGACTAGCCTTCTTGATCGGATACGTCGCGACGCTCTGGGTCTGCGGCACTCTGTTTGTAGCTGGGCTATCACGCGCGATTCAGAACGCGTATGTAGATCATAGGCTATTCATGCCAAGTCCCGGCGCGTACTTCGATTGGTCGCAACCGGGAGCGGTTATTGCGGATGCGGCGTATACGTGTGCAATTATCCTCTCGGATGGGCTCATGGTTCGTTTTGGTTTCTTGACACTTAACGGCTTTGGGAACTATGCTGAACAGTGGTCAATAGGTCTGGAGGTTCAAGGTCATCTGGTATGACTCTGCGTGGTTCAACTGGATAATGCCGATACCTGCTTTCTTATACTTGGCTTCGGCTGGTGAGCATCGACGACTTTCACAATTGTCTTCCCTTTAGTTCATACCCCTCCTTAGTGTTATGCTTGATCTCAACCGTTGACACTTCCATCCCCGGCCACGGCTTCTACTCAGATGTAGCTCACCGGACAACGGTCCCGGGGTTCATCCTTCCGATGGTTCTCAACGTCTTCACGACATCATGCATGGCTGGTCGGCTATACTACTACCGCCGCCGACTTGCTCAAAGCGTCGGTGAGTCGTTCATGTACCAGCTCCTGCTAGCCTTCGATGTTTGCTTATACCGCACATCTAACGTAGGCCCAGACGACCCCAATCCCAAAATATATACCAACGTTGCAGCAATGCTCATCGAATCTTGCGCTCTGTACACGTCCTGCTCTGTCATCTCTATCATCCTTTATCTCCTCCATAGCTCCGGCGAATTCCCTATGATCACTGTCCTCGCTCAGGTGCAGATCATTGCCCCGCTCCTGGTCCTCCTACGGATCGCGCGCGGCATTGCGTGGGATGAGACAGCCGTGACGACCGTCACGACGGGTGTTACCGGGCCGGAACGTGCCGTGAAGTTTGACGTTGCGGTGGAAGACAACGCCGAGAGTGGCTACGCATCGAGCGGGAGGCTCTGCGGCGGCATGGTAAGTAAAGGCACTCCATTACACTTGGAGAGGAAGATGCATAGACGGAAACGCTCGAGTCTGCAGTTCGAAAAGTATGAAATTCAAAGTGTAATCGGTGGGGTGGTGAAGGCCGATGAGCTCTTGGATGGTGAGGTGTAACTCAAATTCTGACCTCTGTTAGCATGGGATAGCCTACGGCCAATGGGCAGCGATAGATGAAGGACGATGCGAGGATAAATCACGATATTTTTGAATGTCGCTTCATGGGATAAATGCTTGGAATGCTTTTCAAGTTGCTGTTTGTTCTACTCATCTCATTTGTTTTCACATTCTATGCGATTTCTATAGACATCGTTATGCCATGTATTTGTTTGAATCAAATAGACTTGCAAGACTGATCTATAAGTAACTCGAGGTGACAGTACCTCGCAATTCGAAATCTCGCCAAAGTGTAAGGTACTGGCCCGGAGAGTCCGATCAAGCACAGGAACCGCTATAACCAAACAGTTACACACAGGCGAGCACTTGTAAGTCTCTCATCTATCCTTCCACTATTCCACGACTACGATCCCCCTGTACTCATACGGGTATACATTATCATCGTCACCGCAAGACTCAGAGAAATACCGTCACTTCATGAATCTCATTGACGACATTCCGCTCAAGATTTGGGATGTCATCTCCACCGAGGTAGTTGACCCACAAGACTTTTACGGCCTCGCCCGCACTTGCCGCGCCTTCTACGACAGATGGAATACCGAGTTTCAGCTGCGTTTGGTGGGATGGCGTAGCTTGGAAGGAATTGAGAGTTTCATCTGGCACCACCGCGATAACCCTGATGTAAGGGACCAGCCCATGTCTCTCGCTGTGCAAACCCTCGTCCCTATAAACTCCAACCTCAACACCCTATTTGAAGAGCGGCCGTTTTGGCCAGACTTGTGGCACGACTGGTACACTCGTGTGCACCCTCCGATGGAAAGCTCGGATGGTGATGCAACTCCCAGCCCAGGCCAGATGCCCCGGCTCTGCGCTGCCTTCATTCGTCTCTGCCACCCGTGGCAGTTTCTGCACAGGATGCCGAGCTTCACGGCTATATATGAACTTAGCCTAGAAAACGTGGAGATATCCTTTTCGGGCCTCAGCGTCATGCTGCACCTCCCCCAGCTTCGTCGGCTCCGACTCATTCACTGTTCATTCAGGGCTCGGCCGCGTCAATGTCTGCATTCGCTGCCTTATATGCTCGGGTTGCCACTGACACATCTGGCCCTGCTTCACTCAAGCGGAGATGAGAGCTGTGAAGATTTAGAGAAGGTTGCCGCCCTCGCAGCGTGCCCAAACCTCGAGCGCCTACAGTTCACCGGATCTTTTCCTGTCCTTAGCGTTGTCTCCGGCGATCATATCACTTCACTCCAAACAGCTCTTTCCCCTTCGACGCTGCTCTGCAACGTAGAAGCCATTCTCCCGGCCAAACGATCCTACAGAGACGTTTCTGGGAAGATGGATTACCGAAAGGCAGAGCGGAATGCCACTCTTTTGTCACGTTTTCTTTCGCGCTGCCCAGCGCTTACCAAACTTACGATTCGCGGATATGTACCTTGCCACCTATCCATTCCCGTCGGTGCGCTTCCCCGCTTAGAAACTCTCAGAGGGCCGCAAGCAGTCATTGACTGCATGACACAACGTGCGCCTGCGCTGCGGGTGTTAGACATACATGATGGTCTGGCGGTACCGTCGGACGTGGCGCGTGGGCTTGGAGCTATAGCAGATAAAACAAAAAGGGAGGATGGAAAAACCGGGATAGATGAAGTCCATATATACACGCACCGGTGGGACGAAGAAATTGCCTTAGCTGTGACGAAGTCGTTTTCCAATCTGCGTACTATTGACCTGCGATACAGGGAGGGGCCGGGCGAGGTAAGTCTGGCATTATGTCGAGTCAGTGTCGATGCTGATAGTTCCATGGCTCCAGGTCTACATCTTGAGCTTCGGACCCCGCTTGCTGTGCAACCTCCCTGCTCTTGAGCACATGAGTCTGCATAGCGTCTTTTACCAACAAAGTAATAAGGATGCTCCTCCTTGCGATATGCCCAAGGAAATACTGGGTAATTCCTTTGGCGAGGACGAGCGAGGTGTAGAAGTGGGTATAAAACTGGAGGACTTGGATCGTAAATCCGCCACTGAGGAAGAGGAGGCGGATCATGCTGAGATAGCGCACGTTTGGAAGAGGTACTGCCCTAGTCTCATCGAGGTCGGGCTTGCATGGGGTGTTCTATGGAGGTATGATACGGAATCCAGGACATGGCGCAAGAGGACGTACTACTTTGAAGGAGGGAGCAGGGTGATGTACAATGATTTAGCATAAATGTACTTAATATACGACGGCCGCACGGAAATTGGGACATATTTGGTGTGCACGAATCAAATATGAATAGTGTAAAGGTGATAATCCGCTGGAGCTCTACGCAAAAGAGCGCTCGACAACTTCAATCTCTTCCTCTTGTTGGATCTCCGGGCTAGCAAACGCTACAGAGATCATCTCCTGGGAATGAGGTCCACCTTCGCCGGTATCATTGTCGAAGTTTCGGCGCAGGCTGATTATCATCCATGGACCAATCATCGTCAACAGCATCATCTGCGGTATTGGGTAGATAGAGTTGAATATGATCGACTGTGTCGCATAGTAAGTCTATCAGCCGGGTTCATAGAACTTTTGATAACGTAAACCATACCTTTGTAATAATGGGTACAAAATCAATTGCGGAGAGCATCATCGCAATCAAGGTCCTGGAAATTTGGTGAGACAGTACTCGACATGAAGGGAATACCAGACGTACAAGAAAAAGTATACCAAGTTATCGCGTACGATCACCGACGCCAGACCTGCTGCTGCTTGGAGCGGAGCCCGCCAGAAAGCAGCAGGAAAGCGCTTAACCGCGTGGTGTAGGGCAAGTGCGCAAAGGATAATGTCGAAGCCCAGAACGGCAAAACTTGTTGCAGGAAACGCCCACACCCGATTCGGAGGCACGTATTGCTGGCATATGTTGATATCGAGGAACTCGAATGACGCTGTAGGCGAGATAGAGGTATTTGGAATGTGAATGTTGACAAGTCACCTACTATACATGATCGTCCCCCCTGCCACAAACCACACGGTCACCGAGATGTTTAGGCTATGCGTGATCAGGAATAGTGTTCCGAGCACGATGGAGATAGCTGTGGGCTTTCCGAGGAGTACGTACACTCGCACGGCCATCATAGCTATATTTATGTTGTTAGTATGAGAGATACTCGTCACGACGTCTAAGGGATACCTTGCAAGAGGAAGGTCGCAACGAGTATACTTGCTTGGCAGACAACGAACACGCAGTAGCCTGAGTGCAGCATGGGTATATCAGAAGTAATCACATATCGAACGCCCTTGTGCTCACTCATAACTATAAGTTATCAGTTTTGGCTGTCAGAGTTTCAAGCATGCCGACGCGTACGTCTAAGCGGATTAGTACCAGTAAAGGATATATAGAGTACAGCAGGAGCTTACCAAGCTAGGAAGGGGGACACTAAGACTGAGGACTATAACGACTTAGCCCGGAATCGAGAAAATGGTGCACAAGGACGCACGTATGGACGTTCTAAGAAGATAGACTTGAGCGGGAATCAACGAGCCGTGACGGGCACTTACATAACGTATACCAATCCATTGTAACGGAGCTGTCAGTTTTGGGTGTGCTCTGTGAGTGTCTGCCACCCCTCCAACATCAACTGACACTCAACCAAGATGTATGCTAAGGTTGACCACGAGAACCTCTCTCCCTTTACAAATGGATGAGCATAGAAGATTCCCAGCGAATGCCGGGATGCTGGTCTCACCCATATAAACTCGACCTGGAAGAGGTCTACAAGCAACGGAGCATAAAGTAATGACCACGCACCTCAGCTCCAACGTTTAACACTGCAGTAGTCAGCTCGGCCGTTGATGCCGTTTCAAGGGCGAAGCTCACCATAGTCATACAGTGCTAGCGACAGCACGGCAGCTGGTATGAGAGCAATCAGCAACCTAAGGCTATCCATCATTAGAGAATCAATCACGTACCATCCACACAGTTAGTTCGAAACACGTATGTAGCCAGCGCAACGTAGACTTCCTCGAGAGTTGGTGAAGACATGCTTAGCGTCAACGGGCGGTGGAGCCAGAGGGATCAAAGCGACAAGCGCAGCGGAAGAATATTGTTTTATGTGATTTCTTAGGCGTCAAAGGGCTCGCAGATTATCGCAAGGTGGATGGCCGCCAAGATATGCAACGTGACCATGGCTTCAGGCTGGACTCGCCCGTTTCTGGGGAGATCTGCACAAGGTAAAATCTTCCGATCAGTATTGAATGCACCACCAAAGCTGTGGGTGTACGTCGATGCAGGATGCCTCAACGTTTTGGCCATCGATCATCACGGTTCTTTGTAACTCGTGCCTGCATAGTAGTGATTCTGCGCCCAGCAATGACAGGCAACGATGAGATAAGAAGGAGATTGAACATATGGACAGATGGTGTTATGGGCGCCTATCACACACGAGCAGGCGGTGTGCTGCGCCATGGTACGCCACTAACCTTTGCCAAGTCAAAGTCCTCTTCCTATCTTCCGCCAGGTGCAACCAAAACCTTCCGTGAAATGATGGGCTGGGTAAAGAGAACCTGACACTGAGGATGAACTGGAAGAAAGACGCGTACTGTTAGCTTGATCCGTGTTGAGGACACATTTGGTGGAGACCCTGGGAACGGAAGCCCCTATCTGACGTTGAAGCCATCACGACATACGCTGAACACCTTTCCTATTTTACCACCCATCCATCCTCCGCTTTGACTCTTGTACCACCCGCTCGGTGTCTTCGAGGGACAATCGCGCGTTTACGGAAGCAGAGGCGCCCAAGACATTCGCCTATTAGATCATCAGTGAAACCAAGGTGAGACAGTACAAAGCTCCGACTCATCCCACTATCAGCTCACCCCCGCAACTAACACCCCCGTCCTAGGACTATCAAACCATCCATGGACTACCTTAACAATGTCCCAGCTGAAGTGTGGGACTCTATCTCCGACCAGCTGTATGATCCAGGAGACCTCCGCAACTTCGTTAGAGTCTGCAGGGCTTTCTGGGCTAGAAGACATCGCACGCTCCTGGGGGTCATCACCTGGGACGGCTTCCCCCAGCAGTCGAATGACATCAAGTTCCTCCAGGACCACCCCACCATGAGCGCCTATCCACGTTCACTCACCGTCAACGCACGTATCTCGGGCTACCACGTCCGACAAGAAGACCATGAGCCTATTGATTGGGAAGACTGGTTCGCGCGCGTGCATCCCCCTCTCGCCGGACACAGTGACTCTATCCGTCCCAGGACCAGCGAGATGCCCGGCCCGTGCGGCTCATTCATTCATTTGTGTGTCGAATGGCGCGTTTTACATACTATGCACCCCTTCATCGCTCTGCAACGACTTACATTTCACGGGCTGCAGCTTACGGCGGCAGACCTCACCATTACACTGCACTTCCCCAATATCCGTCGGCTGGAGGCCACCACCTGTCAATTTCTCCCTAACAATGCGGATAGTTTCGACGACGGTGTCTGCTCACATTCTCTACCCTTCCTCCTTCGCCTCCCTATCACCCACCTGACTCTTCTGGATCTGGAAGGCCCCTTGACCGACGATGGCATTCTCCTCGCGGAGAATGAGCTCAACAAGGTTGCCGCGCTCGCTGCGTGTCCCACCTTACAACATTTGCGCTTCGACGTTTCTTCTCGTGTTGCCTGCGTCGTCAAGGGCAGCCACTACCCTCCCTCCCCGCTCGCGATGACCCTCAATCCACCGGCGGGACTACTCACTGTCGAGGCACTGCTGCCACGGAAGGATACGTACGAGCGGGAGACCGAGACGCGACATGAGTACCGTAACCTCGAAGTCGTCTCGAGAGACCTCTCGAGCTTCGTGTCGCAATGCACCGCGCTTGATTCGCTGACCATTCACGGGTATATGCCAGTAGGATCCTTCTGTGTTGCGCCCCCCGATTCGCTCCTGAACCTGGAGGTTCTTCGTGGCCCTGAGGCGGTTCTGCGGGCCATCAACCCTAAGAACTCTTCTCTGCGCGTGCTTGATGTGTACGAAGGGCTCTCGACGGCTCAGTCGATCGTGCGCTGGCTGGAGGAACAAGGAAATATGGCTAAGGCGGACAATAATCGTTTATGCGTTGAGGAATTTCGCGTGTACACGGATAGATGGGATGAAGAAGTTGTCGGCGTCTCCCAGGCGCACTTCGGCAAGAGCCTGAGAACGCTCGACGTACGATATCGGCTCGGTGGCCCGGACGAGGTAAGCTAACGGCGCCAAATCCATCATGTTTCCGCGTTTAATATGCTATCAACAATAGGATGCCCTTTTGAGCCTCGGGCCGCGCCTGCTCGTCGACTTCCCCGCGCTGGAGCGTGTGTACTTCTATCGTGTCCTCCTCCCCCGCCCGAAGAAGACGCCAAGGCGCTACTGGCGCACCATCCCCGTCGAACATATCGAAGAGCAGTCATCATATGCGTATGGAGAGGTGCAGGGAGGCGTCGAGGTAGATATGAGAGACGAAAGCAAGGGATGTATCCCTCTCAACACGGATGTGGATGCGGAAGGAGATGAGATGGAAGGAGTGGTGGTAAGGTTCTGGGGGAAGAATTGTCCTAGACTTCGAGAGATCGGGCTGAGGTTGGGGGTAGTGTGGAGACGCGAAGGAGAAAAAGGAGTGTGGAGGCGTGCGAGGTATCGTTTCGAGGGAAGCAAGAGGGTGTTCGATACTGAGGGGCAGGCGTGAAAGGGGGATTTATGTTTTTTTTTGGTTTGATCACTAGCGCGTCTGAAGATCTGATTGATGGTCAGCATCCATTATTGTCAGCAGTGCTCACTTGCTATTTAAAATCATACTGCACATGATGTTCGTTACACAATGAGCTGTTTGCGAATCCATGCTTCGCGGCATCTTGATGCTACCCAGGATGGTTTGGCATGATGCTCCACTCTCTGTTGAGGTGTTATTTGCTTCTCACGGATACTGGATTGGTTTAGGTCTTGATGTCTAGCTTGTTTCAGAGCGACTGCGAGGCCGCGCCTCTGTGCGTCCCCTCTTATGCCTTTCACTCAGGACCTCTCTCTCAGAAATGTCCTCTTTCTGGTTAGTAACACGGCTCTCCTCGGCATCCTGTATATCATCACGACATACTTCTTTACGTCATGTCTGTACTTCCTGCTAAGGTCACCACTAACCCGCAGAAGGCGCTTGCAACTAGCGGTGCATCTCTCAGCATGTGCCTCGGCCATGTACGTGGCATGCACGTACAGTGCACTCGCGTACTTCTACATTGTGGCCGTGGCATGGGGATCGCACAGGGACGCAGTGGGAGGGTCTCTGGCTTGGGCACAAGAAAACTTGTTAAACCAGCCTTTTGCACTTGCGACGACCATTTGTGGAACCATCAGCAGTTTAATATGCAACGGTTTAGTAGTATGTATTCATACTTCATATCTCCCTGCTTGGATGCACTCAAATACTTGCATCATTATAGCTATGGAGATTTCTAATGTTCTACTCCCAAGCTCCTCTCGCACGATTGGTCCTCCCATTTGCTTTATTAACGTATTTCAGCATGCTTGGTGCGTTTCCGGTTCAGATAAGCCGAACATAGGCTCATGCGAAGATCAGTGTCAGGAGTCGCCTTCATCATCGTTACAACCCAGCAGCGTGGTTCTTACGGTGGACTTGCCGTGGCAATTGGCATAGCCGTTTGTGCACTCACGACTGTATTTCTGCTTTACACGTCGACGCTCATCGCCATATATCTCGTCCGTCACGCACGCCGTCTTCGGAACACGTTTGGTGAGTATTGGTAAAAGTGATACTATCGGTTATCTAAGGTGTTTCCTACGCGCAGATCATAAAGCAGAACAGCCCTATCAATATATCGCAATCATCCTGTTGGAGTCATCCTCTCTCTACACAGTCTGGAGCATAATTTTCCTTGTGTTGTTCGCCACCGGAAGTAACGGTAGCTATCTCATTGGGATCAACACGATGTTGCAGATAGAGGTACGCCGAGTTGTTGAAATCAATATTTTTTCGCTTAGAGTAAATAATTAAACATTCGTCTCAGACTATCAGTCAATATCTTATCATTTTACGAGTTGCCAAGGGCGTAGCGTGTCGAAGCAAAGCCGATGAGGAAACCGTGGCCTCAAGCTCTTTGCATTTTGCCCCTTCCGATTCCGAGGTCGTGCTCATGACTCGCTGTAGCACATAGTGGATTTCGCTCTTTTAAATGCACTGACTGGATCCTATGTCTCAAAACATTGATACCCTAGGTAGCATTCGGTCAAAAAGAATCAATACACTTCATAACATGACGTCGAGATGGAGGAGAAAATTGTACGCCGCAACGCCATGAATGTGGAGTGCTCTGCTTGAGTATTGCCTCGACGCTCTATTCTATACATCGCTATCAAGCTCGTCGATCTCTGTATTTGCTACCATCGTGCATTAATAATCATATGCGTCGCAAAGAATATCGCCGTCTTTTAGCAGATGCTGGGGCACATAAATCGGAGGTCGTGATTATATACGTAGGTCGAAATGTTACTTTGGAGTACTGCACGAAACTTGATTGATCATCAACATCCAAACCTCGGGGTTTCGCTGGTTGCTGACGTGATGCACCGCTTGTTTCATAGCGAGACGTTTGAGGTCTCAGACATGTATATACGTGCTACACAATACCCAACATAACAGTCCGAACCCTTGTCGCGGGAGAAACCTGCAAAAAAAGCAATACTTCAGAGTGCCCTGAACACTCCGAATTGAGGACCAACGTGAGCGACCTCGGGCGCTTCTTATCCCGATGAGCGGCGCTTACACTTCACCGATGTTTCTGCCATGGACCACTTGCTCTTGTGCGGACCGCTTGCACACCAGGGCGCGTTGCACCGAGCACCACCGGACCGACACCGCCGACAGACATATGGAGCCAAGAAATGTCGTGCGCACTCTCGGAGATGCGGCTGATAAAGCAAGTAAATCACTGAGGGATAGAGGGTGGGTCGGACGTGAAAGAGCGCTAGCTCCACGTGTGCACGCACGAGCTGGGACAAGGAGATTGTGTACGCGTCGCGGGCGGCCTTTTGGACGCTCGCCAAGCGCGCTGGATGCTCGGGTGACCACCACGGAGTGGGTAGGCCGGGTGAGGTGAGCCCCGTTGGTTTGTGAGTGCGCAGGACCACGCTCCTTGTGAAGCGTGTGCACCTCGCGGTCAATTCGACCGAGGATGCTGAACGCTATTAAATTAGCGATTTCATTGATGTTTATCTTGCAGCACGGCAGCAGGGAGAACTATCAGCTCTCGGATACCTGCACCCGTACTGCTCAGCTTCGTGTTTTTCGGGAGTGAAGAAGCCGCCTATGCGCTATTAGTGTGTACCGAGATTTGAGTTTGATCACGGCTTGACGCCACGGCGGACGCCCTGAAGGTGGGTATACCCGATGAGGATGGAGGGCACTGCATTACCGGTGCTGGTATGGAGCATATACAGGAAGTCGCGTAGGAAGGCATAGACATGGTATGGCATCGATACTTTGGCAGACTACGAGAGATTGGGTGCAGTGATGCGGGGACACTACTAGGAAAAAACAACGCGACAAACTGCCAAAGGGAAACACAGCCACGGATCACCGCCGGCAGGCTAAGCGCCTTGGCGGCGCTTCTTCTGTGAGCAGCTGCGTTATTGTAGCATGTGCAACATATTTGATGGAGACCGGGAGGACATATGGAAGGTCGGCCATTTGTCCCCGTAGTATCAGAATGTTGGAGAGCCATCAGTTGTCTTTACAGCGGCTGGTCTGATACACGGCACAGCGAGTTCCTCGGCACTCGAACAAGGGGTGCGTTGATGCCATGTCTCTCTATCGAGCGGCGAAATTCCCTCATTGTGTGGCTCATCCTCGGATGAGAAAATAGACAGGAAGTTCCGGCTGCTCGAAGCGACGCGCAACAGGCAGCGCTCGAAGCTGGTTCTTCAATGAATTCGGACCGGTATTCTGTACTAATCACCAAGGAGATGATCCATACGGGCGTTCAGCGCAGCCACTGACCATTCCCTGATTGTTGATATGGAAAACTTCAAATCCGATTTCCTTCACAGGCGTGCTAGTGTCGAAAGGTGGCTAGGTGTTCATGCGTCGGTGCCGCTTTGGGTGTAAGCTTAGTACATTCCGGCATAGTTGCTGTAGAAGTTGCTGTGTGAGCTCGTTAGCGTATGTGGATGCCACCTAAGGTGCCCCACGTGCATCGCTTAGCAGTGCTCTGGGCCTCGTCTTGACGACATCTATTTTGCTAGTCCTCGGTCTATTTTTGCTAGCCGAGACGCGTCTGTGGCGGTATATTCCTTTTTTGGAATGAAAGTGCTAAAAAAATCCGCGAATCCCGGGAGCTGCGCGCCAGAACATTTGAGACAACTCCACAAGTCGGAATCGATATGGCGGCGGAGAATAGGGAAATGCGCAGCCGCTGTGGAGCGTTATATCTTCAATTATCACTGGCCCGTTTCACATACTTTTCTCCTTACTCCTCACTCACCCTAACACACGCACCTTTCAGGCAGCAGGCTTGCGAGCTTTGGTTTCCTCTTCCTCTTGTTCGCTTCTCGTTTTCTGACGAGCTCCACAATACCAAACTTTCGTTTGCCCCACGATGTCGCCACGGGGGTCATACGAAGCACTCCCGCTCCATGAAACAGCAGACGGCTTAGAATACCCACCCTCGATATGTTCCCCCTCACGCCGCCGACGCTCCTCCCTTCCTCGACATCCTTTTCTCTCTATTCTCCTCCCCTGGCATTGGAAACGCCCTCGTTCCTGGCGCAGCCTCACCTTCCTCGTATCCGCACTATGCGGCATCCTCGTCCTCGCCACCTACATCGTCTGGAGCGTGTGGGAACCCCGCGTGCAGCTCGACATCTCCTGGTACAGCCGCGACTGGATCCAAAACGAAATCCTGCCGCTCTCCCCGCTGGCCGGGTGCTTCGAGGAGGGCTCGCCAGCGCACGCGTCCCTCGGCGGCGCGTACGACGTCGCCGACGCGCTGTGGACGCCGCGCACGTACGAGGTGCAGGCGGGCATCTCGATGCGCCTCGGCATGGACTGCTACGAGATGGCGGGCACGATTGGCAACCGTCCGAATCGCACGGCGCGTCCGGACGACTGGGTGCATCCGGAGGAGAGAAGGCAGTTTCATACGTATTGGAGGAACGATCTGGCGGGCTTTGGCGCGCGGCAGGAGCAGATGTTTCGCTCGTTCTTTGCCACGCAGGATGTCGACCGCTCGCGCCTCGTGTTGTGGACGAATGGCCCCGAACTGGCGGGCGATCCGGCGGTGAAAAAGTATGTCGAGGCGTTCCCTGAGAGCTTTGCGGTACGTGTTGTGGATGTGCAGGCGCTTGCGAGTGGCACGGCGATGGAGGGGAGCCCGTTGCTGGATACGCACGATACGCGGGCGTGGGTGGACAGCGATTTGTTACGGTTGCTGGTGATTTGGAAGCTCGGCGGGACGTGGATCGACATGGACATGCTGCTCACGCGCGACCTCGCTCCACTCCTCGAACACGAGTTTGTCACGCAGTGGGATTGCTGGGGTGCGCACTCATCTTCCTTCCCATATATCCCTCACTAACCGCCTGTACATCATACAGACCGCTCCTTCGCAGCCATGAACGGCGCATTCATGCACTTCCGACGACACAGCGCCTACCTCTGCGAAGCCTTCCACCTCATGGCGAACTCGTCCGCGCCGCGCTCGCCCTCGATGGACTGGGGCGCGTACCTCTACCTCCGCCTGCACCGGCGCCTCCTCGCCGCCGGCGTGCCCCCGTTCAAAGTCCTCCCCTCGTGCTTCACCGACCCGCTCATGTGCAGACTCGACAACCGCGTCCCGGAGCCGTTCGCGCCCGATCGCGCGGACGGGCGCTGGCTCGGCTGGGTGTGGGGCAGCGGGAGCGGGATGGGGACGTGGGCGGGCAGGGGGCTGTGGGGCGGCGGGGCGGGGACGCGGTATGTGGATGGGGATGCTGCAGAGACTTCAACTGAGGGAGAGGACGAGACGCCGGCGGGCATGGATAAGCTCGACAGGCCGTATGCGGCCGACGGTGGGCTCGAGGAGGGTGGAGCGCTCGATAGGGCGCTGCACAAGATTTTTGCGCTGCATGTGCATAATAGGTGGGATAAACAGTTCCCGGAGAATGGGTGGATTGACCGGTTGTTGTTGCGGAGATATGATCGGGCGCTGGAGGGGAAGGCGCCGCAGGAGAGCCAGGAGCTGTAGATGTGCCGTTTATGGGGCGGTCCGATTCAGAGTAGAGGTGATATGATGGACAATATTGGCTCTTGACGATACATTTGCGTATACCCTGCATATGAGTACTTAAATTAACATACTGTACTACTATTGTTTTGCTATGATCGTTAGAGCGCTCGTATCTTGAGCTTAACCGCTCGGATACTCGAAAAGTTGGTCAGTTGAGTGTCTGATTCTCCGAGAGAACATACCGCCATGTCAATGAAGATAGGGGCTATTTATTTTGTCTCCGCACGAAGGCCATCCCGGTGCGATCGCGACCTTGGCTTGTTCCCGCTTCGCGTTCTTCCACATCCCCGACCCTTCCTCCTCCTCCGTTTCGGTTCCCCTTGGTCAGCAAACTGAAGAAGGTTTTCCGGAACACAATCATCTTTGAACCCTTCGCGCACACCCTAATGTTACATCTCTACTAACGTCTGTATCCAACCCAGAGCTAAAGCTCGATTCCTACGACAGTACAAGCGCTGTCTGATCACCTAACTCAAACCGAGCCCGCTGTGCTATGGTTGACGATATAGCACAGGAGAGGTGAGATATGACTATGATTGGATGGTTGCGTTCCGATGGCGGCCGAGAGTGGTACGAAGCAAGTGGTAAGGAAGTTCTATGTTACTTGGCTTCCTCGTGGCGTCGCTGGTACGTGTCACCAAACTGCCTTGGCTTGGGAGCTGCTGTGCTGCTTCTCTCTAACTGTGCCCGCATCCATCTCGGGTCCAATTTTCTCGGAGGATATCGAGTTCGTCCTCAAAGCCGAATCAGCGATCTGATCAGGGCTCTACGCCCTTGCCGGCTCGCTCTCGGATCCTGCGCATGGATTCACTCTAATCAATCCAGCGAAACGTGCACAGAGGTTACTATGGCGCTGACCCGCATCCTCTACTCCCCTATTCGAAGAGAACGCGTGTGTTCTGGATCTCGAGGGTACATGCGAATCGTACGACGAGTGGCTGACAATGGACGGCGACCTGCGTAGCATTAACTCGTTAGCTCAGGTTAAGAAACGTTCACGTCGAAGAAGGTCGTGATGGTGGATCAAGACGTTATATGCCCTTCCTGTCCCCTTCCCCCTCCCTCCGCGTAGCCTCCATCATCAACGTCCACGCCCACAGGGGCAAGCGCGTCAACGTCACTCAGCGCTTCTTCCAGTTGACAGGCAGCTACACGTCGTTTGCCGACACTGCCGCCTATACTTTTCCTCGGTTCCCTGTCCAGCCTTCGCACGATCCAGCGGAACCTCTCCTGTGCGTCGTTCTTGTAGGCATGAATGACGTCCGCGCGTACATCGACATGGGAGATAAGGAGTGGGCACCTGTGCGGCATCGGCTCACCGCTCTCCGTGCAGAACGCCCCTCCACTTATGTCGTTGTCTTCATGCTACCTTCTTAAGCGGCACTGAAAGGCGCACATAATGTGGGCCTTCCGCCTCTTCAACCCTCCTTTGTTTTGCCTTCGGAGCCTCTACCTCCCCTCCCCCCCTGTGCGCAGGTCTCGCCACCGTGTCTCTTGGCCTCCAACAGTGGGATTATCCATCGTTGACATATCACTGAAATACTCGCGCTCTTAACATCTAGGAGAGAAAACCACAACCCCACCAGTTCCGTCTTGCTACTTCCCAATATTGACGGCGGGAGGAGCGGGGGACTACTGAACAGGCACGTTTCTCCAACGGCGTCCAAGGTGCTGGAGGCCAAGGCCGGAATGGAGGTGAAACATGAGTAGAAAACCGGTGCTTATCGGTGTACGGAAGCACAGTCCACACCGCCGCTGGAGGATGTCGCCGACGGTGCGGCGGAGAGCCATTAGAGACTTGGTTTACTTATGATGTGTTTGGGACTCTGTAGCCGTTTTTGTTCCACCATGGGTCTTTTTTCGTGAGTTGGAAACATGAAATTGATTTCAGAATGTGATTTCAGACAATATTTGTTACCGGTAAGCAATTTCAGACCGTGTTTGCATGGTCCATATCCCACGCTCGAGATCGCACGATCTTGCTTCTAGATCATTCCGCTCTGATCGCTGGCGCTACCGTTACTTTGAAAGAAAGAGAACTCAATCAATATGTGGCACATCAGATATGTGGCGCATTCACCAGTGTTGAACACGACCGATCATACTACCACTTGATCCGAGCCAACTGCGCTTATACGCTGATGATCATGCTGTAAAACGTACAGCCGTTACTCGCAACTATGGTTACCCACGATGTAACCTCACAATGGCTCCAAAAAACTGACAGGGATCCTGAGCCCTCAACGTTTCAACCTTGGAAAAGGACTCTACAGAAGGGATGCCTGGGAACGCCGTAAAAATATATCTCGGAAGCGTGCTGGCATACCTCTTTCCTATAGCATGGACCCAGATTATATGTTTATGAGCTACACGGGAGCACACCAACGGGCGTAGTTCGCAACTATACTCGCACTGCAGGAGTCAAATACGCACAAGCAAACGTGTGTGTGAGTGATTTTTTTAAATACCACAGGCACGATTATACGTTGCAAAAAGTTTCAACATCACTCCAAGCTTTGATGCATTGAGGAGATTTTCTTACCTAAACCCGAAACAAAAACAGCAAAGCACTGCAGACAGGCAGGTCAGTATTCTACACTTATGACACTGTCAGATGGTCTATATTCCGACATCAATTGATGCTGATGAGACCCAAAATATATGGACAGCTCTACACATGCACATATCGTTGCGCCCTATCCACACTTCCGACTGAGATAAAAGGGCAAGCTGACAGGACGTCGTTCTGCCCACCATTCCTCTGTGATGTCTTTATCCTCGGTTGAACAGGAAGTTCTGTCTTTGGAAGAACAAAGCCAACAACTCTTCTACTCTCTTGGTGCGCTCTGACGATAAACAACTGCTTAATACTTGAGGCGTAACCGCTTGTTCCGTTCAGTCGCAGCAACTGTTGTAGTGGTGTACGACTATGGTATGTAATTACTGCCTGTGCTTTTCGGAGCCGATGCTAACACCATGCAATTTCTACATAGTACAAAATATTCCCTTGGAGGTATGTGGTTCTCAAAGGAAGGGGAGTACTCACACATGTGTGTAACAGGTGGAATTAATCTGGGTAAGGTCGCTCAATCAGTTAAATGCGATGTAATTTTTGAAATACTCATGCTAGCATCAAAACTTTACCTCAACAACTTGGGTCTATGCAATGGTCTGGTTTTTTTTAACACTCATCAGTACGACAGTAGCTCAACTGAAACGCTTGGCTAGCTGAGATACTTTGGCCTGGCCTTTCCGATGTAAGTTAACCATGTTTGATAGCATTCGTGCTATAGATGACATCAGAATCATAGCTTTACCCTAGGTAAGCACGTGTCTCCTCCAATACACCATAATCATGATGTTCCGGTAGTTGGAAACCTTAATATCCCACTACCAAACCAAGTGACTACGCTCATTAAGCTTTAGCTTTACTTCCACCTGAATGACATCTAACCGTTTCAATCTCGTAGACGTATGTTTTCTTCACACGTAGCTTTACTGGTCATTGCAACATTTTAAACATTCCAGGTGTGAGTATTCAGCGACTACACGGTCTAACTACTAGTTAGTAATACTCAGGTTGAAATTCCTCATCAGGTTTTGGCGTGTTTGTTCCCACCGAAATTATGGCCATCGTACTACTTTTTCTTCTACAGGGTATGGCTCATCGTGTTCTTAATTCCGCTCAGCATCTTTTTGTGACTAGGTATGATGATGGTGCGGGTGTATGCACTCCTCGGAAAGACCAAAACAATTATCTACACGCTCTTGACAACCTTTGTTGTCACACAAGGTGTCAGCGTAACATTACTCTGCATCTTAATAAGGGCTTCCTCTTTGGCTCCCGGTAATTCAGGATCAATTAGTCGTTCATCCTTTGTTGGCTGATTTTGATGTGTAGGCGATTCAGACCTTTTTGGCTTTCACATCTGCGAAGTTGATGGTGACATACCCCAGTCTGCGTGGATACTTCCCGCAAATAATGCTGTCTTGATAACATACGAAACCTTTCTCTGTGGATGTACATTGTATTACACAGCCAAACACGTCAAAACGTCTATTCGGAGAAACCCGGCACGTTCTATCCACAACATTGCATTGATAGTTGCTCGTGACAATCTGATATACTTCTTCATGTATGTTTGCTTTCTATTATGCATGTGATTAAGCTAACTTGTTTGGCTAGCACGCTTTTTGGTATGTTTTTCAGCACTCTTGATTCAGTGCCAACTACCAATGTGGTATGAAAAAAAACATTTTAACCTTGTTATTTAATTCTCACCGCACCCTCCCCAGTCAATTGTTTTTTCCTGCATAAACGGGATGCTAGAAGTCGTTGTTTTCTCTATGGTAGGACCATGGATGATCATCGCACTCCGGAAGAATTACAACACAAAGGGTCACGGGGCACCTTCAAATGTGCACGAGCTGAGCACAATTGCGTTTGAAGGACGTAACGCCCAAGTCGACAGCGAATTTTAAAATGCATATAACGTACCATTTTTTCGATGTTATTTCTTGGTTTATAGCGTAGTTATAGATGTATCCAATGTTCGGAAATGTTTTTGAATGAACTGCAGGACGGATATTCTAAATCATGCCTTTAATAGCGCACGGCACTTCGGTATTCCGCAGTGAGCATACCTCGATTACACGATATTTCGCGCATTTTAGGATTACACAGAAAGCTGCATGTACGAAAATACAGGCCTAGAGATACGCACACCAATATGTGATGGCACAACATGACACAAGATATACAGACTTCACACGCAGAAACCATCTGTCAGGATAAAGATAGGTTTACAAGCCCTTTGTAATGAGACCAGGATACCTGTTTGCGTCCGGCTTTATCGTGACTACACATTTGGCTAGTAAAATAATCAATGATACAACAATGAGCAAGGATTCTCCCAGCCTTCACCATATATACATACAGAATTCTTACTCGGGTCACTAACATCACCCCACTTTTATACTTCCACCCTAGCCCCCTGCTGAACACCAGCATCAAAAAATAGGGGGTACAAGCTGGTAAGGCACACGCCGCGCGTAAGCCTCCCACTCCTCTCCAAAATACTCCCTCAGGAAGGTGTCTTCTGCGTTCATCCGGCTCTTGATTACCACAAATATATACGCCGACGAGAGCGCCCAAGCTCCCGCCAGCACCTTTCCTCCAGCTGGCAGATGCAGCCACTCGCAACTGCGCGCCCAGGAGCCGGGGCTCGCGAGCACGGCGCTCATGCCCAAAATCGCGGTGAAGCCGGTCGTGTATCCTGGGTGGCGCACGATGCTGTATGGACCTCTGGTCACGAGTTTATGCCCGTCGCGTACGCTGAGCTGGAAAGTGAAGTGTCGGCCTAGGGTGCGGAAGCAGTGGAGTCGGAGGATGCTGGCTGCTATTGTGGCGATTGAGCCTGCGATGAAGGGCGCGGTGAGGGCTGGGGAGGGAAGGGCGACCCCATTTACTGAGAGCGTTAGGATGTGCTTTGATAGATGCGAGTTGGGGTATCGACTTGAGAGCAGAGTGGCTACTTCTGCGAGGCAGAACACCGATGCGACAATCTGTAGTGTAAGTCGAAGGTCAGAAATAAGCAACGCAGTATGGTGAGTCGACTGCACCTGCTGCGTCATCGGAAATGCTTTCGACACAAGGTGTTGATACCAGCCGACCTTGAGCACCTCCCCGCTCTGAGCGGTATGAGGCGGATTGTGCATCCTCACGAAGTAGTACCACGCTGCCAGGAGAAGAGGGACTTTGGCAAACACCATGGCGCGACGCTGGGCTGGTGGATCTCGCTGGAGAGGCAGCGTGGGGTGTTATATGCTCTTCGTTATGACCGATAGCGCGATGTAGGGCTGGGTAAGTCTCTGCCACCACCATTTCGGTAGCCCGCTGCCTTCTTGAGGTCAGCCTGACGTCCAGCTCACACGCTTTCAACCCGAGATCAGAGAAGACTGCCGCTTAGCGCCGATCGGTACGGCTCTAGAATCCAATAACTGGCGTATTTTGACAAGAGCAGCGCTGCCATAGACCGTGGCTCAGCTAGCGTTATTGGGTGGCTTTTCTCCTGTGCAATGAACGTGATGCACTGTTCAGTCGGTGGGGAGTGACATAAGAATCGAATGAGGCGAGTACAGTCCATCTTCTTGCCCTATCCATGCCTCAAATCCGGTCTGTCGTGGTTTGTAGTTAGCTACTAGCTTGCTAGTGTTAACGTTGCCGGGTCGAAGGAAGAGTACGAAAGGAAGGGACTTGGTCAATGCCGTCCAATTAATATATTGAGGCTATCGTGTCTCGGCTACTTCCGAGAATGTAATGTCCGACCCTTTCTCGATATCGGCACCTGCCTAGTGTCATGTCGAGCTATTAATATTGGCTACAATCTGCGGTAGGCTTATATCAAACCCCAATAAAAGCTGCGTCACACATCCCACGAACACCCCACTGTTGAAAATCCATGATCTGGTATCACCATGATAGACTCATGGTCCATACACTAAGCACAATGCCCGAAACATTTCTGAAAACTCTAGCCTTGGCCTCAACTGGAGGTGCTCGCCCGATAAAGGAACTGTCCTGACTCCGACTCTGCCTCACTGTCGGATGGTCCAGGCGCAAATAGAACGACGGAGCTGCGCGCTCTTGCACGCATACCGTCTCCTTTTTTGGTCTCGTGTGCCGATAGATAAGTCTCAGCAGAAACACCGAGGCCCATTCTGATGATGATGGTTGAAAATGCGATTCCCTATCACGTCTGTGAGTAATGACATCAGAATTGTTGCATATAATACTCACGATCAAAGGTACAACCTTTCCGGCCATTTTAGCGTCAGTTCCTGGCTGAATGTTAGTTCAATGTCACTCACAGCATTCATAGCAATCCAGTAACTACCGTTGACACTGAAAGGGTCGCGAGAGGTGATGTACGTTATTAGAACGCAGAGGATAGAAACTGAGTATATCGCGCCGGACTCGAGTAGAACAATCGCCACAGCGACCGGACTACTTCGAGATGGTTGGTGCACAGACTTGAAACCGCTCACTTGACGATGGAGGTAAACGGCTCGAGCGGCTATCAAAACTGAACCACACTAGTCAGAGCGGAACGTATTACTTTCAGCGAACGGCTCTTGGGAGCGTACCTGTGCAACCCATGTGCACGACAAAGCTCACGGAGAATAGAGCTACGCTTACGGGTCCGAACTCGCTAAGCCAGAGCAAAAAGAAAGCACCCAAAGCTTTTTCTTCTAATGAGAAACCGCTCGGAATATTGATGCTTCACTCGCGAATATTGACGAGGAACCCAACCAACATCGGGATGGTCACCCGTTTGTCCTTGTCCCATATCTTCCAAAGCCTGTATAGCTAGAGAATGTGATGAAGAAGTAAGCCTCCGTCACATGCGATAACGTAGTAGGAAGTACCATGAAACCGTCTCCTACCCACATTTGCATCAGAAAGGCAGCCACCTGCACAATCTGAGCGACCCCGAGATCGATGTTGCCCAATCTGATACCATTTTCCGACATGTCCACATATGATTGGTAGATATTCGCAACGATATGCTGGATAGACAATGGAAAACTCAGCATTTGCCAATAAGAGCAGCCACGGCCGTACTCACGGTGGTTGCAACGAGGAACATGAGGGTCACTACAACCAGTACAGGCTTGTTAACTGTTACGATCTTGCGCTTTGCTCGAGTGGTGATGACGTAAATGTCGAGCACCAATAGCACTGCGAGTGCACCTATGTATCGAAAACGTGCTCGGCACAGCACACATAGCAATGAAGCGTTGTGATGCGTACCGTAGAGGATCGCCTCGGGGAGAATGTTCCACAGAAAGGTCACCGGAACGTACCCATCATAGACGATTTCCGTCGAGGGGTCGAGGTTCAACGCGTCCGCACGTCGGCTCAGCATGCCCATGGGCCAAGGTGTTGGAGGTTCGTGAGAGAGGACGCGTCGAGCATTGGGACAATAGTATACCTGGGCGCCTATGTGTGCTAAGTATAATTGGGTTGAGAACGCGTGCATCTTCTGATGCTCCAACTCGGGTTCTATACAGTTGGCCGCCCAGCGAAGACGGCCTTTCGATTCTGTTGATACATACACAGCACACCTTCCGACGACTCCCACGTAGCTGGCCAGTCAGTGGGTAACCTGTTATTTTGGTAATAGTTGACCAAGATCGTAATTGTCGATCACAAAGACTGAAACAACCAGGGCTTTTGATAATGTTTACTTACCTTTGGATTTCTTAGGACGTACAACTTTGCATGAAAATCTGCAAGTTACACCCCAACAAGCGTCAAAATGCACTCGAAGTCCGTGTTGATCCAATGAAGTGCTACGTGATCTAATATACATCCAGAACTTCACAGAGACACGAAACCGAAAACCGAAAATGCCGAAGCCAAACACAATGCACTTCTATTGGTAGAGGACAAGGATAAGGCTTGCTCGTCGAAAAATCACTCTCCACAGCTTCAGATCAAGGTCTCCGCTACATAGTCAACTTGTATCCACGCTCAAACTCGCTGAAGCTGGCGAACAAACCTGAACCAGCAAGTTCGGTGGAATTCGCACGAGTTTCGCCGATTTCTGGTGCGGCGAACGCCAATGGCAAAGTGGCATTATGCGCTTTGAGGTACTTCTCGGCAGAAACGCCAAGGCTTATCCTGACGATGATTATTGAAAATGTGACACCCTTGCAAGCAAATCAGGAAAAGGAAAGCAAACTGGTGGCATGAAACTCACGATTAATGAAGGCATCTGTGACATGCACGAACGAGGACATTGAATATCAGGGAAGATAGCATTGAAAGAGAAACTCACGGCGTTCATGGCAATCTGTACAGGGTCGCAGTGACCACTGTAAGAATACCTGGCAGTAACCAAGAGGCACAATATGGCCATCGAGTACACCGCGCCGGACTCGAGTATCGCAGCTGCGACTGCAAGGAGACTAATGTGACTGTAGCTATCCGCCACATGAGTCACCTGTCGGTGAATGTAGATGATTCGTGCAGCAATCAACACTTTGTACGGACTTGTTTAGCTTCGACTCACTGAGATCGAGCACCTGACATACCTGTACAGCTGAGATGAACGGCGAAACTCGCAGCGTAAGCGGTCATGAGAACTGGGTACCACCAGCTCATACTAACTCCTTCATGGTTGACGTGATCTATAACCGTCGCGCATATCAATACTATGCCTAATGCTTCGGGATTGTGGAATGTTTAGGTGCTCGTCAACAAGTAATATGTGATAGTCCTCACCAGCATCTACGAAGAATCCGATGGAGATTGGTACAATCACACGCAGGTCGTTGTTCCAGACTTTCCACAGTCGATATAGCTTGATAAAACCGATCAGCATACAATATTTAGCGCAATCAGTGCGTCAGCAAATTCACACACCATGAAGCCATCGCCAAGCCAAAGTTGGATGGAAAATGAGGCTGTTTGAACCGCCTCCATACTCGATATCTCAAACCCGAGCTTCGACAAGACTTCAAGCGAGGAAGTACCCTTGTCTCGCACAAATTCCCAAGCTTCTTCTACAATTTGTGCGGCCTCTATGTTTCCAAAACTTATCTCGCAAAGTGTAGAAACGATGTGCTAGACCACATGAGTTTATAACTGCATATACTTTTGCAAGCGAAGATTGAAACGGACCACTGTCGCAACAATATACATCAGAGAAACAGCTATGAGGACCGGCCGATTGCCCTTCACGTCATTTTGTTCACGCCGAGTAGCGATGACGTAGGCGTCTAGCACAATAAAGATGCTGAACGTGCCTGTGAATGACGAAGGCCAACACACAGGGGACGACGCGATGAACCGTGTCTTACCATACAATATGGACTCGGGAACTACGTGCCACATTGAACATACCATAGAGTCTAGGAGGGAGTCCATACCGTGCTGACGATGTGTGTTGAGAACCATTCGTCGCAGGTCTTATAGGTCTTGTCGATATGTCGGCTATGACATCGCGCCTCTCACATCGAAAGGCCGATGTTGGAGCTGGGCGGATCAACATGCGTCGGGAAGAAACCTAATCCGAGCTGTATCATTCAGCGACTTTGTTCCCTATCTAGGGTGAACAGAGGTTGGGAACGCGACGGGCGCGTAGTAGAGGAGCACAAAAACAAGGGTATAGCATCGCATGAGAAACGCGAGACAAGAGTGCATCGCGTTGCGCTGAGCATAGGTTTAAGGATTCGGAGTCGCCTGCCGGCAACATCCGACGAACACGAGGCTATACCTTCCATACTTGGGGTGCGAAGTATTTTAGGCGCGCGTCTATAGAGTTCTCCGCGCGTGCTATACATCCAATGCGTTCTCGAGAGCGTATTCCCATAAAGATCCACCAATGTGCACGTTAATTCCAGCGATTCGCAAAGGAGCGGCATAAACGTGATACGAAGAAGGCATGGAAGCATAGCTGTGCTGTTGCACAAATTGTACGATTCGAATATCGGGGAACACTACTTACTAAACTTTCTCGTTTGACTAGGAAATCATTATGTCTCGAAGGGCACTTCATGCTTAGTACACGAACTCCTCCCCGACCAGCTTCTCGCTGAGCTTCCATAGCTTATCCGCCTCCACTTTGTCAAGAGCCCACGGCCTGATAGTGTCGACATAGGGATTAGCTATCCGGTTGTCTAGTAAGTATCGTCCATTATTTTCTGGAGGCCGGGTAAGTAGAGGGCTATAAGAGGCAAAATGCGGGACAGACGCGACTTACCTCTCAAATTAGGTTCAAAAGCGCCGTACACATGAGTCGCGACGCCCTGCGCAAGGTCCTTGAGCTTAACGCTGCCGCTCCAACCTTCAGGGTTTCCCATGGTTTTGTCAAGGGTGTCTTGAGGTTTATGTTAGCACAAGAAGCTTAAATAATGTCTTGGAGCCTACCGAATACCGATATGGTCTCGGAAAGATCCAGATGGTTTAACAGCTAAGTGAGGGTTCCACCAAGGTGCAAAGATACAGCTGTCAAACCGCGTTCTCCCAACCGCTCTGCCAAAGCTACGGCCAAGAGAACGTTCGCAGTCTTGGATTGTCCATAAGCTGTCCACCTGTTGTAGAGTTTGCCGTCCTGCAAAGTTCACAGTTGTAGAACTTACCGCAAAGCCGACGTCCGCAAACTGTATCCATGAGAACCTATGCCCACTGCTCGAGACCACCACAACCCTCGGCCCCTGTGAGTTGAGAATCTTGCCCATGATGAGGTTGGTGAACAGGAACGGCCCGAGGTGGTTTGTCGCAAACTGGCGCTCGAACCCGTCCTTTGTCTTTGCATAGTCGCACGCCATGATGCCCGCGTTGTTCACGAGCACATCGACGTTCGGGACGTCTTCCCATCCGTTGACCTCCGCTGCGGCCGCGCGTGTTGCAGAAAGTGACTCGAGGTTGAGATGTAGCGTGCGCGTTTGTACGCCGGCAGAGCTCTTCGCAATTGCGTCCGCGGTGGCCTGGCCTTTAAAAATATTGCGTCCAGCGAGGATGATGAGCTTAGGATGCGCTTTCGCGATATGCTCGGCGAAGGCAGCACCGAGGGTCCCTGGACTGACGCCCGTGACGAGGACGACCTTGCCAGCGATGGAGCTGCTGAGGTCTGACAATCTCGACGGCAGACGTCTCAGCGGTGTAGGGCCTGGGCATGACTAGATCAATGTGGAGAAGAGTGCTGAGACACTGGCCGCACAACGTCTGACTTATAAAGCCGAAGACAGCCGCAGAGCGTGAGATGCTTACACCAGGGCTTTTCAATCAGCTGGAATGACATGCCGCCTGTTTACCGTAGAGCGATGCCAGTGACTTGGGAATATTATATCCTTCGAATGAATGACATTCACACCTGGGTTGAAGGCATTTGTCATTATCGATAAGATACAAACGGCCCTCAGGCATATTACCTTCTTCTGGGGATAATTGCCAAGCAAACGAAGCCAGCTTCGTGAGGTCTTTTTCGACGTTCTCCGGGGTTCAAGGAAGCCAAGAGAAGAGACTGTGAATAATCTGGCGACAGGGGCTGGTTAAGAGGCGGACCTTACTCTCCGCCGATCAAACTCGGGATAAGGTGGCATTGGTAACGTGGGCTCTTGCTGAGAAATATATAGCATCTCCGGTAACGGGTATGACCTTACAAGACCCAGAAAATTGGAAATTCACTATCTGTCGGTATGTTCCATGAGCACGACCTCGGAATCAGAGGGAGCAAAATATAAAGAGCTGGTGGTGGTGCCCTCGACGTCCTGGTTGATTTTCCACGCTACTCCCTTGGCGACTCTCAGAATGATGAGATACTGGCTGATAGTCTGTCTGGGGATCCGTATGAAAGCGACACATCCTATTGTACGGGACGCACCTCTATTTGTAACATCGTATTGATGCCAATGAGATAACTGCCTTCGCTTCGGGTTGTGAACAGTACGAGAAAGATTACGATCCAGAAGGTATAGAGAGAGGACGACTCAAAAAGGATGGCTGCAATATTACGATAGGGATGCACTGCATCCTGACCTACGTAGTTGTTATATTTGAAGCCATCAACGGTATGGGGTTTTGGCAAGGCTTACCGAGTGTGTTCTGAACACGCCGCGCGTGACAGACAAGATAGATAATGATCAGTGTCGATGTATAGAGCATGAATAAGGCTGTGAGCGCGCCAACTACCGTGCCAAGCACGACGGCGAGTCCACTGTAAGGAGTGCGTTGTTCTACTGTGACAATGACGAAGGCGAGAACCGACACTGATTTTCTTATGAGCCTGTATTAGTGTATTCAAGACGGCAACGCACCAAGCAAGCTGAAATAAACAAGATAAGCGAATGGGATGACCAGTCGTGCGAAGGGAGCTCGAGAGTAGAACATGTAAAATCTCCATAACTATTATGATACGAGGAACTGAGCGTATGTTGGATATGAGGGAAGGGGTAAAACGTACTACTATGCCACTTGACACCAAACTGCTAAAGGTCCCACCAACGATCGTCGCAAGCACGAAAGGTTGCATCAACAAATTCTCTTCTGCCCAGGCTAGGGGACTACCCGTTGCGTCCCTGTGCATCCCATATGCCACGGCGGCGATATAGAAGTACACGACTGCACCGTACGTGCACACCACATACATCGCCGAGGCACATGCTGAGAGGAGTAACGCTGCTCGCAAGCGTGGTCTGCGGGTTTGTGGTGCTCTTAGCAGAAAGTACAGACAGGATGCGAAGAGATACGTCGTGACGATGTGCAGTGTCCCGAGAAGGGCAGTGTTGCTAACCAGGAAAAGGACATCTCTGAGGGGAAGTGGCCGAATGGGAGGCATAGAGAGGGCCTAGGGCAAGATGGCCACGCAGTCGCCATATAATGAGTCAGACGCCGAATCCTCGATCAGCCCATCCCTGAAATCAGTGAAGATTCTGTATAGACGAATGAGGTAGAATTCAAAAGCATCACGGGCAGCGTCAAGACGCCGCTCATACAGGCTGATGCGAAGCGGTGGAGAAAGTTCTCTTCGAGGACGAGGGACTGTATTCCCATGTATATGCTAGCTTTTCCGTGTACATACACCGAGTGATGAGGGCAAGAGAAGGGTGTGGGCAAACATTATCTAGATTGTTGAGTAGGAAAGACAGATTGTACGTTGTATACAGCATAGAAGCTCACAGCGAGCAGAGTATGAGCCTAGCCTACCGAAGTAGACAGGTGGTTCCAACGACTTTCTTCTCCCACTGCTCCGTTACCCCACGCAGTGTAGCGTATCCCTGCATGTGGGTGCAGCTCTGCGCTGCGTCAATGGTGTAGTGAAAAAAGAGACGTGGTGCGCTTACGCGTATTCGTTACCACGGCCGGACTCCGATCCGATACTCGATTATGGCAGGTAACGTGATGCGTGTGACTAGTCTGTCACAGCGCCATCGGAACCTGACTCGGTGAACGCCAGGACGCCAACAGCGCACCGACGAAACAAACAACGCTTCGCCCCCTCAAGACTATCATCAAAATGGGCTCGACAAGGTGAGAATCGACGTGCAAGACCTTTCTCGAGCGTCTGGGGTAGCGAGCATGGCTTGGCGGATCGCGATGAGGCTGGATGGACTTGGCTTGGGGTGGATGTAATAGGGATCGGTTGGATGGAACCTCATCGCACATATCCCACAACCTCTCGTCCCCGCATTCGCTCTTCTCTCCAACTCATTGTTCCAATTTCCACGATTCCAAACTGACTCCGGTTCGCAGACTCTACACCAAAGGCCGCATCCTTGGCCACAAGCGTGCCAAGCGCAACACCCGCCCCAACACCTCCCTTCTTCAGCTTGAGGGTGTCGCCAACAAGGAGGACGCTCAGTTCTACCTCGGCAAGGTTCGGCTTTGCTTACGAATACGGAGGCGGTCCTCCATGCTGATCTGAACGCAAATACAGCGCGTCGCATATGTGTACAAGGCGAAGCGGGCAGTAGAGGGCTCAAAAATCCGGGTGATCTGGGGGTACGTTATTTCCTGTGCACACAGATGAACTGTGCTTACCTTGCTCTGTCCTCCCCGCCATTCCCGAACGCTCGTTTCTCTTCATGAATTATCGCCACTCGTGTACCTCATTACCCTTTACCCATCTTCCTCGATCCACCATTCGCTCTCCATAGTCGTGTTACCCGCCCACACGGCAACTCCGGCGTCGTCAAGTCCAAGTTCAGGTCGAACCTCCCACCCCGTGCATTCGGCGCACCAGTCCGCGTTGTTCGTACTTTCCCGGTATACCACGATTCCCCGCGTCTAACATAGCGCCCACAGATGCTGTACCCTTCGACGATCTAGAGTCCTTTGCCGGATAGCTATCTCTGGGTCACCTTTTTCTCTCCTCACGTACCGTGTATAACACGACCACGTTTCCCTACTGCACCACAGCGTATGCCACTCTACTCCCAAGCTACTACAGTTGTATGCGCATGCACAATCGAGATTTTTGCAACGGCAAGTTCATGGAGTGATCTATGGGCTGAAAACCCAACCCATCGTCTCAAGCACTAGCGGGCGTCATCGGTCACAGGGTTCAGGTCAGGCGCCGTCACTGCGAGACAAAAAGGACGGCTGCCAAGCATGGCAACTTTGAGTATTTGTATTCCACATCCATCCAATAGGCGCTCGCTCAAGTCCGGGGATAGCGGAATGTTGACAATGTCAGGACAAGCGGCACAAAATGGCCGTACTTTGGTATTTTCTCTGCTCGAGCCTACAAGATTCCAAGGTGACACTCCAAGAAGTTGACGAGATCCGTTCATCCATGGCGTCGCATCATTTCCTTGTGCGCTTCTTTTTTAGAGACTAACAGACGTCGACAATGGCAGGAATGCCGTAACACCTTGGATTTCAGATGTCTCAAGCACCAATCCAGGCAATCGGTCGATGGTAAGCTGCTAGCAATCGGCTCTGTGCGCGTAGTCATATCTGAGCGTCGCCCATGAAAAAGCACAGGTGTTTCGTATGGAGGAATGGAACGCTCGGCTGCTTGATAGCGGTGCTTGCCGGTGGTCGAGACCTACATATTCATAGGCCTTCATTCAGTCGCAGCCGACGCTAGAAGCTACCCTGAAGTTCTATAGGTACGCGATCGTTGCAAGCGGGTCTCCAACGGCGCTCTGTGGAGCGGTATAAATCATTTAGTGAACTTACCGCTGCCGCCGTCATCCTTTTTTCGCTCCCTCCAACCTCCTCTCTTCGTTGTCCCTTCCCCGCCTTCGCCCGCCTTCCTTGAAGGGCTTTGTGCATACACCTTACGCTCACTTACTCAATCGCGAACCTCATCAAGTGTCGATATGCGCACCACCTACGTCACCACTGTGTTCGCCCTCTTCTTTGCCGCACTGTTCGGCGTGGTGTCTGCGGCCCACACGGGACCGCGAGGTGCGGGACACAAGGATGTGATCAGACGTAGCAGGCAGACGGAGGTGGCGAAGCGCGACTCGATGCGTTTCACGTACTACGTCGTCGGGCTCGGCGCGTGCGGGGGCTTTAGCAACCCTGGGCAGTTTGTGCGTTCTCCTTCCTTCATCTTGAGACTGTAAGCTGATGACGCGTCGCCTTCGCGTACCGTATCATGTAGGTCGTCGCGCTCAATGCACCTGAGTTCGACCAGGGAAAGAGCAGCGGGAATGATCCCTGTTGGAAGATGGTCACCATCTGGTACGGCGGCAAGTCGACCCAGGCGCAGGTTGTCGACCGTGTAAGCGCCTTCTCTTCTTTACCTTGCTGGTTTTTTGCTCACGCTTTTTGCTCTGTGTATAGTGCGCTGGATGCCCGGAGGGCGGGCTCGATTTCTCCATTGGCCTCTTCTCGTTCTTCTCGACCCTCGGTGCGGGCGTCCTGTACGGCAATTGGTACTACTCATAAACAACTCGCCCCAAACGCGAAACCGTTTCACTCGGAGAACGTGGATGGCAAGAAGAGATCGTAGATACCCCTTGACTCTTAATCCTTATTTCCCTTGGACATACGGACCCTCGCTTACACTCCTTTTCGTTTCTTGCTACCTTGGACTTTGAACCAGACATTATTCGGGTATCCTAAAGTTAGTATCTGCAGGCGACGTTCGCCCTGCGCACTTACATACGTTAATTCTGTTTGATACTCGATAGTACTCTGAAGTGAAGTTTGATTATTGTGATGTCGTAGTTTTCTTGATATCGATGTTATGTTCTCCATACTCGTTTGTAATGCTGGGCTTGTGGTAACCGATATCATACCAATAGGTTATGCTCTCCGTCGATGTCACTCGTTCTTGACTGATCTGCGCCTGACAGATCTTGGGATTCCAGTTGTTGGCGCAACAATAAACACTGTAAGTCCGCTGAACTCCAACTTGGCGCGAACGCACTCCAGTGTGAGATCTCGGAACATTGTCCGCAGTACCTTCTGATCGAAATTCAAGATTCACGGTAAAGCCGTGCAGATCGTGGCGCACCTCCAATGCGGTTCCCTAACGCCGTAGGTTCCTGTTCTTTTCCATGTTCATCGAGCTTCGCCCGAAAACACCTTCGCCAGTGTAACTTGCCTATCACCCTCGGAATAGCGGCACGAAATCAGCGTCACACGCGTGCAGAAACCCAACGCGTGTCCGGGTGAGGCTTGACGCGTGGCCTGCTTTGAATGCGTTTGGCATAGACTGTAACGTCACACTGGGCACGCGTCTTGTCGCGTTCACACTTGCCATCACAACCGACCGGCACGGTGTTCCGAATCTTCGCAGATGGCAGTGGCGTTCCTGGCGGTAGAGGTCCAATCCACCTCTGTCCCCTCACGAAAAGTGCTCGGAAAAAGACATGTTAACTCGAAACGCGTGTTGTATGTACAAGGTGGCTCTACTGTAAAGCGAGACTAAATACAATTCATATTAGGGCGTAAGGAAGTGGCCATGGGTGTGTCGCCTACGCCCGGACATTCGCCCCGATGGTGGCGAAGATATTTCGACAGATCTCAACTTCACATATGTACATCCTCCTTGCGTTCCCTGATACTCCAAGCCTCGCTGTTGATGGACGTAAAACCCTAAAACGCGACGGCCTGCAAGTTTCTTGCGTTGTGCGTTGTCAGGAAACAATTTCCATCCGAAAAAACGGGAACGGTGAACACTCACCGTGCGTCACCGGCTGGCATGATGTGCAGCCATGAGCGAACGGGTATGTAGATCGGCGGACGGGTAAGCGAGAGGGGGAGTGCTGAAGGAGACAGCTGAGACATAATGAATGAAATAATCAATAATCAGAGGCGCAAGCGACGTTAGCCCAATCGGTCCCTGTGCAGGGCTACACCTGTCCTACGGCGTTCATAGACGAATATGAGCACCGCTAGCCCCCTATGAGCGTCCTGACGGCTCCGTTCTAGTTCACAACGGCAGAGATTCATGCGGGGAGACGTAAGGTCGGTTCCAGAGATGGCGAAGGCTGTTGACATATGTACACTGTCCAATCCGATTCAGCTTGACGAGGAGTCGGTGGCTCTAGAGAGGCTCTCGCGCTTCACGTCGCTCGCCCACTTGAAGTAGTTGCAGCGGTATTCGTGGTTGACTTCTTCGCGGAGGCGCTCGCTGCGCCCTCTATCGTACCCCGGTCCAACCGGCCTGCGGCGGCACAGCCACGTCAGCACATCTATTTGTAGACGTTCGCTCGTCACGAGCGTAAAGAGAAGAATACGAACCGAGAGCACAGGTAGAACGTCTTGCCCTTGTTCGGGCCTTGCTTGTTTACCGTGTAGAGCTTCGTGGGCTCGTCATGCACTGTGCAGTTTGGAGCAGCAACAGGCGCCATTAGGTTCGACCATGCCTTGGATGATTCCTTCGTGCTGGTTGCGGCTGGCGGTACAGGTTCGGCTTCTAGCTCTTGCGAGAGCTTCAGCGCGAGCTGGTAGTCTGCGTCAAGATCGGGGTCGGCCGCAGAGATCGGGAGAGTGACAGGACCGCGATCGGGATTGCGATCAGTGTCCTGAGATCGGGAGGCGATTGACGTGGTATTAGGTGGACTGAATGATGGTGCCAGCGGCTGGGCGAAGAACGAGGCGATCGAGGATTGGCCTGGTTTAGGCTTCTTAGCGGGCTTCGACGCTGCTGATTGGGCACGAGGGAGCTTGCGTTTCTGGCCTGCGGTCGACGAGGAGGACTGAGAGGAAGGATTGTTTGGCGTGCTTGAGGGCTGAGGCGTCGGTGAAGGAGAGGGTTTCAATGACCCGACATCTACGTCTATTGATTCAGGGATGGAGGACGGATGCTCGATGGTATCGGTAGCGGACTGGGACGCTGTACGCGTTCCAGATGACTGACGCGTCTTAGTCGCCGGCGGAACCTCCTTAGCTGCGGGCTGCGAGGAGTCCGCCTGGGGCGTGGCTGGTGCTTTGCCCTTCTTGCCAAAGAAAGTTGAAAGAAGCTGCTGTTTGCCTGAGAACTCATCCCATCTCTTGGCGGCGATCCGAGGAGGGACCCGCTGGGCATTGCCATCAACAGGCATGACGTCTTTGAGATAGATGATCTTTCCCGACTCGGTCGTTATCTCGTCGCGAAGGTCGACGTAGATAGGACAGTGATCAGAGCCTTTAACGGAAGCTTGTATGTCGCCGTGCCTAATCCAGGGCATAAGGCCGGGCGTGACGAGAACATAATCGATGCGTGTTCCATAGTTGGTATCCCGCGCAGAAATCTTAGTGTTCCAGCCTATTGAAGCAAGAGACATCGTATCGTCTATTAGCGGATATGGGCGTCAAAAGGGTATAAGAGACGATAACGCACACGTGTACATTCCTTTCCGCTCAGGCCAGAACTGACGGAGAACGTCGATCATCTCGCCCTGGGGATGACGCCAGTTCTGAAACCACGCACGAGCGGGGTGGTCGTAGAATGTCTCGACGTTGCTTGGGAGGTGACCGTCGCAATGGTCAATGGGAGCCGCACAGACGTTGATGTCACCTACGACCATGACCTGGCGCCCTTCGGCGACGAGTTTTCGGACGCGCTCCTGGAGCATGAAGTGGTAGTTCATCTTGTATGGAAGACGCGTATCTGAGGTCTCGTTTGGACAGTAGACGTTGATGAGCACGAAGAGACCAAGGTCGATTACAAGGCCACGACCTTCCTCATCCAACACGGAGAGGTCTGATGGGGCATCGCTTTCGCCCTCTACACTGGACATGAGATCCATCTCGTGGGCATAGGGGTATGAGCGCGAAATGCGCTCCTCAGTCTGAAATGGCGGCTTAGGCTGGAGAGTTCCTGAGAGGCCCTCTTCGGCTTTGAGTGCGGTAACAGTACGTGTGTCAGTGTAGACTGCGACACCACTGTAGCCCCCTTTGCTTGCTGGAAAGGAGAAGAATGAGTCAAAGTGGTCTGGCACGGCGACATCCTTGACGAGAGCTGTCCGCGAAGTTTTCATTTCTGTCATCTATTAATTGAGCACTGATGCAAGGCACCGATATAGATGGTAAGATTAGATAGCACCTTGGAAGCATATGATGTCGGCCTTGAGGTGTTCTAGGATGCCTTGAAACAACTTGAACGAGTTCCATCTGCAAGTGTGTGAGTTGTCGCGTCGCACGCGTAGGTTGTGCGGTTGACGTACGGGTGGTACTGAGGCAAGGTTCTGACTCCATTCTAACGCGTCAAACTGGTCAGTAGTTCGTTTGTTCACAGATATGAGATTCATACGATGTTCCAAGATAGTATTCGCATTCTCTAATGGCCATTCCCTGGGCTAGACACGGTAGTGAGGAGAGGGCGCGACTCGGAAGAAATGTTTGCCTCTGTTTGGCCGACGCGTTGATGCAAGAGCGGGGGAGTTGTTAGGTTAGGGTTTACGCTTTCTTGTTCCCGTGTTACTCTTTCCGCTTTGCCGTGCCGTTCGTATCGTCAAACGCCTCGTTGCAGCGATAGCGACCATGCATTCATTTCAGTTGCCACCAGTTCAGGGAAAGACGTAAGCTCATCCATCGTGCTCAAGCGTGGTGATGCCGTGAACAGCTGTGGATACCTATCGGATACTTGCGACGGGTATCATCCTGCGCGTTCGAAATTGCATCAGTCGCCCCAAACCTTGGCATGATCTCCGTCCTACACGAAGAGGAGTTCAATTTGAATGCCCATATGCGACGCATTCATCTATTCGACGTTCCAGAGCATGATCTGATTCTCGCTCGCTGTTTTCGCTATTTCGTTAATCCATCTGCTCCTGCTCCTCAGGTTAGTGTTACGTTACACCATCACCAAAGAACCAATACTCGTGGCAGTCTGCGTTTGAACATCTCACTCAACTCTCTCGCGCACTATCAGGGCCTAGGCTTCTTCGGGTACCCTTACCTTAATGCGGCTTGTCCGTTCGGGAATCTCTGGACCCCCTCGAGGCGCCCTCGGGTGCTCGGATGTGAACTTCTAAGGTGAACAAACGAAACTCAAAGAAGCCTCCAGTGACGAATGCATACAAGTGGCACCATGATGCTGCGTGGCTTTTTCGCGTTACCCGCCGGCCCTGACATGCGAAGTGCCCAGAACGGTCCGAATCGCGCTGGATATTTGACGATCGAGGCGAGCGCCGCTCTGTCGAATTCTGCTGCTCTTTTCCTCTTTCGCCTTGTACACTATATCTCACTTCTGGCCATAGGCCACATAATCACTAGTCAATCTGAGTCGTCTATCGATACAACCTCTCCAACGTGCTCGGTCCAACCGCGGCGGCATGTTTCATGGTATGTACCTAGTCTACACCTCCGCGGTCAACATTTATCCTGACTTCTCACATATAGGTTCGGCGATCGCGGCGAAAGTGTTTCACGAAACCCCTGTACCATTAGCGTCCAGTAACTATGCACGTCATGGACAAACGACAAGAAAGCAAACTCTACTCAATCTTCTCGAGGCTTTGAATGAGCTGAACCAGGACAACATTGATGAACCACCTGCGGTTGCAGCAGGTGCGCATCTCCAAACCACGTACTCCGTGACTTTACTTATGTCTTCTTAGACACCGGGTATCCCTTGCAAGGCGACGAAGAACGAGAGTCCCGTAAGTAAACTTTCGTTGACACTGGCAGGCTGGAAGTGTTTATCCATGATCTCAAGCGAACGTCGATGAACGTGTTCAAATCGCTGGTGCCGAAGCTTTTGCACGATTTGAAAGGTAAGCATTATCGTCCTTTGATATATTGCGGAACCTGACTTTCTCGTACTACAGACGCATGGACAGTCTTGACAAGGAGGTAAGCATAGCTTGTGATTCTCCGAGTTGCACACAATAATGAGCGGACCGTGGCAGCTCCGGAATTTCGCAAACGCGGCGCGACAGCTGGGCAGCTCATCCGGCATCCTCTCCTCGGCATTCAAGCTTCGCGAGCGGCTCACCAAAGTTCTGTTCCTGTTCCGTGAGAACGCCGCCAATCTGTTCCCGCGCAAAGTCCAACGGCAGTCCAAGGAGTCCCTTGTCAACCCGAATCTCATGGATCGACGCAGGCGCGCGGCTGCCAAAACGAAAAACTTTCCGCAACCGCCGTCGGCGGGGCTCGTGTTGAACGAGAGCCTCGATGTCGAGACATTCCCCGACCAAATGGAAAGCTTCGCACGCGAGGTTGTCGTTTTCCTTAACTGCCTGAACGAGTTCCCGGAGTTCACGGACGAAGCCGTGAATGGCTCTATTCGGTCCTTCGAGGTAGACCTGAAGGTACGCGCGCTGCAGCTAATCTAGCAATATATCTCAATGAATACCTGATCCTGCGCGGTCTGGTTCTTTTCATAGTACTGGGCATCGTGTCTGTACGAATACAAAAGTGGGTCGCATGCCGTAGGCGCACTGCCTCCATCCAATTTCATTAAACAGAACACTAACTTTAACTTTTCCTGCTGCAGCTCAATTTCGCTTTCCAGCGGTTCAACGCTACATCCACGATCTCACGTCCGAGATAGGAGATCACATCGATAATATCACGGTCGCGCTGTCGATGTTTATTGAGATCGGTAAGTCGGGACTTCTTTGATCATCTCGGCCGTTAGCATAATGACTTACGGCATCTTCAGGTGTCCCCACCATCCGCTTTGCTCAGCAGCACACGGCCTCCAATCTCTTCAACCTGTCCACTATCGCCACCTTCTTTTCAGCCGTCACTGCCACGACGCTGCAGTTTTCGTACGGTCAAACAGGGACTTTCATCTTCGACCTTGTCAATGCCTTGTGGTTTACATCGCTCGTATTCAGTATTGCGGCGTCCGTCAACAGTCTATTAGGTCTTACCTGGCAGCAAGCGATATAGTACGTACCATCACCCATGAGTCCCCGGACGGGTTTTCATTGACCATTTAGCCGTTCACCCGGCCACCGTGTGCCGTGGTGGGTTTTGATATGGATCAAACGGTCCCCTCTCGTCTTCCTCGTGATTTCCGTCAGCTGTTTCTCAGCAGGACTCATGCTTTTCGCATACTCGACGGGTCAGGTATGTCTAGCTGTGCTTTGTGACGCTTCAAAGGTTTAACAGGATCCCTTCAGGGGTATGTAACCTGTACGATCACCACGACCTGTACGGTAAGTCTTCTTCATGTATGTCCTCTCGCTTCGCTAGTCTAAGGTCGGGCGGCAGGTAGTCACCTCGTTTGGCCTACTTGCTGTGTCCGCATGGTTCGCTTCAGAGCGCTGGATATTCCTCAAGCACAGAGGCCAGGTCTGGCTTCAGGATGTCCTCGTTGAGCGCATCACCGTGTTCATGCAAAACCCGACCGTACTTGCGACTAAGCGCGCTGCTGCCTCGTGCCGCGAGAAGATGTCCGAAGTCCCGACGTCCCTCCGGCGTGCTTCAACTATCGGTAGCTACGTGTTCAGCAAACGCGAGGAGGGCCCCGAGCTCCCCATATCCCGTCCCCCTGATGGCAACGGCGACGGGGCTAGGGCAAGCATGACTATGAGTCCACCCGGTCGGGCACCCACGTTCTCTTCCATCGTCAGCGCCATCGCGCCGTCTACTACTCTTGGTAGGTCGGACCGCGAGGACGGGGACGATGGGCGGAGCGAGACTGCCTCGACAACAAACTTTGACGCCCGGGAGCGGTTCATCAATGCGATTCGCACGGTCATAATGGAAAGCAAGCGACCCAAGTTGCCCCGTCGGATGTCCTCAGCGGCGGAGATCATCGCTGGCATGTCTCCCAGCCGCTTCGCGGAACCGGCCGTCGCTGCGCTGAGGAGTTCAAGGTTGGCTGCACTCGCACCGAAGTTAAGGGCGCTGGAGATTACGCAGGAGCTAGCGCCCCATGGCGCTTTAGTCAGACATATGCAGTTTTCACCGAACGGGAAATTCTTGGCTACATCGAGGTATGTCTTCGTACTTTACTCTCATTGGCCACACATTCATCTTATCGTAACTTACTTATATAGCTGGGACAAAACGTCGGTGTTATTCCGCGTCGGGGTAAGTACATCTTGGATCGACATCTTCTTTGTCCCGTTTTAGCTTCTGATTAACATTTAGGCACAACAAGAACCATTCACGATCCATCGTCTTCTGGTGCACGCTCGTGGGTTCATCGGCCAGGTGAAATGGTGCGTTTATACTCTTAACCCCGTTAACGACAGCGAAGCTCACAAAACTTCCTTGACGTCACTCTCTGGACTGGTCAGGTGTCCCTCAGGGCATATGCTGTTGACACGCTTCAATCGGGGAATCAAAGTCTGGTCGGATGTAAGCTCCGTTGCTTCTATCAACCCAATGGTGATACTGACGGACCCGGTGCCCAGGATGGCGTGTGTCGAAGGACCATTGAGCGCTCACGAGGGATACAGTCCATTGCGTGGGTGCCTGGGGCAGAACGTACGCGTAATACGTCATCGTCGCGCCCGTTCACTCTGCTGACGCGTCACCTGACCGTATAGACTTCCTATCAGTTGAGGGAAACGAGGTTTTCAGATTCGTGAGTCTGATGTCTACCGGCCTCGTGGTCACGCGCTTCGTTTCTGACCATGCGATCTCTTCTTCAGGATGTCGCAGGCCAAGTAAGCGCCCGGAAGGACCACAGTCTTTGTACAGAGATACTGATCCTGATGTCCAGATGCTTGACAACTACTTATTCGGGCGCATGCGATTGCACAACGTCGCTGTCACGAATGACGGCCAACGCATCTTGGGCGTGGGCGCCTTGATCTCTTCGCCCTCGGGACTTCATCCGAGCAGGTCAAGCCGGGTCGAGAAACGTGTCATTGGTGCGTGCTCTAGCACCATTGTCAGATTATGGTGTTGAAGATTTGTTTAGTGTACAACATGGAGTCTAAACATCTGGAAAGGTACTTTCTCCTAGTTTTGTGACAAATGTGTTGCTAACGTGTACCCAGTCAAATACCAGTTTACAGCGATGTCAAGGACATAACAATTTCCCGGAAGGCCAATCTCGCCTTGATCTCATACGAAAACAAGGTGAGCGTTTTCAAAGTTAACGGCCGTGCCACCTCATGACCTCGCCCCCAGACGCCTCCTCAACTATGGAAGCTCGAGCTCGTCAAGGACCGCGACCACGTTTCAACCGTCATGCGGCTCTCCTTGCGGCATACCTACATGCCGAAGTCAAACGTGGACTTCTCAGGGCCCAGCTATTTCGGTGGTAAAGAAGACCAGCTGGTGCTATGCGCTGGAAAAGGTGCGTAACTAGGCCTTCTATCCACCCTACTCTCGGGTTGAAAGCTGACCCCTTGATGATCGCAGCTGGCGACCTGCACATCTGGGACCGCGACTCCGCGGTGCTGCTGCACTACATCAGGCCGCAGGCGCTCGGCGATGTCACGTGTATAGCATGGAATCAAGCGACGGACGAACAGTTCATGTTCGCGACAGGGAGCCACGATGGGACGGTGAGGGTATGGACAAATCCGTCGGTCTTGGAGAGTAAGAACCATTCGACAAGCTCGACGGATGCGACCGCGAGCAGTCACCATCCGCATCCGCACGTAAACACGCACCAGCAACAACAACAGTACGCCAACGGCACTCCTCGCCCCAGTCATCTTCTGCGAGCGGCCGGTCGGCTGGCGACCATGGAGGAACCGCCAGACTCGCCGACGCCGACGAGTCCCACCATGCCGGATATGTTCGTGAGGGTGTGGCCCGCACCCGAAGACATCACTATCCGCAAAGAGAACACTAGCAAGGACAGGAGAAACGGCAAAGATAAGACACGGGAAAGGTCAAGAGATAGTAGGGAAAGGCAAAGGGACGCGAACCGGAGCCTCGCCAACAACCACAGCCAGTCCAGCCTGGTTACGCCGACTGCGGACGACGGACTACACACCCCTGCGAGCAAGATGACCAACGGCACCGGCAGCCGCTCGCAATCTAGCCTGGGCATGCACGCCGCTTACGGCGACAACTATAACGACACTGACACGCGATACACGCCAAAACACCACTACAGCCGCTCGAGCCTCGATGTGCCTAATCGTCGCGGGGAACACTCGACTTCGAGCCATAAACAGTACGCCAGCTCGAGCCTGGACGTCCCGCGGGACGAGAACTATAGCGCGAGCTCGAGCATGGAGAACATGAACGACCAGGGGGCGCGCGACCAGGCGCGCTATTACGGGAGCGAGGTGAGCTTTGGGTCGAAGGACGTGCCCAAGATGCCGTCGGATTCGATCCGAAACCGCGGGTATGGAGGCGGGGAATCGGGGCCTCCGAGGGAAGATTCAATGGGTACGCAGGAATCTGGTCCGCCAGGAAGGTTTGATGAATAAGGGACGAGGAGCACGACAGCTATGAGCGACATGATATGTGGGCACACTTGGGGATTCGGCCATGATATTCTTGGGTTTCGTTTTCGTATGCTCCCTCTTACAACTCGCGACCGCTAACGCTATGGGACTTCTTCGGGACATTTTACTTTTCATTTCACATTTTACACTATGTTCTTCGTATGTTAGATTCTGTTCTCTCACAGCTTATAGTACATCCTATGGACTTCATGGACATTGTCACGCCTTACATTACGACGCCGTATAGAAAATACTGATACGTACGCAACACGCGGTCTATTCTGGTTTCTTGCTTCACTACCTGCTTGTAGAGGTTAGATCTGTAGCTTATAGTGCATTGATGACTCGGATCCGGAATAAGTTATTGGTTGCATGTATTACATAGATTATTGGCCAATGTATATCATCTACTGCACAGGAGAGCGTGATTGTAAGGTGACGTCGAGATCGCTGGCGAAGTGGCCAGCTAGAATCCACTGTCATTTTGAATACCCGGAAGTGGCAGGGTGGGCAGGGATGTGTACACGCAAGCAAGGTACGCTGCAAATGACAACTATAACGCCGTCTCTACGATAGGTCGTTGCTAGTATCACTTGCCCAACCAAAAAGCGCAGACGAAGGAGAGGTGGGTGCGGGGAAGGCATCCAAGCGTACTCCGCACCTCTGAACTGTGACTATGCCATCATGGGCTCCGCCATCGGTATCGACGCTTCGGGCCTTTTCCCCTCCTTCCCTAGCCCTGCAGCTCTCTCGGACTCCTCTATGGTGTACGCGGGCACCTTGAGCTCTTTTAGTCTCCGCTTATGGACCTTGCTTCGCCAGTGTGAGCGGAGAGCGTGGTCCGTCTCGTAGTATCTGCTCGACAACAGCAGGGAAGTTATGGGAGGAGATGTGAGAGTGGGAGGGAAGAGAGGGTGGAGGGGACGCACTTTGCGCATTCGACGCAGTAGTGTTGTGCAAGGCCTGGTTTCTCGAGGTCGAGCGGTTGGGCCTCGAGAGCTGCGCGGTTCTGTGGTGATGTGAGATGATATCGTCTACCACGTCAAACGAGCTCTGCTACGCACCTTGGGATCCAGGTCAATCAGCTGGATCTGGTCCAAGTCCTTCGTTCGAGCCTGGGTGCAAACGCCAGTGTGTTAGTTCATCCAGCCCTCAGGACCTTTGGCCAAGCGTATCGACGCACCCGTGTCCTAGACGCCCTGTGTACATCTCTCTGAGCCTTATGTGTCCTCGAACGACGTAACCGGCCCATCGTATATTGTCGATGTGGTGAAGCTGAGTGCAGCAATCATAGGACGCTGGCTCAATACACTCAAGATAAAAACTCGGCACAAGCACGGAGCGCCTGGGTTATGTGATGGGAAACGGACCTTGGCATTGAAATGGTAACACTCGAATGAGCCTTGGGTAACCCAAAATCCCCTGAGAGTCGTTGAGGCGATCCCTCGTATCATTAAAATTATGACGCTTTCTTTGCTTGCCACTGTTTATTGCATTGCCTTGAAGCTCCGGTGGCGCCTTTGCGTGAAATTCCGTGTCTCCGTTGCATTTTGCACTGGATCTCCATTGTGACACTTTATCTGAGTTTGGTGTTCCCTCGTGTGGCGCTATGTGTGATATCATTGCTTAGCAACCTTTGCGTAAGTCCTAAAATGGTAACTAATTGGCAGACTGACGCGTATAAAGCAAGCCCCAGCATTTAGAATTTCCTCCCCATTGTTCTCTCCCGAGCTCTCGTAGTGGAACACCTGTTCTATGTAGCTATGCTCATGCAATCAAGCTTAACGGACGATTGCTGTAGATTTTATAGCTGTCCTCTAACCTGCATTGTGCTACCATATCTGAGACATCCTAGATTGCTGTCGTACCCAAGGAGTAGGTGTTCCGGATATTCCTGTTGCATATCTGTCTCTTCAGGACGTTTCCGGGATGCGTATAACGTGCTGTTGGCTTCCTCCCCGTTTTCTTTCTTCCCAAAGATTCGGAGATATCTTGCATGTGTCATGTCAATACATGTGCCGTTTGTTGTCAGCTTCAGCATTTCAATGCTGTTCCTGCCGAGTTGCATGTGTCAAACAAACATTAGCAGGAATTACTACCCTCCAAGACGTCTAGACTTCCCATTTTATACCAATACAATTCATCGTAAGTTATGTTATTTGAGCCTTCCAGCCTGAGTATGTGTGAACGGGGAATGTACATTGCTCACATATAGTCAGTACACATGCATTAATATTGCAGATAACCTCAAGCTATAGATTTGTAAGTATCGAAGCCGGCGAGGGCTACGACGTGTGCTCGTACGAGTTCAAAGGGGATCAAGGGAGAACCGAGCGCCAATCGATTGATAGGGAGTAACTACGAAATTGCGAGTATTTCAATCTTCGAAAGCAAAACCTCTAGGAAACGTGTGATGGACATGTGGTGGTCTAGGCACAGACACAATGCTACCCATACAGAGCTCTCGCTTTGTTTGTCATTTTTGACAGTTACACTACCAGGAAGTTTCGTAGAACATACTGCATGAGTCAGTGGTGCTGTGACCTGAACTCCAGGTGGAGCGCTATCGTAACCTTTGAGTTTAAGTCCCGATTTCCGTCCCCGATTTACAGTGGTGCATAAGTAGGAACACCAGGACATCCAATATTATTTCTCCAGCATCCATCCACCGTATCCATTGTATCATTAAAATTATGACCCTTTTTTTATTTGCCGCTATTTGCCTATTGCATTGCCTTGAAACTCCACTCCGAGACGAATTCCGTGGCGCTCTCCGTTGCAATTTGCACTAGATTTTCAGAGGGCTTTATCCAAATTTGGTGTTTCCCGGCGTGTCATTCTAAGTTAAATGTGCTAGATATGCATTACTGTAGTTTTTCGACCTTAGGTTCGCGGTGGCGTGGGAAGTCGGAGCTTTAACGCACTTTCCATAACCGTCTGTCCCCCCCTATAGGTTCGGCGGGCCAAACCGAGGGTGGACAGTTAGTTCGTGCTCGCTCAGCAGGCCTTGACACCGACAACGAAAATGATCATAATGGAAAATATAGGTACTGTATGCACTTTAACTAAGGTCCTGGCGGCGCTCTCAATAATGTTCCCGACATCGACACAAACCAAACCAACCTTGAGCTGGTCATTGGCACAGGTGCTCAAGATGTTGTGCTCACCCCTCCGACCCCGCTATGTATCAAACACTTTGCACTCATTGGTGCCTTGCCGGTTTATAAAGTACCCAACATGGTTGAGTCTTGCTAATTGAGTTCTGGGGGCACTGGGCTCCGCATGGCCCCTGCCATGGACAATGAGCCTGATGTGGTCTCCAATTCTCTACGAGTACCTGGATAGAAGGAATCCCTTGAGAACTTGATTAGATGGGGTGTTTAGCATGCAGCAATGGTAGCATAGGCTATCAGAATACTTTGAATAGGATTTCTTTAATATTTTCTAGTAATTTGATCATATTTATGCCTATTTTATGGTATGTCCCCCCTGTTAAGTTCGTGGCTTCAATTATGGGGTGGACTGTCCCCCCACATTAGGTTCGGTTCGTGGGGAGGGGGGGACAGGGGACCGAACCTAAGGTCGAAAAAGTACAGTAGTAGGAATAGCTACCCCAAAATATCCACATTTTACGTTCCATATCACCTCCATTTTTGCTGTACATTGCCCATAAATAGCCAATTGTGGATCGCGGGCAACCTTAAGCTATGGTGCTGTCACTTTGTTTGCCATTTTTAGCGATTTAGTCGCGGCCCCGGAAGTTCCGTGGCACACTTGGCATAAGTTAGTGGTGCTTTGCCCCGAAATTCTAGTAGTGATCTGTCCTGGACTTTCGGTACTCGTAAAGCTCTTATTTCACGTTTGCGGTTGACTACTAAACAACTTTTAATTGTTAATTAAGGGATATCGCATCCTACTCGTACTACAGTGACAAAACCGGGGAAAATTGTACGGCTATCTATTGCAAAGCAACCCTTATTTTCTTATATTGTCCTTTTTAACCGTATCTGACCTCTTAGTTGATATCCCACGCACTTCAATCGTAGTCAATTCTCAGTCGTTTTGGTTGTTTGACATTTATCTCGCCTGTACTACGGCCATCTGTCATGCATTCATGTCTCGGCCTTATTCTCCTATCGCCACTCTTGGGTGTTCGAGCGCGAGAAGTGGTATACATTGGAAGTAGCACGAGTAATCACTCAATCTAACCCAGTATCAACTACAGGAACTATAGTGTAAATAAACCGGAGTGGAACGAAGGTGTTGGCCTTGTGGTTATTATATGTATGTTCAGTCATGCGCGTGATGAACAGAAAGCATGGCATCGTCGGCACGTCAGCGGTGTCCGATGGCTGTGCTTCCCAGCCAACTGCTCGCTTCAATCGGATTGTTTCATGACATTCTGTTCTTTCGTAATATTAATGGCGCTACCGCAGGAGGGCGTACATGCTCAGAAATATGGGTTGGTCTTACGTTCTTTATCCCACATGAACGCGATCAGGTGCTGTTTATCACTGCACCCCATGATATCCTTCGTATCCAGACGGAATTGAGACAGAAAACATTACGGGCCAAGTTGTCTTTATTCCAGTGTCACGGTGTCCTTTAATGTCTCCCCGGTGAAATCAGAATCTGCCGCTGGACTCCAGCTTGATCGCTAGCACTAGTATTAGTGCAATATCTATGATGGATTGGTTGATGCTGTGGAGTTTCAGGTGAGCCATATTTACCTCTAGGGTATCGGAAAAAATTAGAAGCAGCACTGCGTTGGATATGGTCATCCGTCATTATCGATGGTCGTGAAACGCTTCGTTGGCTCGGAATGTTCCCAGGTACCGAATTATATACAGCGTACCATAAAGACCCGGAACAGCTCACGATCCCGCTTTCCCTGGACCCTTCTGCTACCTCCATATGACTATTCCTCCGATTATGGTTGATTCCCTTTCTCCACTCACCCTGTTTCAGGAAGGCCTGCGTTATGGAAACTATATGAAGATGGCAAGTGCCACCTTGGTGGTTTATGACTATTTGGTGTCATTGGGTCGGGAGGTGCGATGGTTGAATGGATATGTGTATCAGCAAATTCTGACACGCAGAAGGTCCCACTTTTCTGGTTTAGCTCGAGGTCACTGAGCAAAGCACTTTATATGATTGTATGGTTGAAGGATATTTGGTTTGTAATGGCTCTCATTGACGCCGCCGTCAGACTCGATACCTGTCTCTGTTTTTAATATTGTGAGTGTGTCATCGATGAGTACTTCGTCTGTGCATGAGCTCATCCCAAATTTCGTATGGTCCAGAGAGCAAGCGGTTTCGTGTAATAATTCAATCTTTTCACTCGTCGCATTGCTTACTTTGTTCATACCCTTCATAGATCCGTCGCATAAATACTCGGTGATGCTTGGGACTGCTCTGCTATCTTTCGTTCTGAGTGTTGTGTTTGCTGCTCTGTGCCAAGGTGGGTTTTTTCCTACAGACTGACCCCTACATCTTATCAACCGTATACTGACCGAGCTTGCAGCCGTGGTTACCATTCGAGTTTGGTACTTATTTGAGGCAGAGAGAACCATTCGACTTATTGTGATCATATTCTACGCAATTTGCGCTGTCAGCAGCGCTATTTGCCTTGCCTTTCTGTCACATGGTCTTCTGGGTGAAGTCCTTGGGGTGACAATACTTGGTGAAGCCCCTGGTACCCAGGGTCTGTGGTGGCTGTTTGTTCCTTCCGTGGTACTCCATACTGTCATTTTTGCGCTCACTTTGTACAAAACGAGGAATATTGGGTCGCCACAAAAATCGTCGGTTAAACGACTCTTGAAAGAGTGAGTTGGGTATCTCTTGACTTGTCAATGTGATAAGATCATCATTAAAATTAACTAGGTGTTTCTTTGTCTATATATTCGCTTCCGGTAAGAGGAAAATGTCGCACCCCGGTGCACAAATGTTACGGTCTGACTGGCTGATCCATCTAGCTGTTTTTATCCTCGACATAGTTGTTTTGTCGCCAGCGGGATCAGGGCTGCGTTATGTCCGTTCTTTTCACTCAGCTAGCTCGCCGTTCTGACGTTTACACCTTTAGTTACCTATGGCAATCTTGCTTGGACAGTAAGCTTGATCATAATACTTTCACGGTCACGAAGTGAATAGCAACGCTCGTTATATCATAGATTACAGACGGCAGTCATAATCGTGGTGACTTGTCGCACTTTAATCAACCTCCGCTCGCTTTCGGACACGTTGGATATTGATCCTAGCTGGCTTTTAAACGCCACAGAGCTCAGTCGAGTACGATGCTATGAAGAACAAAGAGGAGAGCTTGTCGTCGAAACGACTCCGATCGCTCCGTTAAGGATGTCTGATTATGGCGGGGATACAGATAGTGACGTGCGTAGCTCTGCTATAATTCATACATGTTACACTACCACATAGAACCTTAGCGCTCTGCTCGTAGGATATCGCCTTGCGACTTGTTAAGTGCTTAATGTTGAAAGCGATAACATACTGGACCTCACTCGACTCCTAACACTTACGACTTATTGCTACATCAAGTTGTTGTCAAACTGCTGTGAGGTGAGCACGGTTGCTGAGATCAAAAATGTTCGGGTGACTCCGAGCCGCACATATTGCCGAGGGCCGGTGCAGCCTGGAGCCTGGTTCCTCCTGGTTCAACATCACTCGCAGTCTCTCCCAATATGCGTCTATCATTGATTTTGTCATGAGGGGAACACGTTCCACCACACGAAGCAGTTTCCAGTACTGCCATGTACCACCGCACTCGCAATCGCGCCTTGTACAGCCCCTACACGTGTTGCCCATCCCGCCTTCGCGCGACGCGTGTCCGGTAACATGGTCGCCTCATTGCAGCGGCGATTGACCCCTTGAGTCGCCTACTTATAGAGCAAGGAGATCATCTAGCGAACCCTAGCCCAAGCAACACACCACCACCTACTACCATGAACAACGCCTCTCTTTGCGACGTGAGTACACTGCCTCTACGCCCCGGAACGCTCTTGATGACGCGCGATCTGTCTAGAGCTGCCACAAACGCCCCAAACATGCCAATCACCGTTATTGCGGCAAGACGTGTGCAGCAGCAGCTCAAGTTGCCGCTCCCGCACGTCGCAAGGCTCACGCGCAAGGCCAAGGTCATGCGAGTGGTCAGCCAACGGCAAAGTCACGAAATGCCGGCGCGAATGCAGCTGGAAATCAGACTCAATCGCCGGCTCAGCTCTGCAAGGTGCGCTTCCCCTTTCTCGGCAGCCGTGCTGAGTATTGATGTGTGAGTAGGCCTGCAAGAAGAAACCCGCGTTCGGCGGCTTCGACTACTGCGGCAAGTACTGCGCTAGCCAGGCGGGCAAGGCAGCGTCTCAGCCCGCTCAAGCAAAGCCTCGGAACGCTCCCTCTGCTACTCCTGCAAAGGCCCCATCGAAGCCGTCTGGAGGGAAGAACACATCCGTACCTGCACCTGCATCTGCGCCTGCGCAGAAGCAGCACGGTAACGTTCATCAAGCTCCCGCTCAAGGTGAGTTCAGACTATCATCGCATCGGTCCTTGGACTCAACCCTAGACCCAGCCCACCCAGACACCGATTCCGATGACGACTATCTAGACGCCTACCCAGACTCAGACTCGGACCTCGACGCCTACCCCTCCGGGTCCGAATCCGAGCCGGACGACTCCGATCCGCCCACACCCGTTATGCCCACCCTGCCTTCCGCTCAGCATAGCGGAAGCGGCAAGAAGGCCAGTGCTCAAGCTGGCCATGGGGCATCCCACCAGACCAAGCAGGCGGGAGCAGGAGCGGCGCAGGTCGGGCAATGCCTCATCCCGCGATGCGGCAATGCACCGTACGTCGACAGCAAGTCTGGGGTGGCGTCCGACTTTTGCTCATCGAGACACCGAGAGTACGTTATCTCCTCGCCTTTCCTGCCTGATGAGGTACAAGTGTGCTGATGAATGCTGCTGATCTGTAGAGAAGCGGTGAGTATCGGACAGGCCGATGGCTGTATCATGTGCAGGAAGTTCCCGCAGGGGAGTAACGACTACTTCTGTAGCCGTGCTTGTAGGGAGCAGGCGCTGAAGAAGCCGTGAGGATCAACTTTACACGGTCCTCGTAGTTTGTTGTACCTGTAGTGGTCCTATTTATTCGTCTGTATCGTGTTGTACCATCAATGTACCTCTTCAATCTGTCCGAACTTCTTCATATGGACGACCGCGCATGTCCGTTCAAGAAGTGCTCGTAAGAGCAGTCTCGGTCAACTTCCCTGGCTTGTCTACGGGGAATACTATGCAATCAGATATTAGCTTGTGAGCGCTATTATAAATGCCACAGCATTTGCTGCAGGCTCCTATGTGTAGTGGTGTCTAGAGGTACGAACGTCAGTACAAAAAATGAACTTCTTGAATCAGCGGTGGCGTCCTTGTTGACTTCTCACAGCAACACACAACGAATAGACGCCTACATCCGAGACGGTGCAGCAAAGCCCCCGGTGGCCGCTCAAAGGTGCAGGTGGCGTCCTCAGAGACTACATATAAATCGTTACAAACACCTCCGCCATTACCCATCTTACCTCGTCAACCGCTCTTGCCTAGACCCTAGTTTTATCCTCGAAGCCCTCTCCATCAGCAACGATCATGCAAGCCGCTGTCAACATCACCCACACTTCACTTTTCACGGTCAACGACGACTCGACAGAGCTCACCGGCCCCAGGGTCGTCCTGGACATTTCCTACTGCCACGCAGGCGGCTCGAAAGAGGATCGCTGCGATCTATGCGAGACAAAGAAGCGTTACGGTGCACTCAAAGCAGATAACGACTATTTGAAGTGGAGGATCACCTGTTTTGAGAACGACGAGGCGACGCTCAGCCGTGCACTCGAGTGTGTTCACGATGAAATCCGAACGAAGACACAAGCGTACGACAAGATGGAGGAGCATTTCGCTATCTCGCAGACGCGGGTGGAAGAGCTCGAGCAAACAGAGGCCAGGCTCACCCTCGCACGAGATGCGCTCAAGAACGAGAGTAGGAAGCTCGTGAGGCAACTACAGGCGACGAGATCAGAGCATGCGGAAGATAAGGAGCGCCTCAAAGCTACGCACGAGGCGAATGCCAGGTTACTGAAGGAGAAAGACGCACTCATTGGCCAACTCGCTACAGAGAATCATAAGTTGTCGAATTGTCTCAAGGACGAGAAGCTATCTGGAGCAGAAGCACGCGAACACGACGCACAGTTCATCGCAAAGTTACAGCGGACGACGGCTAAACTGGAAGCCGAGAGGTCACAACTCATTGAGAAGATGGCTAGACTTGAGCGAGAGCTCAATAAGGAACACCAGGCGGAGTCTTCACAGAACCAAAACGGGGAGCTCCTGCGGGAGAATCGTATACTTGCTTCACAAAACGACGTGCTGAAGGAGAGCAAGGAGGATCTGAAGCGGAAGCTGAACAGCGCGAACGAGAATTTCGAGCGACTGAAGATCATGGTGAACGACGCTCGGCACCAGAATGAGAGCTTGGTGAAGGAGAATGGTAGAATGGTGATGAAGAGCAAAGCAATGAAGCATGACGCAGAGGCATTGGCGGATGAACTTGCGAAGACGAGGCAGGAGCTGGCAGGTTATCAGAAGAGAGCAAGGCGTATCAACGGACATAGCAAGGACATTGAGCATCTTAGCAGGAGAGCTTGAAGAGCAAAGATTTGTAGACTTGGTTTATAGATGGAGTTCTGCCAATAAAAGGACTTTATGTCGATATGTTGTGTCAGTAGATAGCTGAAGAGGTTGGAAAAGCAGTGATTGGCGAGATTCCGGCTCGTTCCGGATTTCGCCGGGGCATCACTCCGGATGTTTGCCCGGAAAGCGTTCTAAAAGAGCGTGTGAAATTATTACAATTAGGATCTTTTGGCCTGATTTCAGGCTAAACTTGTCGTAATTTCAGCTGAAACATTAGAAATCGCGTTCAGGGTTTATCATTTCCCGTCTCGCAGCCTCCGTTTTCCCTCGGCCGATCGCCCTTCGCCGCGACGACTTCTACACTTTCCTTAATACCAGAATTGATGAAAAAGTATGAAGGTGTACCATCAAAAAGACTTGACATGGATTTTGATTTCCAAATCACTGAAGAATCGTATCAAATTTGAGGTTTCTGACTTATGTCGAGGATTGTCAGCTCGATAGCTATCTTCTCATTAATCCTCGATAACCTTTGCACATTGAAAAAGGCAACCCGTATGCAAGGGGCACTGATCAAGGTGAGCTATCTTTGTCTCTACAACGCTAGTCACGCTCATGCGTCCGCTACAGTTCAGTTCGTCCGAGTGATAATGGTAGTAGGAATTCGGATTAGCCCTAACAGAAATTTGCCAGAGTGTCAGAGAGTTGGTAAATCTCAACGCGAAGGTGTTTATCCCTTTCGGATTCGAACCAAGATACCAGTCCTAACGTATCTCCATCTCGATCTCTTGTCGAATACCGATCACGGCATGCTGCTATCATTTTATCAATCCTGCTCATCATAGTTGACTTAGCTTTGCGTACCTTGTTTGGATTCTCCCAAGCTTTCTCCGTACCATGCTCCGACTCATTAGCACTATCAGCAGCTTTATAAACATCTGCGTGGCTACGGTTATGGAGTATCCAGCGTCCGTTCAGTCTGCAATTCGTCAGTCACGAGCAGCAAGAAAAGGAAAGCCGAAGCCACTAACGCTGCCATTAAAGCGTTGGCGTATACTGTGTCGAAAGGTTGTAAGCAGAAGATAAATTTTAACCTCTAATTCACGAGAGCAAGCTCACCAGAGCCGAAAAGGGCATACGCGGACATCCATACATCTGATGCTACTCGTTAGCCAGATGGTCAAGGACGTGTATGCAGCGCTCACAGTTATGAGGCTGCGCGAGAAACTATTCAATGCGTCAGTTGCACTCACGGCCATGATAAAGTACCGTGATACTCACAAGTATCAGGATCAGGGAAGACATCAGGCTAAAGCGCATCGTCATTCGAAAATACTTGAGAGAATACGGATAGGAGTTACCAGATACAAAGTCCAGTTTCTGTTAATTGATTTGTTAAACAATGGAACTCCGTTCAGCCAGGTGGACGAGCTTACCAACGGTCCACAGAATTAGTCGATCGATGATGCGAGACGTTCTGTGGGACCAGCGGGTATTATTATCAAATATAGCATAGTGTTTGGAAAACACCTGCATACGTTGCAAACGTTCCGATTCTCCGCTTGGTCCAAAGATAATAAGCAATTACTGATGAGACCCAGATATCGGAGATGAACGCTGACACAAACGCGAGTATGATCGAGATATGTGCACGAGGGTAGTACTCCATGGCTTCCGGATAGATGCAAGCCTTGGCCACGGTCATAAGTCCCGGCACCTGTCGAAGACATGTAAGGAATACGCCACAGGCCGTAGGCATCCATGATTTCTCGGATATCTTCCAAAGTCGATAAACAAAAACGACTGAGACCATGGTCAGATAGGCAGGCAACTACCGAACTCATTTTCAACCATTACATACCTGCACAACAAATGCAACAATGGCTGTCAACAGAATGACCGCGATCATTGGCTTATCTATCGTCAGAAGCGACAGCGGCGACTCCATAGCGACCACAGTCATGTCCCAGAGTACGGCGCATTCACACACGAAGTGCGCGAGCTGAAGTGCCCTAACCCCCCATCAGTAGGATAGACTAAATGACGTACACCTCACAAGGTTGGAACTAACTAACATGAGAAAGGACGCCTGAAAGAAGTGGGATAAATAAGTCAGAGTACCTTAAGATTTGCCGAGAAAACGTACCACTGCTTTGAACAGCCACCTGTCCTCGGGGAATCTTGTAAAGTAGATGTATGCCTGCACGAAGAATGCACCTGTGACAAATGCATTTGCGAGTACACCGGCTTCCACGGGCCCTACAATTAGGCTAGGGCTCGGAAGTGGAAGGGAGCTCGAAGTGGAAGAAGACATGCTGAACAATGAAGCAGATATTCAGACAATGATGCGGAGGGAGAGGACGCCGTAGGAAAGGTTATAAGAAGAGCAAGTCCAGGGGTGAGCCGCTCAATGAGCGGGGCTAGTCCAAAGATAAACCATCTTGATCACTCGAAGATATAAGCTGTGTCCCGTAACCCGAATACCGCGGTATGAACTGGTATGAAGTGGAATCAAGAGGCAGTTGCTGAAATATCATAGATGTTCTGATGGAGAAGGTATTGGTCTAGCTCTGCCATGCTGTTGTGCTTGTGTCTATTCACTGAAGAAAGCTGCATATTTGTAGACCGTTTGCCACATATTGATGGAGGTTGCGGTGTACCGAGCCTCTGTGATATGCACATCGAAATACCTTATTGTATCTATCCATGCGCTCTTGCCGTCGGAAAGCCGCAGGCCCACACTCAAGGGAAGAGTGTTAGGACAGCCTGATTACTGCACGGATTCAGGTAAGCGACGCAAAGTCACCAAGGAGCCACCCACGGCATTGAACGTGAACCTTGTCTGACCTCGTTAAGCGTCCTCCTCGAGCTTGTTTGCGCTCATCGCACCAGCAGATCAAGTTTTCTCCCTTTCTCTGGGCCAAGCGCACAGTTCCATAAGAAGATAGCTTAGAGCCCAGGCTTGGTTGAGATGCTCGCAAGATGTAAATAGACTTACGGGCCGGACGCGCGTATCACCACGAGGCTGGCAGATGGCCAAACAGTGTGCATGCGCTATCGATCGCCCCCAGATCATTGTGCGTTTCAACCTCTGACTTGTAGACACATGCATCCCGCCTTACGACTCGACGAGATCTTGCTCGATGTTGCACTTCACGTCCCGTCGAATGGGGATCTTTTGACTATGGCTCAGCTATGTCGCTCCACCAACGGGCCAGCAATCGACGTTTTGTGGTCGAATTTACCATCAATCATTCCCCTAGTTCGATCTCTCCCATCCGACCTCGTCGAAAGAACGGAAAGAGTGTGAGTTGTTGCGAGTAACATGGACTGTCAGGTCATCGGATAGCTTATTATTGTTCCAGGTACTGTGGAAATACCACACCTCAATCGATAACACAGCAATACAAATTCACTCGGCCTTTCACCCCCGCTGACTGGGCCATCTTCCGCAGGTATTCAAGTCGGGTGATTAAGCTGCGCGGGGCACAATCCATGCTTAGCAAGATTTCGGGAAGTCGTCGCATACCCATCACCCAAAAGGTCGACCCCATGGTCTTCGACATCCTCCTCCCGCCACTATCCGTGCAGCCATTGTTCTCAAAATTGCGGGACTTGACTTGGGTGGACTCGGATACAGAAAAGGAGTTCGGGTTTCTTCGCTTCCTTTGCAGCCCATCGATGACTTCGCTTCGTATCCGCCCAATCAATTTCAGCTTAGCGACATGGAGCCTTATTTCGCAACTGGGCAACATGTGTCCGTCTATCACGATTTTCTGGTGGCAGCATGCCATGGATCAAACGCATCTCCCCGACAATGTTATCAAAGTCATATCAAACGTCGCAAGGGAATGGGTTCATCTCAGGAGTTTGACGACTCCTATCCTTGACTTCAGCCAGGCGTTCAAAGATGTATCCTCCTTCAAATCGTTACAGGACCTGTCTACTGCCCTTGATGGTCGTCGTATGAGTTCTACCATGAGGAGGTCCTTCGCACTCCCCGCTTTGAGCAATCTGATACTGCGAGCTCCTCCTCAACACTCCATGGAAACCATTGCGACCCTTATAGAGAAAATGAGCATTGCGCCCAGCGATGTGAGTTTTGACGCAGATTTAACCTCCGAGAACGCGATATTCCGGCTCCTTGATGCCCTTTCCCAGCATTGCGAGTACAGCACCCTCAAGAATATACGAATTACGGAATTTGACAACACCCCGGCGAGCATTGATACCCACTTCACCTTGTCTTCTTCCATGATATGTCCCGCGTTCTATTTTGGTGAACTCACTCGGCTCTCACTGCCAACTGGACACTGCGCGATCTGTTTTGTTCAACGACAGCAATCTCCTCAAGCTCGCCGATGCTTTTCCAAAACTCATTGATCTATGTATCAACGAACGCTGTGGCTGGCAGACTCATTCGAATGTCACCCTGCGTGCTCTCCAAGAGCTCATCGGCCGCCTCCCAGATCTCGAGTCTCTCATAATCGCCATCGACGCAGAGCGCACACAGCTAAAAGAAAGCGACCTTGAGATGGCCGTGAACGCAGCCGGACTCCATGGAAGGAATGCCCGCACCGTGAAAGCCCTTTTTTGCCTCGACTTGCTTGACTCGCGCGTAAGCGAGCCCAATATTCCCATCATCGCAGCTTTCCTTTCGGACCTATGCATCAACGCCGATTGGCTCAACTACTGGGCGTTCACTGGAGCGAAGAGTGATGGAAGAGACGTACAAAATGACGCGAGTACGCAAAGACGGAGGTGGGACGAGATCAGAAAGTTGACAGGTGTCATGCACCAAGTCAGGAGGCAGGAAAAGGCTCGATGGACGGGGGATTCGGATATACAGTGTTCGTGACGGGAGCTTGATAGTGCTCCACGGAAGGCAGGAGAATACGATAAAACATCTAGTTAGTGTAAAATAAGTACGGGATATGCCAAAAAATGATCAGACATGCGCCAAAAATTGGGGGCTCACTCTCAGTCACATTGGTGAACCTGTACTGTTTCTTCATGTATATCGTTGGCCTTCAAAATTGTCGGTGCTAACAAACACACCTCTGTGAAAACAAAAGTGGAATTTATGCCTTAATCGTATGCTTTTCACAATTTGCAGGCGTAGTGATGGTAGGCTGAGGATCGTAAGCATCTTGGAGCTCACATCCGGTGGACGTTGCAGGAGATACCGTACGGAACCTGTGGGTCCCAAGTGTTATTGGAGTGTCGCACATAGAAGCGTAATGGACGGACCTAGTGTTGTGCAGGGCCGGGCTTGGCCTGAAAGCCCTGGCTTTGGCCTGGCTTTTGAGGGCTCGGGCTTTGCAAAACCCTAGGCCAGGCCCTGACATAGGGCCAGGGCTTGGCTTGGGCTTGGCTTGGGCCTAGGCCAGGGCTTTCACTATAAAATCATGTATTTTGCTTCCTTTGTGCATAAAAAATTAGAGTGGTCCATTTTCAACTCAATGAAGCTATCAGGATAAATCAGACAGTAAAAAACAGTGAAGACATTGACTTTTGATTGTGTCACAATAATCACTGTAGTAAAAGACACTTATTCATCCAAGTCTCAATGGTTCTCATTGTCTGAAATACCTAAAATTAAGTCTCCAAGCTCATCATCATGCTTCTCAACAGTCATTTCATCAATAACATTGCCCTCAGTCATCT